TTTATATCCACTGCTAATTGTGGGAAATTTTGCTTCGCGAGTCGGTAAGGTTCGATTATTTCTGCATTGAAATTTCTGTTAAGAATCTTAATCAAAAGGGAGCTTTTTTTTCCCTAATTTCAGGGCGTATAAAACGTTCTGCAGGAAAGAACGATAGTCAGCTACCACTATGAGGGCGCGCGCTTTTATGTTACTTTTTCTGACATAGTTTGTTCTCGCATTTTCTGAAATGGTATTTCTTAAACTAAGATTCGAAAGATGTATGTCCCTACCTGGTAAGCAGTGTCCGTTATTTCTTAAGCTGACTCTAATAAGTTTTCTTCTGAGGTGTGAAGCACTACCGCAGGTTGCCAACGGTTAACTGAAGTTGAGATGATGTTTCGAGGGAATTATAAATTCCACCAACGCATTAGCCTCTGGCAGATGAATAGCCCTTGCCTATCCCTGCAGGGGTTGTTATTTGTGAGATCAGAAACTTTCCAATGTTTTTTAAAGCTATACAATGTCGTGTTTTACTTTAGTAAAAAGGTTGGTAGCATGCGTCATCCAGATCCATAGCCATTTGAACAGTTTAATTGCAGCATTTCTTCATCCCGTGACAACGAAAAATAAGGAGATATTGATCCGTGCCAAAATTTAGCAAGCTTATTGTAGTCTTTCATTCGATTGAATCACCTGTTAAGGTTTCTTTGATAACCACTACATAATTGGGCATCTTTTGCAGCCATTTCCGCGGAATAACACGAAAAAGCGTTGAAGAATCAACACATTTAAGAATCGGAGTTTACATTTCATTTTAACTGTTCATTTACCGCATTTCTTCATCCCGAGACAACTGCAGATAAGGAGATATATACTCGTGCCAAAATATAGCAAGCTTATTATTGTCTTTATCTCGATTGAATCACCTGTTTGCGTTTTGGATAATTACTACATTGGGGACCGGTTTCGCGAAACTTCCCTTAACTTAACAGCCCGTAAAGCTGTTCTGCAGTTTTCATTAAAAAGTTTTCAAAATTATACATCAAAACTATCAGCTTAAGAAACAAAATAAACTTTATATGTTGCCAACATCTAATTCTCTATTCTTTAAATTTTGATACTGATATCCGTGCCCTTGCTATTAACTCGAGATATTCTAAGCTGAAGCAGTTTCTTCCTGTTTGTATTTCACAGCACAGCTCTGAGACTCGTTGGGATAATCATAGTTTCTTTTAACCCCCTTGACCTGTTTGTTTTGGAGTCTCAGGCACAAAAAGCTAAAGTGAAGGGAAATTCGACTCATTTTTATTGTTTCTATGGTAATCGTATATTATTTTCTCTTGACCTATATCATAGGCTAAAATGAAACAAATGAAACTGAAGCCTTTGGGGTAATACACTACACAGTTTTGGCAAGTAGAGATGATGATGATGCTTAGTACCTGATACAGATTACGTTGTAGTTGGTAGCATATAATATGGTAAATACGATGCAAGGACTTTACATTGGTGACACAAAGGTGAACTAATGTTATGATATCTCCTAATAAGAATCAATAATAAAAATCATCAATTATTAATGATAATGATTTTGGGCCGAAAATGAGTGAATGTGCGAAAGATTCCTTAACCCTGAGAAGTATATTCAACAGCGAATATCTCTGAAAATTCCATGCTTTCTTAATCATGCTACGACTACTTTATAAACATGCTTTATAAATTTCGTGCTCTAGATTGTTTAGCATATCTATGTGCATGGAGCTTGTGTCCAGCTGTCATTGTTATCTGTTCATTAGTATTTTTAACGGCTTCACCTCTAATCGAACAGAATAGAAATAAATCTTGTAAAGTCGATTCATTAGATCTTGGTGTCAGCTGTTCGATGAGAGAAACTGTTGGGGAACATTTAAAACGATAGTCGCGAAGGATTTTTTTAAAATTACGTTTTCACAGGGAAAAAAAAATATTCGCTTCAGAACACCTGCATTTTGCATGAGCGGAAGTCAGTCGCTGCTCAATATAGTGTATGTGTTTGAAAATAAAATCAGTAACGTCTAACTTCCTCAGTCCCGTTAAAACTATTTAAACATAAAAATCCCCGTGCGTGATTGTTCTCTTCCTCTGGAAGTAGTCGAATTTCAGTCGGTTAGTTTTAATTGTTTTTCTTTATTTAGTTGTATTGACCCAGAAAAAGAATGCGTATTTGGAAAACGAATTCATTTTGCGCCACCGTAAGTAGGTCAAAAATATATGCTAGAATAAAAGTGAGTAACACAGCGCTATCCAAAAACTTTTTAAGGATAAATTTCGTGCATGGTCTTAGGTACTTATTATATATTTAGAATGTTTTTTTAGAATAAATTTATGATCCTTGTTTCACAAAAAATACCTTCTATGAAATTGTGATCGAAAATCTTGGAATATTTAAGTATCATAAGTAGGATGGAAGGGGCGCACTATGATCCACAACCAATCAAAGAGAAAATATTTCGTACCACGTGGAAAAATAAACCAAACATGGGATCCAAGATGGTGATTTGATGAAACGCCATGTAATCGGTTTATTTGTACCCCGTGGAATACAATTGGTTGGTAAGGAGATCGAAATTTTATGAGTTATGATAAAAAAATCACAATAAAAGATGTACTTGCTCCTAAAAGACGTGCACTTAAGGGTATTAGAGATATTGCCAGAAGTAGCTTCTTGTCTGAAAGTTACAAATCAAAATAACGGTTCTGAAGATCAAGGTGATGGTACGCTTGCAACATACATTGTCACCTTCATCCTGCGCCAAGAAACAATGGGTAATGCGGCGCGATCACATCACGTTTTTGTAGAACAAACAAATAAAAAGAAATGAAAGAAAATACACTCGTACGAAATTAGAAGGGATTTGTTGCTTAGACGTAATGTCTGCAACATACAGTTCTGTTGATCGTTATCGAAAGATATCAATAATAGCTATAGACGTGCTCGAACGTACAGTCCAAAACCTTCTATAACATTACAGAACATTCATAAATCTGTCATAAATCCGTCGAAAATCCCCCGAATATTCTATACAAATTGGCAAAATAAAAATAATAATACACGTGCCGAGAAAATGAGATTACAAAATGATGAAAATCACAATAATTGGTTTTCTAAGCCTCCTTAAGCTTGTCCGAGAGACTGGGGAACGTGCGCTTTTCGCCAAGTCAAAGTCACATGTTCATATAACCCCTCTGTAAGATTCTGACTGGTCAAGGCAATGGTTCAATCTCGCCAGAGTCTGGGTTTTCATCTTGTTCCTCATCAAATGCTTGACCCTTACTAGAATAACAAAGCATTTTACGATCGAATATCGTCAAATCAAAACTGAAGTAATCAGAACGGTCCATTACAGCCCTAAAGACCAAAGAGTACTTGAAGTACAACAAGCAGGCCCACACGCGAGAAAACGCGGGTGACCTTGTGATTGGCTTCTGTTTTGCATGTGATTGGTTGAAAGAATGGCGTGAGTCACTGTCGGAGTTTTCTGAACGAGTCACAGAGCGAAGCAACTCTTAAAGAAACAAAAAAACAAACAACGTTGGAATTAATTGTTAATTTTAACTTACAACAATGTCGCGTATTGGAAACTGTTTTCTTTCTTCCCCTTTTTTCCCAAGCACACTACGTGTTCCAATTTTACTAAAAAAAAGGAAACTCTTTTGCACGGATTTGAGATTAAATCTTAAATTGGATTACACAAGTTGTAATGTAAAGTAATGTGAGTTTAGATGATAGTTGTTTTCTTCTGCATCACATTCTTTCTTTCTTCCCCCCCCCCCATCCTCTTTTTCCTTCTTTCTTTAATGTACCAGACTCAATAAAGTATTAGTTGGTAGTTGGCTTTCATTCAAGTTTTTGATAAAGAGCTTCTCTTCATGCTAGGACTTATGTGATAGGAGTATTTTATACTATACTCAAGTGTTATTTTCTAAATGAGACATCAGGATTCAATTTTATTCATCTAAAATCGTCTCTTTCTATTAAGTCAGATGCTAAGGGTAGTTCGATGTTTTTTTGTTTTTTTTTTATTATTTAGCTTGTATGATTTTTAGTATTTTACTTCATACAGCAAAGTTATTCCAGGGAAAGATCTTAATAGAAGATAAACACACTTTGATATAATTGCTAATATTTTGTTTGGCTACGACAGAGGGGCTCGGACACAGGAACATTGCTTACTTTGCATAGTTTATGTATTGATTGACAAAGCCAAGACCTTTGAAAAGATAATAATCTGTATCGCAACAGTTCATCAATAGCCCATTCCTTACGAAACAACAAATCTGACAACGAATGATTTGGATTCGGCTGTATACAGCTGTACCTCCAATAGATTTTGTATTGGCATTAGATTGACAATCATTTCCAAGAGTAAATTCAATAGTTCTAAAAATTATACATCGAAAACAAATGGACTTTTGAAGAGCAGGCTATGCCTCATATCATCTACTTGTAACGAGGGGTGACTAACGTGTCTCTATTTTTTTCTGTCAACATTCTACTTGTACATATTTCTATGTCTTAAAATTCCAGACGACGATCAGAAGACAACTCTTCGCACTTGAAAATATTTCGTGATAGAAAAGCACACGTGTATTTTATTTTTTTAACGATATATGAAGTAAATTGGATCTTTGATCCTTGTTAGACTTCATTACCCTGTGAATATCGTTAAAAAGGTTACGGTTTGTCATCGTGGTCAACATACTCTTTCTATGAAGTATAATCGTTTATCTCCTCGCCCGAAGAAGAATATCAACTTCTGAAGTTACTTAGTCGTGAGACAAACGATTTTATTTCTTATTGTAACTCATGACCTTTAACTCGCATTTTAGTTTAAATGGAAAACAAGGCCTCGTTTCTGACGTGTTCTGTTGAATATTGAATACACTGAATATTGACAGGCTTGGCTTAAGCATCGACAGTTCCCACTATTTTTCTACATTTAAATTTTGCAAAAAAGAAAAAAAATCGATAATTGCCATCATTTTCGCACAAATATTTCAACTCTCAGACAAGGAAATTTGTGGTAGGTGACGGGATAAAACCGAACGTATCTGGCCATAATGTCAGTAGTGAGGAAATGCTTTACGACGGTGTTTTGGTCTGAGTTTCCTGGGAAAACCTGGAAGAGGAGAAAATGCATACATCATAACGAGAAAATAGTGTAGTTCGGCAACACATCATGCAAGTTTAAAGGGAATTTTTTTATGGAAAGGTTGAGGTGTGGAAGCCGATCTAACTTACATCAAGTGCTGGCCAGGAAACTTATGTTGCAGTTAAGGTATCTAGGTAGCTTTAGACGGGGACCTCTTTATGAATAATCTATGATAGAACGGTAACCTTTCTCTTAAACCTTGTCGCAATAAAAAAGACTGAAGATAATTGCAAAAGCTTAATAGTGAAAGAAATACAAGCTAGAGAGCTGCTTAAAACTTTGGAATGAAACCACTTCGCTAATTAACTCTGTTAACGTCACTCCTCAGTTTATCACTTAGAGAGAGGATAATGTTGGCAAGTGCGGTCTATTTGGCTTAACTCAACATATTGGCAAAGATCTCGAAATCGTGATAGTTATCAGCGGACTATTGGGTTCTTTTTTTCATAAAATAAAGTGAACTGAATGCGTTTTCTGATGGCCATTTTGTATCTTTAACTTGACAATGGTTCTGGTAGATTGGTCACAAATCAGTAATGATACTCGTAAATAGCAACAAATCACACTTTTACTTCCAGTGGTGCAATTTTGTAGGTTGCTGTTGTAACTCTTGGCTGTCCTATAATCATTACTAATAGTTGCCAATCAAACCTTTGCAGTGCTGGTTTCCTTGTCAGCGTTCCAAACTACACCGTCTGTGGATAGGTATAGTGTGTAGCTGGTAGTCCATTGAAAGTATGTCTTTTTTCCTTGGGAAGCCACAGCACAAACAGACAGCATTGTACCCATATCAACTTGAAGATAGTCTGTTCTGTTAGTTTTAGTCGCAGGACACCATGCTCCTTTTCCCCTGCTTTCATGAAATCGGCCATAGTGCGGCTTATTTCCTACATTTTTGAATGTGCTTGCTGTCATTCTGGCATCTGAGACTGCATTTTTGTCTGCCACACCAACAGGCCCACATTCTAGATAAAAGTAAAATGAATCAAACAGTAAGGTTTATATTTACCTGCATTTAATTCTTTGCTTCCCAATGTAGAACAATATGATTTCACTAGTGTGGACTTTGAGCCCGGGTCAAGTTGCGATGGTTGAAAAACATGGTTTACAAACTCCTCGTTGTGAGGCAAAAGGGCGTTATCCCTTTCACTCATGGCCTTCTTTTGATTCATTCACCAAGCAAGCACAATGGTCACCTCTTGGTGGACTGCACGTCCACCCATTTCATAAATTCACGATGTAAGATATTGTTGTATCGATATCTGAAAAATTTGTCATTGGAATTATGTATGGCCAATTGTATGTTCAATCCGTTACCATGGAAAAGCGTTAGTTTAATAAAATTCGTGAGAATTTCAGTTTTGACGACATTATTTACATTTGGTTTATTTTGGCATTCAACCGGCAATCTTCCAAATAATGATCTTCGTGATTACGGTGAAATTATGGGTGATCCTCTGAGAGGGGATTGATGCCAAAAATCCGGCCGTATGACATTATTCATCTGCATTCCACATCAAAAGCATACTTTCCTCTTGTAAAAACCATAGCCAGGTGGCTCTTTCACCTAACGTTCGAGTTACAAGAAAAAATACCGTGACTTGGTTAATTTCCGAAAAATACAAAGCGTCAAAAACTCCTAGTTTTTGAAGAAAAAGTGCATTTACCCACCAAACACAATGGTCAATTTCCAATCGGTGAGTGATACATCTACTCCTTCCCTAACTTCGCAAATTTAAGATATTGCTGTGCCGATTTCTCAAAAACTGAAAATTATGGAGCTTATTGTAGCTAATTGATCCCAAGGAAACTGAAATTGAAATATTACACTTTAGCGGAATGAAAGTTAGCAACATCAGAAGCTAGTTACGCAAAATCCATGAACGTTAGCACGCCCTGCTGTTTTTATTTACAAGTTCAATTACCTCCTTTTAGATCTTTTGCCATGTAATATCTGTCTTCGTTCCTGACAAAGTCCTCTGGTCTGGCCTCTTTAGTCCGGTTGTTTAACTCACACACTGCAATGAACATGACCACATTATAGCTTTGACACCTGTCATCGGCGAGGCAAGCCTCTCTGCATTCCAGCGTACCTGGTGTAAACTTGAACGTCTTATAGGTGTGGCCCTTGATCATCATTTGATACATCGAGTAAAGGTGGCCGCCAGTTCCACACTGCTGAGTGGCAATGTTGAGTAACATTTGCGAAATGAAAAACAGTTCGGTAAAAAATGAAGCCTGTAGACTAGCCATATGAAGCACAAAAGATCTGTGATACCTGCGGAGAAGAAGGCGGGCGTTCTCATGGGAAAAAATGTTGGATTTAATTGGGAGGAGTGTTTGAAAATCTAAAAGGAGAATGGCAAGGCTGGTGAAGTCCAAATGATAATAATGCCAACAAACAAATATCTAAATAAAAACCTGCTTAATAAACTTGCGATAGATTATCTTGCATAACATTTAGCAAGGACAGACTTACAACTTCGAAATTTCGGGGAAAAAAATATTATAGTAATTATCAACCTGTCTAATATTTTTTTGGAGAAAATTCCCACTTGAGCAGTCGAAGAAAAACCTTTTTGTTTCACTTTAAAATTCGCCTCTCCACCCTCTCCTTTTGCAGTCTTTCTTGCTGGCGATCAGTTTGCGGAAAAGACGAGGAACTCTGTAAAAAATAAATTTTTGACTGCTTGTAGAAGATTCTAAGAAGGAAAAATGATGGATCAAAATATCTTTTCCTCGATGAAAGAATATCCTTATAACAAACAATTATTTAATAGTTCATTTTAAAGTCCTTTTTTAAATCGTCAGGTTCATCACTTTGGTTATTTGCTCAGTTTCATCATTTACACTTCCGGTGACTGGAAAATACTAGTTTTAGTTTTCGTTTGAAAAAAAATATTTTGTATAGCAAGCTATGGAAACTATAGCGTATGTATTTGAAAATAATTCAGTAACGTGAAACTTCCTCTGTCCCATCAAAACTATTTAAACATAAAAACCCACGTACATGATTGTTCTCTGCAATTGGAAGAAGTCGAATTTCAGTTGGTCATTCTTAGTTGTTTTTCTTTGTGATGTGATGTTGACCCTGACAAAGAATGCGTATTTGGAAAACGAATCCATTTTGCGCTACTGTAAGTACGTCAAAATATGTGCTAGAATGAAAGTTAGTAACACAAGGCTACCCCAAGGCTATTTAAAGATAAATTTCATGGTCTTGGGTACCTATCATTTAAAATTTTTTTCTTAGAATAAAGTTATGACCCTTATTTCATCAAAAATACCTTCTATGAAATTGTGAACGAAAATCTTGTGTAGCGCATCCGGCGACCAAAAATGTAATTCATAAGATTCCAAGCAGTGTCGCTCCAAGACGCGATTGACGAGGTGTTTGGGGGCTATTTTACAAATCGAGACTGAAATATAACAGACCAAAGTTGACCGTTCACACGAATCTTTAATCTTGCAAGCAATCCACGAACCACAATCAACGATCAAAATCACGATCAAAATCACGATCATTCGATCGTAAACAAAAACAATAATGCAACGAAGTTCTATCAATCTCATAAAATGTTGCGAAATGCACAATCAAAAATCGCGTGTAAAAAGCTAGGCCTTAACGTCGGTAACAAGATTAAAATGATAAGAAACAAAACAAATAAACCAATACAAAATACGTTAGAGTACAAAAATTACAAGAATTTGGTGGCTGGTTTACAGTCTATCGTTCTTATCTAAATGGTGGGCGTTCACTTGCATCTGAAACGATTTTGGCCTTTAAATCTCGATTCAACTGAAAATACGTCAATACAACAAAATATCTGTTTGTATACTTTCGCCCAATGCTGGAAAACTAAACTTAGAAAAACAAAGTTACAAAGTTACTCACATATCGGTCTCACCTGTGCCAAAGGTTTAAGAAACGAAAAGACGAAAGTTCACCAAGAGTGCTCAAAAACTTACGAAGAACTGATTATGGGGACGCTAAATTCGCTTTGAAATGCGTGTGGTGACGCTGAAAGGTTCGATTAAAAAACCGATAGAAATATAAACAAAAGATAAAATTCTGAAAATAATTAAACTATTCTGAAAATAATTAAACTAATCAATAATTAATTAAATGAAATTGAGCCTTCTGGCTAATGTACTTAACATTTTACAATATTTATATATCACCAGTAGGACAGAAGGGGTGCACAATGATACACAACCAATAAAAGAGAGAGTATTTTGTACCACGTAATACAAATAAACCAATTATATGGGATCCAAGATGGTGATTTGATGTAACGCCATATAATTGGAAAAGATGCTTTCTCTGACTGGTTGGTAAGCAGATGAAAATGTTATAAGTTATGATAAAAAACATCACAATAAAAGATGTACTTGCTCCCAAAAGACGAGAACGTAAGGGTATTTAAGATAATGTAAGAATTAGCTTATTGATAGAAATTTACAAATCAATATAACAGTTCTGAAGATCACAATGACGGTACGCTTGTAACATACATTGTCACCTTCACCCTGCGCCAAGAAATAATGGATATTACAGCGTGATCTTATCATGTTTTTGTTGAAGAAACAAAATTTAAAGAACTGAAAAAAAATGCAGTCGTATGGAATCAGTGGGATCTGTTACTTAGACTTAATTTATAATGTCTGCAATATACAGTTCTGTTGATCGTTATCAAGAGATAACAATAACAGCTGTAGGCGTGCTCGAACTTACAGTTCAAAACCCTCTATAACTACAAACCATTCATAAATCCGTCGAGACATGACTAAGAATGACAAGGAACTTTCAAAAATGATCAAAATGTATATTTTTATGTATATGTTAGTTTATATATATTTTTCACGATAGCTTGACTCTGACAAAAAAAATTACTCTTCTCGATAATGCTTTAACTAGCCAAAATATGAAATCAATAGTATTAAAACAATTCTAAACATCAGTTGCATCAGGCTTGAAGTATCATCATCTCAACATGCCCAAAATATGCTCAGTTTTATTCCCGATCGCTCTGGCCTGATTTGTTTCATTTCATCCTATAATTTGGAAATTTAATAATCATTTGGTTCGAAATGGTTGCGAAGTTAAACAATGATTCTTCGATGGGCCGATACGATAACATGTGTGTGATCCCACGAAAATTGCTTCAAAAGATGCTAAATTACATATGGTGATTATATTTTCAGACATGAAAGGTTATCACGGCCAATTGCCATACCAGATTCGAATCTAAATTCTGTACCCCTGCAGCGCTGGAGGACAAAAAAGTAGTTTTACGTCCACAGTATCATGAATATTTTATCGGTTTAATACGGTCGAATTATGGGAGTAGTACTCAATTCGGAAGATTCATTACGCGCAGGAAGAAAACGAACGCATTCATGACTGTAAATAGATGAAAATCATGTACGTAAACTGCGGTTGAAGAGACGAATGAGGAAGCGATCCTCGCAGTTACGAACACTAGTTAAGTGGTAGTGAAAATAAGATCTAAAAAATATTCAGGCCCGTACGGGATTTCAACCCATGACCACTGCAATACCGGTACAGCGCTCTACGGTAACGCAGAGGTTATGGGTTCAAATCCCGTAAGGACCTAAATTTTTTGCAGGCCTTATTTTCACTACCACTAAAATAGCGCTCATAACTGCTAGGATCGCTTTCATATTAATTACACATACAACTAATGCCAGCCGCTGTGGTAGTAATTTCAATAATTTGGGATGCTCGGCAGAGCGTAAAACAATGTCAATAGGTTTTTATGTTTGTGGAGTCAGTTTCGAATATCAAAATCAAAACTAAAGTAATGAGAACGGCCCACTCCAGATCAAAGAGTGCTCAGAGTACAATAAACAGGCCCACACGCAGGAAAGCGCGGGCGACCATACGAGTGGCTTGTGTTTTGCAACTGATTAGTTGAGAGAAAGGCGTTAGTCACTGTCGAAATTTTCTGGACCAATCGCAGAGCGAAGCAATTTGTAAAGAAACAAAAAGCAGCGGCGGTATTTATTGCTAATTTTAACTTACAGTGTCGCTGTTTTCATATCAAACTCATGGGGTGCAAATAGTCTTAAAATGAATGTAGTGACCACGCCCACTTCCTTCATATCTGCCTTCCTCCTTTTGATTTTTTCCTGTTTTTTAAGCGTGAAAGCAGTAGGAGAGGGATCGGGAAACTCAGAAAGCGCTTCGGGAATCAGTCTGCCATCGTTTACTTACAAGATAAACAACACGCCGGGCTGGTGAGCGCTCTGAAGCGGAACAATCAGCGTCCACAAATATGGCGTTTGTGACCGTGTGGTTTTTAGAGAAGCCTGGAACTGAGTTAACGCCTGTTGAAAACTGCCTCCGAGCGGTCCTGGAGTTAGTCCGAAGGCGCCAAAACTCGAATGTGCTGAAAGTACACAGTTTTCCCGTCATTTTGATACTAAATATGCCATGGTTTCTTCGATGTTCGCTTAGCCAGAGACAGTAGAGGAAATAGTAAAAGAAAAGGTAAGGTTTATTTGTCGTTTCTATCGTATTTTTGGCTAGGATAGTTTTTTAAGTTTCTCTACTTATCCGAGAATTTGTGCTACGAACCGAAACTTCAAAGCCTTGACAAAAGCTCTATGATTTTTGTTTTCCTAATTTTGCCTTCTTTCCTTAGTTTTTTATGAGTTAATTTCTAGGATGCCGCACACAAAGAACACGCGCTTTAACTTGGCTCAATTCATGAAAGCTCGCAAGGTTGCAAGGGAGAAAGCTGTTGATGAAAATCGCAAGCTATCGGCAGAGTACAAAAAAGTCCAGCGAGCCCAAGAAAAGGTGAGATAAATTTGTCCAGTATTAATGTTTTGGGAAGATTTTTATTTTCAATATCAGAGAATATTGTAACAAAGGATTATAGGAAAGTGGTGGAGGTCCATGTGTAGGGAGGCTTGAATTTCAATTTTGACAGGGTAAAAGCTTTTTATGTGTTTAAACTCTAAATGACACTTGAAATTAAACAATCAGTGCTTATGAAATCACTTGTATAATAATTGCTTTCAGTTGGCCACAGTCAGGGAACACTTCAAAGACATAACAAATGAATTAGAAAATATTCCTGTGAGTATACTCTTGATTCTTTATTGTGGTTGTTTTACCAGTACCAGTAAGTATGCAGCAAAAAACTGCTGGGCGCAACCTCCAACTAAGTCTGTAGGTTTGCATTGATTAGTGGTTGGATGAGGTTTAATTTTATGCCAAATTTTATTAATAATGTGAACAGAAAAATATTCAATTTTGTAAAAATAAAAAAAAATATTTTGCAAGTTCAATTTCGGTGAACTAACCACTTAACACAGAGCCAGTGCCAGAATGACAGCCATGGTCAGGCTTCTATGCTGGTACCTATGCAAGAAACCTGAGCGAGTGCCTGTGTTCATTTGGTCAGTAAAGACTGTCATAAATGACAGTGTCTCTAAATTGTAAACATCAACATATTGAATGTAAGATTTGGCTAAATATCTATTTTGTTATCATCCAACCACATCTAATTTAAATAATTGTGTTACTACCCAGTGTCTAATTTAGCAATATTTTAGTCACAGGGACAGGTATCTCAGGCACGAACAAGAAGCCCTACTGCACTTGTCAATGGAGAATCAACACTGGGACCAAGGACCACAAGAAAAAGGAGGCATGAAACCATTGAAGCTGCTGCCAAAATTCATGGGAGCTCAAATGAACATTCCTCAGCCTGTTTCAAGGGAATGTTTGACACTCTGCAAAAGAGATGCAAGTTAGATAAGTTAACAAAATATGTGACAGAGAACAAGCAGTTGACCAATAGAATAGTTTGTAAAGAGTATAAGAAGAGTGTGTTAGAATTTGAAAAGTCAGATGACAACATTGTTCGAAGTATTGCAACATATTATGCAAGTGGTGTAATGGGGAAACGAAAGTACAAAAGTGTAAGACTGGTGCTTTCAATGAAATCAAATGAAGGCAAACCAGGGAAAAGAACAAGTATTTCAATTTGTAAAGGCTGTAAGGTTCCAAAGCTTCTAACTTATAGTAACCTTGTAGAACAGTTAAAAAAGATTGACATTGGGACTGTTCATGAAATTGACCCAGACTATCTAGAGGGCTTAGAAACTGAAAACCAAGTCAATGGTGCATATAGAGACTTGAGACAATACCCACCACTTGCTGTGTCCTCTTAATAAATGTGATGGTGAAAGGCGTTTCAGAAGTTATGGAAACTTTTGAAGTTCCTTTTCTTGTTCCTTTACTCTGCTTAATAAGGAATTCTCGGACTGAGTCTCTGCTTAGCTCAGATAACTGGGCAAAATCTCGAATCAGTCTGTTCTCTCTGTTATAGTAGATTATATCTGTGTGTTTTTCTTCGTTGTGTACAACACCATAAGCGGAACGGGCCTTTTTAACCATCTGTAAAATTAAGGAAAATATTTCCGAGGACATCGCCCTTTTAAACTCTACAGTCCAAGCGCTTCGGGCCTTCATTCTTCGACTGAGGCGCCTATGGAGCATCTTAAGCCACATCTTCACTTCTCCTTCCAGGAGTGCTGTCGCTGGAATTTGTGACATTTTAGCTCGTTTCAAAGAGCTTTGGCCCACACGGTTTTTTTCAAAAATTGAAGTGAGAGCTGTTTTTACTTCTTCTTCAAACAAAAAGAAATTATCGACTTCATCACGTAAAGGACGAAGAGCCACAATAGCATTCAAAATGCTATTTTCAGCCGCCATTTTGAAAACTGCTGTGTACTTTTATTCGCATTTCCGCTGTACAATCTCAAACAACAGCGGGCGACAAAGTTCCACTTCACGGCACGCGCCAGCCCGGCGTGTGCAAGTAAGATTTGTGAAGTAAATGGTTTGAACCCAGGAGTATCAGTAGTTTGTGTAGTGTGATCGTCCGGGTGTGTGTAGTTCTGAAAAGAACTGTTGTTGGTGACTGACGTTTCGACTATCTGTGCGATAGTCATCTTCAGAGTCAAGTGAGGAGTAGTTGTCAGTCGATGATGTTATAAGGTCTGGTCTGTTGAACGTGATTGGTCTGTTTAGCCGTGATGTGATTGGCTGGAAGACTCGTGTAGAGTTGTTAACAGTCATTGGTCGGTTTCGATCCGTCTGTTGTTTGTCGGTTTGTTCACGTCGTTAATGAGTCGTTTGTAAGGTGCTGGTAATTGTTGACATCTGTTGAGAGGCGTCTGTTCTAAGTTAGTGAACCAGCTTTCCAGAGTCAGTCGTTGAAAATAGTTTGTACTGTAGGTTAAGCATTTAGCAGAGTCCCAGTCGATTCTGTGATTAGTTTGTCGGTGATGTTCAGAAATGTGATTGTTTGCATCGCCATTTCTAGTTGCTCGTTTGTGTTCAGTTAGTCGCGTGTTAAGGTTTCTACCAGTCTCACCAATGTAGGAGGCCTGGCAGTCGGAGCATTCGATCTTATAAATCGCTCCCTGTCTGTTGTTGGGTTCGTCTTTGTCTTTAACGTTGGTCAGCAAATGTCGTAAAGTAGTAATAGGCCTGTGAGCTACGCGAATGTTGTAAGGTTGTAGGATCCGCGCGATAGCCTCAGAAGTGCCTTTGATGTAGGGTATAGCAGCTGTAGTCGTGATAGATGTGGAGTCCCTGTTAGTTTCTGTAGTGTCGGTAACTCTGTGAGTGTTTCGTCTAATGAAGTCAGTGTTGTAGTTGTTTTTGTCAAAAACGCGGTCAAGGTACTTGTTTTCGTCAGATAAACTGTCCGGTGTGTTGCAAACAAGTTGCGCTCGTCTTGTCAATGTCTTGATAGTCGTAGCTTTGTGGGAAGTCGGGTTGTAGGATGATTCGTCAAGAAGTCTGTCGGTATGCGTCGGTTTTCTGTATATTGTTGTTCGTAGTTCGTTGTTGTTTCGGCTTACCAAACAGTCGAGAAAAGGAAGCTTGCCGTCTTCTTCGATCTCCCTGGTAAACTGAATGTCGGTGTTTTGTTCGTTAAGGTGATTGTGAAAAGCGTCAATTTCGTCTTTGTGTACGGCGGTAAATGTGTCGTCAACGTAGCGTAACCAAAGCGGTATGGTTTGTCGGCAAGTTGCAAGGGCGCGTTCCTCGATGTTTTGCATCACAATTTCTGCGACAACAACGGAGACCGGCGACCCCATAGCTGTTCCGTGCAACTGCTTGTAGTGTTTCCCGTTGTACTGAAAGTAAGTCGATGTAAGGCAGAGGTTAAGTAGGTCCATAATGTCTTCTGTCGGTAATGGTAGTGCATCAGTAGACTGTTGGATGGCGGTTTCAGTACACTGTAGAGCCAATTGAAGTGGAATACTGGTGAACAGTGATTTCACATCAAAAGACACAAGTTTGTAGTCGTCAGGTATCTGTACGTCTTTGATAGCGTCAATAAAGTTCTCAGTTGATTGTAGTTTACGTCTCGATTTGTCAGTCAGTGGTTGCAGTATCGTCGTAAGGTATTTCGACAGTTGGTACGTCGGGGACCCACAGAATGAGACTATAGGTCGCATAGGTATCCCAGGTTTGTGTAGTTTCGGTAGTCCGTAAAGTTTAGGTGGTTGTGGTACAGAGCACCTCAGCCGGTAGTAGCGTTGAGTGTCAAAGGCTTTAGTCTTTTTGAGCGTAAGTAGTTTGTTGTTGAGTTTGCGTTGTAGTGCTGGCGTCGGGTCACGTTTAAGTAATTCGTAAGTTTGTTTGTCGTTAACAAGTGCGTCCATTTTGTCATGGTAGTCAGTCTTGTCCATAACAACAGTAACACGTCCTTTGTCGGCTGGGTTCAAACCATTTACTTTACTACGTTCACTTGGACGACAGAGCGAACGACTTGCGAACAACTACATCAGTTACGCAATGATTGTCAGACGAATACGACAACAACTCTGGTTCAACCACCGCTGCAAAGACCTTGGTCTCGTTCCGGCCGGACTTCGACTTAGGTCCCCGTTGAACACACAAGAGGCCATCCAGATCGTCAAATCCACCTGCCGACGACTGGTCAAAGCGCGGATTAACGACTGTCACAGAAGACTCAACCACTACAATAACAAATTACAACAACTACTTGACAAACTGAAACAGCAGTTACCGACTACCTTACTCGACACAGTCACAGCTATTGCCGACAGAAGAGCCGACAAAACGAGTTACCAAGCTCGTGACAAACATCAACAAAAACTGACGCGACTTCAACATAACAAAGACAAAAGACGACAAAGAACCGACGACAACTGGGTCAGGAACATCTCTTCCCGTCCCTTAGACAAGACTGAGACTCAAGTACTATCTTACGGACTGAAACACTCAGTGACGCCTAAACGTATACCGACCGAGTCTATTGTATCTAGTGTTGAGGCGGCTCTTTCTCGTCAACGAGACTTATCAGAACCTGCCAAGGACAACATCAGAAGTAGAATTGCTTCCACGATACAATCAGCCTCTATAACTGATAGCAACTTAACCAAAGACGAACAACAAGCACTGAAACGACTGAAAAACGACAAGAACATTGTTATACTACCAGCCGACAAAGGACGTGTTACTGTTGTTATGGACAAGACTGACTACCATGACAAAATGGACGCACTTGTTAACGACAAACAAACTTACGAATTACTTAAACGTGACCCGACGCCAGCACTACAACGCAAACTCAACAACAAACTACTTACGCTCAAAAAGACTAAAGCCTTTGACACTCAACGCTACTACCGGCTGAGGTGCTCTGTACCACAACCACCTAAACTTTACGGACTACCGAAACTACACAAACCTGGGATACCTATGCGACCTATAGTCTCATTCTGTGGGTCCCCGACGTACCAACTGTCGAAATACCTTACGACGATACTGCAACCACTGACTGACAAATCGAGACGTAAACTACAATCAACTGAGAACTTTATTGACGCTATCAAAGACGTACAGATACCTGACGACTACAAACTTGTGTCTTTTGATGTGAAATCACTGTTCACCAGTATTCCACTTCAATTGGCTCTACAGTGTACTGAAACCGCCATCCAACAGTCTACTGATGCACTACCATTACCGACAGAAGACATTATGGACCTACTTAACCTCTGCCTTACATCGACTTACTTTCAGTACAACGGGAAACACTACAAGCAGTTGCACGGAACAGCTATGGGGTCGCCGGTCCCCGTTGTTGTCGCAGAAATTGTGATGCAAAACATCGAGGAACGCGCCCTTGCAACTTGCCGACAAACCATACCGCTTTGGTTACGCTACGTTGACGACACATTTACCGCCGTACACAAAGACGAAATTGACGCTTTTCACAATCACCTTAACGAACAAAACACCGACATTCAGTTTACCAGGGAGATCGAAGAAGACGGCAAGCTTCCTTTTCTCGACTGTTTGGTAAGCCGAAACAACAACGAACTACGAACAACAATATACAGAAAACCGACGCATACCGACAGACTTCTTGACGAATCATCCTACAACCCGACTTCCCACAAAGCTACGACTATCAAGACATTGACAAGACGAGCGCAACTTGTTTGCAACACACCGGACAGTTTATCTGACGAAAACAAGTACCTTGACCGCGTTTTTGACAAAAACAACTACAACACTGACTTCATTAGACGAAACACTCACAGAGTTACCGACACTACAGAAACTAACAGGGACTCCACATCTATCACGACTACAGCTGCTATACCCTACATCAAAGGCACTTCTGAGGCTATCGCGCGGATCCTACAACCTTACAACATTCGCGTAGCTCACAGGCCTATTACTACTTTACGACATTTGCTGACCAACGTTAAAGACAAAGACGAACCCAACAACAGACAGGGAGCGATTTATAAGATCGAATGCTCCGACTGCCAGGCCTCCTACATTGGTGAGACTGGTAGAAACCTTAACACGCGACTAACTGAACACAAACGAGCAACTAGAAATGGCGATGCAAACAATCACATTTCTGAACATCACCGACAAACTAATCACAGAATCGACTGGGACTCTGCTAAATGCTTAACCTACAGTACAAACTATTTTCAACGACTGACTCTGGAAAGCTGGTTCACTAACTTAGAACAGACGCCTCTCAACAGATGTCAACAATTACCAGCACCTTACAAACGACTCATTAACGACGTGAACAAACCGACAAACAACAGACGGATCGAAACCGACCAATGACTGTTAACAACTCTACACGAGTCTTCCAGCCAATCACATCACGGCTAAACAGACCAATCACGTTCAACAGACCAGACCTTATAACATCATCGACTGACAACTACTCCTCACTTGACTCTGAAGATGACTATCGCACAGATAGTCGAAACGTCAGTCACCAACAACAGTTCTTTTCAGAACTACACACACCCGGACGATCACACTACACAAACCAAGATTTGTGAAGTTCGTTGAAGTACGAAGTCTAAATAAATGCCTTTTTTAAGCTTGTTTGCTGGATTTTTCGTAAACATCCTTGATTAGCTTTTCATTTCAGCTTACTAATCTATAATATTTTTCCAAGCAATGTAAAGACGAAAACGGAGAACCATGAGTCGGTCCTTTCAACAATCGTAAACAAAGTGTTTGAGCAATCAGGTATACGAGGTGTAATAATCAATAGCCGCACATTAGAAGTCTTCAGAAAGAAAGTATTCTGTCTTCAGAAGGCTGTCAAGAAAGCTAGTGATGGTGGCGGAAGGCAGTTAAATGTGCTTCTTAGCAAGTTGGAAACTTGCTAAGAATCGCTTTGTTTTTTTCTTTCTTTGGCTTGTCCGCCATTTTGAAAATTCGTAACGGAGAGCATGCGCATTACGTGGGGTTAGTGGTTGCGTACACCTGGAACCGAGAAAAACAAATGTTCGTCGCACTGGGGAAAGAGTTTGATATGTTTCTTCCCTTTTTTTCCCGCGCACATTACGCCTTCCAATTTAATTAAATAAGAAAACTCTTTATGCACGGATTTGAGAACGATTCTTAAATTGGATTATACAACATGTAGTGTAAGATAATGTTAGTTTAGATGATAATTATTTCCTCGCGCATCGCATTCTTTCTTTCCCTTTTTTTCCTCTTTTTCTTTCTTTCTTTAATGTACCAATCCAGCTTATTGATAACCGATTTGGCATCTTTTAACGCCATTTGCTATGAATAACACGAAAAAACGTAGAAGAATAAGTACATTAAAGAATCGGTGTTTACAAACGAAACCTTGTCGAACAACATGCATAGTTCTAACGAAGGCTTTATTTAGATTATTTTTTTTTTAAAAGAAAATAAATCATTATTTTCCCTTAGCCTATATCATAGGCTAAAATAAAACAAATGAAACTGATGCCTTTGGGATAAATACTCTATATAGTTTTTGCATGTAGAGAAGCCATTTCCGAGGAATAACACGAAAAAACGTAGAAAAGTCAATACATTAAAGAATTTGCGTTCACAAGTGAAACCTTGTCGAACAATATGCGTAGTTCTAATGCCGACGGCTTTATTTTGATTTGTTTTATTTCAGTCAATACAGAGGAAAATAACTAATTACTTTTTCTTGACTTATATCGTAGGCTAAAATGAAGCAAATAAAACTGAAACCTTTCTGATAAATACTCTAGATAGTTTTTGCATGTAGAGAGATGATGATGCCTAGTACCTGATACAGATTACGTCGTAGCTGGTAGAGTATATTATGGTAAATGTGATGTAAAGTCGTTACCATTGCGACAAAGGTGAACTCATGTTATGATATTTCTTAATACTAATCAATAATAAAAATTATCAATTATTAATGATAATGATTTTGTGTCGAAGTCAAGTGAATGTGCGAAATATTCTCTAAACCTGAGAAGTATATTAAAGAGCGATTATCTCTGACAATTCCATGCCTTCTCAATCATGCTACGACTACCTTATAAAGATGCTTTATAAATTTCGTGCTCTAGATTGTTTTGCATATCTATGTACGTGGAGCTCGTGTCCAAGTGTCATTGTTATTCGTGCATTAATTTTTTTGACAGCTTCGCCTTTAGTCGAACAGAATAGAAATGTAAAGTCGAGACTTTTGATCTTGGTGTCAGCTTTCCTATGAGAGAAACTGTTGGAAAACATTTGAAACAATATTCGCGAAGTACTTTTTGTTAATTACGTTTCCACTGGTAAAGAATTATTAGCTTCAGAACAACTGCATTTTGCATGAGCGGAAGTCAGTCGCTGCTCAATATAGTGTATATATTTGAAAATAATTCAGTAACGTGAACTTCCTCAGTCCCATCAAAACTATTTAAACATAAAAACCCCTGTGCATGATTGTTCTCTATTATTGGAATTGGTCGAATTTTAGTGGGTCAGTTTTAATTGTTTTTCTTTATTTAGTTGTATTGACCCAGAAAAAGGATGCGTATTTGGAAAACGAATTCATTTTGCGCCACTGTAAGTACGTCAAAAATATATGCTAGAGTAAAAGTAACACAAGGCTCTAGCAAAACTATTTGTTGATAAATTTTATGGTCTTGGGTACTTATTGTTTGGAATGTTTTTCTTAGAATAAACTTATGATCCTTATTTCACAAAAAAATACTTTCCATGAAATTGCGAACGAAAATCTTGTAATATTTATGTATCATTTGTAGGATAGAAGGGGTGCACTATGATACACAACCAATCAAAGAGACAGTTTTTGTACCACGTGGTACAAATAAACCAATTATATGGGATCTAAGGTGGAAATTTGATATAACGCGTGGAATAAAATGCTTTCTCTGACTGGTTGGTAAGCAGGTGAAAATTTTATAAGTTATGATTAAAAAAAGATCATAATGAAAGATGTATTTGCTATCAAAAGACATGCACTTAAGGATATTAGAGATAAAGTAAGAAGTAGCTTATTGCCTGAAATTTACAAATCAATATAACAGTTCTGAAGATCACAATGACGGTAGACTTACAACATATATTGTTACCTTCACTCTGTACCAATAAATAATGAGGTAATGCAGTGCGATCTCGTCATGTTTTTGTACAAGAAACAAATAAAAGGAAATGAAAGAAAATACAGTCGTACGAAATTAGCAGTGATTTGTTGCTTAGGCTTAATGTCTGCAACATACAGTTCTGGTGATCGTTATCGAGAGATATCGACAACAGCTGTAGACGTGCTCGAACTTACAGTCCAGAACCCTCTATACCATTACAAACCACTCAAATCCGTCGATACACGACTAAGAATGACAAGGAACTTTCAAATATAATCAAAATGTATATGTTTATGTATATGTTGATTTGTATATATTCTTTTCACGATAGCTTGACTCTGACAAAAAAAAAAAAATTACACTTCTCGATAATGCTATGGAATTAAATTTTTTTTACGTGGCTTCAGTATACTTTTCCTATTCCATAAAAGGTTTACGTGAAGTGCAAAACTTTTAGGTGAAATTTCAAAGGTACGTACCATTCAATAAAGTTATGTCGTACTTTGCGTCTTTCGGTTTTCCTACCAAGTTGACATTTGACTAATATTTGCTTTACGGAGACAGGAGAAGTGTTTGCTTCTAGCCAAACGAAATTACGCTTAGCGACATTTGGGTCAATCGTTTTCCGATGAACTAATCAGAACGCTAGAAATGCAATAACCGGACCTCAAATGTAATGATAATTTCTAAATTAGTTCAAAACATCATCCCACCTAGGTACCGCTAACTACCCAAAATATAAAATCAATAGTATTAAAACAGACTACTAAACATAAGTTGCATCAGGTTCGAAGTATCATCATCTCAACATGACCAAAATATGCTCAGTTTTAATCCCGATGGCTCTGGCCTGATTTGTTTTATTTCATCCTATTATTTAGACGAAGTTTAATAATTAGTTGGTTCGAAATGGTTACGAAGTTAAACAATGATTCTTCAATGGGCCAATACTATAACATGTGTGTGATCCCACGAAAATTGTTTCAAAAGATGCTAAATTATATATGGTGATTATCTTTTCAGACATGTAAGGTTATCATAGCCAATTACCATACCAGACTCGAGTCTAAATTCTGTATGTATCCCTGCAGCGCTGGAGGACAAAAAAGTGTCTTTAAGTCCACAATATCATGAATATTTTATTGGTTTAATTTGTTCGAATTATTGGAATAGTACTCAATTCGTAAGACTCATTACGCGCAGGAAGAAAAAATGCATTTATGACTGTAAATATATGAAAACCATATACGTTACACAGTTACGAAGTAGTAGTGAAAATAAGACCTGAAAAATATCCAGGCCCGTACGGGATTTCAACCCATGACCACTGCAATACCGGCACAGCGCTCTACGGTAACGCAGAGGTCATGGGTTCAAATCCCGTACGGACTTAAATTATTTTCAGGCCTTATTTTCACTACAACTAAAATAGCGCTCATAACTGCTAGGATCGCTTTCATATTAATTACACATACAACTAATGCCAGCCGCTGTAGTAGTAATTTCAATAATTTGGGATGCTCGGCAGAGCGTAAAACAAAGAGAAGGAAGGAAGGCAATAAGTTTCTGTATCAAAGCAGTACATCAATAGCCCATTCCTTACGACACAACAAATATGACCACAAATGATTTGGATTCGGCTGTATACAGCTGTACCTCCAAAAGGTTTTTTATTGGCATGAGATTGAGAATTATTTATGAGTAAATTCAATAGTTCTACAAAATACACATCGAAAACAAATGGACTTTCGAAGAACAGGCTATACCTCACATCACCTACATGTAACGAAGGGTGACTGACGTGTCTCTGTTATTTTATATTTTCTGTAAACATTCTACTTATACATATAGCTATGACTTAAAAATGCTAGACGATGATCAGAAGACAAATCTTCACACTTGCAAATATTTCGTGATAGAAAAGCACACGTGCATCAGTTATTTTTTTAACAAAATGAAGTAAATTAGATCTTTGATGCTTCCCAGACCTCATCTCATGAGCCTGTAAATGTCGTTAAGATGGTTATGGTTTGTCATCGTGGTTTACACACTCTTTCTATTAAGTATAATGGTTTGTCTCTTCGCCTGAGGAAGACTATCAATATGCAGTCGTGAGGTAGCGATCCACCTTTTTTGAAGTTACTACGTCGAGAGATTTTATTTCTCATAGTAACTAATGACCCTTATCTCGCATTTTAGTTTAAATAGAAAACAAGGCTTTGTGTCTGGCATACTCTGTTTTATCTTCATTTAATTTGTGCATAACAGAAAGAAAATTTTTAAATGCCATCATTTTCGCACATATATTTCAACTCTTAAACAAGGAAAATTGTGGTAAGTGACGGGATAAAACCGAACGTATCTGGCCATGATGTCAGTAGTGAGGAAATGCTTTACAACGCTGTGTCGGTCTGAGTTTCCTGGGAAAACCTGGAAGAGGAAAAAATGTATACATCATAACGAGAAAATAATATAATTCGGCAACACATGATGCAAATTTAAAGGGAAATGTTTCATGGAAAGGTTGAAGTGAGGAAGACGATCTAACTTACATCAACGTTGGCCAGCAAACTTATGCTGCATTTAAAGTATCAAGGTAGACGGGGACCTATTTATGAATAATCTATGATAGAACTGTAGCCTTTCTTTTAAATCTTGTCGCAATAAAAAATTTGAGATAATTCCAAAACCTTAATAGTGAAAGACATACAAGCTTAAGAGCTGCTCAAAACTCTGGAATTAAACCACCTCGCTATTTCACTCTTTTCACGTCACTCCTCAGTTTATCACTGAGAGAGCATACTATCGGCAATTGCAGTTTATTTGGCTTCATTCAACATATTGGCAAAGATCTCCAAATCGTGATAGTTATCAGCAGATTATTGGGTCCATCTTTTTTTTTTTAATTAAAGTAAACTTTTACTTATGAATGCATTCTCTGATGGCTATTTTGTTTCTTCAACTTGGCAATGGTTTTGGCAGATTGCTCACAATACTTTTTGTCCCACCATTCGGTCAGTAATCGTACTTGTGAATAGCAACAAATCACACTCTTGCCTGCAGTGGTGGAATTTTGAAAGTCGCTTTTGTAACCCACTGAATTGGACTCTTTATGGTCCTATAATCATTAATGACAGTTGCCGATCAAACCTTTGCAGTGCTGGTTTCCTCGTAAGCGTTCCAGGTTACACCGTCTGCGGATAGTTGCAGTTTGTAGTTGGTAGTCCATTCATTGTTTATCTTTTCTCCTTGGGTGGCCACTGCACAAACAGACAGCATTGCACCCACATCGACTTGAAGATAGTCTGTTCTGTCAATTACAGTCCTGGGACACCATCCTCCATATCCCCTGTTTTCATGGAGTCGGCCATAGTACGGATAAAATCTTGTATCATAGACTGTGCTTGCTGTTATTCTGGCATCTGAGATTGCATTTCTGTCTGCCACACCAACAGGCCCACATTCTAGATAAAATTAAAATGAATTAGCGGTAAGGCTTATATTTACCTACATTTATTTCTTTGCTTCCCAATGTAGAACAATATGATTTAAATAGTGTGGACTTTGAGCGCGGATCGAGCTGCAATGGTTGAAAAACATGGTTTACAAACTTCACGTTGTGAGGCAAAGGGCGTTATCCCCTTTGTCTTGGCCTCCTTTTGATTCATTTACCAAGGAAGCACAATGGTCACCCCTTGGTGGATTGTACGTCCACCTATTTCGTAAATTCACAAATGTAAGACACCGTTGTAATGATATCTCAAAAAATGTGCAATTCGAATTATCTGTGGCCAATTGTATGTCTGTGGACTCATCTTTTATCATGGAGAAGAGTTTACATAAAATTCGTGAAAATTTCAGTTCTGAGGAAATCAATTGTAGCTGGTTTATTTCGGCATTTTTTCCCTTCCTAAGTTATAAATTTAAGACATTGCTGTGCCAATATATCAAAAAGCTAAACTTGTGGAGCTAATTGTAGGACGTACTTCCATGAAATTCGCTGTTGTTACGCGGGAACTACGTGACCATATTTCAGTTCGTAACAATTTAAAATGACGAAGCTATCCGCATTTGCTGGATTTAGGCAATTTCAAACTCAAGGTTGAGCTTTGTGAGCTCCAAAAAGTTATGTGATATATAATCTTCTACAAGGAGATCATGGTCGATCCCCTCAGAAGTCAGAAACTTTTCAACAAAAGAAAAACCTTTTTCACAATATTTTCCTGTCCAACCAGATGAGTTACACGCGCACGAGTAGTTGGTTTCACGGTTCACACACTTCGCGCCGTTTTGACATAGGTTCTTGACACAATAGTCTGCAACTAGTTAGAAAGAAGGCTAATTAAGAGAAGGCCTTTCATTAGCACGAAGACAAATATCCATGGAATATTTCTTGTACTAACCTTTTGTCTTCATGTCGCAACGAGCTAAAATAGAGTTCCCAGATCTTGTAGAATCCAGCCAATAATTACCGTTAACTGCCTGTCTTCCTTCACTCGCCTCGATCTCCTCGCACGATTCAGCAGGCAGCTCACGGATTGACCCTAGGGGAACTGAAATTAAAATATTAGTTTAGCTGGATAAAAATTAGAAAAACCAGTAGCTGGTAAAGCAAAATTCATAAACGTAACTACACCCTACTATTCTATATTTGCAAGTTCTATCACCTCGTTTTAGACCTTTTGCCATATAATATCTGTTCTCGTCCTTCACAAAGTCCTCTGGTCTGGCCTCTTTAGTCCGGTTGTTTAACTCACATATGGCAAGGAACATGAAATTAAAGCTTTGACATCTGTCATCAGCGAGACAAGCCTCTATGCATTCCAGAGTGCCTGGTGTAGTCTTGAACGTCTTATAGGTATGGCCCCTAAGCATCATTTGATAAATCGAGTATATTCCGTGACATTGCTGACTGGCAATGTCACGGAACACGAGAGAAATGAAAAACAGCGCGGTAAAAAATGAAGCCTGTCGACCAGCCATATGAAGCACATCAGAGCTGTGATACCTGCGAAGAAGAAGGCTAGTGTTTTCATGCCAAAGATGTTTGATTTAATTGGGAGGAGTGTTTAAAAATCTAAAAGGAGAATGGCAGGGCTGATGAAGTCCAAATGATAATAATGCCAACAAACAAATATCTAAGTAAAAACCTACTTAGTAAACTTGCGAGAGATTATCTTGCACAACATTAAGCTAGGACAGACTTACAGCTTCGAAATTTCGCAAAAAAAAAAATTATAATAATGATTATCAACCTGTCCAATACTTTTTTTTGAGAAATTCCCACCTGATTAGTCGAAGAAAACCGATTTTTGTTCACTTTAAAACCCGCCCCTCCACCCTCTGCGTTTGCAGTCTTTCTTGCTGGCGATCAGTTTGCGGGAAAGACGGGGAATTCTGTGAAAAATAAATTTTTTACTGTTTGTGGAAGAATTTAAGGAAAAATTATGAATCAAATAATCTTTCCCTCGATGAAAGAATATCCTCGTAACACACAGTTATTTAATGGTTCATTTTGTCCTTTTTTAAATCACCAGGTTCATCACTTTAGTCATTTGCTCAATTTCATCGTTTACAATTTCGGTGACGGGAAAATACTACTTTTAGTTTTCATTTGAAAAAAAAATGACAAACCGCGGAAACGTAATAGACCTACCCGGTTAAAAGTACACGTTGTTTCTTTAACTGACTCCGTTCAGTCAATTACCACTATTAAGGCGCCCGCTTTTATGTTACTTATGTTCCTTTTTCTAACACAGTCTGTTTTCGCTTTTTCTAAAACGGCAATTCTTAAAGTGAGGTTCGGAAAATGGATGTGCGTACCTGGTTAACAATGTCCGTTATTTCCTAAGCTGACTCTAATGAGTCTTCTTCTGAGGTGTGAAGCACTAACGCAGGTTGCCAACTAAAAATGAGATATTTATCCATGCCAAAATATAATAAGCTAATTGTAGTCTCTCTATTGAAACACCTGTTTACGTTTTTCGATAAGTACTACATTAGGGACCGGTTTTGCGCAACTACCCTTAACGGCCCATAAAGCTGTTCTGTATTTTTTCACTCAAAAGCTTTTAAAATTATACAACAAAACTATCAGCTTAAGCAATAAAATAAACTTTATGGAGTGCCAAGATGAGATTCTCTATTCTTTAAATTTTGATATTGATATCCGTGCCCTTGCTATTCACTCAAGATATTTTAAGCTGAAGTAGTTTCATTTTCCTGTTTGGATTTCACAACACAGCTCTGAGACCCGTTGGGATTCTCATGGTTTCTTTTAACCCCCTTGACCTGTTTGTTTTGAAGTTTCAGGCACAAAAAGCAAAAAATTAAGGTAAATTGGACTCATTTCTTCTTTTTTTATGGTAATCCTATATTTCTTTAGAATAATTCAGCTTATTAATAAACGATATGGCATCTTTAGAAGTCATTTCCTAGAAATAACACACACAACACAAAAAAAAAAACAAAAAAACAAAACAAAAAAAAGTGGAAGAACCAATACATTAAAGAATCGGTGTTTACAAATGAAACCTTGTCGAACAATATACGTAATTCTGATGACGGCTTTATTTTGGTTATTCTTATTTAAAAGAAAATATCTCATTATTTCCCCTTGGCCTATATCATAGGCTAACGTAAATCAAATGAAACAGAGGCCTTCGGGATAAATACTCTACATAGTTTTGGCATGTAGGGATAGCGATGATGCCTATTACTTGATACAGATTACGTTGTAGTTGGTGGAATATAATAAGGTAAATGTGATGCAAAGTCGTTACCATTGCGACACAAAGGTGAACTCATGTTATGATATCTCCTAATACTAATCAATAATAAAAATCATCGATTATTTCCTGACAAACGAGTGAATGTGCGAAAGATTCACTAAACCTGAGAAGTATATTAACGAGCGAATGTCTCTGAAAATTTCACGCCTTCTTAATCATGCTGCGACTACTTCATAAATATCCTTTACAACTTTCGTGCTCTAGATCGTTTAGCATATCTATGTCGGTGGAGCTCGCGTCCAGCTGTCATTGTCACCTACTCATTAGTCTTTTTAACAGCTTCACCTCTAGTTGAACAGAATATAAATATATCTTGTAAAGTCGAGCCTTTAGATCTTGGTGTCAGCTTTTCGATGAGAGAAACTGTTGGTAAATATTTAAAACGATAGTCCCGAGGGATTTTTTGAAATTACGTTTTCACAGGAAAAAAAATTTTAGCCTCAGAACTGCTGCATTTTAAATGAGCCGAAGTCAGTCGCTGCTTAATAGAGTGTATGTATTTGAAAATAATTCAGTAATGTGAAACTTCCGCAGTCCCATCAAAAGTATTTAAACATAAAAACCCCCGTGCAGGCTTGTTCTCTACTATCGGAAGTAGTCGAATTTCCGTTGGTCAGTTTTAATTCTTTTCATTGTGTAGTTATATTAACCCACAAAAAGAATGCGTATTTGGAAAACAAATTCATTTTGCGTCACGTAAGTACGTCAAAAATATATGCTAGAATAAAAGTTAGTAACACAAGGCTCCCCCAAAACTATTTAAGGATAAATTTCATGGTCTTGGGCCTAGTTTTCGGAATTTTTTTCCTGGAATAAACTTATGCTCCTTATTTCACAAAAAAAAAAAAACACCTTCTATGAAATTGTGAACGAAAATCTTTCAATATTTATGTATCATTAGTAGGACAGAAGGGGTGCACTATGATACACAACCAATCAAAGAAAGGGTATTTTGTAACAATAATTAGTTGGTTAGAATTGGTCGAAAATTTGAACAATGATTTTTCGATGGGCCAATACGATAGCATGTGTGTGATCCTACGAAAATTATTTCAGAAGATGCTAAATTATATATTGTGGTTATATTTTGAGACATGTAAGGTCATCATGGCCAATTATCATACCTTCAGCGCCGAAGGAGAAAAAGTGTTTTTACTGCATGTATCATGAATATTTTGTTGGTTTTAAACATACGCATACATGACTGTAAATATATAAAAAACATATAATTATGTGAGCTAAATTTTAAGAAAGGGATATGGAAGCGATCCTCGCAGTTATGAACACTACTTAAGTGGTAGTGAATATAAGGCCTGTAAAAAATTCAGGCCCGTACGGGATTTGATAACTCATGAACTCTGCGATACCGTAAAGCGCTGCACTGGTATCGCAGAGGTCATGGGTTCAAATCCCGTACGGGTCTGAATTTTTTTCAGGCCTTATTTTCACTGCCACTGAAGTAGAGTTCATAAGTGCGAGTATCATTTCCATATTACATACGCATACAGTTAATGCAAAACGCTGTAGTAGTAGTTGTAATTATTTGGGATGCCCGGTAGAGCGTGAAACAACCCAATTGGTTGTTATGCTTGTGGAATCAGTTTCACTTTTGTGACAAATAACAAATGTCTAAGTTGTGTGATCCAACATGACAAGACATTACTGTTTTGTTTCGTTTCTTTGGAAAATTGTCTGATCAGTTAACCCAACTGCATTGCCTTTGGATATCTCTGACTTTTCATAACCAGATTCATACAATTGTTACAAAATTTCACTGTAAAAGTTGATCATTAAAGGAAGTCTTTCATTTATTTTTCAATGTATCTGTTCACTTGTTGTTTTTTTTTTTTGATAAAGTGCCTCCCTTTATAAAAGATCTTATGTGATAGTGTTATCTTGTACTATACTCAAATGCTATGAATATAGAGTTTCATGGTCAATGCAATGGTCACGCACATTTTGAATCTACTCGAATCAACGTTCACACTTTTTCAATCTAATTAAATCTTCCATAACCCGTAATAAGGAAGAAAAGGGAGTGATATTTTCTTTCTTTGCAAAGGAACAAGCTGTGCAACATTAGGAATACCTAGATGGAAACGAATGCGGACCCTATTCTGATAACTGTTGGAGGAATGAAAAATCTACCTTACCGGGGTTGGGGTGAGGGGGGCATTGTCAGAATATCAGTGATCGCCGATCAGGTTTTGTATCAAACTTGCCGGTTGTTTTCCATCCAAGCTGCTGTGGTTTGACTAGAATTTCAAAAAAAGGCGTAATAACACAAAAAGATTAAAGGGGTTGAATTCCTGTAGTTTATTGCAACTTTGACTTTAAAAAATCAAATATGAGAGAGGTACGACGAGCTCTTTGGTGGATTCAGATATCAATATAAAAAATATATATTTATTTATTTAAGGTTTACATTACTGTTTTGTGTCGTTTCTTTGGAAAATTGGCTAATCTATTAACACAACTGCATTACCTCTGGATATCTCTGACAAGGGATAGAGTTTTCCCTGCTTGATTTTCTTGTGATATATACCTGGATATCGTAAAATTCCCCGAATATTCTTGACAAATTGGCAAAGTAAAAATAATAATACATGTACCGAGAAAATGAGATTACAAATCGATGAAAATCACATTAATTGGTTTTCTAAGCTTCCTTGTCCGAGAGATTGAGGAATGTGCGCTTTTCGTCAAGTCAAAGTCATATCTTCATATAACCCCTGTGTAAGGTTCTGATTGGTCTCGGCTTCTCAGTAATGGTTCATTCTCGCCAGATTCTGGGCTTTCATCTTGTTCTTCATCAGATGCTTGATCCTCCTGTAGAATAATAGAGCGCTTTACGATCGAATATCGTAAAATCAAAACCAAAGTAATCACAAAGGCCCATTTTAGCCCTAAAGACCAAAGAGTACCAGAGTACGACAAAAAGGCCCACACGCGGGAAAACGCGGGCGACCATGCAATTGGTTTGTGTTTTGCATCTGACTGGTTGAGAGAATATCGTGAGTTTTCTGCACCAATCAAAGAGCGAAGCAAAGTAAGGTCTCCTAACAACCGAATACTCAAAATCTCTCCGAGCGGGGAGCTAAGATCGACGATCCCTGCGCATTAATTACAGAGTAATTCAGAATTATTTTGAAATTCTTAAGGTAACAAGGATTTCATGAGATAACCGATAGTGATTCCTTCTTGTTATTGTCCCTTGAAACAAAGTATTACCATAACTCCTTTAATCGAAATAATCGTTCTTTTCTTGTTACCTGTGGAGACTCAGGCTTGGGCATCAATGGAGGAATAATCAATAGCTCATTATAAAGAGCTGTACCGAGCATCAAAAAGAGGAATCCATCAACTACAAAAAAAAGAACCATTTTCAAAGAAAAAACAATCAATATGTTGTATTGGCACAATCCTCAGTTTGCAGCAAAGTATTGCAAAAACAATCGGAAAAAGCCCTTTATTAGTCTTAAACACATCGTTTTATTTCGAGTACCAAACATGTTAAAGTTTCGACATTTCGGGCAATTTGATGGTTCAGAAAACAGTTTCTTCTTTATAATAAGACCTTATGTTGTTAGGGGGCTGGAGAAACTCCAAGAAAGTAATAGTAAACAAGAATGAAGCGAGAATGGTGGAGAATTGAGGAGATTTACACGGACAAATGACTGAATCTTTCTCAAGACACACAAAATGTGGTATAACAGAAACCCTATTTTTACCTTGAAAGATACCATATCTTTTGTCCCAAGCCTCGCCAAAACTCTAGAAAAAAATAAATAAATAAAATAAAACGCAAATTAGTCAAATTTTGAAACAAAACTTTGTCGGCAAAAGGATACCTAAAAAAGAAATTAAAGTAAGGTCTTTTATTGAGAGGAAATAGTTTGCACGATCCAGCATCACTTGGCAGATTTCCCAAATGAAATAGACTTGCCTGAATTTCACTCTAAGCGGTCGAGGGTAGGCTATGTAGGAAAAAATTCTTTCATAGTAAGAAATACGCAGAGGGGATATAAAATAACACAGAAGAAAAAGGGATATGTAAAATTACATGTACCTACTGCAACATGAATCAAACATCATTCACGCCTAAAACATGTTATATAACCCAGTTCTTGGAAATATAGGACAAAAGTCACAAGGTATTCATATTTGGTGTAATCTGATCACCTCATCAAAAACATAGTGAATGAAGAGGTCCACAAGCCAGACCACAATAGTTCTGCATGCATCTATTAATGTCCTGTGAACCGCTAAAAAAAATAAATACGTTATTAATGCGTTCACAAAAAGAGGGGCTTTGCTGAGAATTTTTAACACATGAAACTCCTTTAAGATATTTCTCTTTACTAAGGCTTAACTTCCTTTCCTATTCGTGTGTTCATTTGGAATGTACCACACAGGTGAATGATGCTTTATAAGAGCGCTGATTGGCTAGTTCGGAAGGGATTAACTATTCTCCTCCCGCAGCGGGCGAACTGAGACAAAATGGCGCGTCAGCGTCGGTGAAAGGGGTGGATATATTCATCACTATACATCACTTCAGTGAATAACTGTTGTATAGTTTATTATAAATAAGGAAATATTTTAAAATTTTTACCTGTTAGAGACTTTGTGACTGACAGTCCAAAGAAATTGTAAAATGAAATAGAGCAGATGTATAAGACTGCAAAAGACAAGATTCAGAAATAGCTGTCAAATGCATATACACTGATATGCAGCGCATAGACCTCTTTCATAAATGGCGAGCGCAATTGCTATTCTTTTATATTCATGTTATACTTGACAACATGTCTAACAAACAATTATTTGCATGCACATGACCGCCACTATAAAAGAGATTTATCTTTTAAACTTAACAACAATTTACAACAAACTTCCTGACATTTTCATTCTAGTATGAAGTGAACATAGCCTTGCTACTGATCCTAAATGGGAACTTTGTCCATCACATAAGAACTCCTTCCCATGATAGAAGACTAAGCTATCATTTAGTTTCAGAGTACCATGATAACTATATAGTGTTCACATTGAGTGTCTTAAACAAAAACTGGTCACCACAACAGCCAATCAAGGTGACGCAAAATATCACACGAAACATTGCTTTGTGATTAAACGCGTGTTCAAATAGTGATCATTTTTTTCTTGGCATCTGATTGGTTAAGAGGCACGGTAGCGTGAGTTTTCTAGAAACAATCAAAGAGTCAAGGAAAATCTAAACAAACTTGGATTACTTTTGACACTCGGTTGAAAATGACTCAAAGGGCCCGTTTCTCGAAGGTATGACTGAAAGGGCAAGTACGTTCTTTAGATATCCTGACACTTGAGCAAACCAGAACGAATGCCGTACCCAAAAGAATTACATTCAGACAGAGGACTTTTCATACCTGACATTATCAACAATTTAGCATTATTCTTGATCATCAGCAGTGCATCAAGGCTGTTTTCATAGCTGTGGTGATTTTGTTCTCCTGGAATATAATACAGCACAGGAAGGACTATCTGTAACAAGAACAAGAGAAGAACATAATGGCAAATAGACTATTAAACGCCTCTGACTTTTTCAAAGGTGGGTATAATTTTTTAGCTCCAACAGATGCATGGGAAAAGAGCGATGATAAAAAAAAATAATAATAAAAAAATAAATAAATAAAAAATTGGTTTGTGGAGGATACTGCTATTTTGGAGGTAAAAATTGCTTGTTAAGTAAAGCGGTCTGACTTGTTCCGCAAGGATTTAGCATTCTTTTAATATGTTCCAACGTACAGAGAGTTTTCATTTCCATTTGCGTGATGGGGCTTTATAAAAACAGCAACTAAAAGAGAATAGATAGTTGTTTCACTTCATTCCCCAAGGAAGTTTGCCGGTAAACCCCGCCTAACAAACGAGAGTCGTTTAACACAATGACTTACATTAGTCCAGTATGATGCTCAGAAATAAAATAAAAACGGTAAGCTTACAATAGAAGAGAAAAAATATGGAATGAAATTTGATATAAGCAACGCAATTTGTCACACTTACAATAGCCATGAAAATGACTCCAAAGAAGCCTTCCATTCCAACCACCTTTATCAAACAGAAACGAAGAACTAATTATTGTTTTGGCAGAAGACTTCACCAGAGCATGTAACCTTTCTGTACCTAGCATGTTTCAGTAACTTCATATCATTCAAAACATTGTTCCATTCATTCCTTGAATGGGCAGTTCTAAAAGCTTTTTTTTAACTCCACAATAACTAAAATTATTTATGAAATAACATGTGCTTGGTAATCAAAAATTAATTTTGCTCTCGCATTCACTTGTAGCTAGAACCAAATCAGTTTACCTAAATCAGTTTACCTACTTTCGACAGTTGCGTTTCGTTCCCCTTAAGCAACAAATAAGACAGGAATACTTTTGAGGCCAATAAAATTGTTTCATTTGTTGATGACTTGGATAACGATTTACGTAGTGGCTCAATATCATATCTCGTTCTTATGTTTTCTTTTGTGAATCCTACAAAGTTAACCTGCAAAGGATGGAAGTTCTTTTTCTTCAGGAATAATTCTTCTACTATCATTTGGGTAGCGCTGACACTTTGACCCGCCAAGATCAAAACAATTCCTGTTCAAAAAAAGTAACTTAGTTAAAAAAAGACAAAACAAACAAAAAAATTTATATATATAAATATATATATACGTTCCACGTGAGTAAAGTATCTATAGTCAAGACTTGGTTAAACTGGCCAGCTTGAAGTAGAGAAATGAATGCCTAAGAAATACCCTCTGGCTCCGTGCACAACTGGTCACTTAACATAGAATATTTGATTTTTGAAAACCAACACACAATGGTAACAGCAACTGTCATGGAATCTTCAACACTCCTGATAGCTTCTCCAACAAAAAAAAAAAAAAAAAGAAAACAGGATAACCTTTGGCTGGATGGAACAAACATGATCTTTTTTTACAGATGTACTTTTTGGTACAGTGCAATGAATCTATAGTTGATTGTGCAATGTAAGATTGTGCATCATTTTATTACCAAAGACAACTTGTCCCTGAGAGGCTCCTTGGTGGTTGTCCCTGAGAACACTTGATAATCCAACAAGTACTAAACCAAGCTGCCAATTCCAAAATAAACAAATAACCCTACAACTTATACAAAGATTCCATATAACCATCTACCATATAATTTTGTAACCAAAGGTTTGAAAGAAATCTACACCTCTTATTCTAAACTAACTTTTGTCAGTATTTTGTGTGCAACAATACCAGTTCACTTCTAGGTGCAACAATGATGAACAAGTCAGGCACTCCTTGCAAAGGCACATAGGTGGACCCTTGGTGAAGCCAAACCTTTTTTGTTTCAGTTATGTTACAGGATATCTAAGAACAAGCTCAGCAAAAGTCATGCATTTCTACACTATCTATTTGCTCTGTTCCTATCATTTGATTAAAAATATCATTGAGGTATATCTCTCACCATGGTAACAATCATTCCAATCCAGTGAATTGGCCACAACTTTCTCTTGAGGAAGATTTTCTACAAAAAAATCAGACAAAGGTAATGTTTGCATGAGAGATGAAGCAGCAACCACAAATGGCTAGCATTCTGGCCTGGTCATTGTGTTGTTTTCTTAAGTAAGGTGATGTCCTCTCATAGTGTCTTCGTAGTCCACCCCAAGAGTGTAAATGGGTACCAAAGAACTGTAAGGTCATTGTGTTGTGCTCTTGGGCAAGATGATGTATTTTCACATAGTCAGCCTAGTCCACCCAGGAGTAAAGATGGTCACCAAAGAACTGTCAAGGAAGCCTGACAAAAGATGCTTAAGAGTGTAAATGGGTACCAAAGAACTTTAAGGTCATTGTGTTGTGTTCTTGAGCAAGATGATATATTCTCTCAGAGTCTTCTTAGTCCATCCGGGAGTAAAGATGGTTAATTACCAATAAGAAAGAACTGTCATGGAAGCCTGGCAGAAGATGCTTGAGAAGGAGGGGGGTTATTCTGCTGTGGATTAGCATCCTATTCCGTTCTTAAACCATTATTGGTTCCCACACCTCCCTACATGTTTTCTCTTTCCCACACCCTGTCAAAAGCTCTGTTTCTAGGATACATGAAAGGGTTAAGGTTTAAAATGTAAACTGGACCATACTCACAGATAGCACACCAGTGAATATTATTATTGAACCTCTGAGCATTTGCCACACTGATGCATTGACATAAAGAAGACCAATTCCTAAAATCAGAAAGAAAAAATCAGATTTAATGTTTCTATTTTTTCCTAAAATATAAATTTAACCAATTTAACTGAATGAGTCCTTTTTCACTTGTTTTTCTGCTCTAAAACTCACCACCCAAAGTGGTTCCAAACAGATCACAAACAGTAGGAAATGCAAAAATCCACTGGAACACTCTGTAAGTAAAATATTAGTATGACTGTGATTTTGAGTGACAGACACAAATCATTTGCATGAGTACAAAGCAGTTTTTGAACAGCCAGAAACAAACATGCTCTGGAATCAACAAAACCAAATTTCACATTCAAATATCAAAAGAAATGAACCAAGAATTCTACAGTGAGCAATTATTTGGCAATTGGTTTCTCACAGCCAAGCACTTTGTCATTGAGAGCACAAACCAATGGCAGATGAAGCAAAGTCAACTCAAAGATCATTGTATCCTACCTTGGTTGTTGAGCCATTTCTACACAAGATCCATCATTACTTTGGTCTCTATTGACATTCAGTAAATTCTGATTTAAAAAACAAAAAAATAATTAAAAAAACAAAAACAAAAGAAAATAGAAAAAATGATGAGAAATGAAATTCAAAGTAAAAAAAAAATCACTCAAAACTAATTACACCTCCTTTACATAGTGAATGACTTGTACATAATTCCGTAACACTTTTTTTTTAAGTCTTAAATGATGGTATGACTGTGCCTCCTTCACCTTATTGATAGTCAGGCGGTCATGGTTTACAAAAGTGACCAAGAGAGAACCTTGCTAGTTGAATGAATGACTTTCAGGAGCCCTGTTTTTTTGTGTATCAACCAGTCAGCCAGTCAGCGAGTCAGTCAATCACTACATCAGTCAGTCAGTCAGCTAATCAGTCTATAAGTTTGACAGTAATTCACTTACAAGTAATTTGTAAGTCAGTCAGTCCAACTTTTTGACATACCTGAGGTGTAGAGTATTTAATTCATTAATGCATTAAAAGTTAGATAGGAAAAACTTAAACAGAGAAATAAAGATGTTATTTGAGACATTTAACAGGTGACTTGATCATTCTCCACAAACCTGTGTTAATTTCCGTCTTTCTCTTCTTCTATGAATGCACAAACCAATCAGACACATGGTTTCCCCTTGCAATTAAATCAATTAAGTGTGGATTAGGAAAATGAATAAAGATATTTTTAATAAAATATGAATTTGAAAACAAAGCAAAAATCTTTAAGATCGTCTTTATTAGATTACAGCCTTACCAATAAACATTAGACCTGTTTGAAACCATGGATGGTCAAATTTGTGAACTTCATTGCCGTGTTCGTCTTTCAATCCCTTAGCTCTAGAAAAATCAAATTAAATAAAATTGAGAATAGGTTTAGAGCTCATTCTTTTGTTTTCATTTTTGTTTGTATTTTTTTTTCTAATTTTTCCAAAGAGTAGGGTGATCAGGGGATGGAACATGAAACAATTTCAATCATGAGGATGACCTCAGCATCTTCATTCTTTGGAGTGGACATGTTTAGTCTCGTAACAGCAACACTGCTGATCAGAATCACGATTTACAATCATGAGAATAAAGGAAATTATCTCTAAATTATAGACACCATCGATTAATTAACAAATTCTCCCTGTCAGTGCCATAGGAATGTGTAAAGAACACTGAGGAAAATTACATGCATACAGGCATATGGGTATATGGAAGTCAAAAACCTTTAGGAACGATGCAGTCACCAAGTGAGTCTAACCTTCCAACCGGTCACATCTTATCGTTGTGATCTTCCGATACTGGGAAACAAATAGGTTTGAATTTGGCAGGAATATGCTAATAAATTTGATTGAACGGAAAAAAAGTACTCCTGAAAACTCACTCAATTCGAATTTCCGACTTCTGCGTGTGTAAAGCAGGAAAAATCCTAAAAAGATAATTCCTTAATTCTCGATCTGTTTAAGCCTGTATCCGCAGAGCTTCGTAAAGGTCGATCAAATGGATACCTACGTGCAGTCATTTTGTGCTTTCTTTGACAGTGTGTTTATAGATCCTGAAATAAGCATCCCGATAGCCAACAGAATCTGCGTGCAAGTCAAGGTAGCCATTCTGATTTCTTCCCCTGGGATGTAGACGTAGTCTGGGTTCAAGTATAGCGTTGGGGGAAGGGCAGGGGAGTGTCTATTAGAGACCAGTCACGCTCGCTCCGTTCCGTAATAGTTTGTCTTTGATCATGTTCGGCGACCCGAGAAATAATCTCTCGTTCCCCCTACTTTAAATACGTATATAAAGCTTAGGGTCATCAAAGTCGTGGAAAATGGCACTCACCACTCAGAAAATACGTCTATAAAGTAGGTTCAAGTGGCGATGACGGATGCGAAATTTCCACAGATTTTTTAACAATAAACTTTCTAATGAGCAGACGATCACAGGTAGTTTCCATTTGACAAAGAAATAACACAAGAACAGTTCCATAGAAAATTGTAGAAATAATTATATAAAAAATTTCTTAAATTATCACGGGAGCCCGGTTAGCTCAGTCGGTAGAGCATCAGACTTTTAATCTGAGGGTCAGGGGTTCAAGTCCCCTATCGGGCGACGGAGAATTCTTTTTTTATTTTTTCTTGTACCAATTGATTTTGTTTTCTTTCTGTTTCGCTTTTCCTTTTACCTTTTAATTTTTCATATATGTCATAATATTGCAAAGATAGGACTTTTAATCCTCCCCAGAAAAATCATCTAAAAATTGCCTTTTTCGAGAACCTGGTTGGAAATTCAATCTTTTTACATGTAAGTTAATAACTTCATTCTTGATGTCGTTCATTTTCATTAACTTACATATTTTTTTTTTTTTTGGACTCGATTTCATCAGATTTGCAGGAAAAAAATTGTTTGAAACGGAAATAAAATTCAAAGAAAGAAGACAGCTGAAATTTCTTACTGCTCTAATTAAAAGCGGCGCAGCTGATTGGCTATTCTAATGAGCATCGACCAATTAGAAACGTGAATAACAATAATTCTGTATATGAGCAACTTCTCCGCCATCTTGGCATTTACATTTTCTTGAAAAGAACATCATGGCTTCAAGTCCTGTCAGAGATAGTGAAGATGATGACTATATGAGAAAACTAGAGACCATTAGAGATATAAGGTAACGAATCATCTCTTTTTTAAGTCGATGTCTGCAAATTTTTTCCTCGATCTGTACTTTTCTGTGACAATTTTAGAAAGGTTTGAAATTTCCTTGCTTAGCATTCATCAAATGACTCTTCAATTGAAACCATCGATAGTTTCGTTTTGTTAAATGTGTTAAACGCCCTAAATTGTACCAGCATGAGTTTTAAACATCCTGGGCTTAATTTAATAAACGTTTTCGTCACCATTTGCTTTCAAATATTTGTTGTATAGTTTTGGAAATCGGGTGCACGCAACAGCGAGAAATTTCTCAAAAATAATAATTTATGCTGTACCGAAAAAGTATTATTGCATTTTGACACTATTGTTCGGTTGAAACGTTTCAGCTGTTGGTCATAAATGAAATAAATTCATCATTTTGGAATGGGCAATCTATCTTCCACCTCGAAATCCTACTGAAGAGTTTCCAAAACTATCAACCTTTTTTTTTTTCTTTTCAAAGGGCCACTGGCCTTTTACGAGGCAATCAATGAGCGTGAATCCTCCCTTCCTTCTTTTGTGCTTTAAGGACAAAGAAATATGATCGCTTTATTTTTTTTGTTTAAGAGTCATATTTCTTTGTTTCTGGCAAAATACATATTCCTCTGTTCCTGATGCCATACTCAAATGCAGCCTAGCAATGGCCATCAGGCAGATCGATCTTTTTTTTTTTTTTTTTATTTTTATTTCAAATGGATCACAAGTTTGAGTTATGAGTACCATTAAAATCTCTCTTATTCTTGTGAAGTTAGTGCAGCTTTTTAGCATCACATTTTTCATTTAAAATATTCACAGTAAAACCATAAAAATTTGAAATACAGCCAAACCTTGTGATCAAGGATTTTAGACTGCTATCTTTTCATATTTTCCGATGTTTTTGGACAGTTTATATGAATGCCAGATAAACCTGTAAAGTTTTCCATACACTCATGTGTTAAATTTATCAAGTACAGTAGGAAGGATTTCAATTTTTGTTAGGATATTTGTTGGTTGAAGAAATGGCATCTGTTATCATGATGAGGTTTCTTTGTTGTGTTTATATATTACCCAAATTTGTACACAAAAGCTCTCTGAATCTTAGGCTGAGTACATATAATTTGAACTTGCCTTTTCACCAGACACTGTGTTGCAAAAAACATGCTTGATTTCTGTGAAAATTAAATCAGATTCTTTCTCATCATTAAGGTTTTTTTATTGACAACAATTGTACCAGTGAATAATCAATATTTTATGTTATCTGTATGCGCCCCTTTTGTAATGAAACCTCTGTTTTGAAATTCTTAGAAAATACCCTCTATCTAGTTGGTTGTGTATTGATGACCATGAATCCAGAAAAGGAAATACCATACATGTACAGATGTGCAATAAGGCAAATACCTAGAATTTACTCTAGGCTTTCCTTTTCCATGCCTGCAATTAAAGGCTGGAGTAAATAAAACAATACAAGAAAAACAGTGTTTTAAAATTGGCTTCACTTACCATGTGGCTTCATAACTCAGTTGACCATAGCACCAAAGTAGTATCTGGGAGGCATGGGTTGGAATCTTGTGAAAGCCATTAATTTTCAGGGTTTTTTTCTGCAATAGCTAAAATTGTGTCAACCTGCATGGATCATTTCTTTGTGTTTGAAAAACTGTTCTATCAAATCTTGATTGCAGGGTGAAGACATCCCAGTTGGAAAAACTAAAATCTCAGCTTATTCATGAGTTAGATGTAGCAGAGAAGGAGAGTAAACTACTCAAGGACTATAAGGGAGAAATGGAAGCTCTCCTACATGAGAAAATGGCGCATGTAGAGGAACTTAGACTTATCCATGCTGACATCAATTTGGTAAGTTAAAAGATCTGTGGAACATACCATATGGATAGATTTCTGTTATTTATACTGCATTCTGCAAGAGACTCGTTGATGAATTACAAACCAATCTCTTTAGAATGTGGCAAGAATGCCTACTCTACCATGCCCGTGTGAGGGAAATTCACAGTTGTGTTACTTCTCACTTGCTCCGGCTGATCTAGAAACACTTGTCCCTTGTTAAATCACTTATATGATACACAGGCCAACCCACACAGGCTAAGCTCCTCATCGTAAATGTGCAAGATCTTGTCATGTAACTTTCCTTTGCCTCCCTTTTTTTGTTCATAGTAACAGACTTTTCTCTTTTTTTCTTCTTCTTCTTCTTTCCTTCTCCTTTCTTGTCCTAATGCAGGGATTGCCTATTTATTCATTTTTTAATCCCAGTTCACAAATATGATTTTCATAAATTCACAGTCATTTATTCATCTCCTCATGGGTTTATTACAAACCAACATGATGACCAGCTCTTAGTTGGATTGTTAGCTCGGTTGGTAGAGCACTGCACCAGTATCTCAGAGGTCATGGGTTCAAATCTTGTATGTACAAGATTAGTTTCATTTTCAATTCTTCAAATTCACAGTTCACATATATGATTCTCATATATTCACAATTAGTATGAAGTACTGTATGTTGGGTTTTTTTTAGGATATTTTCCAATTAACCTGAAATGCAAACTCTTTCAGTATACAAAATGGTGTCATTGGGTCATTGTCATTATGTTGTGTCTAGGTGCCTCAGTTATGTGAACAATGTTTAGAATTTTTTGGCAAATCTGGTTTTGATCGTTTTTGTTATTTTTTGTTTTGTTTATTTTGTTTGCAAAATATTAATTTATGTAACTTTCTGATATAAAAATGTCTACAAATGAAGATTTCTTGTCTCTACTTATTTTCTGTTAGGTCTTGTGTTTTCAGCTTGTTGTTTTGAGACTTACAAAATACTGGCCTCTTTTTTTTTTTTTCTTTTTTTTTAACTTGTCTTTTTTTTTCAATAGTTAGCTTATCAAGGATGGAAACTATACCTTTCTTGGAGTGATGTTTTACTAAGCTTGTCCAGAAATGAATTTGGGGAACATTTTATCTTATTTTTTACTCCTATCTTGTAGATGGAAAATACCATCAAGCAGTCTGAAGCTGAAAGGGAAAGAGGGCTTGACACTCTGAGAAGACTACATGATGAATACAAACCCCTTAAGAGAGAGGTTGACAAAATGAGGGGTTCTTTGGGTCTTGACAAAATAGCTAACCTGGATGAAGAAAACAGCCTCGCAGAGTAAGTGGGTTGTCATTTAGTTGAAGATAAGCTTATTAGCAGTTTTAAACATATGATCCCTAAGAGTGACTAGCAGACTACATGTAATTTCTCCTTACAATGTCCCCTGAATCAAGCATTAAGGTCATGGGATTAAACAAAATTATCGGCAACTAGATAGGTTCTTGATTGTTGAATAAATTCTCCTTGTCAGCTTCTTTGGAACTGTTAAGAGAAGAGTATGGAGAGAATGCATACTGATATTAGGATGTAAAGGGTTAGTAATAGTAGAATCTACTCAAAATACTTTGTACATAGAATGAAAGTTTTTTATATACCACTGTTAGCTAATGATGCTGAGCTAGCCATCACAAGCTTAACATTTTTGCTAAGTCAACAAAACCGCACATTGTTCATGTACATGTATTGTACGCAAAAATTGACAGTTTCACAACTAGTAAGGGTTGTGGGTAGGCCAAGGGTTTGGCAGTTCAAGGTGTAGCCTTTCAAACGAATGTATTGATGGGAAAGGGTCAGCGGTGGTATAGACACTAAGAGAAACAATGGGCAAAATAACATTACTCCCAACGTGGTTACTTTGGCCACGTGAATTGTAACACGGCTTCAAAAAGTAACAGGCGTGAAGCATGTAATAACCCCAGACATCAAATTAGCGAGGGTTTTATGTGCGCTTGTTTGGTATGGTTTGAGAATTAAAATCATGCATTATGCTACAGTTTATAAGTGGCAGTGCTTAGAGCTTATTTTATGACGAGAAAAAATAACTATGATCATGTTCATACTTATGATTTATTAGTGCTAATCAGACTGATGTCATTACCGTTTAACACTGAGCCTGGGATTACAATAAACGTGAAAGTGTCTGACGAATTCTTAGCTGAAATAGTAGGTCTTTCTTGAGCTAATTCAATTCGGGAAAAAATTGAAAAAAGAAAAAAAATATGGTTGCCTTCTTTCATTCTTCAGGTTTCTCGAGCGTGCCCCTCCTGGTTGGAAGCCAGAACCACAGGAACCTCCTCCTCCCCCTGTGGCATCCCAGCTAGCTGCCGCAGCAGCAGCTGCCCAGCAGCTCGTCAACAAGCGGGGTCCTCCAGGAGAAAGACACTTCCGCCAGCAGCAGCCACCCCCAATGAAGGCGTGCCTGTCTTGCCATCAACAGATTCACAGGAATGCGCCCATCTGCCCGCTATGTAAAGCAAAGAGTCGTTCTCGACATCCGAAGAAAACTAAAAGGAAACACGAAGATTAAGAGAGTGGTGCTGACGGATGACACGGTCTAAAGAGTGACTTTCAATGTAGCCTTGGAACCGGAAGTGAACCTGGAACAAGTATGATATGTTTAGTTCGAAACGCTTTGATCGGTTAGAATCGCCATTGATAAGGATTCTCGGTTTCTCAAGTTCTTATTTTAGCTATAATCAAGACTTAACGCCGTGATTTCGACTCTTGCTCGAGTTTCCGCGTTTTTCTTTTTCTTCCCTTTAAGGTATGTGTTTGTTTGGGTGGCTTGGTAAATGAACGCAGCTGATTTTTTTTCTCTCGAAAACGCGCTTTGCTAAAGCTTTTCATAGTGCAATTTGATTGAATGTCGTGAAAAGATTTTGTTTTAGATTAGTCTCCAGGGTATCCGATCAGCCCGCCATTATATCAAACTCACCACTACCAAACTTGCCACCACTGATCAGACGTTGTGTTTAGCTTCCTGAGTTTACCGTAAACCGTCTTCGGTGACTACTAGAGCTTCAGCATTTTTTCCTTTCAATTTTCTGGATTCCTTTTTTCAAAGACACCAAGAAATCGCCTGGCATGCACTTTGCGCGTTAGTTCTGCGGTAACTAACCTCGCCCGTGATGATTAGCGCAAGATAGCACACAGTATCCAACCAATCGTAGCGAGCGCATTTCTTTAATAACTTAACCAATTAGAGAGATGTAGCATACATAGACCAAAAATCATATTTAACGTGGTAAATCTATCTTAGACTGCATGGACACAAAGTCATAATATATACAAACTGTATTTATTGAATTCGAAGTATAGATCCAACATATATTAATTAAACATGTACTGTTATTTAAGTTGATGTAATCATAATTCTTAATGCCAATAAATGTATTTAACGGTTAGATCTAATTTGGTTCTGGGATCTTGGCGAGGCCCCCACCAACCCGACAATGCGCTCATAATTTTGTTTGTTTGTTTGTTTGTTTTTTTGGCCTTAGTTAGAAATCCAACATGCCAATTTTCTTAAAGTACATAGATCAATCAACGACTAGAGAAAGCTGAAATTGAGTTCAGAAAGTTGAAATGAACACCATGTTCCCAACGGGTAACCCATACCCTTGCGAGTCATTAAATCATTTTTTGTGCAATTCCTTAGAATAGGTAAGCACTAGTAAATATTTTTGACTACGTACTGCACTTGCCTGTGGGTGTAAGCTTCTTGAGATAATCTTCAAACAATTAATCTTCGACTGCTAAATTGAAGGAAATTCCTTCATTCATTTCGCACTAAATATGCATCCAGACTCTACCCGAATACGAAAAAAAAATGCAAAAGCACTTACCGAGTCACGATCCTTGTCTACAAACTACGAACATGATTAAATCGATTGGTGCGCAACGGATTATAAAATGCAAAGTAATTAGGTCCAAAACCCGATTTATTAATTGCCGTGTCAACAGATTTGAATTCAAATGTCTGACTGGTAGATTACTATTGTTTAGGCCGACGTTTCTTTCCACTTTCGGTTTAAAGGCCTTGTCAATCAAGAATAGGATATGTTCTTCCGCAAGTTTGTTTTTTTTGGAAGACTTTTGAGTATTATGTGCCTTAAGAGGTAAAAAGTCCAATTAAAAGTTTGCATAAGAATCGGATGAAGGCGAAGATGTTGTCAAACGTAACAATAGCCTTGCCCACTGGAGGTCATTAACAAGAGTGCACGGAATTGATTACGCTCGAGTTCTGAATATTAAATCATGATAATTTATAAACAATACCGCATGTTGTGAACTTATGATCAGAACTTCACTGACAGGGATCTCGAGGACAGCCATTTATTCCCAAATTTCGTCACTTGAAGGATTAATTGTAAGTACTATCCAAAATTTGACTTCAAACTTCGGTTCTCTGAGCGAAGTTGAAAGACCAAAATCAGCGACGGTGACAAGTCTTACTCGGAACGGCTTCCTGTTTAGGTGATCTAGTTTCGTTTATAGGTGATCTAGATTTTACTAACAAGTTACTGTGACCTAAATTAGGCCTTTCAAATTTTGATCAATATAAGAGATTTTCGCGACACCGGTGGTTAGTGTGTGGTTGGCGGAGACGGTCTTCTTGAAGATGGGAAATGGAAATACAAAAGCCACTACTCTACGACAAGTAGTACTTGCAAACCAAAAATTCCGTCAGGCTTTGCAGCTTTGGGAAGACGACCGCCCCGAGAGAGAGCCATGGAGAACCATTCTCCGCAAAGCTCCATCGGTTGTTTACCGCAAACGGAAGGAGTTACTTCAAAACGAAGACGAAGAGTTGGTGGAGTATTTCAACAACCTGCTTCAAGGAAAAATCAAACCAGATTCAAGATGGAGTCTTCCATCAAAAGAGATCGCTATATTTTTGAGCTCAACTTTCACGGACATGAGTACGGAAAGAGATTTACTAATGGAAGACGTGTATCCATATTTGCGAGAATTTTGTCGACGGCTTGGCTATAATTTTAGTGTAGCTGACATGCGGTGGGGAGTGCGTGACGAAATGACAGACGAGCATCAGGCGGTTGAAATTTGTGTGACAGAAGTTCAGCGATGCAGGTTTGAAACTCTTAATTAATTTTCACTATCAATTTGATAAATGATCAAGTAGAATTATTTTAATTTTGCAATACGAGTGCTTAACAATTGTCGAAGATTCTGAAAGAAACGTTGCTTGGATACAACAAGATAAACAATGAGATGTGTCTGTAAGCGCTTTTCTCTTTTGTTTATTCTTTTCGATAAGGGAAAGATTAGTTTATAAACTAAACAAGGATTATATCCAAATAAGATTAAATCTTAGAAAATTAAGCCATACCTATCAGAAAACAACTGATGAACAATGTAACTCGATTTTGTCATTTGAGTTTATAATCTATTTGGCCATCTTAAAGGCATTCAGTAATAAATTAAGAGTTTAGCTTTAGAAATTCTCTACAATGGTCAATTATATTATCAACTCAGTTGATGAAACCAGATTATCTCATTATACCCCCTACCGACGCAGAACCACGGTTTCTTTAAAAATTGGTCTCTTTTATTCATTTGATAAACAGAATCCTGGTCAATTTTGGCCTGATGTCGGCGATGTTTCTGAGCAGGAGAAGATAAAAGCGTCTCTCGTTACAAGTCTTTGGTTTCTCAACAAATTTAAGAAAGCTAAAAAGAAAATCAATCCTGTCCGCTTGAAAAGTCCTTAAAATAGCGGGGGTATCTTCAAGGTGAATTAATTGATTTAACAGACTTGCTAATTTTCCAGTGCACTGAAATAACATGTAAAGCTTGAAACGCTGCTTGATCTATTTACAGTGATTGGACTAAGCCTTTTTTCCTTTATACGTTTAATTTCACTGTCGGTTTTCTTGTTCGAGTCTTCAGATTTTTCATGACGTAGTTTTTTCTTATCTTGGGAGAAAAGGGTCTGTCAGATGCAGCTTGTAATACTTGCGGTATTTTGCACATACCAAGACGTTACGGGTTACTAACAAAAAACTGGAAAAGCAGCTGGTAGCTTTAGGTCATTGTTAATAACCCAGTCCGTCAAATGCACGCAACAGTAAAACGAAAATTCTGTGGTATCTCTGTTACTATCACGCTCAACTGCATGGGAGAATTTCCGTTAGCGGAGCTCCATACCTAAGGATCCGAGGGTAAAGTAGATGGTGGTTGAGGAAATGAACGAACAATATAAAGAAAGTAGAGAATTTAACGGAAGCGTTGCAACGGTGTAAACGTATACCTTAAATGGACTGTTTGAAGTTGGTGAGATTTGCGCATATGCTCTCTCTATCAAGAATTGGCGCCTTTTCTGCTGTACATGCGTATAAATTTTGGCTCTGCTTTCTCGTATTGTATATAGTTGTCTATTAATTCTGATGTGCTGTTCGTGATAAATTCTAGGAAGGAGTCCATAGGACCGTACATGGTTTGTATTATTGGTGACAAGTATGGCTACAGACCAATCCCAAACAAGATTGATAAGGAAGTGTTTCAGATGCTTTTGAGCAGCGTCAAGAGTCAGCCAGGCAGCAAAAGCGCATCTGAACTGTTGGAAAAATGGTACAAACTGGATGAGAACAGTTTCCCTGCGGCTTATATTCTACTTCCTGTGTCGACGTATTACCCACACGCTTACAAGAATTCCGCTGGGGTAGATACGATGACGAAGGCAAGACAAGAAAGAAATCAGTGGTGGCAGAATCTGGTAACTATGAGAGAAGCTTTGAAAAAGGCTGCGAGTCAGATAGACGTTACAGCTTTTCCCCTTTGCAACATGACAGAGGAAGATTTTAAAATATCAGTGACAGAGGAAGAAATTATGACTGGGATTAGAGGAGAAGACATGGATCCCAATTACATGTTCCTTTTTTTACGGTCCCTCAATGGATTAGACGAAATTGATCCAAACAACAATGGTTTCGTCAATCGCTATGTAGACGTAGAGGAATGCGGACTTCAATCGCACTCCACAAATCGAAATGATGCAAAATGTTCGCTACAGAGGCTTAGAGATAGCTGTCAAGAATTTATGCCAAGTGCCAACATCTTCAGGTGAGAAAAATGAGTTGTTAGTCTATGACCATAGTGATGGGGATGTCCGAGAAACGTCTTCCTACGTATATGTTTCCATGCCAAGTTTAATGAGCCAATTTTTCTTTTTAATATAAAAAAAAATAGTAACAGAATTTGCCTGTTTGAAAGATAAATAACCGTATGGTTACACAAGGTTTCGTGGTCGTTTTCATCATTTCTTGATCCTTCATAGATAAAGTGTTTTTAAAAATGATAGACCCCTAAATAACCATGGAGTGCCGAGACCTATGGTTGCGATGATAACTACATGTAAAACACACTTGAAGAGATCTTCTCGTGTACTGAAATTTAATGTACTGTACAGGTCACCGGTATTCACGGGATTACACATCAGTGCCAAACTAGAAACGTTTGAACAGTAATAATAGAAAGAAAGGTAATAGTGGAGATGTTAAAACATTAGTGCTTCGTTTTACAGATACAGCTTAACTTTACACGTTACGAAAGATGGTCATATAGACGTGAAAAGGAACAAAGAAGAAGTAAAGAGTTTCTGCGACAAGTTCTGTCAGTTTATGGTCGATGGCATCCAGGAAGGTGAATAATTGAAAACGTTTGTAATTACGGTCTAGCGTCAAGCGACTCACTGTCTTGTTCACTCACAGATGCTCGTATGAAGCGTACGGTATTTTGCATTGTCTAATTTTTATAATTGTGTAATTGAGTTAATCCCGCTGTACAACTCTTCTCTTACAGCTGTGGCTAAACATAAGGTGATTGATGACCCTTTGTATCTCGAAGTTCTTAACCACGCGACCATGGCAGAGAAAAGAACAGAGGCATTCGTTGGTAGGAAACATTTTCTTGAAAAGGTAACTGCATTGCCCAAAAGCCAACCTTAGCTTTCTAGATCCCCTCCTCCTCCCTCCCCCCTCCCAGCACCTTTGCTTAATTAAAGCCTGCTCGTTCATCTCCTTAGATGGAAGGTTACCTAAAGATGGATAATGGTGGAAAGGTAGGCAACGATTTTCATAACAATTTTTTTTTCAATCCCTTAAGCTAAAATCAAGGCCTAGTATTGTTTTATTTTACGCTAAGGTTTCGCAGTTGCCTCGTAGCACTCCATGAATTAGGGGGGACCTTGAGCACGAAGGACATAAACGTCAAGGAAGATATCGATTTAAAATGAATTTTATATTTTTGGCTAGAACTACGCAAATCACTGGATGTGTTTACGGTCTCTTATGGCGCCACACCTCAACTTCAGCATAACGTATGTGAGCAGCGTTGAGTTCCAAATGGAAATTTGCCGTCGGAGTTTCCGCTCTTGGTTCACACAGATTTTAGTGGTTTCGCGTTGTTGTTTTTAAGAGGAAGGCTAGGGAATGTAAAAAGTTTTATAATGCACGTGCTGAGCTACTTTTCTGGGCCCACTTGTATTACCATAGGGTCGGATAATGCTATCCAATGGATAAATTGTCATCCAGCGGATAAGTGATGGCAAAACAAAACGTATGACATTATCCACTGGATAGAGTTTTATCCAGTGGATAGCGTTATCCACCCTTCGAACCACCGGAGCCTGTAAATGAAATCTTTTGTTTCGCCACCTCCCCTTGCCGTCGCAATCCTACTATCAGTAGAGTAGAACGAGTTAGAATCGACCATTATTTCGTGTGTTTGAGACACTACTTACAAAATAAAACCCTTTTTATAGCCTTTTATTGTGCATGGTATTTCCGGATGTGGAAAAACGTCCCTTATGGCCAAAGTGTACGATATGTCCATTGAAAATTGGAGTGGAGTAGAAACTGGCAGGTAACAGTTCTGTAATACAATTAACAAAGGGAATACTTTGCAATATTAGCTTCTTATGTCGTATTATTTATAGTTTGATATTTCTAATGTATAGTGATTGTTTTCCAGAAGCGGATAAATTTCCGTTGTTGTCCCCGAAAACCTTTATTTTATTTGGACTTTTGTTTTGAAATGAAATTATTTAGGATAGGGTACATTAACTATGCAAGTATCCCTATTGCATTTGTAATGCTGCAAAGATCTGGTATTTTTACTTTTACTTTGGTTGGTTACTTTTTTTTATCCAAAACAAAGAAGCTGGGACCTTATAACCTGTTCCCGACAGCATTCAAAGGTCATTGTGTCTCACTTCGCAAAAACCCACATATTTCTTTCTTTCCTTTTTTTTTTTTTATTTTTTTTTTTACCTTCTTATTGTAAGATTGCAAAAGTTTAAGTATGCATAATTTATTTAATTTTGTAGGCCATTTCATTTCATACGATTCATTGGCACTTCACCCTTTTCGTCTGATGTAAGATCTCTGTTGAGGAGCCTGTGTCAGCAGGTATGTTTTCAATGATCGCAGGTTTGCTCGGATGGCGTTGGCCAAAAAGATACCTCTAATCTGTACCGGTGCAATAAGGTCGTCTGGCTGGTGCTATTAAAAATGACCTCACAGAGCACTTGTGTGACGGAGTATCCTAAGGAATCCTGAAATACCTTAGTTTTCATACGAGGCGAGGAAGCCTGTTCCAGGCGTTCAGGTAGTGAAACGAAGGGTGATGGAACACGGCACGGTGGTAGCGGAGAAGTTACAAAACACAGAAGGTTTAGGTCGGGCGGTCGTTACTTTTGCGCCTAGAACAAGCTACTAAGAAGACGAAAATGTAAAACCAATCCTTCCTTGGTAATTTTTGCTCTCCTTCGCTTGAACTACTTACTTATATGATCTTTAAGAGATCTGTAGATGCTTCTGATGATAAATGGTGCACAGTTTTCTCTGATTAAACGATGGGATTTCTATGGTTTTTGCGCACTGAATCAATTATATCCCCATCACTATGAATTTCCGTTGCAATTGCAGATGTGTTTGGTGTTGAACGATACATCAACAGTTATTACCGACAACTGTGAGCGACTGGTGGCAACATTTCGCTCTCTTCTCCAGAGAGCCACACCAGAAAATCCGATAGGTAATACATACCATTCGTTGTATATTTACTTTTCCTTGGCGGCAGTCATTATTTATCACCTGAGGGTGGAAAGAGAGGATTTCTGGGGGTAATCACATAGTTCTTGGAGGGATCGGCGTGGGATCAGACATCGCCAACAGGGTATAGAAGGTGGACTATAGAGACTTGACTTCTAATTAGCTGCCACATAGGGGGGAAATCAGTAACAATGACTGGAAATATATGAAAATCATATACGTGCACTGCAGTGAAGAAATGAGATATAAGCGATCCTCGCAGCCACGAACACTACTGAACTGGTAGTTGAAATGAGACCTGAAAAAAATTCAGGCCTGTACGGGATTTGAACCAAGTAGTGAATAATGACTTCGATCCTCACAGCTACGAAAGCTACACTAGTTTAGTATTGCATGTTCATAGTTGTGAGGATCGGTTATATCTCATTTCTTCACCGCAGTGCACACATAAGATTTTCATATATTTCCAATCATTATTCACCACTTGAAAGGTTTATTTGGATCCGACGTTATGACCAGCTCCCAGATGGCTCGTTAGCTCAGTTGGAAGAACGCTGCACCGGTATTGCAGAGCTCATGGGTTCAAATCCCGTACGGGCCTGAATTTTTTCAGGTCTCATTTCAGCTACAAGTTTAGTAGTGTTCATAGCTGCGAGGATCGCGTACATCTCATTTCTTCACCGCAGTGCAGACATATGATTTTCATATATTTCCAGTCATTATTCACCACTTGGAAGGTTTCTTTGGGTCCGACATTATGACTAGCACCCAGCTGGCTTGTTAGCTCAGTTGGTAAAGCGCTGCACAGGTATCGCAGAAGTCATGGGGTTCAAATTCCGTACGGGCCTGAATTTTTTTTTAAGGTCCCATTTCAACTACTAGTTCAGTAGTGTTCATAGCTGCGAGAATCACTCGTATCTCAAATCAGTAACAATTTGATTGTGACACATTCGAAATCCTCAAACCACAACCATTTCCCCCTCCCTAGGCAAAAACAATGAACGGAGCTTGCTAATAGTATGAGTAGGCATGAATTAAGCTTAATAACAATTAGATCATGTGACAGTACCCATTTAATCCGAACTCAAATTTTTCAGTTTTATTTCTCGACTCACTGGACCAGTTGTCAGACCAAGATGATGGACGTGCATTAAGATGGCTTCCCACGAGCTTGCCAAAAAATGTCCACATTGTGGTGAGCACCCTTCCCAATACAGGAGGGTGCCTTGCTGTACTAAAAACCAAACTAAAACCAGAGAGCAATGCTGACTTTTATCTTGAGGTAAGTTTTTTGTCGCTTATCCCTGCTCTGATACTTTGCATATGATATAAACTTGTACATGAAATAATTGCGTTCCGCGGTAGTAGTCACCTTAGGGTAGTTATAAAGTGAAGTGAATTATTAATTTTCTGCGACGTATAGAATAATCTTCAGCTCTGGTAAAGCAGCCAAATATCAGCTAAGTGAACTAGAAAACAATGACAGGTCGAAAAAAAATAAATAAAGAAGGAAAGTGGATGGTCAAGAATGCAAAACAGTTATTACTGATCACGTCCAGCGAAAGAAATTCGGCGTCGAAATTTTAAAGATATACAAGCTGTAATCTTGTTCCCTTCGATCCTTGATGGCCAAGCTATCTAGATTTCTCAATGATCATATCATCTTTTATTGTAGTGACTCCATGAATAAGCTTACCGTAAATGTTACACAAACCACACCTTATTGTTTTTGGTTTCGCATACTCTTTACTTTTTCCGAAGGTTTCATGCTTGGAATCGAGTGATGCTGAAAGCATTCTAGATATGAGATTAGAAAAAGAGAAAAGGTATGCTTTCACTTTTAAGTGGTTCTTAACTCATCGTTAGAAAGTTTGTTTCTTTCCTAACATACAGAACAAAACGTATATAGCAGTGACTCTACCCACAGACTAAATGTTTATCACCTTAACTCCGACATCATGGATAATGTTTATAGTGCTTTGAAGATTCGAAACCTAGCCTGAGTGGTCGATTTCGTTTTTCTATCCAAAAATGTATTCATACAGAACCAGAGATTAAGGCAGTGATCATCATTTTTTTGGGCAGCCTGACAACCCTCTTGTCGTATTTCATTTCGTTCAGGTCCAGTATACTTCTACTATACTATATAGAAAATGCAATATAATGTGCATGTACAGACGCACCATAGGCCATCCTCAATGATATCATTGATTGGTTTGATAATCAAACTTTGCAGGAGACTCACAGCACAGCAAAGATCTCAAGTATTAGAAACCTGCTCCAAGCCAACAGCACTTTACATGAAACTAGCTTGTGATACAGCTCTTCGTTGGAAATCGTTCACTGAAAACACTCACAACGAATTAAGACCGACTGCGACGGAGCTGATCATACAGCTTTTTGAACGGTTCGTAAGTTTAAATTTTTTAATAGATAATAAAATAAAATATTTCTAATATTATAGTAAATATATTTGTAATACTCTATCCTCAATCATGGTGAATAACTTGTAATGGAATCTACATTCACAAACGTAAGGCCCAAGGATCTATTGGGAGCTTGTTCTAGGCCTGCAAGTCAGATTTCCTAGAAGACCGCTCACTTTACAACTTTGAATCAATAACTTGCTTCAATATAGCATATTTCCTACATTGTCATTTTATCTTATAGTTCGTGAGATCAACTTTCTTCGTGCATTATAACAATCATACGATAATACTCCCAACTATCTCATAAAACTATCCAATTTCCATCAAAAATGTAACAAAACAGCTACTGCGTAAGTTTCGTAAAATCCTCTTGAAAAGGGCCCATACAATTGTACCTCTGCATCGAAAGTCCAACAGTTTTAAGATGTATCTTTTTAAGTTCCTCTCTGAGCAGAAACAGTTTGCATGAGCAATGATTTAAAATTAACAGTGCCACGTACCATAAACTTATCCTGAAAGGAGATGTCTAAGGCCCCTCGCTACCTTTAATTCTATTGAGAAATGTCCTGTCGCTATCGTTATATATAAAATTTTTTGTGTTTCAGCTTGATCACAGAGCATGGGGAAAAGTTTGTCCGTAGGGCTTTAGGTTACATTACAGCTTCTAAAACGGGTCTTTCGAAGTCAGAACTGGAAGATATCTTGTCATGTGACGATATCGTTCTCGCCGATGAGGTTTTTAAATACCACGTGCCACCAATCAGAAGGCTGCCTCCTCTACTGTGGACTCGACTCCGCAATGACTTAGGTAAGAGGTTTGTTACAAAGAAAAGAGAAAAGCCAAACGCAAAACATGAATGTTTACAATGGAATTCGAGTCCAAAAATTTACAATACCAAGTCTTAACTAGTCATCAGAGGCAGTTTTCAAGAATAGCAGCGCCAGTCATAAATGATCACCGACTTCAATATGTAAGAAAGTTATTTGGCATGCCTACCTTCACCAGGAGATCGACAACCCACCACTCAAGATAATAGTAATTGTAATTCCTCTCTAGTAAGTAAAAAAACTAATCTAGCGTGCCAAGACGTTTCCCGCTCATTGTAGATTTTCTAACAATTGGAACTTACTATAGTCAGTGTGGCCTCCTGTGCAGTATTAAAGTAGTAAAGGAATGACTACCTAAAGCTCGCGCAGCCTAGCTTGTAAAAACTTGAGGGGGAAGAAACTGAAGAAACTTATCGAGCTATAATTGTTATTTTTAATAACGGTTGATACTTTTCTGGTGCTTGCGTCCTTCAGGCAGTTATCTGGTGAAAGTAGCAGCAGACGGTCACGTGGTATACAAGTGGTATCACAGATTGTTTCTGGAGGCAGCAAGAAATTATTTCTTGAGTGACAAGCCTTTTACAGACTCGCTTCACAGGGATTTAGCAAATTACTTCAATGGCAGGTATGCAAAACAATAGGACTCAGACGTTAATGTGTTACCAGCGTGTCCAGTGACAATATGGTTCAGGCATTCTCATTGTGACACAATCAATAAAAGTAAGTGTTTAGGAAAATCCCTGAACACCGTGCGATTTATATCTGAGAAAAAAGTATGACCGGCTGACCTGGTTTATGAAGTTAAGACAGTCGTTGCCGTTTTAGTGGTAAATAGAACCAGGTGAGAGTGGAGTGAAAATGCCGAGGTAGGGTACTAAATTCAATTGGCATATTTTAAACCAGATTTTTTGTAATAGGGATAACAAATTTCGCCATGGTCCTTCTTGAACAGCCAAGCCTATCACTAGTGTCCTTTAGTCGGTATTAATCGGAAGGTCGTAAGTTCGATTCCTATTGTGAGCACTCGGATTTCTTTTTTCCGAGTATGCCTTTATCATTCACAATAACAAAATATTTCCCATAATCAATGTTCTCACAAGCGCCTCTTTACATGTAATTGACCCTTTTAAGAATCAAAGCTGAGAAACACTTTGAAATAAATAGGCACAGCATTCCATTGATCGTGCTCTGTCTAAGCCACTTTACCCTGGAGGGTGATTCAATCATTTTCTACGTTAAGGTGGGCGCGGGAAGCCAAGCCATATACAGACAAAGATGGAACAATACGAAGTGCGTTTAGAATGGTGGCAGATCAACCACTGGTATTAAGTAATGAAGACTCAGAAAGTAGAATGGATTCCGAAGATGAAGAGACTAGACCAAGATACAACTTGCGCAAGCTAAGCGAGTTACCTTACCATTTGATCAGATGTGACATGTGGAATGAATTTGTGGAGGTCTGTTGCCCATTAGTATCATTTATCTTTCCAAATCACGCTTTTATTTCCACGCAAACTTTTTTTCACTTTTCATACATGCTGAATCGAAAGAAGCAATTCATGCAAACTTGAGGTTTGCAGAACATAGGAGACCCTCGTAATTATATGTTTCTCAAAGAAAGGTCGCACTTGACAATATGTAGGTTATTGCCGTTCCTATTTATTGCCTTGCCAGTCAATAAGGGCTCTATCTGCTATAATTCTAACAATTTGCTTTTCTTTTTTGACAATTCCACCAAACTTATGGCTACAAACCTTCGCGTTAACGACCAGGTAATGCTGATTAATCAACACTCTTAAGAATAGTGACGCAATCTAAGGGATTGTTATTATCTTCAAGATTGTGTGTCAGATTCCATGGCTGATGGCAAAGTGTAAGGCCGGCAAAGCATTCGAACTGACCCTTGAACTCTCTGAGGTAGGTTTTCCTGAAAGGAAAAGCTGATAACTCTCGCTTTCAGATTTCTGAATTGTTAAATTCCTCTGATTTTAGAGATACTTAGGCGTGAAATCAGTGATTTTTAATGAATTTTATACCGTGAATGGTTTGACCAATCACGACCGACCTACGCCACTTGTGTCTTACAGCTAATAACATAAAGGCAAAACTGACCAATCAGTTTATACGAACCGGACGTAGAACGTTCGTCTGACAACGACTATTCACTTGACTATGATGATGACTTCCGCTCAGGTTGTCGAACGTCAGTCACCACTACCGACAAATGTCCTTTTCGGGACTACGCTCACCCGGACGATCAGACTATACCATCACGAATTTTATACCATTGCTTTAGTTATATTCGATATGACTTCGGCCTCTGTTCGTTAATTTCAACCGCTCCTCTTGGGACAATACAATACTCTGTATTCAAAGCAATACCTGTTTTGTTGTTGTTACTGAGCTGCTTATTAAGTCTAAGTGGTCAGTGGTCTACTAGATTATCGCGTTTGTATTGACGTCATCTTTGAACATTTTTCTTTACATCCCTCATTTCCAGGCATCTTTGAAGTGCAGCAATGACAACTCAGTCATAATAGAGGACGTATACAGTTGCATTCGAGCCAATGCTCAACAGCTGAGTCAGTTCCCCGAGCTTGTACCACAGCTTTGCCTCAATGAACCTGATATTTCATATTGTGCTACTATGGCCAAGGTTAGATACACCACTATTTACATGCTGTATAGTAGAATTCTACGCTCAGCAACGGTGGTGTTGGTTGTACAAGATGTACAACCACAAAAGAAAAAAGCTGACAGCAGAAGATGACCTGCGTTGGAATATCATATAGATATGATTAAAACGAGATGTTTTCTAAAGATCCCGGCAATTTCTGTATTATTGGATTAATGTCGGTATCTTAATCACTGCGCATTCACCCTTTTCCTAACCTGAAATTGATGAACCTTAGCTTGTTATCAGAAAAAGATTGTAAACATTTTATCATCTCTTGGTTATCAGTTGACTGTTGTCAGGTCAGGGGAGGTGTAGGTGCACAATTGCTTAGATACTGACATAGATCGGTGCCATCTGTAATTAGAGGGGCCCAAGGTTAAATGGCGACCATCAAATAAAAATTGAGTCAGGGATATTTTCAAAAAATTTGAAACTTTCCTCTGTTTTTGATTGATTTTCTCCTCTTAACCAAGACTTATTTGGAAACAGCCAACAAAGCTGAAGGCGCCAAGATCACTCTTTGGAGAGATTTAACGAAGATGGAGTCTCGTAAGATCAACGTAGCATCATTTAAGCATCCAGCTGGAGTCAAGAAATGTGTTTTCTCAAAAGGCTGCAAATATCTGGCCACGTACGCTACAGATGGTGTGTTGCGTGTATTTATGGTTAGTATGGAGTTTGAATTTAGGGCTTGATCCGAGCATGAGGTATAAATATGACAACAAAAGATCAATAATATATTAGTTAAATGCTATGATGCTGTGTAAATGGAAATAATGTAAAGCGATCCAACAGATTTTCGCTGTAAAATTTTCTGCAGGGTTCCTCCTTTCCCCTATGAAATTCATGTATAGCCTAAACAGCTTCGTTTTGGTGAATTGTTTCCAGTTTGAAAGATTTATTCATAAAGGATATCGTTTTTAACATACTTTCATAAGAGATTTCCTTTGTTTTGGTTTGATGTAAATCATGGACAAGCCTTTTACATCCTTTCTGTTTAGGTCGCGAGTGGCTATACCGTCATGACAAAGCATTGTGAATGTCAGGTGATATCATTTCCCGCCAGCATAGACCAGTGCCATTGGGTTGCAATTGCTGGTTCACACTCTATTGTCCGTTACGGCCTGGGCACTGGTGGCCAACATGAAGGTATGGTATTTACAACTCTTACCTACTCTTACATGATACTGCCCCAATATCTCGCGTTACGCTTTTTTGCCGCGTGAAGACTAGCATCAAGACTATAGAAGACTCAATTTTAGCAATTTCTACACTCCAACGTTTATATATTGATTTTAATATTCATTTAGTTGTCGACATGTGCATAATTGATTTTATCTACGATTATTTTAACTAGGGACAACTCTACAGGAGATAAACGTTGACTGCGAAATTGACGATAAAGCGAGCATTGTCAGTACCAAGAAGGGCAAGGCTTGGGAGGTAAAATGACTGAGAAGATATTGACAGGGATCGATGTACGCTCGTTATTCTTCCCCGTAATCGTTATGTTTTTTTGTTTTTTACTATTTTCAAAATATATATATTTTTAACTCAGTCGTTCATAAAACTGAATAACTATGTCTTTATGGTAGATATTTCTGGCAACATCACATGGAAAACTACGTTCCTATAGCACGTCACCTTCCTCTAATGGACAGCCTGTTATGAAAGAGGAACTCCCGGTGAGTATTAACGAGCCTTCGTTTGAATGTTTTGGTGGATTTCAAAAGATAGAAAAATGGATCGAGCTCTTATACGTTTATCTCACTCAAACACAATGCTTGAGGAGAAATGTTATCGTAAACGACTATTTCTATTAAGGATTATCACAAAACATATATTCTCTTAAAAAAATATCCGAAAAAACAGTCTGGTAGGACTAGCAAAGTAAGTTTGGTTATCATTAGTCAAACCCGCCCTCTGAGCTATTTTAAATGATCTTCTAAGACGCTTGTAAAAAAATTTCAAAAGGGTTTATACCTCTAGCTATTAGTTTCAACATCCATTGGTTTCTTTAAAAACCGCCGCTTAGGTTATACATATTTATCATAGCTGGCCCTTCAAGTAATAACGTAAACGCTTGTCTCTAATTTTTTGCAGAGGAGGCCAAAGGTTCTAACGATTTCTCCTGACGGTAACTCATTAGCTTTTGGATCAGACAAAATGTATTTGTGGAGCCCGAAAACTCATAAGGTTCGCTATGACTTCAGTCTTGCAATTCTTGAATTAAAAGCAGAAAAAGAACGCTTCAGTCCTTTTTTTAAATGAGCATGAATGTATTTTCTTTTATTTCGACAAGGATGTGAGAGTCTTCGAAACTGGTAAGAAGACTGCTCCTAAAATGGATGGTGCTACCATAAGTTTTTCGAGGAAGGGTGCAAAATTAGGAGCAGTGTTGTCAAATGGAACCTACATATGGAATATTCAAAGTGGTGAGTGGTGTCGCTTATTATCATATATCATAAAGTGATTGGAACGGTTTAAAAGAAAACGGCAAGAAGAGACTGGTAAGGGGAAAAACAATCAACCTGAAGTGATACCCGAAGGAAAGGAGACGTAACTGGGATTTTTCAAAGGAGTAGAGAGGAGGGTGTGGAAGGGGGGTGGGGTAGGAGGAGTCAAACCTTGTCACAACCGGTCTACCTCTTCTATTGTCTTGATGTTATCTATGATTTGTTTCTCTTAAAGTTAAAGGTCTCCAGATTTGAGCTTTTTTTGCCATCTGAATCATAAGTGCATTGTGATCAAAAACAATTATGTAAGTTCCTTGTATTCTAAAAGCTTACTTATATTACAGCAAAACTCCTGAAGACACTCGCCATGAACTGTTTGGGTGTCGAGTTTGTCGTGTTTTCTCCAGACTTCGGCCACATTGCTACTCAGGACCTCAAAGACAAGGAACATCTCCAGGTATGATTCATCTAGAAATACTGACTCTTCTGTGGCCATTGTTGACGGGAAGAGATAAGATCTTCTATCATTTTTCTATTCATCTTTACATTCTGTCAAAATTTAAACCTAGTGATTGCTTTGCTCACCATGTTGGTCCTTTTAGCCATGTTGTAGAGAATCGAAGCGCGGAATCCGAGGTCCAAGGTTCGATTTCTCTTAGGGAATCAGATTTTCTTCTTTGTTCTAGCTATACACGTGTCAGGACATAAAACATTTTACCATATTTCATTCTCATTGAAGGTATTATGCATGGCACCCAAACCGTATGATAAAAGTCCGGAGTGGGAAACACTGACTGGCCACTCGGGTGAAATTCGAACCTGCTGTATCGGGAACAGAGAAAGCGGTCATCCCTTGATTGCAACAGCCTCAGATGACAGCACCGTTCAGCTGTGGGATACGAGAAACATGCCCTCGCCCAGAGTAGTCAAATTACCGGTAAGTTGATTAGTTTAACCGAGTCGGTTGCCCACAAGTAGAAAATAGGTTTGCAACAATGCAAGCTAAAATAAAATAGTGTATGTAGGTTTTAATAAATGAGAACATATGTACTTCCTCAATTCTACGATTTGAAGATTTATGCAGCGAATTAGATGAAACGATCAGAGTAACTGAGACAAGCAAAGACATGGGTCATATCGTTTGCCAATATATATATATATATATATATATATATATTATTGTAACATAAAGTCAACTCTAGCTTTGCATGTAATAAACATACTTACCTCTTTAATTGACACTGGTGAAGATTTTTGTTGTTAGACAAGTCTAAGTGTTTCTGACCGGTATGTTTGAAATCCTTATCCGATTTTGCCTTCTTCAGAATCACAACAGTCCCGTTCAAGAGTGTACGTTTTCCAACGACAATAGATTAGCAGTAAGTTGTTCCTTGACTGAGACATGGGTTTGGCAGGCACAGTCACCTGTACACCGACTGCATCGGTTACACCCTGCCTCTGACAACGGAGGTAAAACTTCAATTGCTATGTGGTTCCCTTTCCCCTAAATCAAAACTATAACAGCATTTTTCAACGTAATTGATTATCACCAGCCTCATTTGAGCACTAATAGGACAGTGTAGGCGTCATGCTTTTAATTGGGCAGATAAAACACCTCATGTCTGTGTAAGTGGATAGCAAGCGTCATGAACGTTCGCTGTTCTCGTTCATTTCGCTGAGTTATCTTTTTTATAAACTTGTAACTGACATCTAGTTTCTTTATTCAAATTTTACATAGTTTGATTAAAGTCCGATTAAGTAAGTCCGATTTTGTCAACCACTCGCATTACTACAGACCGAATTGGACTCCACTCATTCCTATACCATCATTAATAGAAAAAATAATTTCTTATTGGCTGAAAATACTGGAAATTTGTTTAATAGGGATGACGTTTAGATACTCTTGCTACATTCAGTAGACTTTAAATGATAAAAATGTTTCACTCAAACCTTACTGTGCTGAGCACCTATAGGTGAAGTTTTTCCAAAGGATTTACCTGCATCACTTGGCTTCTTAATTTCTTTTCATGCGTTGTATTATACCACCTGTAATAACGACCCATGGTATTCTCTCTTGCAAAACTTTCCTTGCAGCCAGTGGCACCTGCCCCTGTTTCTCTGAAGACACCTCATTCGTATCAGTGTTTGTTGAGACTGGCGTGGATGTGTGGCATCTGAAGTCAGGCGTTGACCCTCATGGATCTGACAGGAGTCTTCTCATGGGAGCGCACAGGTGATCTTTACTTTTTTTCGCGATGGACAGCTGAATGACTGGGTTAGCTGATTATCGGTCTGCTGATTGATTAAATGATCAGACGATTGGCTAAGTAACTGATTTGTAGGTCGACATACTTAAATGATGACGAGCTAAACGATTGGTAGACTGTAGCATAGGAGACTGATAGATTAAAGGACGGACTATCGAGCCAACGGTCATACCTACGGACATATTAACGGACTGGCTGACTGACTGACTGACTATCTGTCTTTCTGTCTGACTAACTAACCGACTGGCAGACTGATCGACCGACTGGCTCCTCTATCTGACAAACAGACATGACTACCTTACAAAGTAACGTAACTGATCATGGGACTGAAAAAACTGGCCGTCTGACTGACAGACAGAGACCCACGACTGCTTTAGTGACCCCTCGACTGACTACACAGTTAGCAGACTGAGTAAGTGATTGAATAATTCTTTTTGCATTTTATATCAGAACTCTCACTTTTCTAACTGTTCGACACCTCTTCACTAAATTCACATCTGATGGCTTGTACACCTGCCTGTTCACGGAGAGTGAGCCAGAAACTGTGAGACTCTATCTTGCTATCAATAAATACAGTTTAGAGAAATGGGCAAAACATGAGCTCAAAGATCCACCGCCAAAGGATCTGAATGAAAGGGAAGCATTTGAACAGAGATTTTCGGTGGACAGTGGAAATCAGGTAATTTATGTTTGTGATTGTTGGAATGTTCGTGACAATTTACGGGATATTTTAGACAGTCATACATTTGAAAATAGTAGGCTTTGGCATCTAATAATGTTCTTGATCATGTTAGACTAGATTATCAGCGCCACACATTATTTCGGACATAAGAGACGCAACAAGGGAAGGTGCCAAATTTCGGCAATCCTTTCATTCTCTGTCAAAACTCTTAATGCTTATTTCTTTGTTGTACTTTTAACCTGCGATCAAAAATGGGTTGATCAGGAATAGCAGTGTTACTTCCAACCAGGGTGTCTGTTAATCTAGCCTTCACCGATTATCTTAGAAGCAAAAGACAACATTACTTATTCAATCTGGACCGAAATGTCACAGCATAAACTTAGACCTTGCTCTTAGAATAAAACAAGCTGATATTTTCCTTAACCTCTTTTTCCACATGGAATCTCCGCTTCTCTTAATAATCCCTTGTTTCTCCATACTAGTTTCTGAGATGGCATATAATTGTTGCGGTTCTGGCTCGAACTAAAATTGAGTAGATTAATCGCAGCAATATTGTCTCCTTAAATTCCACAAACAGATCACAGAAGCAGCCATTTCAAACACATGTGGCAGACTTGTGGCTATAAGTGTACCAAGACAAAGTAGTTCTCAGGATTGGATGAAAGGACCTGCTGAGGTTCACTTGTGGGACCTAAACAACCACACTAACTGGAAAGTCCAAATATCCTTACATCCCACCATCATTCGCCGGGTGAAAGTTGGTTGCGAATACCTGGTGACATTTGTTCAGTGTCGTAACAATGTAACTGCTTCTCAAAAAGTTAGGAGCGGCAGGACAAAGAGGAGATCTTCCTACAGTGTTTCGTCCGTCGCTGATGAAGGTATTTTTCACGTCATAGATAGAGAAGGATTGACGGTTCAGACATTTCAGATTCCTGGGCAATTTTCTGGCTTGAGCGTGGTTAATGGTGAATCTTGTCTGCGAAAGATATCAGAGGAACTTTTGACTTACAGTTTACAAGAGGGTGTTGTTAAAGCGCAAGAGGTCAGATCTAATAAAGTAATGGGAACCTTCACAGTCAACAACACGGAAATAACTGCCGTGAACATCTCGTCAAAGGGAAAATCTGCTGTTGTGGGCTGCGCAAATGGAAATGTGCACATTATCGAGATGATTTAGAGGAATATACAACACCTTCAACCTTTTTGTTTTTCAACTAATCCAACACCATTGTTTTCTCGTATTTCATTGCGCAATATACTTAAAACTAACTTTTAACAATTATTCGCCGAAGTGGAGGTAAATAGTGGTGGATACTTTCCGAGGCGCGAATAACTGTTTTGGTATAAACCATACAGGAACCAAAACAATCAGTACATTTCTTTCAAATAGCAAAAAATTATTGGAAATTAATGATTGACGCGCGAGATTGTCTCTTTGGCTGCTCGGAGGTGAATAGTACTTGCTAATCTCTTCCGAAACAGCCAATCAGCGCGCTCGAATAACACTACTCACCTGTGTGGTAATTTCTAAACGATGAACGAGGTGTTTTATTGACACGATAATCGTCATCACAGAGTTCAAAATGTTGTGGACTCACGAGGCGCAGCAGTCCACGCTAACCCACTCTCAATTAGTTTTTATTTTTTTATTATTTTATTACAATATCGAGGTCAAATAGAAGGATTCTCCTAGCGCATGACCAACCTCGTGACACGGTGACGTGACAGCGTTGTCTGTGCTCTTATCGACAACGACAAATTGGCCAATCAGATTGTGACATTACTGTAACTATGATAAACATATTAATATATTCACAGTATTTAACTGATTTATTTCGTTGCAACCATGAGTTCTAGATCGTAGCGCGCTGATGTTAACCTATAAAACAAAAGCGCATAATTTTCGTGTCGAATTATTCATTTGTAAGTATCAACCGGAGTTCCGGATAAAATAACACAAAAGTGACAAAAACGATTACAGGAAACAAAAACAGAATTAAATTCTCTTTTAATTCTTACGAATGTTCTCTAGTTTTGATTCAACTAAAGTAGTAATTGGTATCATTGCACTTGGTCGGAATCATTGTTTGTTGCGGATAAGACATAGGGTAAAATGTGGACTGGACTATTTTTTGGACTATTTTTTGACCGTTTTTTAAACCCTTTTTTGGACCATTGGGGAAGCACACCATAAGTACTCAGAGAGGGCATAATGTTTGTTTCGAAAAAGACAAGAAGACAGATAGGACACCATGTTTGTTTAAGAGATGTGATGAGCCAAACTCACCCCATTTATGCTTGTGCTGGCAATAATCACGCACGTCATTTGATCAGTTCACAGTGCATTTCGCTGCAGCTGGAAGCAAGGGCTTTTAAAGTAACACTTGAAAAAAAAACTTGATGGGTGGAAAGTCTCGCGCGTATGGAACAGTTTGGTCTATAATTTTTGGAAAATTACGCAAATTTAAATGACAGTTCTCTCTTTGCAAAGCGGCGGTTTTCATCATTCAAAGTTTCATCCTCATTTCTGATTTGTTAACTAGCTTATTTTGTTTTTCAGATGTCATACTCAATTCCCGATGAAGTACGGGATTTTTATAGTATAATTTTCTTCGTGTTTTCCCTCCTTAGATGAGACTTTTCGTGTACCACGCGGAGAGCATAGCAAGTCAATTTTTTTATAGATCTGTGCTTTTAGGTCTATTGTTTCTAGTCTGGGACTTCAAGACACACTGACCTTTTAAACTAAACTAAGGAGTTTCTTTATTTATCTTCCATTTGGAGGCTTATGCCCTCCTAAATGTAATGTCCATTGAGCTGGAGAAAATCGGCTTACAACCTGAATTGGTACAAAATAAAGCGTATCCATACTAAATATCACGTCATCATACGCCATCAGCTGTGTAAAATCTTGAGCTTAGCATAATGCTCAATACCACGCGATACATTTTAATCTATCCAGCAAAAGGCACTTCATTTTCCTGGAACAAAAGAAAAATATATGAAGCATAAGTGACTTTCGATTTACTCTGCAACTTTATTATATGTCCTGGTTTCAGTTCTTGAAAAATATTAGCCCTTAAGTATACAGCGTATTGTCATTCATTTATTTTTTATTCATTTGTTTTCTTTGTAATCTGTATTCATTAAGGAAGCAGTCGCATAAGCAACAGCTTCAAAGGAATGTGTTGCAGAATCAATGCAAAAGTATGGAATATTTCAATTTCCTCAAAACGTTTCAATTCATTTCTTGACGAAAACCGCAAGAAATTTGGCTAATGAAGATCAGATCTCTAAAAGCCCTCCATGCTTGATGAACCACCTGTATGACTCAAATAAGTTTTGATATCTCTGGTGAAATGTAATTATTGCCTAATCCCTTCTTGCTGGAGCTTTTCTGACAATTACACAACACAACCAGTTCAGTAACTTAACCTTCTCACGTTTTCTTGAAGGGAAAAAATGTAGATAGAATCTGGCTTTATTTCTAAATTGCACAAGCATTTCTATGAGTTGAGGTAACGCGCAGATGATAACTTTATTGCTTCAAAATTTAATTAAAAAAAAAAAAAAAAGCAGCGCCTTACTCACTTGTACAGAGAGAAGTCGTGTCCACAAGTGCATCATTAATATCCTTAATAAATTCTCTCTGACATGATATTTCTTTTGACATCAAATTTAGGTTGCCTGATCAATTTTCAAAGTTATGTTTGAGTGCTTTTTGATCTGAATGAACACAAATTGCAAGTAAGTTGAATCAACAACGAAACAACCTCTATTTTTATTCCTCTCATCTTAAATGCCATCAAATTGTCGTCAAAAAAAAAAAACTGCGTGAAACAGGGCGTTCACGATGGTCGGTTGCTATGTAAATTCCTCCCGTTGCTCTCTTAGGGGTCACGTGACGACGCGTTTACGGCTTGAGCTGATTTAAGGCGTCAAGTTAAAGGGCGTTAACGTTCTTTCCTTTCGCTTGGTTTTCACCAGATATTCCCAGTTCCAAATATTCTCCCGCTTTTTGTCGGCCAAGGAGTGGTTAAATTTATAAAGTTATGATCTATTTTCCGTTGTCGATAAGAGCACAGACAACGCTGCCACGTCACCGTGTCACGAAGTTGGTCATGCACTTAAAGAATCCTTTTATTTCACGTCGATACTGTAATAAAAAAAAAAAAAAAAAAGAAAGCTTATTGAGAGTGCGTCAGCGTGGACTGCTGCGCCTCGTGAGTCCACGACATTTTGAACTCTGTGATGAAGATTATCGTGTCAATAAGACTACGCAAAAGCGCTGTAGATTTATTAATTCATCATTTAGTAATTACCACACAGGAGGGTAGTGCTTTTCGAGCGCGCTGATTGGCTGTTTCGGAAGAGATTAGCAAGTACTATTCACCTCCGAGCAGCCAAAGAGACAATCTCGCGCGTCAATCATTAATTTCCAATAATTTTTTGTTATTTGACAGAAATGTACTGATTGTTTTGGTTCCTGTATGGTATATACCAAAACAGTTATTCGCACCTTGGAAATTACCCACCACTATTTACCTCCACTTCGGCAAATAATTGTTAAATATCCATAGTCGCTAATTCTTCCTGAGTTTGCTAAAACGTTAGATTTTGTCCTCTCCAATCGTCAACGCCTGCCTGATAAAAGCATACTTTTTACTCTTTGCTTATCATTATATTTTTTTCATTTGTGTTCGAAATTTTTGTTTAAAAAAATAACACACACCGCTTATTTGCCTTGGCTGTTCTCTATCTGCGATTGCCGATTAGTAATCCCTATTTTTAACCTCATGAACACTAGTGTATTACAAGACACACTTTGCTAGGACATACCAGCAATTAAAATGATTGAATTTTTACTTTAGACACTGTCTCTGCCCAATGATGTTTTTCCTAAATTTATTTATTTATTTTTTGAAGTTGTAACGGTTATGATTAATTGGTAACAGTACTTTGTGTCGTCCAATTCTGTCAGTAATCATACTCGCGATTGACAAATCAGACTACAGCTAAGCTGTGGTCCGATCTTGTTCATCACTTGTATGATTACAGACTGAATTGGACTCGAATCAGTCCTATTACCATTATATACAGACGGACCCATGCGGGCTAAGCAAGTAAATCAGGTGATTTTGTGTATGAACTGAGTTAATAAAGTGAATCGGACACCGTTCTAAAGCTGAGCGTTACGAGCCTCTCGTCAAAGCTTATCGGTTTTTTAATACCCTCTTTTTAATACCTTGCAAGTAGAAAACTAGTTTCCACATCTTTCTTTCCACCAATAATTATATACTAGAGTAGAAACCGAAGCAAGAAATGAAAGAAATCCGCATTAGGTCTCTACCTGTCTCAAAAAAAAAAAAAAAAACTTTTTAACTTCAGTTTTATGGTCAAGGAGAGAAACGATTAATACGAGAAATTTATAGCAAACATACAAACGAATTCTCACACTTTTACAAACCCGTTTGAATATAAAGTCGACTCCCGATCGTTAAATCTGACCTTCAAGGGAAACTGGAAATAAAAGGGTCGAGACATCGAGAATTGAACATATAGGGACTGAAGTTACATATACCCTAAACCAACGAACCTTGAACTCGCCTTTCACGGTTTCTGTAATGCAAAAAAAAAAATGGATGCTCGAAAAAAAAGTGATAATGATAATAAAAATTAATAAATAAAGTACAGTAAAAGTTCTGGACTCCAGTTCACCGTTTGTTTTGATTTGTCACGTATTGACAGACGTGGTTATATAAAAAATATGTATACAGAGAATAACCTGTAGGGTAACGAAAACTGCTTCGAGTTAGCGGGAGATTAACATTACAGTAAGTGCATGATGGAAATCAGGGAGAAATCGACTTTGGTTCGTATTAGAGAGGGTTTGAGTTATCGAGAGTCTATTATTACCACAGTGACTAGCCTTGCCGTTTAATTCAAGGAGAACAGGGATAAATTTGCGTCGACAAACGTCGATAATAATGTAAGAATGGCCAAAATGTTACGATCGATGGCAGTTTCATTATCGAAAGTAGATAAATGGCGTTGTCGCGTCGTAGATAGATGATCTCTTCCTTTAAAAAAGAAGAAGAAAGGAAAAAAGTAGGAGAATGAAAAATTTAGAAACGCGTAGCTTCCTAGTTTAATCTTTTGCGAAAAATTGAGGCCAAGAAGTCGATTGTCTGGCAATGGAACACAACGGAGTACTTGGGCACGTTGCTTTTTCTTCAAGTGATAATGGATTACTCGTCCAAAGCCACTTTTAGAATGAGGAGTGTCGTAAAGCCCAAACCAAAGTAATCATAAAAGCCAATCAGAAGAAAGAAAAAAGCACCTTCAAGAGCCAATGAGAACTCAAAGTTAAATCAAGCAAACCACTAAACGTGCGTGAAAAGGGGTAACCAAGTCGTAAACGGCCAGTTTAGTTTTGCCCCTTATTGCTTGAGATAGTGGCAGGAGTTTGCAAGGCAAAGTGCCACAAAACCAGAGCAATCCTGGTTTACTTTATTTTTCAGTCGAAATTTGCTCGAAGATGACTCTTTTGTTTGGAAATTTTACATCATCAGGAAATTTTCCGGCACGTGTGTGGTTAAAGGTGAATCTTTCATAGGGGAATAAGGTCATATAGGTTTTTGAAGGCACTAGCGGCGGTTATAAGGGCGCCTAAGACTGATAGAGCCTTTAAAAGAGTTTAAAAAACAGGATTAACAACCATGACCTATCCAATAAGTGGAACTGAAGCTTGCTTTAGATTGTGAGCCTATTCCGGGGAATAATTATTTATTATACCTTGTAATATAAATAAATATTTTAACAGTTACTTGAAATTGCTCTGAAATTTTCTAGGAGGGATCTAAGAAGGCACATTACACAAAAGATTGTAAGCCCATTCCAGGGAATAATTATTTCTTTCATCTTAGAATATAAATAAATATTTTAACTGTCGTTTAATATTAATCCGAAAACGATATAGATTGCTCTTCAATATATTAATTCATCAAAGTTCCTTCCTTTTATGTGAGACGACCATAGACATATTTTCAATTTTGTTTGCACGAACCAAATATTTGTGAGAGTGTTAATGCTCTGTCAACTTAAGTTTCAGTCTGGCTTAGAGCGTTTCCTTTAGATGTTATTTGGTCTCTGATGAGTTAACCATAAAAATTAAAATTTTTGATCAATTTTCTATCCATGACTGATGGTTTTTTTCAGGCTGTTTGCTTTTAGTTAAGTATTCTTTCGACTTAAAATGACTCAGCCAAAATTTTCTGTTTTTTATCAAGCAACCGCAAAAACTTACAATGCCAAAAGAGAAAAACTAACTTTTTGGGTTTTGAGGACTTCCTAATAGGTAGTAAATTTCTCTTGAAATGGTTAAAGATATCGGATAATTATTTAAACGGAATATTCCCCTACTTTCAAAGGTCAGTAGGGTAATTTGTATTGTTTGACGACATCTTTCATTCGACAGAATCAGGAATAAGTAATTTCTAACTCGTACTGTCTTCAGCTTTGAGAAGTAAATGAACTTTCTGGGTGAACTGACCCACGTTTTATGTACGTAAGTCACCTAGCATTTGGTGAAATGTGTGTCGGAACTTTAAGCACGTAACAGAACAGACGATAGTGCAACACATGTTGCCATTCTTCTTCTTTGGTAATGAATCCACAGAAGATTGCTAAACCCTCACGTACAAGCTAACGATGATATGGTAAGGTGTATTGTCGCTGTTACCGGCAATGACCTGTTATTTATTTTGGACTTATGGAAAACTTCCCAAACACCGCTTTCACTTTTCATAAATACAAAATTAAATAAAAAAGTATTATGCACGCTTATAAATCAAAATATCAATTGGGATGCATTGATTATTCACGTAATCCTCTGCACGTTTTACGTTTAAAATTCCATTCTCGCTTAGTGAGTCTGATCACTGAGAATATTACTCTTTCTATGTAAAACTCGATAGAAGGTGGCAATAGTTATCTGAACATGACGTCATTCTATCATATTTTTTTCTTAAGTTATTCCAAGCGCTACTCATTGGTAATAAGTTACTCATATGATATTTCTCATTTAAAAAAAATAGCAGTGACATTATTTTAAACCGAAAACTACAACATACACCTATTACTTTTACTAATGCAAGTTGTGAAAAAGATTTATTTTGTGTTTGTTTCCCAAATTTTTATATGGTAATCGATAATCGGCCATTTTTTCTGTTATGAGTGAGTTATCCTGGAAGATGTGTTCAATGAGACCAGACTAAGGCTCGCTTTTCTTCGTTACAAATAGTGGCGTATTGGGCTGATCCTGTAAACAAAAAATAAATTGATGGCAAAATTTAGGTAACTTTACAAAAAGGTAACTTAACTAAACACGGGTTGGGAACCACTCTTCAGCCATTGGTCTAATCTTATCCAAACTTTTTCCCCACAACAAAAACAAAAACAAGACAAAAAAAACCCAAAACAAAACAAAACAAGACAAAACATGTTTCGGATGAAACATCGTCCATCGCCAGTTGTATAATAAGAACATAATATCTACTTGCTTTATTTGTTTTAAGTCAGCAGGTGCACTACCATTATCGTCAGGGGAATAGCATAGAACGGAATAACAAACCTCTTACCTTTTAAACGCGTGTGTTTGCATCCTAGGGTCAGAAGAGCGATCATGAAGATTAAGGTGTTTATCTCTATAATGTAATTCAAGTTATAAAATAATTAGCGCTAGCAATATATTAGCCTACTTGCAACTGGTAGACTTTTTTCAACTTTTTTTTTTCCGTTTTATCTGTCACATAATTTTCAAGATTATACATAAGAATACATAGGCGGCTAGTAAACATATTATTCAACCTTCAGCTGAGCCGTGAATCGTCCTAAGTACCTGGCTTTGATAAGTAAAGAAGTGGTAATCTAACTAAGTATGTAACCCAACTTCTGTTCAATAACTTTTCCAAATGCTTTGTTCATTAGACAGAACTCAAATTGTCAGTGAAGGTTTCGCCTTAACAGGATATGGCTCGCAAATATTTCTTGGAGTGATATAGTTTTTAATCATATCCTTGTACTCAGTGCTGTTGGCGATGTTATTGTTATCGTTGTTGTTATTGTTGTTGTTGTTTTTTTACTAATAGAAAAGAACAGGAATAAAGCGTCGTACCATTTCTCGCATATCGGGTGGTGTTGTTCAGTGTCTGAAGCTCTTTAGATGGTTGGTTGAGTTCTCCTCTTTTTCTCTCCTGTACGATAGAAATATGATAAATAAGCATGCTTACTTTAATAAATGCTTTTAAGTTTCTTGAAAATCTCCATTTCACATATGTGCTATCTAAGCCATCTTAGCCTAGAACGGTATCTTTCCTCTTTCATAGCAAAATCTTTTCGAAGTTGCTAAGTTATGTACCTGGTAAAATGTTCCTTTTTAAACGCATTTCATTGAAGCCTTTGGGTTTTTTTCACATTCTTGCAGCTAAACATTTTATGGAGTGGTATCGATTTGTGTAATTTGTATTCGTACGAAGTGACAAGAAAATGACTGAAAGAAAACCTTTATTTATTCTAATCTCGGAGGGCTCGAGCTTCGAACACTTAACGCGCCTTTTGCCTCGCTCTCTCTTCAACAACCTTCGCCTGCATCGTCAAAAATGCATGCAAATTCCCATATCATAGACCTACATGTTCAAAATATGCCACTAGTTCAGTGTTAGCCTGATCTCTTCCATGCGATGCTGTTATTCCACAAAAGAATGCTTGCTTCGATTTGTTGACGTGTTCGATGATGATTTGGCAATGAGGAAAACCTTTAGAATTTTCAAGCGAGTGCCAGGCATCTTTTGCTGTAATCGTCTGTAATTCAAACAAAATAAAAAAAAAATCAACGTCAGGACAAAATGTGCCACGGGAGAGCCTTAGCTAAGGTGAACGCTTTCCGTATTCTGCGATGTTCAATCTCAGTGGAGATCGAGGAAAAAGAGAATTTGTATCACCTCGTTTTTCAACAAGTGTTTCGGGAGTAAAGCTCAACTTTAGGTCGTCGAGGTACAAATTGGTGTTGTAAACGAACAATGTGTATACCTGAACTTTGTTTCCTTTGACTTTCCATCCAGGTTCAATGGGGTTGATTTCAATTCTGATTTCTTCGTTACTGTTTGACACAAATAAACCAGCGAGGGTTGTTAACAAGTTGTTTCCTAAACTCTCCTCTTTGTCGCAGACGTTCTGTTTGATAGAAAGGAAGAACTATCTAGTTAAATTACAATATTTTGTTTCTAAAGTGAAGAAAATAATCCCTTTAGCAGTCTCATGGCATCAGCCATTGCAACAAGGAGTTGCCGGTGGATGAATTTCCCCAACCTTTAAAAGAAAATGTTTCACCATGGTTTACCAGGCGATTGCCAACCAATAACCATTTATATCCCAAGAAAGAAAAAGGCACTGTAGGAGTGCGTTTGTTTTAGAAAAAAGATAGACTCAAATTTAGACCTCAAGCTCGAGTCTGAGAAAGTTTACCAAATACAATAACAACCGGTCTTACCTCAAAAGCTGTGGTCGAGTCGTCTATGAGATAGACCTTTAATTTCCAGTCCCTTCCTTGGGTTGGCTTTTTCCCAAAGATTGCCATTTTCATTCGTTTCTGGTCTACTGTTCCTGGAATTCCAAAAGCTGAAATTTCAATGTCCTCGTTTAGTTGGGGAAGAGTCACAACAACGTCGTTATGCTTCTGTTCTACTTTGGCATCTGGAATAACATCGGTGACTTCTCTCCAATCGCTCGTGTTTGTTGTCTTTCTTTCTTGGTGACTTGATGTGGTTCGACATTGGACAAAAATTTTCCATTCGTGTCCAAGTGCTACTAGACAACTGTGCTGGATCACAACGACAAGAGAAGCATTGTTGTCTTTCGAGGCTCTGTATATGCTACTGACTTGGTACACTAGTGATTTCCAAACCTCAGTATTTGCTGAATCTGTTAAACCAAAATGTTTGACGAATCTATAAATGTTCAATGTGGGGCTCTTTTTCACAGGATTTTTCTTTTCTTTTCTCTTTTTTGTCCATATTTATCCTTAAATTCATCCACATGTTATGAAGGCGTAACGACTTTTGCTGAGGCCCGCTTAATTGAACTTTGGATGATGTTCACATAATGAGGTCACTTCCGTTCGATATTTCAAATCCGCCAACACGAGTGGTTCATTAAAAAAATAGCATATTCTGGTAAAACATCTTCGACAGTTTAAGCGCTTAAAAATCTTTCATCGCTATCTCCAATCAAGAATTATTGGGTAAAGTGAAATGATGGTTGTGGCAATATTTTGGCGGACCGTGTGGGTTCTAGTTTGATTTCCTCTGAGTTGTACTTCCGGTCTTTCCTTTTATTCTGAGTGAAATTTTGCTATCTGACACATCATATTCTCCTTTTTCCTTCAGTTTTCATCGACTTATGATCAAATACGTGGAAAAATAATACATGCACTCATAAAACAGTTCTAGATTTGTTTTCCACGGTCGAAATAGCTTGATATCAAGTTCTTAATTCCATACTCATATAAATTGTGCATCCTAGGAAAATAAAAGAAAAAAGGTTTTAATCCTACCATTTCCCATAGAGCACAACTTTGTTTTAACTCCGCAGAGTGGCAGTCAATTGTTTCGATCGTCTGCGATATTCAAGTACTGCAAAGATTTCTCCGCGCATCCGTATTTATATCATTTCAACAGGAAGATCAAATTCAATTTCGTTTTGACAGGTACTCATTGTTAGATCAGAAACTAAAATATCAAGTGCTTTGACGGAAACACCTGAAATTACCATCTGAAAGAATCGAAATTGAAAGGGGTTTTTCCCTTTGTTTCAGCTGACACCCACGCACCGCACGCATTTGTCCTTTGACACCTCAGAAACCAAACAATACAACACTTGCTTGTCTAGGCCCATCTATTTGGTTTGCAGTTTCAAAAGAATTGTTCTCGAATTTTTACACATGTTCAAAGCAAATGACAGAATAATATAGGTTCTGGATCATTGACTCTATAAGACACATTCTTTTGAAAGTTTAAACCCGGATTACCTTGGTGTTTCGACAAAATCTTTAAAAAGACCTCGAAATTTTTTCGTCTTTTGTTTGTCGGAGGGAATTTTCCCTCCCAAACACAAATGCGCTTATCAGGCACTTTCAGCGGATATCAATATTGATAACGGTCTGTTATGCAAATCCGTCGGGGATTCCCCTTAGATGTTAAAGCTGATAAAGTTTCGATTTCCCCATTCCTTTTGTTACCCTGTTACGAGCCCATCCGGTTAGAAAAAGAAGGATAGAAATTCTTAAGAATAGTACTCAAATTAGAAAATGAAACTTATTTTCCCATACGTTCAACAAAAGCTGTACTTGATTGACAAATAGTCACGTGATTCTAAAAAAAAAAAAAATAAAAATCAGGCATATGTTTGGTAAGGCGGTAAGACGGTAGAGAGTGACTCGCTTTGTTTTAAATCTTACGAAGGTAAAGGAGTTAGCATTCGCCTCAGACTATCTATCAGTTCAAAGCGATTTGTCCACTCTGATAAGTTGTGAAGAAAGGGGGAGAGAATTTATAAGGCATCAAGAGAATAACTACGGTATTGAAGTGACAGACAGAGATCTAAAGACTTCTTCTGAAAGTTTTCATCAAGAGGAAGCTCCTTTCGTTGAACGGTAGGTTCTTTAGGTTCTTTAGGTTCTTTAGGTTCTTTAGGTTCTTTAGGTTCTTTAGGTTCTTTAGGTTCTTTAAGACAATATCGAATGTATCAAATAATATGTTTTCTGAGGGTGCATGAAAGCGCAGCCTTTGTTAACAACCCAATTAAATATAAGGTGAGGACTGATTTTAGCTTGTATCTATCGAAACCGATTTGGATTCGATGCCAGCTGTATTATCCATCTCTAAGTGCTCTCCTAATGCCGGATTGAGTCCACGCGTAGCTTCGCATTTTAAAAGGATTTCTTTTAAACAGACAGATAATACTTTATTAAATCACGCAGTTTAAATAGCTCTAAAAGCTCGGTCGTTAAAACGTAGATCAAATGAGAAATCTTTAAAGACTTTTGCCCTTGTGACGGTATTTTAAGAGCATAGTTCGAGAGTTCACATCTAGAACAGGAAATCGAAAGTGCTATGTAATTATAAACAAAAATGGAAAACCCCTTTTTAGTGGTCACTAATGACAAATCCCCTCTTTTGGCAAGAAATGGACGGAGAGCGACGAATTAAAGGTACACGTTTGAACACGATGCGAGAGAGGGTAGGAGAATTTATATCATGTAAATTTAGTTACTTTTCGGCATTGCACTAATTTTCTGACTGAAAAATAATAAACGCGTTGACACGTATAGGAACTCAAAGGTATTACCCTCGACAAAGCCGGCCTAGGGTAAAACTATAAAAAAAACCTGGATCTTATTTTATTGACCTGTACCTCTGCTAAGAGGAAAGAATCGCAGTGTTATAGAATAACGGTCAGCTCTCCTTTATAGGAGAGAAAGTAAATCGTCGAAAGAAAGCGAGAGTCTAATGTACAGGCCGATCAATTAACATCTTCTATAGCAAAGCTTTGATTAGGGATTTCCACTGTCAGTCATTTTGTGAATTAATGGCGGGCCTTCACTCCCATTGTAGTAACAGGTGATTACTTATACTCTAATTTTCTTAACTTATCCTGCTATTCACTACTGCCTGCAATCGACCAAGATCTTTCGCCTGTGACAAGGCATTTTGTATCTTAACGCGCTACGTCTGTCGTACAGTGCATTTTGCTGTCTAGAAATCGTAAAATCGAATGGAAGTACAGAAAACGAAAATGAATCTCTAATTTGTCACATACAAGCTTAAACATCGCGGGGGCTTTATTGAAATCAGTGATGTGTATTTCAATGTCACGCGCATATCACCGATTGTTAAGCCGCCGTCACGAAATTTTAAGCCTCGAAAATGTGCTAAATGTGTTAAATTTCTGACCTTCTGTTCTGTTTTTTTTTTTTTGTTTTTCAATGTTTTTCCAGTTGTATGCTTTATGAGCTTCACGATTCGTCAGTGATAGAGACGAAACAATTATCGAGATTTTGCGCCAAATCTCTTCGGGTTCCACTTCACTGAACAGTAAATCGAGAGTACCGAGTTATCAAAACACAAAAGGGAAAACCCCCTTTCGTGGCCCATGTAACTAAAACACGTGAAAAGTCACAAAAAAAAAATAGATCAAAGGGAATGACAGAAATAAGATAAAAATAGATGAAAAACGGTTTGACGTATGAGAGCAAAGATTAGTGTACGGGGATTCCCCGAACAACATAACTGTGAGCCAGCGAAATCAGAAAAGATCGAGGCAAAACCAAATCATCACAAAAACGTGTAAGGTCAGTAAATCTGTTTATCACTCGGTTTATGCTATGTAAATTTGTTAATGATGAGATTCGAAGAAAGTTGATATCACGCTTTTGACTAGCCTGTCTTAATTTCATCTCAAACAAAGCGATTTGTGGTGATGTATGGTTGATCTTTCAAGTTTCATCCGGGGTTTGGTGTGTTATTCTAATCTCTTGTAGCTGTAGCTCATTCAAATTCAAAACTTCTTGGCTTTTCTATGTTCCAAACAAGCAGATACCCTATGTTGTAGGTAATTTTTACGGGAAGTTCTTCATCGACTATTTTAAAAGGACGGGAGAAAGGAGACGCGGATCACCTTCACTCCCCCCCCCTCTTTCCCAGTTTCCTTCCTTGCACTGGGTCCAGGTCGGTCCGGGATTCCTTGTCCAAGTGATCCAACATGGCTAAGTAAGGGTGCGCATTATTAACACAAATAGTTTACAATTATTTCATTTAATGCGGCCAAAATTAGCGGTTAATCCTTAGCTCTACCTTGTTTAAAAGAGCGTCTGCGATTTTTTCTTATTAAAGGATTTTCCTTCCTTCCTCTAACAGAGAAATGGGGGAAGACGAGCCGGTCGCTAAAAGAGCATGCTTGGGTTGTGAGGATGACTACTTCATGGATGTATACAGCTTTGTACAGCCCGGACAAAAGAGCCAGCTTTGCCTCTATCTAACCAAAGGTGGAGGCAAGGGCAGACAAGCCTTCCTACAGGTATCTGTAAAAAAAAAGTCTTGTTCTGTTGCCTTTTCAGAAGAAATGCGGAACCATCAGTCACTACTCTCTAATTATTAAGAACTTATCGATCAAATTCGATCAGATACTTTAGCCAAACATAACTTTTTTGTCAGTAAAGAACTCTTGTGCATGGCTGAATCTTCTCTAAGAAAGTGTACAACACTTGAGCTGATATGAAATTCAACTTTAAGTCTACCCAAAAAGCGGTGGCAAGTTTTCCTGTATCTGTCCAGTTTTGTTTTGTTTGTTTGCCTTTGTTTCTTTTTGTTCTTCTTTTTTGGAGATAATGAATAAAGAGCACAACATTGCTCTCAGACCTGAAAAGGTTATTATAGCTTTTGACTTTTTCACGGTTGTATGTAAATTAATTTGGAAATTCAGCGTTACATGGAAATAACCGTTCTTCTCGAGTTACATTTATCGATTCTCATGACTTGGTCTTTGTACCAAGCATAAATTTGAGGAGAATTTAAATTTAAGTCGCATCTGGGTTAAAAGAACTGAAAGAAATAACAACAAAGTGATATCGTGGTTTGTTTTCAGGAAGAGCAATCTCGACTTGGCATGATGAGGGTCCATGTCGATAAATTCTGTTTGAAAGAAAAGGAAGCGTGGTTGATTATCGCCGTGTTAAAAACGGGTGATTTTGAAGCAGTTAAACGGGTAAGAATCAAGGAAAAACAAGGGGCTGGATTGTGTAAGCTTCATTTCAGCGTGGTCAGTTACAACTTACGTGAAAGACAGTTAGACAGCCACCTTAAATATTAGGTTACTAAGCTCAAAATTGATTCTTGCTATTTAGCTTTTAATTAGATCTGCGGAGATGAATAGCAAGAATCAATTTCGAGGTTTTAATTGCAATTTAAGAACAAATAAATGTAGGTTTATTTGCATCTATGTACTTATTAAGCTTTTGTAGGGTTAGAGTTTCAATGGAATCTGTATGCTATTCCTGCAGATTATGCGATCAATACTAGTTAACTTCGTGGGTTATCCTTTACAAGAGGTTTGGCCGTTGTCGGAGAATATAATTTTGCTTAACTTTCACTTGTTTTTGCATATGCTGACTCAGATCGAAAGAAAAAAGATCGACCAGTTTACACTGCCAGAGAAGTTAACTTACACCCTTCCGCATGGCAGCGTAGCCTCGCTGAAGATAAGTGTAAAGCTGACTAGCGAAAGGGATGAGCTTCTCCTCGAAACGGAGCAGTTGGAGATAAACCTACCTTCGGTGAGTGGTGAGACATTCATAAACAATAATGAAATGATAACGTACATAATTATTCTATTAAGAATCGAGCAGTGAATTAAATTATAACATCTTTTGGTGGCATAGTTTTATCTATTTAGAATAACAACAATGAGCTGGGGTATTATGTGCCGTAATGAATAAGTGGTAATTCGACAGAAAAAAGCTTCCCATTACAAACTTATAGCTAAAAGCGCTCGAGTCTGAAAAATGTTCAAACGACTACCAAAATTTCAAACATACCTTGCTATATCTTGCTGGGAAATGAGTTAAATGGGAGCAATGCCAACTCAACTTTTCAATCAAAGGATAGTGACATTAAGTTATAAAGATTCTGCAGTTTAACGTTGGTATCATAAAATTACTTTCCTTTTTATCTTTCACTTATCTAGCCATCTTAACAAGATTAGGTTTCTCATCGACAAAGAATTTTAAATTTTTGAAAAAATATTTCCTTTCCAGACTCCTTTGTTTGAGACGAAACCAGCGGTGGAGCATGGTAACAATCCCGAGTGAAGGGAGGAACAGAAGTTCTATTGGAGTGGCGGAGAAGCGCGGGAGCGCGGGATGTGCGCGTGACGTTTAGTTCGAGACAGCGCGAGCTGCTGTGATTGAACGCACTACATTAGTCGCCTGAGGTGGCGGTTCGGACCGAGCCTGTTCAGGGTCGTGAGACGTGAGGTCGTGATGTACCGTGGTTGACACAAGTGTGAAGCCGTATGTTGACGGCCTAGACGGCAGAAGACGACTTAATCGTCCGAACTACGCTTATCCGCCCTGTAAACATGTAAATATCGGATTGATTTGAATGAAATACAGTATCAGTTAATAATGTGCTGCGTATACTGTTTATCTATACTCTCCCGAGCTCAAGTTTCATTCATTACTTACAGGGGGACGGAGGGGGGGGGGGGGGGTTGACTTGAATGTACAGATACCCGGAGGCAATGGGTCGAATGGTTTCATGGGAAAAGTTTACGATTATTTTTAAAGTTTTGCGTGACTATTGGACCATTTTAAAGGAGGGTAAGCACACCATTAGCACTGAGGGAAGGGTGGGAGGCAGAGTGTTATTACTCAGGGAGAGGTGAGAGACGGACTATTACTATGCAGGGAGGGGTAGGACGTGGTTGTAATAGTAAAAACTACTTGTTGATGGAGCTTTTTCTTGATCGTAGAAATTATTTTAATCGCTTTTTCGAATGACTTTTGTATATCAAAATTTTTGCGCTGGGCCGCGGCGTTTCTTCATTTTTTTATCATGCGAATGCAAAACTGCCTCCCAAACACTGAACTTTAATTTTCAATGAAAACATCGCGTTTACGATCCTTCACAGTTGAGTTATGCGTATGCATTTTGAGTCGACTTGTGCACCATCAGTTACTTTACGTTTCCCTCCGTGTATACAGTATATAAGTACTAAATTTATCTATCTTCCTTTTGCCATGGATCTTATCAGACGAGATCACAAAATTTCCGGTCGTCAGCCCTTAACACTGCTGTACTTCCAAAATGGGAAACAGCAAATATCGATTTTAATGTTTCGCAAATAAAGGAGTTAATAACCGACACCGGAAATCTCGACCAGGTATTCCTCGCGACTCCCCTAGGTTTGTTTCCCAATTTGCCAGGGCCGCTGCCAGTCACATCTTGCGTAAAAACCTACGAAAATTTGCCATACAGATAGTCAGTCGAAAAACCGTTCAAAATAATTTGTATGATTCAATGAACACTCCATAAACCAGTAGCAGCTACTAATACATCAATCTCCCACCTCTCCCTGCGTTCTAATAGTTCGTCCTCCACCCCTCCCTCAGTAACAACAGTCTGCCTACCATATCTCTCCCTGAGCACTGCTAGACTGCATCCCACCCCTTCCTAAGTACTAATGGTCTGCCTTCCCCCCTCCCCGATAAAATGGTCAAAAAAAATAGTCCAAAAAATAGTCTAAAGGTCCAATGGTCCAGTCTATATTTTTACCCTATGCCTGCAGATAATGTGGTTTTTTAATTAATTTTTCAAAGTTGCCCCTGATGAAACTACCCGATTTCCAAAACCTTAAAACTTTGCACAAGTAAATTTACCATGAGATGAATTTGAAGATGGGATAATGGTTTGGCTTTTTCACAGAAGTTGAAATAAACCAGCCGGTCGGGAGAAAGTGGTACTAGAAAACACGCACGCACGCACACGCACACACGCAAAGCATCAACAACGAAGACGTCTTCATTCAATTTTGATGGTAAGCTATTGGCAACAGTTTTGTCTTATTTGTAACTTAGTGCCATACTCAAGCTTTCAAAAGAAGTTTTGTTCGATTTCAACAGTTTTATCTTTTTCAACTTGAGTTATAAATGGTGAAAACACTTATAAAAGAAGAAATGCTCGCAGAGACCAACAGAAAATGATGTCGTCTTATTTTCTCATGACGAAACATATATAGACCAACCATGATACGCTAGGAAGCTAAAATCCTCTACGAGAAGAAGCTCTCAGTCTCCCGCAGCTTCGCTCTTGAAAAACTGTTCGCTTCCTAGATCAGATAATGTCCGTGGACGAATATCCGAGCTAATTTTTGCGCCAAATGCACCTTTAAACGAAACATTTCTGCGCTCTCCTTGATCAAGCATGGTACTCTCTTGAACTCACGAATGAAGCGAAATATTGAAATTAAGGTGATTCCTCAGACAAAAGTTATCGAACATCTTTTTTTAAACTTTCCTTAAATGTTCCCTGCCAATGTTTGTTTCGAAAAAGACAAGAAAACAGACAGGACAGTGTTTGTTTAAGAGATGTGATGAGCCAAACTCACCCCATTTATGCTTGTGCTGGCAATAATCACGCGAGTCATTTGATCAGTTCACAATACTTTTTGCTGCAGCTGGAAGCAAGGGTTTTTAAAGTAACACTTGAAAAAAACACTTGACGGGTGGAAAGTCTCGCGCGTATGGAACAGTTTGGTGTATAGTTTTTGGAAAATCCCGCAAATTTAATTGACATCGACTCAAAATGATCCTCGAGTCGTTCCTTTCAAAATCATACTTCCTCGAGTGACGAGCTTTGTGCACGCTTTTAGCTATATATTTTTTTTACCCTTCGAAGAATTTTTTTTTTTATTGCTGCAATTTAAAGGGAATGAATTGTACACCAAAATAATGCAATAAAAAATTAAAGGTTACTTCGCTCGTTGAAGAGCTTAAGACCATTGTACCTCTTTATCTAGTCCATGGATTGAAAAATAATACCGCGTTCTGGGAATGGGTGCGCACTCATTCCCCTGATTACGTGATTTTTATGCACAACACACGCGCTTTCCAGCCAATTATTCCTGCTATCTTCATCTGAAATGCCAGCTGTCTCCTCGCCTTATTCCCCCGCCCATAGGTCCAGCAAGAAATTGGTGTTAGAAAACGGCTAGCATTTTAAAACACTTCTCCCTGTGCAAAGCGGCTGTTTTCTTCATTCAAAATTTCATTCTCATTTCTTATTTGTTTACTAGCTTATTTTGTTTTTCAGATATCCTACCTAGTGCCCGATGAAGTACGAGATTTTTATAGCATTGTTTTCTTCGCGTTTGTCCCCCTTGGATGACACTTTTCGTGTACCACACGGAGGGCATAGCAAGTCAATTTTTTTTTTTGCAGATCTGTTTTTAGGTCTATTGTTTCCGGTCTGAGACTTCAAGACACACCAACCTTTTAAAGTAAACTAACGACTGAGATGGAATTCCTTTATTTATCATTATAAAATAAATCACATGGGAAGCTTGGAAAATGCAAAATTTTCGTTCAACATCATAACGAAAATGGTCAATACCAGGCTTAACTTTTTTTTTCTATCCAGAAAAAGGCGCTTCATTTTCCTGGAACAAAAAAACCAATGAAGCATTAGTAACTTTCGACTAACTCTATAAGTCTATTTTATAGCTTGGTTTCAGTTCTTGAAAAATATTAGGGCTTAAGCATACATTCTCTTGTCATTCATTTATTTTTTATTGATTATTTCTTTTTGTAATCCCTATTTATTAGAGGAGCTGTCGCACAAGCAGCAGCTTCGAAGCAATGTGTTGCAGAACCAATGCAAATGTATGGAATATTTGAATTTCCTCAAAACTTTTCTATTTATTCCGTGACGAAAACCGCAAGAAATTTGCCAAATGAAGATTTGATCTTTAAAAGCCCTCCATTCTTAATGGACCATCCGTATGACTCAAATAGGTTTTGATATCACTAATGGAATGTAACTGTTGCTTTATTGCTTCTTGCTGCAGCTTTTCGGACCGTAGGATAATTTGATTTTATTATCTGAGTTAGTTATATCAATTGGCCATCCTAAAGAGTACTAAAGCTGATGTTTCGAGCGTTGGCCCTTCAGCAGGAGCGCAAAGCAAGAATACTCCAATGAGGTAAAACTTAATTATGTCAAAAAATATATCTTTAACTTTTTAGTAATGATCGATCGTCTCTTATGAACCAACCTGCTCCAACGGTGCAACAACCACAACTTTAGTGCTGTCCTTCTCGTGGGTCGCAGTTATTTCACACAAGAATGGCTGCTCCATTTCTTCCAAGCATCTTATCTCAAAAACGCAGTAGGGGAAATCAGTCGAGTTCTGAGGAGTGTTCCACGCGTCCTTTGACTTAATCGTCTACAACGCAAACACCATTATTACTATCAATGAACGGTGTGCACCAGTACTAATAAATGTATCATTCAGTCGGTCTTCGTTTTCTTTTTTCACCATAGGTTTGACTTAGGAACCACTAAGGAGCAGAGTGGGGATCAGTCGTAGCCAGAAGAGTATCAAGGGAGTTCTGTAGTAGTAAATTCATTGCCAATTAACCTCCGATGAGGTTGGATGTGGGGCGGGAGGTTTTACAAAAATTATAGAGCCTTATATAGGGATCAGGCAAATTTTATTGTGACACAACCAAAATCCCCCGACCCTCCCCTTCCTCTCTGGAGATACATTGGATAAGGCACCTTGATTGCTTTTCGTTGTCCTTTGTTTTGCTCGATGGATGTTTTTTGTTTTGTTTTGTTTCTATTTTTAATAAGCTTCTTTCGTAACTGCAAGTTTCTTTCACCGTATTGAACATGCGGATTCCTTGGCTGGTTTGGGAAATAATTGCTTTAAATCATACTTAAATGTATGCTTCACTATGGTGAAATGCTAAAGCAAATGAAATAATGAATGAATGAGTGATGAGTGAAAAAATGAAGAAAAGAGTGAAGAAAAGTAAGGAGAAAGGAATGAATCAATGACAAAATGAAAGGATAAATGGAGAAACGAATGGGGGAATTTGTTAAGGAATTGATGGAGTTACGTTTCTGCTCGTGTTGCTGTTATAGCTTGTTACCTGAACACTACTGCCCTGCAGTTCGAACCCGGATTCCAGACCGCTGACCTCGGTCTTTATATCTTCATCACTGATAGACACAAAAAGCCCCCCTAGGGTTGTTAACAAATGGCGACCTTCAGATTCTTCTTTACTGCTCACATTCTGTTTACGACAGAGGAGAAAAAATTAAATTAAATGAGGATCATAAACATTTACACAAAACAACCAGTTCAGTGACACAACCTTCTCACGACTTCTATGACCTGAGGTAACGCGCAGATGATAACTTCATTGCTTTAAAACTTTTTTACAGAAAAAAAACAATAACAAAACCTTCTTGTGTCAAGACAAGAGAGAGAACTCGTGTCTACAAGTGCGTTATTAATATCCTTAAAAAATTCTCTCTAACATGATACTTTTTTTGACATCAAATTTAGGTTGCCTGATCAATTTACAAAGTTATGTTTGAGTGTTTTTCGATCTGAATTGACAAAAATTGCAAATAAGTTGAATCAACAACAAAAAAAAACTCCATTTTAATACCTCTTACCTCAAATGCCATCAAAGTGTCATCTAAGAGAACTGCGTGAAACAAGGCGTTCTTTCCTTTCGCCAGGCTTTCACCAAAGATTCCCAGTTGCATTCGCTTTTTGTCTTCTTTCTCTGGAGTTCCGAATACAGCAAATTCGTGTTCTTCTTCCGGCCAAGGAATGGTTAAATTTATAAAGTTATGATCTATTTCTGTAGTGGCACCCGGGTAATGCACCGAGATATTTTGCCATTTCGCAACATTACCACCTTTCGGCCTAAACTTTACCTCCATTTTCCACTCGCTTTTAGATCCATTTAAAGCACTGTGCTCCATCCGGAAATGGATTGAATCACCCCTCTGCCCACGATTTACACTGTATAATCCTATAAATACAGAAACAAAAACAAAAACAGAAAGTAGACAACAACTTTAATAATAATAATAATAATAATAATAATAATAATAATAATAATAAGAAGAAGAAGAAATAATAATAATAATAATAATAATAATAAGATGTAATAATAATAATAATAACAAATAATAATAATAATAATAATAAGAAGAAGAAGAAACATATATTGAATAGCCATCAAGGGAGAATCGTGAAAAAATGTTCTTTTCACCTCGGTTATTTGATTAGTTGCATCTGAAATTTTGACAGTGTTTCCTTCATTGATAGCCAGTTTGCTGGGGCGAGGGTTAAACCTATTAAAGTGAGCTCTCACGTTTAATCATACTTTTAAGTCGCTATTTCTTCCTGAGTTTGCTGAAACGTTAGATTTTGTCCTCTCCAATCGCCAACGCCTGCCTGATAAAAGCATCCTCCATCGGAAAAGCACTAAGAAAAATTATATTTACGTTTCGTAACTTGCCAAAAACAATCGTGTTATAAAGCCAAAATATTATCAGGTTATACTTCGCTAATTCAAAAGTTAAGCAATTTTCAAAACGCTTTGACTGGAACAATATTTTTACTGCTATATAAACCAACGGAGGCATCGGGAAAGGCATCGATGACACCGGGAAAGGCATCAAGAAGAATGATATTTACGATATGTAGCTTGTTGTATGATGAAAAAAAGTATCTTGACTTGTTTAAGGCGTTAATCACAGTCGGTTTGCTTTTCACTTGACCTTTGCAATCTTCACTTTCGATTCCGGAAAAATGAAAAGCTAAGCAACGCTGAAAAAAATTCGTTCTAGATTTTTATATTTTTAGAGTCATTAATAAGTTTGTATCCACAGCCTTTAGATAAGAAATTTTAAATTTCCATCAGCTGTAGTTCTTTTAGTGTTTATTATACATATTGAATCGCCTCATTTCACGTGAAAAAGACATCTAGGAAAACACTGAGCTTCGAGAAACAGCTAAGTTAAGGCTTATGTGTTTACCATGGTTAAATAATTATAATCAGGGCCACTCGTTTAGGAGACCGTTTTTCAGAAGATCCAGGCGTTAAAATAATTCTGTTTTCCGTTCGAAGTGTTTTTTCCTATTTTACTTAACAAATGAACTCGGGATGAAAACTTAACTTTCGAAGCGAACGGCAGATGAAATGTTGTGTTGGTGTCTCTGTCCCCACCACGTCTCTGCGAAAGGTATATCCAGACAACCTGCATGGAAAAACTGACCACAGCAATCGCACCAAATTTTTTTTAAAAAAATTTTAAAACTAAACGGGTGAGCAGCACTCTGCGAACGGTAGTTGTAAAATTTCTTTATTCTCCGACGCGTTTCGTCTAACTGCCGTAGACTTCTTCGGGGAGTTTTACAATTTAACACTTAACACCTATATTTATAAGCCATAGTTAGTGGTTATACGGGAGCCAATGACCATAAAGGCTTGGCCAGACCTACGAATACGAACAGGTGAAGTTGCGGAAAATTTAAGAAATTTTTGGGGCAAGGTGGGAGAATTCATTTGGGGACCACGGTTTTGGTTTTCTTTTTTCGTCTTGCAGCAAGTTACAAAACGTAAATATAATTCTTTTAAGTGTCTTTCCGGATGCCACCGATGCCTTTTCCGATACCTCTATTGTTTATTACAGCAGTAAAAGATATATATATGTGCCATCTACACTTTTGAAAAATTGCTTAACATTTTATTTAGCGAAGTATACTGTTGATAGTTCGTCTTTACAACACTATTTTTTTCCGCAACTATAACTGATATGTCTCTATACGAAGTACTAAATTTGTTCCCCCGCTAACCACTCGTATTTCGGTCTTTTCTTCTTCCCCCACTCGTCGCCCGTGATGTAGTAACTCCCGCTTCGACGATGAGGCCATCTTCGACGGTGAAATTTGAGCACTCAAATGAACGTTGTGTAGCACACATTTAACTGTCACCCTTCAAACTCGCTACATGATTTGTTTAAACCTTTTAACGTCATACACACCAAATTTGGAAGGAATCAGGAGTAACGTAATATTCGACGAGACAACCGGAAATGATGGGTGGAATTCCACCCATAGGCTGTCGCCCTTCAAACTCGCTACATGATTTGTTTAACCTTTTAACGTCATACACACCAAATTTGGAAGGAATAAGGAGTAACGCAGTATTCGACGAGACAACCGGAAATGATGGGTGGAATTCCACCCATAGGCGCGGGGGCTGCCGGGATAGAGTTTTAATAGCAACAAATTAACTCAGGTATGAATCTCCACGAAAAGTACCAGTCGGGTATTTGAATATAGAAGTAATTTGATCTTTTGTGATGTCTCGACACTAATTTTTAACCCATACGTGATTAGTGGCGTGACCAACTTTTTCATGTCGTAGTTTAACGGCTGAGAAGAAAAAACACGGATTTGCTGATACAAAAAATGATGGGTTTTTGACCAATCAGGACGCTCGTAATACCTCGGTTATTTTATGCCTTTATTTATTTGGAAAATCGTAAAATAATGCGAATCAAAGCGAATTTCGCTGTCCATTTAACTTACGGAGTAAAGCAAAATAAGATGACCAACATCTTAGATGGAATTTGTCGCTTGTATTAGTTAGTTTTAGACACATGGTAAATAATCACGATCCTGGCGGCATCAGTCACTGGTATGCATTGGCTCGTAATGCTGAGCATGGAAACCGAAAAAACAGAGAAACAAACAAACAAAAATAACAAAATGACCAAAAAAATTTAATGAATATGGAAGATGTATGGCTATTTAAAATAGGGACAAAAATAAACGATTATTTGTTGTATACAATTTTTATCCTATCTGCCTCACCTCAGTTTTTCACCTGTTTGGGTGAAATGTGCTCCTTCGTGCGGAGCAATTTGGCCAGGCAAAATTGATTTGATATAAGAAAGAATAAAAAATATATATACATTTTTTTTTTGTTTTGATGCAATTGAAATACCAGAACCTCTCTTATGATCAGACAGATGTAAATGAAACATGGTATGTTTACCTGTTGACTAAGTATTTGTATATTTGCAAGCTAAGATATTGAGGTCCTTTAAGGCACATTGAGCTATCGCATTCACTCATATACACTCTGCTGTTGCTGTTATTTTTTTTACACCTTTCGATACATTATCTGGTAAACATAAAATCCGAGAAGTTTTGGAGTCAAGTAATTATTTTTTACGTAAGTTTAGAGTCAATACATAGTGACACAATTTAAATTAACTGCAATATACTCAATATCGGATCGTTCAACCTCATTCTGGAGATCGGTTCTTACACAAACAGCCTGTTAAAGATAAGTTCTTCCTTATTTTATTCCTCCTATGAGTGATGAAGTTTCTTTTCTGTATGTAATGAAGTTTCTTTGTTTTAGGCAACTGCATCATGTCCCAGTTTCTTGGGCGGAGTAAACAAGGAGACAAAGGCTATCAGCTGTTTCTGACATTCAGTGAACTTACGAAGGACTTTCATGTCACCATTCTAAGGAAGAGGGATAAAATTGACTTTGAAGAATATCTTAAGGTACAAGCATGAATCTATTTTGGACAAAACCTGAGCATGCTTTAATTCGGATCAGATCAATTTAACACTAACCAGCCTGAATAGACTGAATTGATGGTCATAACACTTAAAAAAGTCTTTAGAAATTGAATTATATTGAAAAAATTAGTGGTTTAGTGATTTTCTGATCAATACTGGAATCCGGTTTAGGTTTTTAGTTCAACTCGATTTTGAAAAAAAAAAGAAAAAAGAACAAAAAATTGTTGGTAAATATACCAGTGATTGATAACTAGACGATGAGCTCTCTTAGCAAAAAGGACAACTTCGTTTAACCAGACACAACGAGACAATGGTTAAGAGAAATTTATAGACTTTCGAGTTGAAGGAGAAGCAACTAGAGCATTAAGTCAATTTGCAAATGTTCACATTTTTTTTTAGGCTGTTGAAAAAAAAATCAAAGGATCACGTTGCGTTTGGAATGGGAACTTCCAAGGAATAGGTCAAAATCCACAGGGCAAGAAGGTGGCAGAAGAAAATGATACTTCGAGAGAGGTTTTATTTGAAATATTCCTAATGGACCATCTTCAACTATATGAAATTAAAGAGTGTGTTGCAGTTCCCCAAATGCCCTTCGCAGACTTGTAGGGAGTTGATGCTTGTTTACTTTGGTGTTTGTTGTTTTTTGACTCGTATTTTATTTATCTGTTTATTCCAGTCTGTGGAAAATCGATTTGACTTCTTGACGGATATATTAACCTCGGCATTGCTCTCATCTGTACCCAGCAGTATAGCTCATCTACTTCATCTTAGTATTTATCGTTAATCACTACATTTTTAAATCGTTCTTGGTGGGGAAGGGGGGGGGGGGTTATTGTTTAGGGATCTAGGGGAAGGCGAAGCAAAAAGGCCAATAGTCTCAAGCATAATGGGGTCTCAATGAAGTTAACCGTTAGCCTGAAAAGTTAGCCGTAAGGCGTATAAATTGATCGATTTTTGATTTTAACCGATAGTCGTAAAATCCATAATCCTATTGACACCCTCATATCTCTACGTATGAGGGTTGATAATTTCGCTTTATCTGAAATAATGGAGTATACAGAAGAAATATCAAGTTAACAATTTTTCTCCACTTTCACTCTTCTCAGATTCTGTTAATGCAAAATTTGAATTAAAATCACTTGAGGATCTAAAACATGTGAAGCGATGATCTTAGCTACAGAGTGATATTTACTAAAAGATTTGTTGTTCCATATAACAAAGTTTTTTGTTCAACTCGATTTTGAAAAAAGAAAAAAAAAAAAAAGGAAAGAAGAAAAAAGAACAAAAAACTATTGGTAAATATACCAGCGATTGATAACTGGACGATTATAGCTCTCTTAGCAAAAAGGGCAACTTCGTTTAATTAGACATAACGAAAAAATTGGTTAAGAGAAATTTATAGACTTTCGAGTTGAAGGGGAAGCAACTAGAGCATTAAGTCAATTTGCAAATGTTCACAATATTCAGGTTTACTAGCTTCAACCCTAGTTGTGATATGGCTGCTAATTTTACCATCTTGAAGAATAGTTTCCATTCATATGCTTCTAAACCTTTTTTTTTTTTTTTTTTTTTTTTTTTAAGGCTGGATTAGGTCAAAATCCAGATGGCAAGAAGGTGGGAGAAGAAAATGATACTTCAGGAGAGGTAATATTTGAAATATTCCTAACGAACCATCTTATATTAACAACTATATGTAATTAAAAAGTGTTTTGCAGTTCCCCACATGCCCTCCGCTTGTTTATTTAGGTGTTGGCTGTTTGTTGATTCGTATTTTATTTATCTATTTATTCTAGTCTGTGGAAAATCGATTTGACCTCTTGACGGATACATTAACCTCGGCATTTCTCTCATCTGTACCCATCTGTACCCAGTAGTATAACATCTACTTCATCTTAGTATTTATCGTTAATCACTATATTTTAAAATCGTTCTTGGTGGGGGGGTATAGGTTATTGTTTAGGGATCTAGGGAAAAGTGAAGCAAAAAGGCTAATAGTCTAAAGCATAATGGGGTCTCAATGGAGTTAACCGTTAGCCTAAAAAGTAAGCCGTAAGGCGTATAAATTGATCGATTTTAATAGTAAGTCGTAAAATAATTATTTACTTATTTATTTGTCTGTTTCGTTAGCTGCGCTGTAGGTTGGTCAAAATTTTAACCGATAGTCGTAAAAGCCATAATCCTATTGACACCCTCATATCTCTACGTACGAGGGTTGATAATTTTGTTTTATCTGAAATACTGGAGTATACAGAAGAAATATCAAGTTAACAATTTTTCTCCACTTTCACTCTTCTCAGATTCTGTTAATGCAAAATTTGAATTAAAATCACTTAAGGATCTACAACATGTGAAGCGATGATCTTAGCTACAGAGTGATATTTACTAAAAGCTTTATTGTTCCACATAGCAAGATTTTAATGATTTAATTTATCTTCAAACATGGATGAGGTAGGGAGGGAGGGGGGGGGGAGAGACCAAAAATTCATCGCAGGTTGCATGAGTAGGAGGGGTGAAGTTGATGGTCTTTAAAAAATGCGAGGCAACAGCGCCATTAGTTCAAAGTACAAGAGTATCCCGTTAAGGTGGCTTGGCCACATTTACGCCTGGGCTGTAAACGAATACAATTCCTGGTTAAAAGTTTCTTTTCGCCGCAACGTTATGAGGGGGTGGGAGGTGGGGATAAAAGAATAAGTAAAAAGACTGAAAATGAAAGTGTTACTGTTCTAAGTTATGATACATTTTAGTATATATTAAAATGGGTGCACAGTTCAATTTATTGGAATTCAAAGGTCTGTGTTATACCTCCATTTATAAGTACATTTTCAGAACGCGGATGGGAAGTAGGGCCGAATTTACCGCAGCACGCAAACATGAGTGGTGGTTAATGTCTGTGGAAAGGTGTGGCAATTGAACTATGTGTTCAAAGTTGTAAGAGCATACTATTTGGTTGTATTGCCCATTGTATTGTAATGTCCAGTTAACCTTTTGTCTCCGCTTTCACCATTTATAGGAATATCAAAGACCAAATTTCTTTAAAGTGGATATGAAATCAGGGTCACTCGAGGATTCACAGCTGGTAATGCGATGATCAAACGATAAACCTACCCTACAGGAATTGATTTAAACAAAGTAAAAGCTTTAAACAATGAGAATTTAATTAATGGCCATCATTTAATGTTCCTATAAAAGCTGTAATAAGCCATTGTTTTTCATTGATGTATCAATGTGGCCGCACGGTTGCATTTATTGTAATCAACGATTGAATTATATGGTGAATCTATTTAATAGGCATTATTTTAAGTAAGTTATGGTTACAATCATGATTAGGGCAGGAATCGAATCCTTCTATCAAGTCCACGATTTCCTTTTTAATACTCTTTCAGTTTGATAAAGAAAAAATTGAAGAAATGAATTTTGGGGAAAGCCAGAGATTTATTCTCCTAGCAAACTGCAATGCTTCACGTATTACCTCGAAATTAGCAGTCATGGACGGCAAAGACACAGTTCTTGAGGATGAGATTTCGATTGATTTATTGGTGGGTATCTCTATTTTGATAATTACTATCATTTTGTTAATTTGTTACAAATTGTTAGGATAATGATCAGATAAACAATAACTTCATCGCGGCTAGCTGAAAGAGTGAAATTACAAACGATGTTTCCCGAGCCCTCATTCTATTTGCTAACCTTTTCGTTCCGTTTCTTTGATTTTCAAAGACCCGTCCTAGTGGCAATACAACATGACAGCTAAGGGATAATTGTAGGCCTCGTATATTACCTATATTGATCAAATCTGGCATTCCCAAAGCTAGTGTTTTAAAACGCGAGTAAATACTAAGATTTAAGTCTTGAAGAAATCGGAATGGTCTGGCTGGCCTTCGAAAGGGTGCTCCATTGTTTAGTGCGGGGAAATCTAGTTATGAGAAAAGTTTAATTGAGCAACGTAAATTGCACTTATTAGAAAGAAACATTTGACCAACCTAAGGAAAATATGAAACCCGGCCATTACTCGAACTGAAGGGCGGCCAAGTATATCTTCAGCGCGCATCTGGAAGGAAGAGCCCCAATTTCCGACTAAGTCTTATTTGACTTCTCTGGTACATTTACATACCACTGATGATCCAGTTTTGTTATAAATACCAAAAACCCACCGACTTCATTTTTTCCCTAAAATTTGGCTGCGTAACTCACTCGATAATAGTGCCCTACTAGCTTCCGAGTGGCACGAGTTTTTTTCCCCAGTGATAACTCGCTATACCTGAGTTTTTCTTTGATCAGTTCTTTTTTTTTCTTTATCTTCGTTTAGGCCATAGGTTGGACTAAGTTGTTACTTGTTCCCGTGCATTGAACTATACGCTTATAATAGTAGTTGTAAATTCTAAAAATGGATATTTGACAGGGCAATATTTTTCAAAAGGAAGAAAATACAACCTGATTACAAATTGTGAATAGTTTTAGATATTTGCACTCTTAACATGTATTTTCTGTCAATGTAGGTCTCCAATAGAAAACCGAGTGGAGAAAAAATCGCCGTTGAAAATTATTCTGATGTTTCATGTGATAGAGGGGGTTATAGTGAACAAGAGCCAATCATGCCCTGAAGTCCCCTTTTTTTGTTCGGCTGTTGTTATCTTTGTTTGTGTAATAAAGCAAATGAAAAATATTAACCATCGGTGATGTTTGCAGTTGTTGACTGGAACTTTCTTTGTTGATTACGTACTGTCCTCTTATTGTCAAAAATTTTCTTCACAGCGGTTTAGTTTTTACCGTCCATTCTTTCCACCAAACAGAGCCGTGAGTCCTTTGAGTTATGGTTTCATATAAACATCTTAAAAAACAAAGTGACATAAAAATGAAAATACAGTTTACCAGACAGCCAATTGATTGAATACTGTGACGTGTTGTACATAGCATCATGTGTGACATAAATCCCTTCCGATAATGTTTGCAAGCATGTACTGATTCAGTGGGTAATTTAATTGGGTTGGAATGGAGTATTACACTTAAGACCATTTTGAGCATATATATATCTTATGTGCCCGCTGGAAAGTTCTGCATGATGAAGAAGTGTGACCGAGCCTTGAAAATTAAATTTTCCAACTTCATAGATTCTAATTAATCATAACCATTACAATTTCTCCAATGTGAATTGCGCATCAGCGGCCTTTTTCTAATTTTTTACAGTTGAATTCTGACAGTTGGCTGTGATCGTACACCTGTAACTTGACAGTTGAAGTAGCCAACCATCTAAGCTAAATCCAACAATCACAGAATTGGTCGAATTGTTTACAATAACTATGGCAACATCCACTTATCCTGAAAAATAATAATGATAGTGAAAAACTAGGGAATTTCCAAAATGGAGGAATTTTTGCTTTAGACGTTGTCTCGACCGATTATTTTTGTTAAGATGTATTCGTTTTTTGTTTTGTTTTTTCAGAAATTGCAACGGTTATGATTAATTGTTAACAGGACTGTGTGTCGTCCAATTCTGTCTGTAATCATACTTGCGATTGATAAATCAGACTACAGCTTCGCTATGGCCCGATTTTGTTTATCACTCGTATACGATTACAAACCGAATTGGACTCCACTCAGTCCTATTACCATTATTTACAGACCGACCAATGCAGGCTAAGCAAGAAAATCAGATGATTTGGTTTGTCAACTGTGTTGATAAAGTGAATCGGACACCGCTCTAAAGCTGACGTTACGAGGGTTAGCCTCTCGTCAAACCGTATCGTTTTTTTAATCCCTTCTCTCAAGTTACTTTGCAAGTAGGAAATTGGTTTCTACATCTAACTTTCCACCTATAATTGTATAAAATAATAGAATAGAAACCGAAGCAATTCATGAGAGAAATTCGCGTTAGGCCTCTGCTTGTCTCAAAAAAAAAACTTCTTTTAGGTTAAGTTTTATGGTCAGGGAGAGAAACAATTAATTAGAGAAATTCATAACAGATAGACAAATGAACTTTCACTGCTTTAAAAACCCGTTTGAATATAGAGTCGACTCTTGATCGTCAAATCTGACCTTCAAGGGAAAATGGAAATAAACGTTGCATGATGGAAATCCAGGGATCTCCATATTGGTTCGTATTAGCGAGGGTTTGAGTTATCGAGAGTCTACTATTACCACAATGACTGGCCTTGCTGTTTAATTCAAGGAAAACAGGGATAAATTTGCGTGGAAAAATCGTCGATAATAACGTAAGAATGGTCAAAATGTTTCGATCGATGGCAGTTCATTAACGAAAATAGTTGAATAAATGATTTGACCTGGGGTTGTCGAGTCATTTGCCGTGTTTACCGTGACTCTGTTTGCAAATAGATGATTTCTCCCTTTAAAAAAGAGGAAGGAAGAAAAAAAAATAGGAGAATGAAAAATCTAGAAACGTGTATCTTTTTAGTTTGATCTCCGTAAGGCCATTGCATGAGAACTCAAAGTTAAATCAAGAAAACCACCGATGAACACGCGGGAAAACGCAGGTAACCAAGTCGTAAATGGTTAGTCTTGACCAATTGCAAAGCAAAGTTGCACAAAACCAAAGCAATCCTGGATTACTTTATTTTTCAGTTGAAATTTGCTCGAAGATTACTCTTCTGTCTGGAGATTCCACATCATCAGGAAATTTTCCGGTATGAGCGTGGTTAAAAGTGAATCTTTCATAGGGAAATAACGGCGTATGGGTCTGTCTAAGGCACTAGATCCAGTTATAAGAGCGCCTAAGACTGATAGAGCCATTAAAAGGGTTTAAAAGACAGGATTAACAACCATGACCCCTCCAATGAGTGGAACTGAAACTTGGTCTAGATTGTGAGCTCAAGAACCAAATGCAAAAAGATTGTTAGCCCATTCCTGGGAATAATTATTTATTTCATCTTAGAATATAAATATATGTTTAACTGTCGTTCAATATTATTCCGAAAACGATATAGATTACTCTTCAATACATTAATTAATTCATTAAAGTTCTTTCCTTTTATGTGTGACGACTACCATATATATTATCAATTCTGTTTGCACGAACCAAATATTTGTGAGAGTGTTAAACTCTGTCAACTTAAGTTTTACCCTGGCTTACATCGTTTCCCTTAGGTGTTATTTGGTCTCTGATAAGTAAACCAAAACAATTGATTTTTTTATCAATTTTCTATCCATGAATGGCATTTGTCAAGATTCAGAAACGAAGTTTTCGGGCTGTTTTCTTTCAGTTAAGTATACTTTCGACTTAAAAAGGCTCAGCCAAAAACCTGACTCTTTTACTAGGCAACTGCAAAAACTTACTATGCCAAAAGAGAAACGCCAACTTTTGGCTTTTGATGACTCCCAGTTAGGTTTTGAATTTCTCTTGAAATGGATTAAAAATTAGATTTTTTCCGAATGTTCCCCTTCTTTAAAAGGCTAATAGAGTAATTTGCATCGTTAGCGAACGTCTTTCATCAGACAGAATTAGGAATGAGTAATGTCTATAATTCGTACTGTCTTCAGTTTTGATAGCTTAACTAACTTTGTGGGTGAATTGTCCCTCGCTTTATATACGTAAGTCAGCTAGCTTTTGGGTGAAATTTGTGTCGGAACTTTAAGCAAGAAACAGAACAGACGATAATGCAAGCACATACAAGCTAACGATGATATGGTAAGGTGTATCAATTGGGATGCATTGATTATTCACGTAATCCACTACGCGTTTACATTTAAAATTCCATTCTCGCTCAGTGAGTCTGATCACTGAGTGTCACTTTTTCTATGCAAAACTCGAGAGAAGATAGAAGTATGTATCTGGACATGACGTAATTCTATCATGATTTTTTCTTAAGTTATTCCAAGCGACTCATTGGTAATAAGTTACTTATATGATATTTCTCATTTAAAAAAATAATAGTGACATTATTTTAAACCGAAAACTACAACATACACCTCATTACTTTTACTAATGCAAGTGGTAAAAAGGATTTATTTTGTATTTTTTACTCAAATTTTTACATGACAGAATATTTTTTCTTTTATGAGTGAGTTATCCTGGAAGATGTGTTCAGTGTGACCAGACTAAGGCTCGCTTTTCTTCGTTACAAATGGTGGCGTACTGGGCTGATCCTGTAAGCAAAAAATAAGTTGATGGCAAAATTTAAGTAACTTTACAAAAAGGTAACCCTATGGAGCTTAACTAAACATGGGTTGGGAACCACTCGTCAGTTATTAGTCTAATCTTATCCAAACTTCTTTCCCACAAAAAAAAAAACAAAAACAAACACAAACATTTAATGAAGAAAAAACATATTTCGGATAAAAATCGTCCATCGTCAGTTGTATAATGAGAAATTAAAATGAAATATATATATCTCTGCTTGCTTTGTTTTTTTTAAGTCAGCTGGTGCACTACCATTATCGTCAGGGGAACAGAATAGAATAGAATAACAAAGCTCTTACCTTTTAAACGCGTGCGTTTGCATCCTGGGGCCAGAAGAGCAGCTATGAGGATTAAGGTGTTTATCTCTATAATGTAATTCAAGTTGTTAATAATTAGCGCTAGCAATATATTAGCCTACTTGCAACTGGTAGACTTTTTTTCAACTTTTTTTTCCCGTTTTATCTGTCACATAATTTTCAAGATTATACATAAGAATACATTGGCGGCTAGTAAACATTTTATTCAACCAATAGCTGAGCCGTTAATCGTCCTAAGAGCATCAGTATCCGGCTTTGATAAGTGAAGAGGTGGTAAAATAACTAGGTATGTAACCCAATTTCTGATCAATAACTTTTCCAAATGCCTTGTTAATCAGACAGAACTCAAGTTGTCAGTGAAGGTTTCACTTCAACAGGATATGGCTCGCAAATATTTCTTGGGGTGATATAGTTTTTAATCATATCCTTGTACTCAGTGCTGCTGACGATGTTGTTGTTATCGTTCTTGATGTTTTTGTTGTAGTTTTTTTATTTTTATTTTTTATTTTTTATTTTTTATTTTGTCTAATAGAAAAGAACAGGAATAAAGTGTCTTACCATTTCTCGCATATTGGGTGGTGTTTTCCAGTGTCTGAAGCGCTTTAGATGGTTGGTTGACTTGTCCTCTTTTTCTCTCCTGTATAAATATGATAAATAAGCATGCTTACTTTAATAAATACTTTTGAGTTTCTTGAAAATCTCCATTTCACAACATATGTGCCATCTAAGCCATCTTAGCCTAGAACGCAATATTTCCTCTGCCATAGCAAAATCAACGCATTTCATCGAAGCCAATAGGTTTTTTTTTTCATATTCTTGCAGCTAAATATTTTATGGAGTGGCATATATTTGTATAATTTGTCTTCGCATGAAGTGACAAGAAAATGACCGCAAGCAAACTTTTATTTATTCTAATCTCCGAGGGCTCGCGCTTCGAACACTCTTCGCGCCTTTTGCCTCGCTCTCTCTTTAACAACCTTCGCCTGCATCGTCACAAATTGATGCAAATTCTCATATCATAGACCTACATGTTCGAAATATGCCACTAGTTCTGTGTTAGCCTGATCTCTTCCATGCGATGCTGTTATTCCACAAAAGAATGCTTGCTTCGATTTGTTGGCGTGTTCGATGATGATTTGGCAATGAGGAAAACCTTTAGAATTTTCAAGCGAGTGCCAGGCATCTTTTGCTGTAATCGTCTGTAATTCAAACAAGGTAAAAAAAAAAATCAACGTCACGACAAAATGTGCCACGGAAGAGCCCTAAGTTTTAAGTATTCTGTTAAGTATTAAGTATTCTCAACGGAGATCGAGGAAAGAGATCATTTGTATCACCTCGTTTTTCAACAAGTGTTTCGGGAGTAAAGCTCAACTTTAGATCGTCGAGGAACAAATTGGTGTAATAAAATGAACAATGTGTATACCTGAACTTTGTTTCCTTTGACTTTCCATCCAGGTTCAATGGGGTTGATTTCAATTCTGATTTCTTCGTTACTGTTTGACACAAATAAACCAGCGAGGGTTGTTAACAAGTTGTTTCCTAAACTCGCTTCTTTGTCGCAGACGTTCTATTTGATAGAAAGGAAGAAATATCAATTTATATTCCAAGAACGAAAAAAGGCACTGTGGGAGTGCATTTATTGTAGAAAAAGATAGATTCAAATTTTTACCTCAAGCTTGAGTCTGAGGAAGTTTACCAAGTATAATAACAACCGGTCTTACCTCAAAAGCTGTAGTCGAGTCGTCTATGAGATAAATCTTTAATTTCCAGTCTCTTCCTTGGGTTGGTTTTTTTCCAAAGATTGCCATTTTCATTCGTTTCTGGTCTATTGTTCCTGGAATTCCAAAAGCTGCAATTTCAATGTCCTCATTCAGTTGGGGAAGAGTCACAACAACGTCGTTATGTTTCTGTTCTACTTTGGCATCTGGAATAACATCGGTGACTTCTCTCCAACCGCTTGTGTGTGTAGTCTTTCTTTCTTGGTGACTTGATGTGGTTCGACATTGGACAAAAAATTTCCATTCGTGTCCACGCGCTACTAGACAACTGTGCTGGATCACAACGGTAGGAGGAGCAGTGCTGTCTTTGAAGGCTTTGTATATGTTACTGACTTGGTACAAGTGTGATTTCCGAACCTCGGTATTTGCCGAATCTGTTAAACCAAAATGTTGGACGAATTTATACATGTTCAATGTGGGGCTCGTTTTCATAAGATTTTTCTTTCCTCTTTTTTGGCCATACTTATCCCTACATTCATCTGCATGTTATGAGGGCGTAACGACTCTTGCTGAGGCCCGCTTACTTGAACCTCGGATGATATTCTCATACTGAGGTCACTTCCGTTCGATATTTTAAATCCGCCAACACTAGTGGTTTTTAAAAAATAGCATATTAAAACATCTTTGACAGTTTACGCGTTTAAAAATCTTTCATCGTTACCTTCAATCAAGTATGCGCTTAAAAATCTTTCATCGTTGCCTTTAATCAAGAATTATTGGGTAAAGTGAAATGATGGTTGTAGCAAATTTTTAGCGGACTGCTTAAAAAAATTGATTTCGGTTGTACATCCGGTCTTTCCTGTTATTCTGAGTGAACTATTGCATATCTGACACGTTGTCATATTCTCCTTTTTTTTCCTTCAGTTTTCATCAAGACTTGCAAGCAAATGGCGTTGGAAAATTATATATGCATTCATAAAACATCATTTTCGATTTGTTTTCCACGGTCCAAATTTATTGATAATTTTTTTTCTTTCATACTCGCATATATTGTGCATCCGATAAAAAATAAAAGAAAGAAACTTTAATCTTACCATTTCCCATAGAGGACCACTTTGTTTTAACTCCGCAGAGTAGATCGTCTGCGATCTACCTGAAGCGTTGCGATCTGTCCTCTCCGTAATTTATATTAACGGAGGTTGCTACCAAAATAGATTTTGTGGTGCAAATATTGTTTACAAGGGAAGGTCAAAGTCAATTTCGTTTGAACACGTACCTATTGTTAGATCAGAAACTAATATACCAAACGCCTTGGTGGAAACACTTGATATTACCATTTGAAAGAATCGAAATTGAAAAGGGGTTTTTCCCATCGTTTCAGCTGTCACCCACGCGCCGCACGCATTGGTCCTTTGGTTGTCACCTCAGAAACCAAACAATACAACACTTGCTTGTCTAGGCACATCTATTTGGTTTCCGGTTTCAAAAGAAATGTTCTCGAATTTTTACACATGTTCTCAACAAGTGAAAGAATAACATAGGTTCTGGATCATTGACACTATAAGACACATTATTTTTAAAGTTTAAACCCAGATTAACTTGGTGTTTCGACAAAATCTTTAAAATGACCTCGAAATATTTTCGTCTTTTGTTTGTCAGAGGGATTTTTCCCTCCTAAACAAAAATGCGCTTATCAGGCACTTTTAGCGGATATCAATATTGATAACGGTCAGTTATGCAAATCTGTCGGGGATTCCCCCAAGATGTTAAAGATGATAAAGTTTCGATTGCTCCATTCGTGTCGTTACCCTGTCACGAGCCCATCCGGTTAGAAAAAGAGGATAGAAACTCTTAAGAATAGTAATCAAATTAGAAAACGAAACTTATTTTACATAAGTTTAACAAAAGCTGTCCTTGATTGACCTTAACAGGGGACGAATAGTCACGTGATTCTAAAAAGAAAATATCTGGTGATAAGACGGTACGGTAGAGACTGACTCGCTGGTTATAAATCTTACGAAGGCAAGAGAGTAAGAATTCGCCTTAAACTATCCATCTGTTCAAAACGATTTGTCCACTCTGATTAGGCGCGAATATAAGGGGTGAGAATTTAGAGAATCAGGCATCAAGAGAATAACTGCAGTATTGAAGCGGACAGACAGAGAACTAAAGACTTTTTGGGAGAGTTTTCAAGTGGTAGGTTCTTTAAGACAATATCGAATGCAGCAGAAACACTTTTTAGTTTGTTACCTCTGAGCTTGCATAAAAGCGCAGTTTTTGTTAACAACCCGGTTAAATATTCGTTGAGAACTGATTTTAGTTTGTATTTATTTTAACCTATTTGGATTCCATGCCAGCTGTATTATCCATCTGTGAGTACTTCCTTAAGTCCATATAGAGCCCATGCGTTGCTTCGCGATTTAAAAAAAAATTCATTCAAACAAATAGATACTATTCCATTAAGTCACGCTATTTAAATGGCTGAAAAAGCTCGGTCGTTTATAAACGTAAACCAGATAACACATATTCATGGACTTTTGCCCTTTTGATGGATTTTAAGAGCACAGTTGGAGAGTTTAAAGCGGCGTGATAATTCAGGTCATGTGACGGGTTGGTTCTCTTAATTTTGGAACGTATTTTAAAACCGGGAATCGAAAGTGCTGTGTCATCGAAAACAAAAAAAGCATTGGCACGTGGAGGAACTCAAGGGGATTACCCTTGACAATGCCAGCTCAGTATAAAAAAAAAAAAAAACAAACAAAAAAACCTGGATCATATTCTATTCATCTGTACCTCTGCTAAGAGAGAAGAATCGGAGTGGAATAGAATAACGGTCAGCTCTCCTTTATAGGAAAGAAAGTAAATCGTCGAAAGAAAGCGTGAGTGTAATTTATAGGCCGGTCAATCAACATCCTATATAGCAAAGCTTCTATTAGGGATCACCACTTACGTTAAATTGTGAACTCTCTTTGTAGTAACAGGTGACTACTTATACTCTAATTTTCTTAACTTATCCTGCGCAATCCACTGATGCCTACTATCGATCAAGATCTTCGCCTGTGGCTAAGGTATTTTGTATCGTAAAGCACTACGTCTGATATCGTACAGTGCATTTTGCTGTCTAGAAATCGTCAAATCGATCGGAAGTGCGAAAAGCGAAAAGGCCTGTCACTGATTTGTCACAAACAAGCTTTAACATCGCGTGAGCAGGTTATTCGGTTTGCGTTTTGAAAGGGTTTTTATCGAAATCAATGATATGTATTTCAATGTCACGCGCATAACACCGATTGTTAAGTACCCGTCACGAAATTTTAAGCCTCGAAAAAGTGCAGAAGATACAGCTTTGTTCTCTAATTATTTTTTAAATTTCTGACCTTGTTTTTTTTTTCTGATGGTTATTTTGGTTGCATGCTTTATGAGTTTCACAATTCGCCGGTGAAAGAGACGAAAAATGATCGAGGTTTTGCATCTTATCGCTCCGGGTTACATTTCACCGAAAAGGAAATCGAAAGTGCAGTGTTTCAAAACACAGAAGGGAAAACCTTCTTTCTGTGACCCATGTAACTAAAAACACTTCAAAGGTCACAATAACAATAAATAGAAAACGAAAATGACAGAAATAAGATAAAAATAGATGAAAACAGTTTGACGTAAGAGAGCAAAGAGGGTGCTAGGGGATTCCCCGTGCAACACAATGGCGAAATGAAACCATTGTAGTTGTGTTCGAACTCTTCCTTACGATTTATCAGCTGTATTTACCTGAGGGAAGGCTAGGACATTTTGAACTCATCTTGACACTAAAGTCAACATTTAAACTGCCCAGCCAAAAAAGAACTTTGAGCCAGCGAAATCAGAAAAGATCGAGACGAAATCAAATCATCACAAAAGCGTGTGAGGTCAGTAAATCTGTTTATCACTCGGTTTATGCTATCTAAATTTACTAATGATGAGATTCGAAGAAAAGTTGATATCATGCTGGTGACTAGCCTGTGTTAATTTCATCTCGAACACAAAGCGATTTGTGGTGAGATATGGCTGATCTTTCAAGTTTCATCCGGGGGTTGGTGTGTTATTCTAATCTCTTACATTGTTGCTCATTAAAATTCGAAACTGCTTGGCTTTTGTATGTTCCAAACAGGCAGATACTGCCTATTCCCCAGTTGTTGTAGGTAATTTTTACGGGAAGTTCTCCATCGATTATTTTAAAAGGACGAAGGGAAAATTCGAGCGTAACAAGGGAGGGAGATGAGACGGGGGAGAGGAGACGATCACCCCTTCCCCCCACCCCGCTTCGCTGTTTGCAACTTTGCACTCGGTCCAGCTCGGTCCAGCTCGGTCCAGCTCGGTCCAGCTCGGTCCAGCTCGGTCCAGGCTTCCTCGTTCAAGTGATCCAACATGGCTGACTAAGGGTGCGCATTAGCACAAATAGTTCACAATTATTTCATTTAATTTGGCCAAAATTAGCGGTTAATTCTCTTAGCTCTACCTTGTTTACAAGAGCGTCTCGATAAAATAGTTTCCTTCCTTCCTCCAACAGGAAAATGGATGAAGACGAGCCGGTCGCTAAAAGAGCATGCTTGGGTTGTGAGGATGACTACATTATGGATATATACAGCCTCGTACAGCCAGGACAACAGAGCCAGCTTTACCTCTATCTAACCAAAAGTGGAGGCCAGAGCAGAAAAACCTTCCTACAGGTATCTGTAAAAAAGCATCTTGTTCTGTTGTCTTCTCCGAAGAAATGCTGTACCATCAGTCACTTCTCTCTAATTATATAGAACTTATCGAACAAATACTTGAGCTAAACATAGCTTTGATATCAGTTGAGAGCCTTTAAAGAATTCCTGTGCATGGCTGAATCATCTTACCATCTTTGAACTGATTTGAAATCCAACTTTATGACGACAACCTAGGGAAGCTGTGGCGAGTTTTCCTGTGTCTGTCTGGTTTTGTTTTGTCTGTTTGTCTTTGTCTCTGCAGGTAATTTAGTGCTAGCAACTGAGTTGAAAACGTCAATTGGCCACCGTAAAGGGCCAAAAAGTGAAGTTTCGAGCGTTAGCCTTTGTCATCGCTCTAACGAAGGGCTAACGCTCGAAACGTTAGCTTTTTTACCCTTAACGGTGGCCAATTTACGTTTTCAACTCAGTCGTTAACATTAAATTACCTGCTATACTCTCCCACCGACGCACTTTCTTCTTAGAAACTTACCCCCTTTATTCATTTGTCTCCGTTTTATTTTGCTCTTTTGAAGATGGATAATGAATGAAGAGCACAACATTGCTCTCAGACCTGAAAAACTACTCTCGCGTTTGGCTTTGTCACGGTTGTATGTAAAGTAATTTGGAAATTTAGCAGCGCATGAAAATAAGCATTCTTCTCGTTATAAATTTATTGATTCTTCCCAATTGCTCTTTGTGCTAAATATCGAAATTTTAGGTCGCATCTGAGTTTAAAGGACAGAAAGAAATAACAAGTAAGTGATGTCCTGGTTTTATTTCAGGAAGAACAATCTCGACTTGGCATGATGAGGGTCCATGTTGACAAATTCTGTACGAAAGAGAAAGAAGCGCGGTCTATAATTGCTGAGTTGAAAACGGGTGATTTTGGAGCAGTTAAACGGGTAAGAACCATGGGAACATGAGGGGCTGGATTCTGTAAGCTTCATTTCAGTTTGGTCAGTTACAACTTGCGTGGAAGACAGTTAGATTGCCCACTTAAAAAATGAGGTTACTCGGCTGCACATCTGGTTAAAAACGAAATGGCAAGAATCAATTTCGAGGTTTTAATTCGAATTTAAGAGCAAACAAATTAAGGATTATTTGTATCTATGTACATAATAAGCTTTTGTAGGGTAACAGTTTCAGTGGAATCTGTATGCTATCCCTGCAGATTATGAGATCAATACTTGTTCACTCGTGGGTGATCACTTAAAAGAAGTTTGGCTGTAGTCAGAGAATATCACTTTGCTTGACTTTCAATTGTTTTTGTATATGTTGACTCAGATCGAAAGAATAAAGATCGACCAGTTTACACTGCCAGAGAAGTTAACTTACACACTTCCGCATGGCCGCGTAGCCTCGCTGAAGATAATTGTAAAACTGACCAGCGAAAGGGATGAGCTGCTCCTCGAAACGGAGCAGTTGGAGGTAAACCTACCTTCGGTGAGTGGTGTGACATTCAAAAACAATAATGAAATGATAACGTGCATAATTAATCTATGAAGAATCAAGCTCTGAATTAAATTATAATTATAACATCTCTTGGTGGTATAGTTTTATCTATTTAGAATGACAGAATTGACCTGGGGTATCATGTGCCGCAATCAATAAGTGATAATTCGACAGGAAAAGCTTCCCATGACAATCTTATCACTGAAATTCAATGAAAAGCGCCGAGCCTAAAAAATGTTCAAACAGCAACAAAAATTGCAAATATACTTTGCTGGGAAATGAGCTAAGAGGAATCATGCCAACATGGCTGTTCATTCAAAGGATAGTGATGTATAAAGAAGCTGCAGTTTAACGTTGGTATCATAATTTACCTTCTCCGTTATCTTTCTCATATCTTGCCATCTTAAGAAGATTAGGTTTCTCATTGACAAAAAAATTTAAATTTGTGAAAAAAATATTTCCTCTGTAGACTCATTTGATTGAGACGAAACCAGCGGTGGAGCATGGCAACAATCCTGAGTAAAGGGAGGGACAGAAGTTCTATTGGAGTGGCGGAGAGGCGCGTGACGTTTAGTTCGAGACGGCGCGAGTTGCTGCGATTAAACGCACTACATTGGTCGCCTGAGGTGGCGGTCCGGACTGAGCCTGTCCAGGGTCGTGAGACCGTGATGTACCGTGGTTGGCGCAAGTGTGGAGCCGTATGTTGACAGCTAAGACGGCAGAAGACGCCTTAATCGTCCGAACTACGCTTATCTGCCCTGTAAACATGTAAATATCGGATTGATTTGAATGAAATACAGTATCAGTTCATAACGTGTTACGTATACTGTTTATCTATACTCTCCCGAGCTCAAGTTTCATTCATTACTTACAGGGGGAAGGAGGGGTGAGGGAGAGGGGTTAAGTTGAATGTACAGATACCCAGAGGCAATGGGTCGAATGGTTTCATGTGAAAAGTTCACGATTATTTTTAAAGTCTTCATTCAGAAATTGCTCACGTCACGACAGCGAGTCCACATCTTGCCTCATCACCTTTCGAAAACATGTACTCAGTCAAAGATAGAAAAATAAAAATTGGTTGGAATAAAAATTAATATAAGTTGAATCCCGATAACTCGAGCCCTCGGTAACTCGATTTCCATACTAACTCGAAGCAAAACTGATTTCCCTTAGATTTGCCTCATACATTTAATGTAATTTTAACCCCTATAACTCAAAACCTCGTTAACTTAAAACCCCCGCTAACTCGTAGCGATTTTTACTTCCCTTCAGGTACTTTTCTTTGAAAATTTACCCTCGATAACTCGAAGTCGATTTTAATTTTTGCAGACTAATGAGCAATAACAATTTGCAACGGAAAACTATCCTTCAAATCAATCATGTGAATAGATTTTTCAGCAAATGTTAAAATTAGATTAAGCGCTATAAACATTCTGAAGAGCATCTACTTTTTTGTGGTTTTCATGCTTTTTTTTTGTTTTGTTTTGTTTTGTCGTTGTTATTCTCTTACATTTCTAGAAATCTTCCAGTGAAACTTGTATAAGCATAAAACCTCTTTAATCAAGTGTTTCTTGCCTTTTTGTTCAAAGCCCTAATAACTCGAAGTAATTTCAATTTCCCATGGCAATTCGAGGTACTGGGGTTAAGCCGTAACTAATTCGTATAGATAACATGAAAGAGTAAATTATATAGAAAATAAATAACAAAAAAACAAACAAGAAAAAAAGAATAAGGAAGAAAAACATAGAAGAGAGTTGTCAAATAAAGGTCAAACAAGAAAACTTTCAACAGCTGGACATTTTTTTGCTTTTAATTGACTGCCCATAAAATGCTGACAGATTTCAATGTGGCATTAGGTTTGGTCCATAAAATTGGCCAAAAAAAAAAAAGACAAAAACTCAGCCCCTACATTTCTACATTTTAATTTGACTCGATGCATTCTACTATTTAAGTTTTTTTTATTTTTTTTTCAGCCTTGCAAAGATCTATTCAAAGAAATTTAGATCCATCATTTTTGCAATTCGACTGGAGGCCTTTTTGTGTTATCTTTGGAAATTTGTGAGCGTGTCAATACAGTGGACGGTGGAAATCATTATGTTAACACAAAGCTGCAAGGCTTGTTAAGAAGCTGTACAAATACAACCGTCTAAGAGTCTTCATCCAGTAGCATTGGATTCTGATGATAAAAATGAATGAATGGACAAATAAATGAGGGAATGAATGAATGCATCGATTATTTAATCGAAAATTCCCCACCAAAAGGTTTTTCAGCTTCATAATTTTCACTTCTGACTAACGAAGCTGCTTGAATTAGGGCAGCCTATCTTGGGACAGCCCACCTGTTGATGCTCATTTCATCTCATCAGTCAACTGCTGAGGTATTTTTAGCCAAACAACCCATCGGTTAAACGGCAGAAATATTTTAGTGTTCATCTTTATACATCCTATACTCTCAATGTAGGCTCGGCTCTCATAAAGTTTGGCGAGAGCTATTCAATTTGAATAAATCCCCTTTCCCTCCTTAACCCTAAGGATATCTAAAAGACATTGAGTAAATATGATTGGGGGACCTAAGGTAAATTTGACTAGGAAAGCATAATGATACAATTTGTTCCAATCATAAAAAAAAGCACAAATATGTCTAACCTTTCGAACAGTTCATCTTCAGAGTGTTCTTGAACTTCTTTTCAGTTGGGTTATTGATCTTGGCATCACTTTTCTGTAATATGAAGTAAGGAGATCTGATAAATCGCCTATCCTAATATTAGCTATTATATTAGCTGACATTTGTTGTTTTAAAACTTATTCCTTATCAGTTTTTCTCCCTCTCTTTTTTTTAAATTATTTTTCTCCTTTTTTTGTCTTTGTTTTTGTTTTGTTTTTGAACCACCGTTCTTCCAAACGAGTTGTTTTCATTTGCAAGTAAACTAGTAGATAACTTAATCTCACTTTTTGAGATCGATCTTTCAGCAATTTCTCAATTCTTCTCATGCTGTCGTTATCTAGTAATTTCTACTTTGGTTTCTTCTTTGTAAATTGCTTCGTAAAGTCGATAGCATTACGATAACCGTGAAGATACAACATGAATGAAGTAAAGATTATGATGAGTTTATTTACCTGCTGGAAAAAGGCCACAATCTCGTTGCTAGCACTGTCGTTTTCGTGTGTTGCTCTCATTTTACAGAAGAACTGCTGTTCTGTTATATCATCGTGACTCACACAAAAATCACAACGGGGAAAATCTGTCGCATTTTCTTGGGAATTCCAGGCACTTCTTGAAGCTATCGCCTAAGGAATTATATGATAGTTAAAAATCATGGAGTCAGAACCCAAAACTTAATGCGTTGGTAGGCACAATCTGCTGCTGAAGTGCGTGTTTTACCATCAAAACAACTCTTATTTCTACTGTCAGTTATCCCTGAAAGTCATACTATCTAACAACACACCCTCCCTCTCTAGAGTAACTTACTTTCTTATTTTCCCCTATGATGTGCCACCCCGAAGCCACGGCAGTAACCTCTATGCTGATATCTTTCTCACTGTTGGATACAAACAAGCTGGACCAAGTTGTTAAAAGTTTCATTTCTTCATCTTCTCCTTTCTTGCAAATCTGCTGTAAATTGAATAAAAGGGAAAAGGTGAACAGTCTCAACAGACAAAGTAAACAAACAAACAAGTCAAACAAACATGTACAAAAAAATTAAAACAACTTATTCGAGCAAAGAGCAAGCTAAATTAGGAGAAAAATGCTGGAAAAATTCAAAGGGTGATTCAAGAAGAGGATGAAATATCTCAGTAGGATCATTGAGGCAATAATCTTTCTTTTCTTCTTTAGCTTCTCTTGTTTTTTCTTCCTTTTTTTGACTTAACCTTTAATCCTATTAAAAAAATAAAAAAATAAAAATTGGTAGAACGCAGATCAGGAGTAAATGTGTTACCTTGAACGCCATTTCGGAATCATCTATCAGATAAACTCTGATATCCCAGTCACAGGCTTTGGCTGGCTCCTTCCCAAAGATCACCATTTGCATTCGCTTCTGGTCATCTTTTCCTGGAACTCCAAAGGCTGCCACTTCGAGACTTTGTCCTAGCACTGGCAACGTCAGCCGGATGTCGTTATGTTTTGTCTCCACCTTAGCATCAGGATACACTTCTTTAATATTTCGCCACTTTTTACTTTTCTTACTTTGATTGAAATGTGGCCGGCATTTAACAGAAATATCCCAGTCGTTCCCCCCTACCATAAAACAGCAGTGTTCCATCAAAATGGGCTGTGGAGGAATGCGCCCATTTTGAGCTATTACGTAACGGCCACTTACCATCACTGCTGTTAAAGATAGAGAGATAATATCAGTCCAAAAAACAACTAAAACGACGCTAAAGAAAAAGGTAAGGAGATGAATAATTAACTGAATTTAAAATGGCCAGATGAATAAGTAAAGAGGTGAATGTGTAAGTAGATTGATAGATCGATAGATGATGTGATAGATAGATAATGAATTGATAGATTGTTTACTTGATGATAATGATAACGATGATGACAGTGACGATGATAGTAATGATGGCAGTGATAATGATAACGATGAAGATGGTGACGGTTGACAAACAAACAAATGAACAAAACAACAACAGAAAAAACACCCTGGACTGCGTCAGAGGAAGTACAAATAAACAAAACAAAGGATCGGAAGTGTTCGCTACAAAGTTCTGCTGAACTAAAAAAAATTTCCTCATAAAGGTTAAAATTATTTCATGTGTTTAGAGCAACAGATATATTGGAGATAACTCCATCTATATTTTCAATATATTTTCAGTTTCGGGCGATACATCGTTGACTTTAGATATATGCAGCATCTTTTGTCATTTGCAAGGTACAGTGTAATTGTTGTGTCAGTCTCTCTAGCTTTATGCCTCAGTTGATAATATGTGCATCGTCTTACCTGGACGCATTCTTGTTGCTGGGCCGGATTTTTGCTTTTTCTTGGGCTTTACATGATTTCAACACCACAAACATCTCTTTCCCTCTTTGTGCTGCTTGATTTGTGCCAAATGGGAGGAATTTGACCAGTAGGTGTCGCCAATATATTTATGAAAATGCAAAATGAAAATGGAAAGGGGCTTTCCCTGAATTAATAAAACATTCGATTACATAGCATATTTTCGCGAAAACAGCGATAAAAGCAAAAACAAATGGGCATTTAATGTTACCAAGATTGCCTAGCGAAGTCGGCTTCGGTGTCCATTTGAGCTCTGAAGGTGCATTTAGTAAAAAACGAAAGGCAAATGTCTACATAACAAATGAAAACAAAGACCACGAATTACACGAAATTTAAGCATGTCACCAGCCGTCACGGAGTCGCCCTCTGCGGTTGTTCAAAAATAGCCAAAAGATAAAACTGAATTTCTTATAAGATTTTATTATCTCAAACTTACTCTCTTTTCCCATGTTGTACTACAAATATCGAGTCTAGCAAAAGCACCAAAGTAAAGCACATTATTTGAAACAGGACTTACATAAATACATCACATAAATAAATCGAAAACAAGAACAAAAGTCCGGGGTTTTTCCCTCTCAAACAAAAAAGTGCAATAAAGCACATTTTTACCACTTAGGAAATCATCCAAATCACGGGATCTGATAAACAAAATTTCGGAAATGCTTAGGAAAGGGCTTTCGATATTAGTTAAGCAACGTCCATCGGGCATAAATCGAGAAACGCTTATAAAGCAGTTTTTAAAAATGTCTTCCAAGATAAAGCCAAAGCCACAGTCTCTAGATTGTTTACTGTATTCAAAAACAAAACAGGAAAAATATTCTCAATCATTCGGTCTCGACAAATAATAATAATAAAAAGGAGAAACTTGATTGTCGGAGGGAGTATTTTCAAATCGAAAGTACATATAGGGACATTCTCCCGTGCCTTAGGAAAGAAAGAAATACCTTCATCGATGTTTGTCTAATGACACAGAATAGAGAGGAAGTCATCGCCACGAAATGAAAATGCAACATGAAAATGGAAAGGGGCTTTCCCTGAATTAATAAAACATTCGATTACATAGCATATTGTCGTCTAATATTGAAGCTCATCGAAGAAAACATTATAACTGGATCAAATTGCTATCGGCTGCGAATCAAAGATTCAGATCAAAGGGCCAAAGTCACTCACTGCAGCCAACAAAGATTCATTCGGAAGGATTCGAACTCATCTACATCATCTTGGTTTCGGAAAGGCTAAGGGTAAGAATCACCTAAGGCACTAATTTACAAGTATCTAATTCTATTTGATAGGTTGCTATGATAGAAATATCAAGCATGCATCTCGTGTGATCGTGATAACGCATAACGCTGAGACAACATCCTTTGTTTCCATTCATTAAATAGAAAGTGAAAATGCTTTTCGTGGGTTTTTTTTTTTTGTGGGGGAAACCCTTTAAAGTCAAGTGATTTCGAATGTTGTGAACATACAGCTTTTCGTGACAAAATTTTTAGCTGGGGTCCACTGCATTTCTTGTTCATTAGGAGAAGGATTTATCCCTTCCCCTCCCTATTAGAGGCTATCTAACAGACAGAGAAGAGAGCATCCCCTATACTGAAGAGACGACTATTATCAGTATTTATTCGTGAGTTTTTGTACCGGATTGAAAAGTACAGACGGGATTTCGTTTTGAATATCGGAATATATACAAAGGTAACTACCCTATTTGTTAAGGCAATATTTACACATACACACACATGTGGCCTCTCCGAAAATAAATATGTAAATCCTGATCTAACACACGTTTGAATCACCACAGAGAATGTAGTTCCGACTATCCTATGTAATGTTAGTTTTCATTTTGGAATTTTAATTCGTACACAATACTATATGGACGAGAACTGCCAGATTAAAGCTACACAATATTATTGCTGTTGGACTCTTTCAAAGAGCTCGGTAATTTTAAGAATATTTGTCACATTACCAGTAATTTTGACAACATCGGTGCAACATGGAAACGCAGACTACAAATATATACCCTAGTCCTTTTTTCAAATATATTCTATAACCCTATTTTGTGTTTATTCCCACTTTTTTTTCTTTTTTTAAGGCTACAGTTTACACTATAGAAGTAACGTTTAACTGTCGCGCACAGAATTACGATGTCTGATAACGTTCCACTGCGCAATCAAGAGTCTTGCGTCGATGACGATTATTACATGATCGATGTTTTCACTTATGCACGACCGGCAACAAATGGCGAGACAGGATCACTGCACCAACTGGTCATGTACGTCACCAGGGCCTTGGAGGATTCTGGCCGCCTTGATATTCTACGAGTAAGTGCTGGTACTTTAGCGCAGTCAGTCTCTCAGACAATCTATCGCTCCACTAATCAGTCAGCCACTTAGTCGGCCATTTTGGTAGCTAGCAAGTCTGTAAATAGGTCAGCAAGTCAGTTAGTCAGTCAATCAGTCATTCTACAAATTGGTAGTTCAGTCAGTTTTATATTGGTTTGATAAGATTAAGTACAGCCTGGAATAGACTAACCCAACTAATTCCCCCTTAAAATCGTTTTCTTTTCACTCGTTCCAGGCTTACTTCGATCTTGTCAATCCAATATGGCGGATCCATAGTCGTTTAGAATATTTGGCATTTACTCGTTAGAAAAGGTACCTGCTGTGCTCAAATTTATGCTATATCACTCGGAAAGTCAACAGGCAGAATGTCTATAAATAATCAATCAGCCATTCAGTTAAACCTGTTATTACTATAGTTAGATAACTCTTTGATCGATCATTTTTAGGAAATAAACTAGTCTAAAGCTGCAGTTAAAGCGACCCCTTAGCAAGTGTCCATGGATCTAAACTCGTGCCCTGCGACTACAACATGCATCAGCATATCAACTCTCCATTTGTTATGAACTGTTCATAGGAGAAGCAGCGTGACCAAAACATGATGAAGATATACTCAAACAGTTTCCGATGGAAGAAGACCCAAGGGGAAAACATTATAGCACAATTGTTCTTAGGAGGCTTTCACGCTGACGGAAATGTAATGAATCCCAATCATATATATATATATATTTTTTTTTTTTTTTGGCTTTTTTTGAGGGTTAATCTATTTCATTGTTAAGTTCAGATCTAGTACCACTAGATAAATTGGTTGATGGCCATATCTTTAAATAGAAACCTTAATGACAATGCATCATCACAATTTATCCTTTGCTATCTCAGTAGCCTTCTTTAAAGTCCTTTCTCTAAGGCTATGATCAAAAACTGCTCATCTATTGGCTTTGGAGGTATTTATGTTGGTTTAAACTTCTTTCAGAAAACGATCATTGTTGCGGTTCAATCTGTAATAGATCAACAAAGTGTGTAACTAATCATTAATTATTTTCCAGATTGAAAGAAAGAAGGTCGACCATATGAAACTGGCAGAGAATGTCGTCTTCACCTTGCCAGTCAGTGACGCCTCCAAAATGAAAGTGAAAGGAGACTTATTGAATGAAGATGGAAAGATGATCTTGGAGATTGGGGATATGAACGTGAACCTTTTCAAGGTGAGTTACTAATATTCAAACCAATTTTGTATGAAGCATTTCTCAAATGATAGCCCCTGTGCATATCTAACTGCCCAGAAAATTCAGTGTTGCCCCTCTAGATCCTTAATGGTGAAAATTTAAAGGCCGAGTATTTCCAGAGAAATTAAACAAAGAATAATCACACGAAGGCATCAAGAAAGTAGCAGATGTTCCAGGAAAATGTTGTGAAATGTGGCTAAGGGGTTGAGATTCAACAAGCTACGTAGTCATGCTTTATTAAGGAATGATTCTAGATGATTTTTATTGCATTCACTAAAGGAACGATTGTATGATTTAAGACAAGAACCACTTAAATTTCCCAAGATGGTTCAAGCTCCCTTTCAATTACTTTTAGTAGAGCAGGGAAATTTCACTCTTTCACCAGATGCTTAGTTTTTGTGGCTGTGTGTAATTTCTAGCTCTACCAGCAACACAGTGTGCTCATTATTTTAATACCAACTTTGTTTCAGTTTCAAGACGGTGAAACACGAGCTGGGATAGAGCACGAGTATAGTGGCAATGAGGCAGTTGAACAAGATGTAGCCACATGATGTCAATTCTAACTAGTCTGTAGTAAGTTTTTTTTCTTTAGTAGAGTAGATTTGCATACGTAGAGGTTATCACTTCATTTTATATGAGGGGACTTCCTCTAATATAGCGATCAAAATCTTTTTCTGTTATTTTGTCTTACTTTATATTCCTTTTTTACATGCTAGAAACCATATTTAGCTTTTTTAACCCTATTGCTACTTCGAAAGTTTTTCCTTGTGCTTTTGGAGGGCGGAACCTGAACCCTACAGAGATCTTAATTTACAGGTTGAGGTGAAAGAGCTGAGTTTGGTTTGTTAAACATATAAGTACCTATATCAGGATTTTTGTTTGATATAATCAGCTTTGCTTTAGAGAGAGAATGGCAAAATCGTTGAGATTCAGCCCCACCCATTCTCAGCTAATATAGAAAGTTGAATTCGTACTCGTAAAGGTTTTCTCTTAAAGAATTTGTCGAGAAGATAAGTCGGTTTCCTCTTAGTGATTTTTTTCTAGCTTTTTGTTATTCGTGGAGCTAAAATTGAGCTGTCGTAGGGACGAGAGTAAAATAATCGATATTGACTGTAAGTATATGGACTGACTAGGTAAGTTAAAACTTTGAGCGACATAATTCCTTTTTGTTCGTTACTTCAGTTGAAATTGAATAAGGAGGATAATCTTCATCTTATAAATTAAATTAGCTTTTGAACATAATCAATCCAGTGTTCCAGGAAAGGAGAACAGTGACCATGTGGACCTACCTATGAAACGGTATGAGAAGACCTTTGCACCTGGAGGGCAGCAAAAATGAGTTGAGTTAACGAACTGATCTATAATTGGAAGTCGTTGTTGACGCCACTCAGTCAAATAATTCAGTCAACAATCAATTTAAATCAGAGATGAGGTTGTCACGTGGTTGTATCGTTGAGTAATTTTCCTTTTTATGATATTTAATTTTCGAGTTGTAATACAATTTTCCTTTTTTGGAAGGGAAATGAACAACGGTAGATGTACATAGCAATTTTTGTGTGTAAATTAGAGGCTTCAAAAAATTATGTCACTTGAGTAAATCAGAAAAAAGTACCATGTTACAAATGTGTTTCAAGGAGAAAATGATGATTTGCTTATATCAGCTGGGTTGATAACGTAAATTGGCCACCGTAAAGAGTTTCTATAGATGACGTTTCGAGCGTTAGCCCTTCGTTAGGGCGAAAAACTTTTATATGAATATCTTCCGTTTGGATTTGGTTAATTTGGCTAAGCAGATGAAAGCTTTTGCATGCCATTTCCAAAGGTTCAAAAGTGTACTTTGAGATGAATGCTAAACAAAGAAAGTACCTGAACCTTCCAAAAATGTTTCGCAAAGCAAGAGCATTAAAAAAAAAAAAAACTTTTAAAAATTTTGTGCGGGGGAAATAAACATGCTACGGCATGAGTTGGTTATGTTTCCCTATGCGATTGAAATTGATCACAAATGGATTTGGAATATATTTTAACTAGTGGATGATGACACATTTTTAGTCGCTGGTAAACTGAGTTTGATACCACGTACGGTAAAGGCACCTGTAAGAAATTCTTCTTGAGCTGTGCTTGTAGGCTTACAGATACCGGTTGTGTCCTTCTAACAAATAAGCAACGAAGCAGCTTGGTAGGAGCAGAATAATAATGCGACAGAAAGAACAAACAAACACATAGAAAAACGAAAAACAAAATAAAAACACAAAAACAACAAAAAAACAAAACAAAACAAAAAAACAAGGAAAAAAAAAAAAAAGAAATAGAACCGAAATATGTTACTCGAATTCCTGAGAGAAAACCACGATCTACTCTGAAATAGCTTTGAGACAGATTTCTGAGTAATTGAGTGCGATAGATCGTTTTGTTGGAAATGTGAATCAGTACTAGCATGAGAAAATTCCTCAATGGACCGTGTTAGTTGAGAATGGGCGCATCGCATAGGTTTAGGCTAAAGAGGTTAAAAATCTGTTCTACAGGTATTTTCTTTTTAACTTTAAGTTATCAATATTAGTTCAGTATCCACGCATATATATAAAATGCTCTTGATATGAATATTCATTTTTTTTTAAATTTAAAACGCTTGAACTTAGCTTCTGATGGCAGGATTCCCCTTTTTGGGGTTTTTCATCTTTTAAACAACCACCACGCTAAATTTTAATAATTCTCAAAAAGGAGATAGTAATTTTCGATCTTATGTTCCCTTTAATCTTTCGTGATAACTAATAGTAAAATGTTTGGCTGCTGTCACGTGCCGTCGACACAAAATCACACCCCAAAAATATTTAAAGGAGATCACGATATCAGAATGCACGACGAAAAGGGACTTAACTCGCGAGGTGGAAGTTAAATAATAAACGCGCAGTTAGAAATGAGACTAGTTTAGGAAGAAAGTCCTACTTACTAGCTGAATCATGAATACGGTGACTTGTTGTGAATGTTATTCAGCAAGTCCTGTTTTGCCATATTGATAAGTAGATGTAAAGAGCGTAGCATTCTTAAAAGACATTATACCTCTTACGAATATATAGTTTAGTGCATTCATCTATTCATTTGGGTTTGTAAAACAAACTGCTAAAGGAAGAAAAAAAGAGGTAATAGAGAAGAAAACTAGTATCTTATAAAACATCATGAGTAGTACTTACTGAAAACAAGTCCCCGGCCTTTGTTTCCCCATTGGCTTTTTTCATTGGCTAGGTATTCATTTATCTCCCTGCTCTTAGTTATATGGTATTAATTAGTGTCTCTACTAAACGCTTGATTCAATCTTCCTTATTGGTTCTCGCTGTGTTATAATGTCCCACCTGAATCCAATTAGCGTTTTCATGATGAAATGGAGTTGTTTTTTATCTATTCTTATATTAAGCAATACTTTTGAAATACCTTAAACAGTTTCTGTACTTGCTAGAATTTTTATGTTTGAGGTAGAATCTGCTTAATAACTTTGTCTTTACATGAATAAATAAATAAATACAAATCTTGCTTGTTGTTTAAAGTGATGAGTGGATACGTTTTCCTTTTCTTTGGAAGCTTGGAAATGACTAAAAATTATTTTTCTCTTCAAGATGAGAGGAATGATAAAGTTTTGGATAAGGAAAGAATGTTTGAAGATAGTAGGGGGGAGGGGGAGGGGAGTTTCTAAAGAAATAATAGTGCTGCGTCAGTGTGGGTATTAAAGAATAAATTCCCTTTATCATCTGAGTTAAAATGAAAAAACAGCCACTGGGAACAAAAATAAAAAGCAGACGTTTCAAAAGTAAGGCATTCTACAAAGGGAAATAGCTAAAAGATACTACTCTCTAAATAAGGAAACTAGTATCAAAGATCTGCAGAAGTGTCTGCAATCGGAAACTAGAGTCTAAAATCGGACGCTAGTCTCCAAAATCGGACTTCAGTGTCACAAATCGGACTCAAGGGTCTATAATCGGACATTATATTGGTGTCTACAGTACTAGTCGGACCCTACTAACTTGAATCGGACACTAGTAAATAAAATCAGACCCTAGCGTATAAAATTAGACACTAGTGTATGAAATCGGAAACTAGTATATAAAATCGGACGCTAGTGTAAAAAAATTGAACATTACTATATATAATCGGATACTGACGAATTTTATTATATATAAAAGGAGACACTAGCATAGAAAATCGGACAGTAGTTTATAAAATAAGACATAAGTCGATAAAAACCGACACTGGCGTATAAAATCAGACACTAGCACATAAAATCGGACAATAACGTATAAAATCAGACACTAGTATAAAAAATCGGACACTGGTGTATAAAATCAGACACTAGTGGATAGAATCAGACACTTGAGTATAATATCAGACACTTGTGTATAAGATCAGACATTGGTGTGTAAAATCAGACACTTGTGTATAAAATCAGACACTAGTATATAAAATCGGGCACTACTATACAAAATCAGACATTAGTGTATAAAATCAGACACTAGTGTACAAAATCAGACACTAGTATCTAAAATCGGACACTTTTGTATCAAATCAGACTAGTATATAAAATCGGGCACTTGTGTATAAATTTAGACACAGGTGGATAGAATCGGATACTAGTGTATAAAATCAAACACTAGTATATAAATCGGACTCTAGCATATAGAATCAGACACTTGTGTATAAAATCAGACACTAGTATATAAAATCGGACACTTGTGTAAACAATCAGACATTGGTGTATAAAATCATGCACTTGAGTATAAAATCGGACACTAGTATATAAAATCGTACACTAGTATATAAAATTGAACACTTGAATAAAATCGGACACTAGTATAACAAATCAGACAATACTATATAAAATCAGACACTAATAAATAAAATCGGACATTTGTATAAAATCAGACACTCGTGAATAGAATCGGACACTTGTGTATAAAATCGGACGGTAGTATATAAAATTGTACACTAGTATATAAAATTGAACAATTGAATAAAATCGGACACTAGTATAACAAATCAGACACTAATACATAAAATCGGACACTTGTATAAAATCAGACACTAGTGAATAGAATCGGACACTAGTGTATAAAATCGGACTCTAGTATATAAAATCGGATACTTGTATATAAAATCAGACTCTAGCGAATAGAATTGGAAATTAGTTTACAAAGTCGGACACTTGTGTATAAAATCAGACAGTAGTGTATAAAATCGGACGATAGTGTCTACAATCAGACCCTGGTGTCTAATGGGGCACCAGTGTAGAAAATCAGACATCCGTGTGTACTATCATCATCATTATCATTACTTTTATTACTATCATCGTTATTTTTATTATTTAAAACCATCATTTCTAAGACCTTTTGCAGAACGCCTTTATTATTTCAGAACTCACACATTTCATTTCAGCTTTACTAAGTTTTCCTGATAACTGTAACTTTCGAAAGGGTGAAAGGCAAAAACTTTTAGGGACTTTTTCATTATCCAGAATTTTATTCTTGAAGTAATTTCAGTTTCCCTTGGCAATTCGAGTTAACGGGGTTCACTGTAAATAATTTGTATAGATAAAATAAGGCGTTAAATTGAAAAAATAATGATAACAAAAAAACAAAGAAACAAAAAAGAAAAAGGAAGAAAAACATTGAAAAAATAACAATAACAAAAAAACAAAGAATCAAAAAAGAAAAAGGAAGAAAAACATAGAAGAGAGTTGTCAAACAAAAGTCAAACAAGAAAACTTTCGACGGCTGGAAATCTTTGGCTTTTAATTGACTGCCTGTAAAATTCTGAGAGATTTAAATGCGGTATTAGGCTTGGTCCCTAAAATTGGCAGAAAAAGAAAATTAACCACTGCGTTTTAATTTGCCTCGTGCATTCCATATCTAAGTTTTTTTTAGCTATTTTTCCAGCTTGGCAAAGATAAATTCAAAGCAGTTTAGATCCGTCCTTTTTGCCATTTAATTGGATGCCTTTTTTTGTTATCTTTAGAGATTCGTGAGCGTGTCTAGACGGTGGAAATCATAATGTTAATACAAAGCTGCGAGGCTTGGTAGGAAGCTGTAAAATGACAATCCGTTCCAGAGACTTCATCCAGTAGCATTAAATTCTGATGATATAAATAAATAAATGGACGAATAAATTAATGAATGAATGCATCGATTATTAAATGGAAAATTCCTCAGCAAAAGGTTTATCAGTTTGATAATTTTCACTTCTAACTAACGAAGCTGCTGATAGATTTTTAGCCAAACAACCCCTATCTATTAAACAGCAGAAATCTTTTAGTATTCATCACTATGCATCCTATAATCACAATGTAGGCTCGGCTCTCATAAAGTATGGCGAGGCTATTCAATCTGAATAAATCCCCTTCCTCTCCTTAACCCTAAGGATAACTAAAAGACATTGACTAAATATGATTGGGGGACCTGCAGGTAAATTTGACCTGGAAAGCATAATGATACAATTTTGTCCAATCATAAAAAGAGAATAAATATGTCTAACCTTTTGAACAGTTCATCTTCGGCGTGTTCTTGAACTTCTTTTCAGTTGGGTTGTTGATCTTGGCATCACTTTTCTGTAGAATGAAGTAGGGAGATTTGATAAATCGCTTATTTAATATTAGCTTTTATATTAGCCGACAGTTGCTGTTGCAAAACTTATTCCTTATCAGTTTTTCTGCCTCTGTTTTTTACCATTTTTTTCCCTTGTTTTGTCTTCGTTTTTGTTTTGTTTTTGAACCACCGTTCTTCCAAACGAGTTGTTTTCACTTGCAAGTAAACTAGGAAATAACTTAATCTCACTTTTTGAGATCGATGTTCTAGCAATTTCTTAATTCTTTTCTACTGTCGTTATCTAGCCAGTAATTTCTACTTTGGCTTCTCCTTTGTAAATTGCTTCGTAAAGTCGATAGCATTACGATAACCGTGAAGATACAACATGAATAAAGTAAAGATTATGATGAGTTTATTTACCTGTTGGAAAAAGGCCACAATCTCGTTGCCAGCACTGTCGTTTTCGTGTGTTGCTCTCATTTTACAGAAGAACTGCCGTTCTTTTATATCATCGTGACTCACACAAAAATCACAACGGGGAAAATCTGTGGTATTTTCTTGGGAATTCCAGGCACTTCTTGAAGCTATCCCCTAGAGAATTATATGAAAGTTCAGAATCTTGGAATCAGCGCCCTAAAATTAATGCGTTGGTAGGCACTATCTGCTGCTGAAGTGCGTGTTTTACCATCAAAACAACTCTTATTTCTAGTGTCAGTTATCTTTGAAAGTCATACTATCCAACAACACACCCGCCCTCTATAGAGTAACTTACTTTCTTATAGTCCCCTATGATGTGCCACCCTGAAGCCACGGCAGTAACCTCTATGCTGATATCTTTCTCACTGTTGGATACAAACAAGCTGGACAGTGTTGTCAAAAATTTCATTTCTTCATTTTCTACTTTCTTGCAAATCTGCTGTAAATTGAATAAAAGGGAAAAGGTGAACAGACTCAACAGACAACGTAAACAAACAAACAAGTCAAACAAACAAGTCAAACAAACAATTCAAACAAACAAGTCAAAGAAGCGTACAAAAAAAATTAAACTAACTTATTTGAGCAAAGAGCAAACTAAATTAAGAGAGAAATGCTGTAAAAAAATTCAAAAGAATGATTCAAGAAGAGGATGAAATTTTTCAGAAAGATCATTCAGGCAATATCTTTAGTTTGTCTTCTTTTTTCTTCCTTTTTTTGACTAAACTTTAATCCTATGCAAAAAAAAATTGGTAGAATACAGATCAGGGGTAAATGTGTTACCTTGAACGCCATTTCGGAATCATCTATCAGATAAACTCTGATATGCCAGTCACAGGCTTTGGTTGGCTCCTTCCCAAAGATCGCCATTTGCATTCGCTTCTGGTCATCTTTTCCTGGAATTCCAAAGGCTGCCACTTCGAGACTTTGTCTTAGCACTGGCAACGTCAGCCGGATGTCGTTATGTTTTGTCTCCACCTTAGCATCAGGATACACTTCTTTAATATTTCGCCACTTTTTACTTTTCTTACGTTGATTGAAATGTGGCCGGCATTTAACATGAATATCCCAGTCGTTCCCCCCTACCATCAAACAGCAGTGTTCCATCAAAATGGGCTGCGGAGGAATGCACCCATTCTGAACTATTACGTAACGGCCACTGACCATCACTGCTGTTAAAGATAAAGAGATAACATCAGTCCAAAAAAACAACGAAAACAACACTAAAGAAAAAGGTAAGGACATGAATAATGAACTGACTTTAAAATGGCCAGATGAACAAGTAAAGAGTTGAATGTATCAAAGATTGATAGATCGTTGGTTGATTAGATGGATTGATTTATATATAGATTGTTTGTTTGATGATAATGATGACGATGATGACAGTGACGATGATAGTGATGATGGATGTGATAATGATAACGGTGGTGACAGTGATGATGATAATGATAACGATGAAGATGGTTATGGTTGAGGCTTTAATGAGAATGATGATGAGTCCGTGAACGAACGTGCTTTAGATAAGTCATGACACAAAATGATACCCCATTGACAGAAGTGTCACTCATACTAATGAACCAAAGTAAATTGAGCTCCTTCAGTATTCTACATGAAAAAAAAAAGAAAACAAACAAACAAAGGAACGAACAAACAAAACAACTATAAAACACCCTGCGCCGCGTCAGAGGAAAAACAAGTAAACAAAAACAAAGGATCGGAAGTGTTCGCTGCAAATATCTGCTGAAAAAATTTACTCACAAAGGTTAAAATCATATCATGTGTTTAGAGCTACAGATAAATTGGAAATAGCTCGATCTTTCTTTTCAACATATTTTCAATATGTTAGCAAATAGCAAATAAGCGCAGCCGCGATGAGGTTATCGAAGACAAAAATGTCTACTAATTTTGAATTTCGGGTGATACACCGGTGATTTTTGATATATGCAGCATTTTTGTTATTTGCAAGGTACAGTCTAACTTCTAGGTTAATTTTTGTGGGAGGCAATGTTTTTAGATTTATGCTTCGGTCGATTGTAATTATGTGCATCGTCTTACCTGGACACATTCTTGCTGCTGGGCCGGATTTTTGCCTTTTCTTGAGCTTTACATGGTTTCAACGACACAAACATCTCTTTCCTTCTTTGCGCTGTTTGATTCGTGCCAAGTGGAAGGAGTTTGGCCGGTACGTGTCGCCTTTATTTAACCCAAACAGGAAATGAAAGCGAAAAGGGGTTTTTCCCTAATTAACGCAACATTTGAGGAAAAAGCATATTTCAGCTAAACTAGAGATGAGAACAAAAACAGATGGACATTAAATGTTGCTAAGATTACTTATCGAAGTAGTCTTCTATGTCCATTTGAGCTCTAAAGGTGCATTAAGTTTGAAAAACAGAGGCAAAAGTTTCCATAACAAATGAAAACAGAGACCACCAATGAAAGATAATACAAGCAGGTCACTAACTGTCATGCAGTCGCCGTCTGCGGAGGTTAAAAAATAACCAAAATATATACCTGAGGTTCTTATAAGCTTTTAGTTTCTCAAACTGACTATCTTTTTCCAAGTTGTACTTCGATTATATCGAATCTGTCGAAAGCACCAAAGTGAAGGACATCATTTGAAACAGGTCTTCATAAATAAAATAATAAATAAATCGAAAACAAGAACAAAAATCCGGGGTTTTTCCCACGCAAACAAAAAATGCAATAAAGCACATTTTTATCACTAAAGAAATCATCCAAACCATGAAATCTGATTAAAAAAATTCCAAAAATGCTTAGGGAAGCGTTTTCAATATGGATTGCGCCAATTCTATCGGGTATATATCGAGAAACGTTTACAGCGTACTTTTCAAATATGTCTTCCAAGATAAGCTATTTCGCCGAAGCCGAAGTCTCTGGGTTATCGAATACATTTAAAAAGAAAACAGGAAAAACATTCTCAATCTCCTAGTGTGAGCAAATAATTTTCTCTGATTAGCGATGAAAGGTCCCCCAAAAAAGTGTTGAATTTTGAAGTGAAATTTTTTTTTAAAATCAAAAGTGCAGCGGGGAAACCCCCTTGCCCTAGGAAAGAGAATAAATTAATCAATGCAACGTTTGTCAGTCGCCGCCATTAGGCATTTCGCTCGCTTTTGTTTCATAAAACAAGTGAACGAGTGCTTAGCAGCTTTTTTCAGCGTGAATAGGGGAGCAAGGTTTTTGAACAATCATTTATTATTGAGGTTCTTCGAAGAAAAAATTGTGACTGGATCGGATTATCGGTTGTGAATCAAAGACAAAGACAAAGATTCTTCAGGAAGGAATTAAACACATATACACTACCATGGTTTCGGAAAGATTAGGGGTAAGAATCACCATAAGCATTAATTTTCATCCATCTTATTCTATTTGATAAGTTGATATGATAGAAATATCAGTTATGACTCATCGTGGTGAATAGTGAACGAGACAATATCTTTTTGTTTCCATTCACACACGTAATCGAAAGTACTTACGGTGCAATCTTTTTTTTTTTCGGGGAAACCCCCTAACGTCAAGTGCTTTCGAATATTATAAACATATTAAAAGGTTTCCGTGACAACATTTTTAGCAGGGGTCCACTGCATTTCTTGACCATTAGGAGAAAGATTGATTCCTTACCCTCCTGATCAGAGAGTATCTAGCCTGCAGAGTAGAGTGCACCTCCAATGCTGGAGTGACAAGACGCCTATTATCAGTATTTACCCGCAATGATAATAAGTTTTGCACTAGATTGAAAACAACAGACGGGATTTCGTTTTGACTATTGGAATATATACAAAAGTAACCACTCTATTCGTGCAAAAAGGCAATATTTACAAACACTCACACGCACGTGGCCTCTCCGAAAATATATGTAAATTATTGTCTAGAGCACGTTTGAATCACCACAGAGAATAGAGTTTCGACTATCTTATGTAGTATGAATGTTCATTTCGGAATTTAAATTCGATATATACAATACTATAAGGACGAGAAATTCCATAGTCATTCAGCTGAGGGAATCCTCTCAAAGAAAATTCAAGAACCAGATTTAAGCTACACGATATTCTTGCTGCTGGACTCTGTCAAAGAGCTCGGCAATTTTAGGTATCGATGATATTTGTTGCAATACCAGTAATTTTTGACAACTTCTGTGCAACACGAAAACGCAGACTTGATATATGTGCCCTACTCCTTTTCCCAAATATATTCTATAACCTTTTTTGTTTTTATGCCTTCTTTTTTCCCTTTTTTAAGGCTACAGTTTATACACTATAGAAGTAACGTCAAAAAGCTGTGCACAGAATTACAATGTCCGATAACGTTCCACTGCGCGATCAAGAGTCTTGCGTCGATGACGATTACTACATGATAGATGTTCTCAGTTATGTGCGATCGGCGACAAATGGCGAAACAGGATCGCTGCATCAATTGGTCATGTACGTCACAAAGGCCTTGGAGAATTCTGGCCGCCTAGATATTCTTCGAGTAAGTGCGGGTACTTCAGCACAGTCAGCTTATCAGACAATCTATCGTTTCACTAACCACTCAGCCACTTAGTCGGCCATTTTGGTAGTTGGCCAGTCTGTTAGTCAGTCAGCAAGTCAGTTAGTCAGTCAATCAGTCATTCTACAAGTTAGTTGGTCAGTCAGTTCTATATTGGTTTAATAAGATCGAGTACAGCCTGGAACAGACTAGCCCGACTACTTCCCCCTTAAAATCTATCATTTTCACATCCAGCACACTGGTTTTTTTTTCACTCGTTCCAGAGTTACTCGTGCTAACATTTATGCTGTATCATTCGGAATGTCAACAGACAAGATGTCTATAGATAATCAATTAGCCAGTAAGACAGCCAGTCAGTTAAACCTGTCATAACAAGTTAAATAAATCCATCAACTTTGGGAAATAAATAAGTGTTAAGTTGTAGTTAAAGGGATCCCTTAGCAAGTTTCCATAGATCTAAACTCGTGTCCTGCGACTACAACATGCATCAGCATATCAGCTCTCCATTTTTTATGAACTGTTCATAGGAGAAGCAACGTGATCAAAACATAATGAAGATATACTCAAAGATTTTCCGATGGAAGAAGATACAAGGGGAAAACATTAAAGCACAGTTATTCTTGGGGGACTTTCACGCTGACGGAGAGGTAATGACTCGCAATCATAAATTTTGGGTTTTTTGAGGGTTAATTCATGGTTTTGACCCATGAAAGTTCAGATCTAGTTCCACCAGATAATATGGTTGATGGCCATATCTTAAAACGGAAACCTTAATGACATTGTATAATCACGATTTATCCACACTTTTCCTTGGCTATCTCAGTAGTCTTCTACAAAATCTTTTCTCTCAGGCTATGATAAAAAACTGCTCACATCTATTCGTCTTGAAGGCATTTGACATTGGTTTAAATTTCTAACAGAAAACGACCATTGTTGCAGTTCAATTTGTAATAGATCAACAAAGTGTGTAACCAATCCTGCATTATTTTCCAGATTGAAAGAAAGAAGGTCGATCACATGAAAATGGCAGAGAATGTCGTCATCACCATGCCAGTCAGTGACGCCTCCAAAATGAATGTGAAAGGAAAATTACTTAATGAAGTTGGAGAGATGATCTTGGAGATAGAAGAGATGACCGTGAATCTTTTTAAGGTGAGTTATATGTATTGAAACCGATTTTGTGTCAAGAATTTCTCAATAATCACCCCTATGCGTTTATGCCTGCCCAGAAAATCCAATGTTACCTCTCAAGATGCTGAGTGGTGAATTTTAATGGCTAAGTATCTTGAGAGAAATTAAACACAAAAAGTAATCACACAAAGACATCAGGAAAGTAGCAGATGTTCCAAGAAAATGTTGCAAAATGAGGCTGGAGAGTTGAGATTCAACATGTTACGTAATCATACATGCATTATTGAGGGCCGATTCTGGATGATTTTTACTGCAATCACTCAGGTTGCTTGGTTTTTGGAAAAGGACCACTTAAATTTTCCAATATCATTCAAGCTTCACCTCAATTACCCTCAGTAAAGCAGAGAAATTTCACTCGCTCACCAGATGCTTGTCACTAAGTTTTGTGGCTGTGTGTAATTACTAGCACTACCAGCAACACAGTGTGCTCATTATTTTTAAATCAACTTTTTCTCAGTTTCAAGGCGGTGAAACACGAGTTGGGATAGAGCACGAGTATAGAGGCAACGAGCCAGTTGAACAAGATGTAGCCTCATGAAGCCAAGTCTAACTAGCCTATAGTAAGTTTTTTTTTTCTTTAGTAGGGGAGGTTTGCCTAAGTAAAGGATATTACTTCATTTCGTATGAGGGAACTTCCTCTAATATAGGAATCAAAATCTTTTTGTCTAGCTTGATATTCCTTTTTACACGCTAGAAGCCATATTTAGCATTATTTTAGCCCTAATTACTACTTCCAACTTTTTTGCTTGCGCTTTTGGAGGGCAGGACCTGAACCCTACAGAGATCTAAATTTACAGGTTTGAGGTGAAAGTGCTGAGTTTAGCTTGCTAAACATATAGGTACCTCTATCAGGTTTTTTTGTTTTATATAATCAGCTTTGCTTTAGGGAAAGAATGGGAAAATCATTGAGATTCAGCCCCACCCATTCTCATCTAATATGGAAAGTTGAATTCGCACTTGTAAAGGTTTTCTCTTACAATTTGTCGAGAAGATAAGTCGGTTTGCTTTTAGTGATTTTTTTCTAGCTTTTTGTTATTCGTAGAGCTAAAACTGAGCTGTCGTAAGGACGAGAGTAAAACAATAGATATTGACTGTAAGAATATATATGGACTGACTAGGTAAGTTAAAATTTTGAGCGACAGGGGGGTTTTACAAGATAATTTGGTTATATCAGCTGAGTTGATTACGTAAATTGGCCACCGTAAAGAGTTTCTACAGCTGACGTTTCGAGCGTTAGCCCTTCGTTAGGGCAAAAAACTTAAAATGAATATCTTGCGTTTGGATTTGGTAAATCTGGCAGACTAGATGAAAGCCTTTGCCTACCATTTCCAAATGGTCAATCAAACATGTACTTTAAGATGAATGCTAAGCAAAGAAAGTGCTTGAACCTCCCAAAAATGTTTCGCAAACCAAGAGCATCAAAAAAAAACCTTTAAACATTTTGTGCTGAGGGAAATAAAAATGCTACGGCATTAATTGGTTATGTGGCCCTATGCGATTGAAATTGATCACAAATGGATTTGTAATATATTTTAACTAGTGGATGATGACGCATTTGTTGTCACTGGTAAACTGAACTGAATTTGATGCCTCATCCGATAAAGGCGCCTGTAAGAAATTAGGCTTGAGCTGTGCTTGTACGCTAACAGATACCGGTTGTATCCTTTTCACAAATATGCCACGAAGCAGCATGATAGGAGCAGAATAATAATGCGTCAGAAGAAAAATACAAACACACTAACAAACAAAAAACAAGCAAAAACCAGAAAACAAAACGAAACAAAAACACAAAAAAAAAACAACAAAAAATTTAAAAAAACAAAACAAAACAAAAAAACAAAAAAACAAAAAAAAATGGAACAGAAATATGGGAATCGAATTCCTGAAAACTATGATCTGCTTTGAGAAAGACTTCTGAGTTATTAAGTGCGATAGAACGTTTTCTTGGAAATGGGAATTGGTACTGGCATGAGAAAAATCTTCAATGGACCATCTTAGTTGAAAATGGGTGCATCGCATAGATTAAGGCTGAAGAAGTTTAAAATCTGTTCTACAAGTATTTTATTTTTAACTTTAAGTCATCAGTATCAGTTCAGTATCCATGCATATATAAAAAACTAGTGATATGGATATTCCTTTTTTTCTACATTTAAAACGCCTTAACTAAGCTTCTGATGGTATGGTTCCCCTTTTTGGGGTTTTTTCATCTTTTAAACAACCACCGCACCTAATATTAGTAATTCTCAAAAAGGAAATAGTAGTTTTCGATTTTATGTTCCCTTTTGTCTTTCGTGATAATTAATAGTAAAATGTCCGGCTGCTGTCACGTGCCGCCGACACAAAATCATACTCCAAAAAGATTTAAAGGAGATCACAATATCAGTATGCATGACGAAAAGGGACTTAACTCGCGAGGTAGAAGTTAAATAATAAATGTGAAGTTAGAAGTGAGACTAACTTGAGAAGAAAGTCCTACATGCGAGTTGAACTATGAATATAGTGACTTGTTCAATGATATTCAGCAAGTCCTTTTTTTCCATATTGATAAGTAGATGTAAATAGCGCAGTATTCTTAATAGACATCATACATCTTAAGAATATATATTTTGGTGCATTCCTCTATGCATTTGGGTGTGTAAAGCAAACTGCCCAAGGAAGAAAAAAGAGGTAAAAGAGAAGGAAACACCCTAGTATCTTATAAAACATCATGAGTAGTACTTAATGAAAACAAGTCCTCAGCCTTTTTTTCTCCTTTTAACCGTTGGCTTGTTTCGATGGCCAGGTATTCATTTATCTCCCTGCTCTTGGTTATATGATATTAATTAGTGTCTCTACTAAACGCTTAATTTAATCTCCCTTATTGGTTCTCGCTGTGTTATAATGTCCCACCTGAATGCAACAAGTGATTTCCATATTGAAATGGAGTTGTTCCCTATCTATTCTTATATTTAGCAATACTTTTGATATATATATACCTTAAACAGTTTCTGTACTTGCGAAAATTTTTGGCATGAGGTAGAATCTGCTTAATAACTTTTTCTTTACAAGAATGAATAAACAAATAAATAAATAAATAAATAAATGAAAATCTTGGTTGTTGTTTATTAATGTAATGAGTGGATGCGTTTTCTTTTTCTTTGTAAGCTTGAACATGACTAAAAATTCCTTTTTCTCTTCAAGATGAGAGGAATGATAAAGTTTTGGATAAGGAAAGAAGGTTCGAAGACAGTGGGGGGGGGGGGGGAGGTGGAGAAGAGTTTCTGAAGAAATAGTAGTGCTACGTCAGTGTGGGTATTAAATAATAAATTCGCTTTATCATCTGAGTTAAAATGAAAAAAAGCCACTGGGAAAAAAAATTAAAAGCAGACGTTTCAAACGTAGGGCATTCTACAGAGGGAAATGACTGAAATATACTACTCTCTAAATAGGGAAACTAGTATCAAAGATCTGCACAAGTGTCTGAAATCGGACTTCAGTGTCACAAATCGGACTCGATTGTGTATAAAATTGGAGACTTGTGTATAAATTTGGACACTAGTATATAAAATCAGACACTAGTATATAAAATCGGATACTTCTATAAAATCAGACACTAGTGGATAGAATCGGACACTATAGTATAAAATCAGACACTAGTATATAAAATCAGACACTAGTATATAAAATCGGATACTTGTATAAAATCAGACACTAATGGATAGAATCGGACACTATAGTATAAAATCAGACATTAGTATATAAAATCGAATACTTGTGTATAAAATCAGACTCAAGTGGATAGAATTGGACATTAATTTATAAAGTCGGGCACTTGTGTATAAAATCAGACATTAGTGTATAGAATGGGATGACAGTGTCTACAATCAGATTCTAGTGTCTAGTCGGACACTAGTGTATAAAATCAGACATTAGTGTGTACTATCATCATCATTATTATTACTATTATCATAATTTTTTAATTTTTATTATTTAAAACCATCATTTATAAGATATTTTTCAGAACACCTTTATTATTTCGGAATTTCACACATTTCATTTCAGCTTTACTAAGTTCTTCTGATAACTGTAACTTTCAAAAGGGTGAAAGGCAAAAACTTTTATGGGCTTTTTTATTATCCAGAATACAAAACAAGCCTACAAAGTAAGTGGAAAGCCTGAAAACTCATGCTTAATTTCGTATCAGATGGTCTCAAAATCTACCAGCGATCTACCATGTCTCGGAGAGCTAACCTTGTAGTATTAGAACTTACATTTCTTTATTATCTGCACGTCCTTCATACCCTAACCAAAAGCTGTTTTCATATTGCTGACACAATCACTACTCTAGTCTTTATCATTGTGTACGCGGTGGTAAATGTTAGTTTACTTGCACACGGTGTTGTATTTGTGTAACCTGCGTAGCAGACGTTTTCTTTTTTGTTTGTTTGTTTCTTTGTTTGTTTTTTTCATTCCCCTTACGGCCTTGCAACCTGCTTGGGTGCTCTCCAACAAAACCATTGGCAACTCACTCTAGTTACTACGGTCTCGCAGGTAAAATCATATATTCGTTGCAAATCTCCGAGGAAGCTTCAATAGTTTCTAGTTTAAAATTAAAGAGTCACCAACGAGATCTACGAAAACCGAATGCACCTAGCATCAAGCAGTTTTGTCAAAGGAAGTTCCATCTCGATAAGCTCTCTAAGTTCTTTTAAGAATTCAGTCAGTGGTACTGGATCCTGTAAAAAAAGGGGTAAGTCCTAAGTTAGGGTTTGGGGGAAGTACACCTTCACTAGGAATAAAGTTTGTTTATTTCTTGTTTATACACTGATAGTATCTCACAGCGAACACAGCGGGACATGTTAAAAACTTAGTTATATTTGGTTTACGACCAACTTCATCGACAAAACACAAGGTAACGTTTTTTTCCTTGTTGACTCAGGGGATGAACAAATAAGTATTTTCGCGTCCAGTGCGACCAAATATATTTAGTAAATAAACATTTTATCATTTGACTGCCGTTTTCTCTTTATCTTCTTTTCTTTTTGTACTTATTCCGAACGCTTGTGTGGCTTTTTTTCTGACACTGCTGATGCCATCGCGCAAGGGGGATTTTTTTGAAAATGATGTTTTACGATAAAAGCGCACACAAAGCTGTGCAGGTCATATTATGTAGGAAACTATCCTGAACCAATCATCTGCATATAGCTGTATCAAATATCATGATTGTCCAGGATAGTAAACAAGCGTAAATTATGAAGAACGCTATGGATAAAAAATGACTGAATTCTTAAACAGTCTGATGTAACATTACATCAGTGAGCCTCAACTGACGTAGTTTGCGGTAATCAAACGAGACCGGTGAAAGAATGAAAGAAGTCTACAAGATACGTCATTAAGATTCATCTCTTACCATTCAACTTTGGAGCCTCGGTTTGGTGTGGAACCCAAGCAGCCAAAAATATGTTTCAGCTGTGTATTCTTGGCTGGTCATGAAACGAAAAATTGAAATTCATTTGATCAATTTTCGAGACTATAACATTAAGATTATTATCATTAAGATTATAAAATATCGTTACCATTATGAGTATGATTTATTTATATCAAGAATAGCATTATTATTGTTACTTTTATTACTAATATCATCAATCAATTTTCGCGTTACACTACTATCTTAAATCTTAAAACCATAAACCTCTACATTATTAACTATCCAAATATATAAATAAAACAAACGAGGTGTCGGAAAAGTACTAGCTAAGGACGAATCAACAGGAAGTTAATATGAAAAATTTTCTAGGACTGCAGATTAAATGTCATCTTTAATATAACACAGTAGGTTACATAATTTCAAATATCAGTCGATTCCTTCCCTCTGTTGACGAACAAATATAACTTACCGTGTGGAGGTTTCATCGGAGCATTCTTACGTTTCTGTGGTAGCTTGATCCTTACGCCTCTTTTCTAAGAAAACAGACGAGTTTTTTAGGTTATTCGATTTAATTTAAATAGGAAATTTCAACTCCAATTTGTGCGTACTTTGTGGGTTTTTAGATACGTAAATATACAAAGGTTGACTAATGTTAGATCCCTATTTAAGCAACTAGCATTATTGTCACTTTTGTTCTTGTTATTATTATAATCTTGTTATTATTATGATAACAATAACAATAATAATCATCATCATCGTTATCATTATTATTATCACTATTTCTTCCATCACCATTATCACTATCATTGCCATCACCATTATCAACATTATTGTCATCATCATTGTCATTATATACGAAGAGAACATTTACGAAGAAAAGCAATGATAATGACAGAACAAGCTGGAGGAACCTGATTAGAGCCTGAACTAGTCAAGAAACAGTCATTGTTGAATTGACATACTGCATAGTATTATATACAAAAGCTTTCTTTTTTTCTTCAAGCATATGTACTTAGGATTTGAATTTTTATCTATTTTATCTTTATCATCATATTATTATTATCATTATAAGTATCATTACTTAACTATTATCATAAATAGTCATTATCCTCTTGATTTTTTAATAACCTGCTGTTGGTTTACCTGCTTGAAGAAAGCCACCATCTCGGTATCAGCACTGTCATCGTCATGTGAAACTGTTATTCCGCAAAAGAACTGCTGCTTGGTTCGATCAACGTGACTTACTTCAAAAACACAGAGAGGGAAATTTGCTGAGTTTTCAGGCGAATTCCACGCATCTTTTATATATATTATCTAAATAGAGACATACAAACGGACGACGTCATTCCTCTTTGAAGTTGTCGCAAATCTACATTTCACAGAAAACGTAATCCTGGAATTATTCATTAAATGCTGTGACGATTGTCTGATTAGCTTTTTATACCAGTTTTATGTTTCATGCAACCTCAATTTGTTTTCTCCTCGTTATATAACTTTCTATAACGATCTTTTACTCTGAAAGTTCTATACTTATTGTAGAGCAGCTGAGTACTCATCTGTACAGTCAGAGATGTCATTTCACCTTCACTTTGTCCCCTTTTATTTGCCATCCTGGATCTAGATCAGTAAACTCAATTCTGATGTTTTCCTTGCTGTTGGACACAAATAGGCCTGAGAGAGTTGTCAGTTGTCTGTTTCCTTTTTCTGCTTCTTTCTCGCAAACAACCTGTCATCAAATAAACGAAAATAATGTAATGCTTTTATTGCTGATATGCAGAGATCACAAGATATGCAGAGATCACAAACAGTTCCTCATTAAATAAACATTGAATTAAGAGGAGGAATCTGATCTTCAGTTAATAAAAAAGAAAGTAGCTCCAGAGGAGCGCTATTTGATAAATTGTATCGTCTTCCATCAGTTTAGAAGCTGACTCCTTCATCTGCTGAGTTCTTGGATTATAACCGACTACTGTTACATTGAGCCTTCTTGGTAACTGCAATTTGATTTTTCCTTCTTTTTTCAATGTTATCTTTAATCATAATTACTTTTATCATCCTTTTTTATAGTTGTATGCTTTTTTACCTTAAATGCCTTTGTTGAATCATCAATCAAGTAAACCCGAATCTTCCAGTTGCAGCCCTGTTTCGGATCTTTTCCAAAGATCGCCATTTGCATTCGTTTCTGGTCATTTTCTTTTGGAACTCCAAAAGCGGCAACCTCAAGATTTTCCGTTAAGACAGGCAACGTCAACTCTATATCGTTATGTTTTCTCTCTACCTTGGCTTCGGGGTAGACCTCCATGACATCTTGCCAGTTTTTTATCCTCTTGCGTTGATTAGAATGTTGTCGGCATTTGACTACGATGTCCCAGGAGTTTCCCATGGCCATCAAACAACAGTGTTCGATCAAAATCGGCTGTTGAGGATGGGAACCATTTTTGAGGACTTTGTAGCAACCGCTGACCATAAAAGAGCGGTAGGCACGGTTTTGGAATCCTGTTCCTGTTGTAGGGAGATGAAAACAGTCAATGTTGCTTTTAACTCGGGAACAACTGCAAATGGTTTTACGATAATGTTACATGCGGCAAACTTTAAATCTGTGTTTTACACTAAAATTTGTGAATGAATTTTATGATCCTGAAATAGCACATTTTCACTTCTTCAAACTCATCTACTCACTTCCCTTTGCCAATCAGTTACCACGAAGAAAGTCCATCAGGTTATTATCTATCACTGGGTTAAGTGTGGGGGGTGGGGGGAGAGGGTTTACCCTCAGGTATACACTAACTACGAGGGTACTGAAGAGGTTAGATATAACCCTCAGGTAGACACTACCAACGAGGGTATAAAAAAGATTAAAAATAACCCTCAGGTATACACTACCCAAGAGGGTATAGAAGAGATTAAAAAATAACCCTCAGGTATACACTACCGAAGAGGATATGAAAGAGATTAAAAATAACCCTCAGATATACACTACCCAAGAGGGCATAGAAGAGATTAAAAATAACCCTCAGGTATACAATACCCAAGAGGGTATGGAAGAGATTGAAAATAACCTTCAGGTGTACAATACCCAAGAGGGTATGGAAGAAATTAAAAATAACCTTGAGGTATACACTACCCAAGAGGGTATTGAAGAGATTAAAAATAACACTCAGGTATACACTACCCAAGAGGGTATGGAAGAGATAAAAATAACCCTCAGGTATACAATACCCAATGGGGTATAGAAGAGATTAAACATAACCCTTAAGAGTACATTACCCAAGAGGGTATAGAAGAGATTAAAAAATAACCCTCAGGTATACACTATCCAAGAGGGTATAGAAGAGAATAGGTATACAATACAATAGAAGGTAAAGAAGAGATTAAAAATAACCCTTAAGAGTACACTATCCAGAGGGTGCAGAAGAAATTAAAAATAACCCTCAAGTGAACACTACCCGGGAGGGTGAGGAAGAGATAAAAAATAACCCTCAAGTGTACATTACCCAAGAGGGTATAGAAGAGATTAAAAGTAACCCTCAGGTATACACTATCCAGTAGGGTATGGAAGAGATTAAAAGTAATCCTCAGGTATACACTACCCAGGAGGGTGTGGAAGAGATTAAAAATAACCCTCAGGTATACACTACTGAAGAGGATATGGAAGAGATTAAAAATAACCTTCAGGTATACACTACCCAAGAGGGTAAAGGAGAGATGGGTAGGAGGGTGTAGAAAATATTAAAAGTGACCCTGAGGTATACACTGCCTGAGAGGGTATAGAAAAGATTAAAAATAACCCGCAAGTATACACTACCCAAGAACTCGCCAATTGATTCTGACATGATAGCGCCTCTTTAGAATGCATGCTACGAACTTTTTGGGGGAGACAAAGCTCTGTGATTCTGACATAAATTTAAAATAGTGCGTGGAATTAAAAATATTCTTTCCAAAGTAGAGATGGTTTGCTAAACCTTTTTTGACCTCTTTTTTAGAGGAAATATTATTAGAGGAAAGTGAGGTCCATGAATGTCAACCTTTTGCATATTACATCCAATATGGCAATATACAAGAATGCAAGCTTTATCAGAAACTGTGATGCAACTCAGAAAAATAAGATAAATAATGCCTTGCTGCAATTGATGAACTAAAATAAAATAAAAGTTGCACAATTGTTGCTTGATCGAATGGTAAAAAAATTATTTCAGTATCGATTTTGCCCCTTAATTTGCATATTTGTGTTCTCTGACTTACCAGGACGCATCTTTCCTGTCCTTCGTTTTCTGATGTGTATCGTCAAGTTATGATGCGATGTACATCCCTTCCTCTGTTCTTGAATCTTAAATTGTGCTTTCAAAGCATATATGCAAAATCAGATTATTTTGAAAAGTAAACAAGTCCAAGGGAGTTTGCCCTGATAAATAATCAATTTGCCACCAAAATAGCCCTATCAGTGTTCTTTCGCCGCCAATAACGTTTACAACAGCATTTTCCGTATTTTCATCTCATACTTGAATAATATAACAGAACTAGTTCTACACTTGGTTTGCATGTAAGCAAAAATTGGTCGAGAACAAAATGAAGACATTTTCAATCATATATGAGCATGGAAACCCCCTCTTCTGTTTTTGTTTTCTTCCTATTTTAATCATCTGATTTCGTATCACCTGGCGGAGCAAAATTAGAATACGTCATGCTATTGTGGAAGAATGATGTACGTTGCCACGAGACAAAAGATGTTTCTGCTTTTTTTTTCATCTCAAACTGAAAGTGCAACGTTGCTTTTTATTAACGCTGAAAATGCTAAGTAAGCAGAATTCAAATTTCGACTTGAATTATCAAGATGAAAATCAAAGAGATAAAATAAGTAAATGATAAAGAAAGATGAGAAGCCTACAAAAATTAATTTTTCCAAATCATTAATTCGCAAAGAACAATTTGAGAAAAAGGTCAATTTCAGGATTGCGAGCGCCTTCACTCGATCGAAACGTAATGCGTTTGGGGATTACCCTAACAAGTCAGCCAATTATAGCGAAGCATTGAGTATAAATAAAGCGTTTTCCGCCTTGAGTAACTCGGCTGTAAATTCCATACGACTGCAGACTCAGATGATATTTAGCTCAAAGGCTTGCGAACACAAGTTAATGAAACAGTAGGAACTGGTGGAATAAAAAGAGAGAGTTTCTTGGGACAGTTACCAACTGTGCACCCTTTATATCTGAGAAGGGGTCATACCGGTAAGTAACTGGGGAAAGATATTGTTCCCTTAAAGCGATTTTCAGTTTCCGAGAGAGATTCTAACGCCATCGGTACAGGCTTGATGCGCGGAAAAAGAAGAAACTTTGTACAGTTTTATTATCAGAAATGGATACCTAGGAAAACATTAGCAATAAAGTTACGTCGAAATATTGTATGGGGCAATGGCGGGCTACGATATAAGCATATACCCTATTCACACCGGCGAACATGTCTAGTTTCAACCGGGTTTAACTGAATCTTGAAAATCAGAAACATAGAACTGTAAGATTGAGTTTTCCATAGGTTTCAAGTTGTCAAACTTTTATTTTCAATGTGCTTAATTTGAAGTCAGTAAACATCGGTTAAGGCAGCATCAAAATTCTATGAAAAAAACAATTTTCCACCCTGTTAAAATACAGCTTGAAAACATGTTTTCTTTAAGCTTAGATTTTAATGGGTTTTAATGGGACAATAGACGCGGTGATCATGCTTCGTTTCGGTGAAGTATAGCTGATCTATGTGCATTCAAACTTAATTCACTATCGAAATCATTCCTTGCAGGTTTTTTTACTATTACACATCTTTTTCCATCGGAGGGAGAGGAGAAACGATTCCTTACATGATATCGTACTCAGAGCTTCAGAAGAAGGACAATTATCTATACATGCTCAAGATGATCGGGTTATGTATTGCCTGGAGTATTTTCTGAGTCCAGAATTGAAATATTAGTCGTCAAAGGTAAATTAGGCGTTTCTTTCAAATATTATCCGCGTTTCATGCACAAACGTGTAGATACGTAATTTATATATCCAAATGGCTGAAATAGTTTGGTCACGCTCCGTAACAACTTAAGTGTAAATTTCATTTGAGTAGGCATTCAGTTCGAGTAATTTAAGGAAGCTCCATAGGGTTTTTCTCAAGGCTAGCGTGCGCGCCAGCGTAATATTTTTCTAGAAAATTAAAATGTTTTCGCTTTTCTAGGTCCCTAAAAGCCATCAAAAGGCGATGAGCAAAGTTCAGACTATCGTTCGCTTTAGTACATATTAACAAAATGATTTTCGCTATTAAGCGAAGGCTCCACGAATGGAGGCGCTCGCCAGTGATAATTTGGTCCAGAAAATCTTAGGAAGGAAAAGCGATAAATCTTGCTCGAAAGATCCCTGTTTTCTTTGTCGTAAAACATTACGTAATAGAACAGACCTTCGCCAAGATCTTTGTCAAAGCATGCGTTAACTTTCGAATCTGTCGCCTTTTGACAATCTTTCCTACAGTGTTGTCTTCTTCTGTTGACCTCTTTTTCATGCGTAGAGGGCCCATGAATATTATGGGGGCAGTTGCTGAAAACCCAAGATTTCGTTACATAAAAATTGTATTAAGTTAAACTGTTTTTAACATACCTTTTCAGAAAACAATTGAGCGATCGTATCGAGCCGCCATGTTTGTTTACATTTAAAGCTCGCGCTGTGTTCGCACCCAGATCACACGCGGTCAAAAAAACCCTATGGAGTTAGTGTTGAAAGATCAAAGAAACCAAAGTACTTTATGACGTGTGTTTTGATTCGTTGAGTCAGTGTGTGCTCGGTATAAATCAAGACAATTTAAACCTGGTTTGTCGATGGCGATTCTAAAGTTTTGCCTCGGTACTGTGACGAATTGATCCAAATTAAGTGACACTCCACTCTCATCTGCCCTTTCTGACAGACGCAACAAAAATAGCTATTTCTTCTTTAATCAGATGGCTTGCGTAAAGGCCATAATGTTTATTGACAAGAACAGTATTTAGAGGTTCTTGAATGACAATTGTTATTTCCTATTTCCTTTTTTTCCTGGTCATGGATGGGGTAAAACACTAAGAGAAATTACTTAATACAATGCAATATTTATACAAACTTAAGTACACAAAGAAGGTGATATCTGTTCTTAAGTTTGTATAAATATTGCATTGTATTGTCTTCTTTTTGGTACAGTACTCTGATATAGCCAAATACATATTGGGCTCTTGATCTGTACTGTAAACTGAGTTCTTTTTTGCATCTCGATTGTCGAGGATATAGTCTTTCTGATCATGTGACATACGGAGCCATAAGTCATGTCCTGCGTTATGCATTCGTCATTATCCATAAATAGCTTCTTTGACCATAGATACACGTAAATACTCCTCACACACCCTTTGTTCCTGTTCATAGAACAGAAGCTAGAAACGAAGTGGCATCGTTTACAGCATCTATCGGTGAAGTAGGCGGATCCATCATGTCAGATAACATTCCTTTGCGAACCCAACACTCATGTACTGAAAACGAATATTACAGAATAAATGTGTTCAGCAACGCACAACTAAACACAATGGGCAGTACAAGGCCACTTGAACAGCTAATTGTGTTTATCACTAGGGCCTCGGAAAACTCTGAGCGGTTAGATATGCTACAGGTGAGGACTTGGGGTTTATACTATTATTGAAGAACACCTATGATTTATGATAAGCGTGGACTATTAGAGAGGTGATGTGAGAGGGCGGGGGTGGGGAAGGGGAGTAGAATGGAAACGATACGGGAGGGTGCTGGGAGATGCCTTAGAGGGGATATTTCCTTTTTTTATGTATCAGGTGCAAACTTTTGAACTCCTGAGATAAAAAGTGGAGACGCTGTTTTCTTTTCTTAAACTGCCCCACTCCCCTCCCCTCTCCCGTCAATAACGCATCAGCCACTGCATTTGTCAACTGAATAGTAATAGTAAACTTTCTCTAAGCAGAAGCAGCTTGATCAAGGGGCGATCAACGTGCGGTATGTGTATTCAAATCATTTCCGTTGGAGGAGAAGCAGAGGGGTCAATCTTCGTGCTGATTTAGTCATGGGGGATTTCTGTGCTAATAAGGAGGTAAAGTCTTATGTACAGATTCGCTGGTCTAAGTTCTTAGCTTTTTGTAGATTTCCTTTCAGATCTCTAATAATTCATGGTTATAAATATAGTTTTCTGTTCTATGCGGAACGAAGAGCAGGTAAAAAGAAAATAAAAATTGTGATAATGCTGCATTACAAGCCAACTTTTAGGTGTGTTCTTTTTAGGTCCATCGACGCAAAATTGATGAAATGAAGCTTGGAGAGAATCTCGTTTTTACCATGCCTAAGAGTGATGCATCCTCCACGACAGTAAAGTTGAAACTTGTGAACGAAAGCCGTGATATCATTCTTGAAACAGGAGAGTTAAACTTGGAGCAATCAATGGTTAGTTGATTCTTGATGACTGTATAATTTTGAACTTTACACTTAAAAGAAAAGAAATCACACTGGGTTTCTCAATGACCCCATTAAGTTTCTTAATGACTGTAACAATCTAGCATGTGAATGGTTTCTTAGCATACATAAAAGTAGGTTTCAGGGAACAGAAATGAAAATTGCTTTGGCTGTACACTAGTTTAGGAATTATTTGCATGATACATGATACTTATCTGTTTTAGCTTCTAGACGAGACACGCCCTGGCGTTGAACACGGGCATGAAGGAAACCAAGTCGTCGAAATGGAGGCATAATGTCGGATTTAATTTGGAGATTCATCTTTTCTTAGTTGTTATTTTAATATGTCTTTAAAGGAAATCATTATTTACATTAAATTGCTAAACGTCATCGCATGATTTCGAGTGCAAGTTGGAATAAATAAGTACGAGTAATTGTTTCAAAGACTAAAAAATCTGCTCGCGTGTGTTTTGTAGTTTTTTTAAAAAATTGCGATTGTTTTTTCGTTCTTCACTGCGTGATGGAGATTGTGATTAATGATTGATAATATCACGGGAAAAATTAAGAGGCGCAGAAATCTCCTGTAAAACCAGACCATTCAAACATGACAATTTTTCTTTTTCAATTCTTTTTTAAATTTCGTGTTCTGTCAAAACAACTACGTTTAATCAAACAAGTTTTTAGGTAAGTTTTATGTTTTGTTTTGTTGACCAAAAAGAGTTCAAAGTGCGACCAAACAAATTCGTTACTTACTTTTGCACTGAATTTTTTTCTCTAAAATTTGTTTCGTGTAATTTATAGGGATCAGCCAAGAAAGTTTCATCCTTGTTTTTAAGGAACTCGTTTATTAACTTTTTGGAAGAAAACATGTGGAGGTAAAAATCTCTATTCCAAATTCTCTCGGGCTTACCATTTTGTAAGAAGAAAGTCATCTTCGCCAACTTCATTCTTTATGCTGTGAGGATTTAGAAGATGAAGCGGTTTGAGCGGAAAAAAAAGGAGATTTCCATTTTCTAAATTAAAATATCTCGATGAATGTACCAAGAGTATTTGAGGCAAAAGGTAAAGTTGGTGGTAAAATTGCTAGGGATTTTTGAGGATGAATTGAATTGAATGTGGCAAGGTTATTTAAATTATTCTATTTGATATACAGTTGAGAGTTTTAAGAGGACCATAATGACAAGAACTGCAAGGGTACATTATTCGATGAAAATGTACAGTAAAACATCAGTACGACCGTTTGGTCACATTTAAAGCTATTTAAATCAGGGCAATTGTGTTCAATATATACCATAGTCTTAATGTAATTGTAGCACCTCATTTATGATGTTGAAGCATCAAACTCTTTAAAGAACAGACTGGCAAAGGTCTTTGGGAAATGAAATTTTTATGATGAGGTCTCGTTACAACAAATAATTACCAAGGCACATGGTAGGAAATTTTGAGCAGGAAAAAGGATATTCTTTCAATTTCTTATTATAAGTGAAAGGAATTTCTTCACGGGTAGATTAATTCATGTGGAAGGATTTCGCTGCCTTAAACAGTTGCTATCTTTTTACACATTCATCTTTTGTGTAGTAGAATATTAAAAAATCGAACAGAAATAAAGCTGGTAGCGCATATTATTAATGAAAAGACGCTCTGTACACAGGAAATGCATTAACATAAGGAAATTTTATTCATTTCATCTGATGAAGTGAACAGTGCTGAAGAATAACATTGTACATACATTTAGGATTTACGTTTGAGTTTTTTAATCGATTCTTAGACTAGCAACATTGAGCTGTGCCTTCCAGTTAGTTGAAATAGATTATTAGCTTAATACTACAGCAAACATTTTAGAAAACTGCGTTCTTCACTGAGCTTGTAACTTATTCATTCAATGTTATTACATGTATGTTCAACAAAATGCACCATTAAAAGAATATCAATCTCATTCCTTTTTCCAAAGTTTGGATGTGTTTCTATTAATTTCTGTAAGAAAGATTATTTATAGATCACTGAGCCCTATTCTGTTCACTGGGGTGTGTTGACTTAACCTTTTAAATCCCAAGATCTGATTGTTAATTCTCCCCTCTAGCTGCTACACATTTCCTTGTAAATAAGTTGCAAGAATTTAGTGCTAGATCAAGATAACAACTTCTACCTGATACATTTGAGTACTCTCATTACCTGTTTGCTGGATGGATATTGTAGATATTGTAGGGAGAAGTTACATGCAAATCACTCTTAGGAGTTAAAGGGTAAAAATGAATGGGGGAAGGTGGGTGGTGTGAATCGTGAGCACGCGCTGAAGATCACGCCATTTTTAATTTAGTCACGCACTGATCACGTGCTTTTGTTTACGGCACGCGGGCAACAACTGCGCGATTTTATCACGGTCGGAATACATTTGAATTTGATCAGGGGCACGTGACCAAGAATCAACCAATCACAGTGCTCGTTTTGTTGAGTAAAAGTCTAGGAATATAACAACATACTTTAAACACAGGGGGATGTGAATATATCGTCGCTGGTAAACTGAAGTTGATGCCACAACAGATGCAGGCACCTGAAGGGAATTAGGCTTGGGCTGTAATTGAATGTTTCCAGATACCACTTACGTATTTTAACAACAAGGCCATGAAGCCGCATAGTATCAACAGAATAACAATGACACAGGAAAAAAATAAACAAAAAAACAAAAACAAAAAAGAAGAGGAAGGAAAACAAAAACAAAGAGAACATAAATGATACTCGAATTCCTGAGAGAAAACTATGATCTATTTTGAAATAACTTTGAGACAAATCAGTTGAATTATTGAGCGCGATAGATCGTTTTGTTGGAAATGTGAATCGGTACTAGCACAAAAAAAAAGTCCTCGATGGACCGTGTTAGTTGAGAATAGGTACATCACATAGGTTAAGGCAAAAGCAGTTAAAAATCTTTTGTACAAGTGTTTTCTTTTAACTTAAGTTGAGTATCAGTAAGTTATTCATACTGATATAGAATGCTTGTGATATTAGTTTGAAACCTTACCTGAATATTCATATTTTATACATTTAAAAGGCTTTAACTTTGCTTCGATGGCATAATTCCCATTTCGGCGTTTGCCATCTCTAAACAAGCACCGCGTCTGATTTAAGTAAATCTCATCGAGGTATCGAACTGATAATAAAATGTGTGGCTGCTGTTACGTGCCGCCAGCACAAAATCACACTCCGAAAAGACGACGAAATCAATATGCACGATTAAAGGGTAATTAACTCGCGAGATTAGAAGTGAGACTAGCTTGAGAATCTGGTGCTTCATGGTAGCTTGACTATGAATATAATCACTTGTTTAATGTTAATTTTTCAGCAAGTCCTTACAATGACAAGCGCTGTTCTGCCCTATTAATAAGTAGATGCAAACAGCATAGTATCCTTAATAGACATCATACCTGTAAGTGCCCCTAAGGCACGGGTTTATCCCTTGTTTTGATTTAGTAATCGTTTAATTAATAATCTGTAAAAGTCACACTAGGTGCCTCGTCACGCGTTCCGTAAGTGGTATCGCATTTCCAAACAGAACGGATCTATTGTGCAATTCAATAATTCGATCGATTTCGCAAGCACTCGTGGTTTAATAGAAAGAAATTGTCTGTCGTTTTTATCGAAGGAAGGAAAGGTCTTTTTTGTGTCAACTCTCGCCAGATCCGGCAACAATGTAAGTTTAATTTATCTCGAGTGTTTCTATAGCTAATTTCTTGTCCCTAATTTTGTGAATCAATTATTTTTAGCTTCACGGTCAAATACGACATTTAATAAAGGAGGCGTTCCATGAAAGAAATTGGGGCGATATTTGTTGTGTCGATCAGTGAGATTCGTACGGTCCAGCTAGCGGCGATCAAGCGTCGCTATAATACCTCTTACGAATAATTATATATTTTAGTGTATTCATCTATGCAATGGGGTGTTTAAAGCAAACTGGGATAAGAAGAAAAAAAAGAAGTTAAAAAAACAAAAACGAGAACAAACATCCCTGGTATCTTATGAAACCTAACGAGTAGTGCTTACTGAAAATAAGCCCTTAGCCTTTTTTTCCCTGATTACTATTAGGGTTTTTTTGCAAGGTTTTTATTTACCTTCCTACTCTTAGTTAAATGTCTTTGATTAATGTCTGTACTGAAGACTTAATTCAATCTTCCTGATTGGTTCTCGCTATGTTGTACTGTCCCAAAATGAGACGGCGTTGAATCACACCTGAATCCAATTAGCGTTTTCCATATTGAAAAAGAGATTTTTTTTATCTATTTTTAGATTTAGCAATACTTTAAAGATACGTTAACTAGTTTTGTACTTGCTAAAACTTTTATACGTGAGATAGAACGTACTTAATAACTTTGTCTTTTTAGTAATAAACAAAACTTAAAACTGATAAGTGGATACGTTTTCCTTTCCTTTGGAAGCTTGGATATTACTGAAAACTCCTTCATCTCCAAGATGAGAGGAGTTTTAAAGCTTTGGATAACAGTAAAGTTCAGAGATAGTAAAGGGGGGGATGGGGGGGGGGCGTTTAAAGAAACGGTGGTGGTGCATCTGTGTGGATATTAAAATGTAATTTGGTGTTATTAACTGAGTTACCATTAAAAGAAAAGCCACTGGAAAAAAAAAAATAAATGCAGAAGTTTCAAGAGTTAGCTATTCATATATCAGGAAATAAAGACAAAAACTACTCTCTGAAAAGCGAACTAGTGTCTAAAATCGGCAGTGGTGTCTGAAATCAGAAATTAAAGTCTTAAATCGGTGCTGTTGTCTTAAATCGGACTCTGGTGTCTAAAATCGAACATGAGCATCTCGAATCGGACACAAGTGTCTAAAAACCGGATATCAATGTGTACTACCATCGTTATAGTTATTGTTAGAACTTTAGAAAGGGGGAAGATGTATACTTTTCAAGGTATTTTCATTATCTAGAATACGAAATAAGCCTGCAAAGTGAGTGTAAAACCTGAAAACTCGTGCTTAATTCCATAGCAGGTGGCACCAAATTCTACAAGCGAGAAAAGTGTCTCGGGGAACTAACCTGACAGTATTAGAACTAAAATTTCTTTATCATCTGCATGTCCTTCATACCCTCACCAAAGTTGTTTTGATATTACTGACATAATCACTAATTCAGTCTTTATTATTGTGAAGGCGGTCGTAAATGTTGGTTTGAGCTGCGCACGGTGTTGTATTTGTTTCACCTGCGCAGCAGACCTTTTCCTCTTTGTTTGTTTGTTTTTTGTCTTCCATTCCCTGTAAGGCCTTGCCACTTGCTTGAGTGCTCCCCAACAAAACCACCAGCTACTCACACTAGTTACAACGGTCTGGCATGTAAAATCGTGCATTTGTTGCAAATCCCCAAGAAAGCTCGAGTTAAAACCTCAATAGTTTCTAGTTTAAAGTTAAAAGAGTCACCAACGGCGCGAGACCTACGAAAACCGAATGCACTTAGCATCAAGCAGCTTTGTCTAAAAGAGTTTGATGTCGATAAACTCTCCAAGTTCTTTTAAGAAATCAGTCAGTGGCACTGGATCCTGTGAAAAAGAGGTAAGTTCTTGGTTAGGGTTTGCAGGAAGCACACCTTCATTAGGAATAAAGTTTGTTTATTTCTTGTCTATAAACGGGTAGCATCACATAGCGAACACAACGGGGCATCTTAAAAACTTATCTATATTTGGTCTATGGCCAACTTCTTCAATTCAAGGCAATTTGTGCCTGACCGTTTTAACAAGGTAACGTTTTTTTCCTTGTTGCCTCAGGGAATGAAACAAATAAGTATTTTCTCGTCCAGTGCGATCGAATCAATTCAATAAATAAGCATTTTATCATATGACTACCGATCTCTTTATATCTACTTTTCTTTTTGTACCTGTTCCGAACGCTTGCGAGGATTTTTTCTGACTCTGCTGGTGAACGTGCACCGGGAATCTTTTTTTTTAAAGGTTGTTTTATAATAAAAGCGCACACAAAAATGTGCGAGTCATATTACGTAGGGAACTATCCTATACCAATCATGTGAATATTGCTATATCAAATATCATGATCGTCTAGGATAGTAAACAAGCATAGAAGAACGCCATGGATAAAGAATGACTGAATTCTTACATAAACAGTCCAACGTGTAACGTTACATCAGTGAGCCTCAACTGACATAGTTTGCGGTAATCAAACGAGACCGGTCAGAGAATGAAAGAAGTCTACAAGATACGTGATTAAGATTCATCTCTTACCATTCACCTTTGGAGCCTCGATTTAGTGTGGGGCCCAAGCAGCGAAAAATGTGTTTCAGCTGTGTATTTTTGGCTGGTCATGAAACGAAAAATTGAAATTCTTTTGATCAACTTTGGAGCCTATAGCATTTAAGATTAAGATTGTAAATATCGTCACCATAATGTGTATGTATTAGATATATCAAGAATAACATCATTACTGTTACTGTTATTACTATTATTATCATTCAGTTATCACGCTACACTACTACCTTAAATCTTAAAACAACAAACCTATACATGATTAACTATACAACTACAAAAATAAAAACAAATGAGGTGTCGGTAAAGTACTAGCTAAGGAAGTTGATATGATAAATTGTCTAGGATTGCAGATTAAATGCAATTAATATAACACAGTAGGTTACATGTTACAAATATCAGTCAGTTTCCTCCCGCTGTTGACTAACAAATATAACTTACCGTGTGGAGGCTTCATCGGAGCATTCTTACGTTTCCTTGGCGGTTTGATCCCTACGCCTCTTTTCTAAGAAAACAGACGAGTTTTAGGTTATTCGATTCAATTTGAACAGCAAATTTCAACTCCAATTTGTGAACCTGGAGGAGCCTGATTAGAGCCTGAACTAGTCAAGAAACAGTTATCGTTGAATTTGACACGCTGCATAGTAGTATAAATAAAAGCTTTTTTTTTTCTTCAAGAATATTCACGTAGGATTTAATCTTTTTCTATTTTAATTCTCGTTATTTTACAATCGTTCTTATTATTACTATTATAAGTATTATTACTTTATTATTGTCATAAATTGTCATTAGTCATTATTCTCGTGATTTTTTTTTAATAATCTGCTGTTGGTTTACCTGCTCGAAAAAAGCCACCATCTCGGTATTAGCGCTGTCATCGTCATGTGAAACTATTATTCGGCAAAAGAACTGCTGCTTGGTTCGATCAACGTGACTTACTTCAAAAACACAGAGAGGGAAATTTGCTGAGTTTTCAGGCGAATTCCACGCATCTTTTATATATATTATCTAAATAGAGACATACAAACGGACAAAATCATTCCTCTAGCTTTCGAATTGAAATGTTATTAAGTTGTCCTAAATCTGCATGGCACAAGAAACGCAATCCTGGAGTTATTCCTTGAGTGCAGTAACGATTGTCTGATTAGCTTTTTGTACCAGTTTTATGTTACATGAAACCTCAGTTTGTTTTCTCCTCGATATGACCTACTTTCTATAACAATCTTTTATTCGAAAAGTTCTTTACTTATCGGAGAGCAGCTGGGAATTCATCTGTACAATCAGAGATGTCAATTCACCTTCACGTTTTCACCTTTTATTTGCCATCCTGGATCTAGATCAGTAAACTCAATTCTGATGTTTTCCTTGCTGTTGGACACAAATAGGCCTGAGAGAGTTGTCAGCAGTCTGTTTCCTTTTTCTGCTTCTTTCTCGCAAACAACCTGTTATCAAAGGAAAGCAATAAATTAAAAAGCGAAAAAACAAAATAAACAAAAAGTTGATGATTTAATGAAAAATGGATAAAGGAAAATAATGCAATGCCTTATATTGTTGCACCACAGCTTTGCAGGGATCACAGGTGGTCCCTCATCAAATAAACACTTAATTAAGAGAAAGAATGTGATCTTCAGTTGATAGAAAAGAAAATAGCTCTCGAGCAGGGCACTTGGGTAATTTGTACCGTCTTACATCAGTTTAGAAGCTGACTACTTCATCTGCTGAGTTCTTGGATTATAACTGACTTACGTTTCATTAAGCCTTCCTGTTGACTGTAGTACGAGTTATCCTTCTCATTTCAATGTTATCTTAAATCATAATTACTTTTATCATCATAATTACAGTTACATGCTTTTTTTACCTCGAATGCCTTTTTTGAATCATCAATCAAGTAAACCCGAATCTTCCAGTTGCAGCCCTGAGTCGGATCTTTTCCAAAGATCGCCATTTGCATTCGTTTCTGGTCACTCTTTTTGGGAACTCCAAAAGCAGCAACCTCAAGATTTTCCGTTAAGACAGGCAACGTCAACTCTATATTGTTGTGTTTTCTCTCTACCTTGGCATCGGGGTAGACCTCCATGACATTTTTCCAGTTTTTTTCCCTCTTGCATTGATTAGTGTTTGGTCGGCAATTGACTAAGATGTCCCAGTAATTTCCCTCGGTCATCAAACAACAGTGTTCGATCGAAGTCGGCTTGGGAGGAAGGGCCCCATTTTTGTGGACTTTGTAGCAACCGCTGACTAGACAATGGAAGCCACGGTTTTGGAATCTTGCTCCTATTGTAGGGAGATGAATACAATTAATGTTACATTTAACTCAGGAAAAAATGAAAAGGGATTTATGATATTGATACTTTCAACAACCTTTAAAACTGATGTTTCTTTTGGAGAGAATTTTCTATCTTTTTAATTTTTTTCTCAGTGGGCTCAAAAAAACGTGTACGCGTTCCTTCTTTCACAACCTTCAAATCTGACGTTTCTTTTGGAGGAAATTTTCAATTTTTTTCTTTTTTTTTTCAATTGGCTCGAAATTACCTTTACATATTCCTTCTCCTCTTGATTACCAAAACAAAAAAAGAAAATAATAATAATAATGCACATGTAATGAAAATGGAAATATAATTGTGAAATAATTAAGCCCTAATCTAGTATAAATTTGACGTCCTTATGGAGGTAATTCAGAATTACATTTTATTGAAGATTGGGACAAGAAATAAGAGTACTTAAAAATGGGAACAAAGCTGATTTTTCAGTCTCGAAGCTGCAAGTGACACCGCGTTATGGGTCTTGAGGATGCAAAAAGTATGATGCAAGACATAGGTGCATAGTTGCTGTGTGAATCCGTAGGCTGCAAAAAATCAAATTTGATGAAATAGCCATGGTTTGCAAAAACTTCGTTAACCAATATCACAAGAAAGATTGTCTACGGAAAGAGAGTATGGATGGCTCACAACCTTTTGCACAACATCTTTTATATTTTCAATGTGTTGTAACTGTCTGAAATGTGCAGGTCATCTAAATTGTAAAATGAAGAAACATGTTATGTAGAAAATACAACCTTAATTAAAAACCACGATGAAATTCAGTGAAAAAAGGAGAAAACGATGCCTTGCTGCAATAAATGGAATATAATAAAATTAGATTTTCTACCTAAGATGTTTGTCGCTCGATCCATGGGAATAATTTATTCATGTATCGATTTTGCCCCCAATTTGCATATTTCTGACTTACCAGGATGCATACTTGCGATCGGTCGTCTTCTACTGCGGGTCGTCAAGTTGTGATGCGATGAACATTTCGTTTCTGCTCTTGTTCCTAAAACATTGCTGACACACGCAGTGAATTTCAGCTGATTTGCACTTTCGGTTTATTTCAAAAGGTCAAGAGGTCACGGCCGAGGGGTTTCCCCTAACGTGTAAATATGTTGCAACGAAGCATATCTACCAAAACAACCCTATCAGCGTTTTTTTCGTCGCCAAGAACGTAACGTTTCAGAGCTTACCCTGCGCTCAGTTTGCATGTCAACTAGGTAAATAAAGTTCAAAATTAAGACACTTTAAAATATATATATTAGCATAGAAAACCCCATTTTCCGTTTTGTTTTCCTTTTTTTCTTTGATGTGATCTCGTACCACCTGTTTAAACAAAATTTAAATACGTCATGCTAAAGAAGAATAAGATAAATTGTCAATCGACAAATGAGGGATTTTTCCCTTCAAATTGATAGTGCAACGTTGCATATTTTTATCAGGGTAACCCTAGAAACGCTAATTAAACATATTTCAGCTTTCGACTTGAAGTCTCATGCTTAGAAGAAAAGCAGATTGATGAAATAAGTAAATGATGAAGAAAGATGAAAACCCTACAAGGACCGAGTTTTGTCAAATCATTTATAAGCGAAGAAAAGTAAAAAAAAAACTAAATTTCGGGGCTGGAGCTATTTCACACGACCGAAACTAAAACTGGGGATTACCCTGTACAGATGCTGTTCGTGAAAATCGTCTAACAAGTGTAGGAAAGCTTATGGAAGGTACAAGGTTCAGCCTATTTCACTCCTCTAAAGTACAAGGTACAACTGAGCTCGCCCATATAAGGAGCCACATAGCCGAAATTAATGCATCTTGCTTTGAGAGTTAGAGCAAAGACGATCACTTTAAAGGCTCGCGGAACATAATAAATAAATAACATCACGCATTAGTGGAAAGAAAAGAGACCTCTGCGACTGAGGACGGAGCACCCTTTATCTCTGACAGAAGTTCATTCCGGTAAGTAACTGAGTATATCTATTGTTTCCTTCGGGCAATGTTTGGCTTCTAAGAGAGACTCCATCGCCATCGATCTTTGCGCATATTATGATCAGAAATGGTAAACCATAGTAACCTACGTAAGCTACAAAATTAGACCAAGAAAACTTGTAAGCAATAGCAAGTTACATTAAACACAAATACTGCGATAGTGCTTCAGTTCGAGGAGGGATTGTTTTCTGCTGAGATTCCCTCCGAAATAATCTTTGTGAATTCAATATTCCTTGCAGGTGGCTACAGTCACGCAGCGCTGTCCGTCAGAAAGGGTGAACACAAATTTTCATTACATGTGTGGGACCTGTTTAGTGTGTTCAGAGCGACAGAAAAAGGACAGTCATTTACCCATGATCAAGATAATGAGCAGCTTATGTATTGCCTGGCCAGACTAATAAGAGTACAATTCGAATCGTGTTTTAAATATCAGACGTCAAAGGTAACTTACACGTTTTTGTAAAATATCATTAACAGTTGTAGACAACGAGTAGATGCTTAATTTACATACCGACAAAGCCACCACTGACTTGATCACGCACCGTGTCAATTCAAGCCAAAATTTGCTCTAAGCAAGCGCCGAAATTTCGAAATTCCACCTACGTTCTGATTTATAGGGAAACAGTTGTGTGTGCTTATATTGGTACGATGCAAGATTACTTTAAATCTACTGTGCCGATTTTTAATTCCGGGAAGTTCTTGCCTCGGTGTCGTGACGAATATGACACAAACTAAAACGTTGTCTCAATTTACTCTCAGACACACGAAATAAAACGGTAATTTCTTCCCTTCTTCCGGAGGTAATTTTCGAAATTTCGAAATCTCACGTACGGTCTGATTCGTAGAGACAGTTGTGTGTACTTATCTCGGTGCGAAGGAAGATTATTTTAAATCTACTGTGGTGATTTATAATTCAGGGAAGTTTTTGCCTCGGTGTCGTGACGAATATGACCCAAACTAAAACGTTGTCTCGATTTACGCTCAGACAGGCGAAATAAAATGGTAATTTCTTCCTTTCTTCCGGAAGTAATTCACGAAATTTCGAAATTTCACGTACGTTCTGATTTGTAGAGACAGTTGTGTGTGTTTGTCTCGGTACGAAGCGAGATAATTTCAAATCTATTGTGGCAATTTATAATTCAGGGAAGTTCTTGTCTCGGTGTCGTGACGAATTTGACCCAAACTAAAACGTTGTCTTGATTTAAACTTAAACACGAGATAAAACGCCTATTTCATTTGATGGAGGAAAAAGAAGAGTTTTCCTTTTTCCCTCCATCAAATGGCTCGTGCATTGGCCAACTTACATTTCCAGTCATGGATGAAAACAAAAAACAAAAACTAGAAGACAAAGACAAGCGAACAAAAATAAACAAACAAGAAAACGAGAACGACAAAAATTCTACATAGAACTGTTAGCTATAAAAGAACAAATCAGGTTCCTTTCGTATACTTTAGTTGGTGAGAGTATTGCAGTATACTTGTTATTTCGTACCATGCTCAGATATCGCCTGGCACATATTGTGCACATGATCTGTACTGTAAATTCAGTTCTGGTATCTCGATCTTAGAGGGTAAAATATTGCTATGTGGATCCACGAGTTATCTCGTGCACCATGCACGCGTAATTATCCATAAATAGCTTCTTCAATCATATTACACTTAAACACACCTCACACACTTTGTTTCTTCCCATACGACAGAAGCTAGCAAGGAAATAACATCAGTTACACCGTCTATCAGTAAATACAATTGGCAAGGATCCAACATGTCAGATGAAATTCCTTTGCGAACCCAGCAGTCATGTACTGAAGACGAATATTACAAAATACATGTGTTTAGCTACGCACGGCCAGCCACAAATGGCGGTACAGGGTCACTTAAACAACTGGTTTTGTCTATCACAAAAGCCTTGGAAGATTCTGGGCAGTTAGATATAATACAGGTGAGGACTGTGGGTTTACACAATTATTGGACATGCATGTAAGTATAATTTATGATCAGGGTGACCTGCCGGAGGGATGATGTAAAGAGGTTGGGGAGGGGAGGGGAGCAGAGAGGAAGGGAGTTGGGAGATGCATGGGAAATGAAATTTTTTTTATTTTTTCTTCTTTTTGGTGCATCTTAGGGGCAAGCCTTTAAACATCTGAGATGATAATTGGAGATGGTGTTTCCACTTTCTTAAACTGTTACATTTCAATAAAGCATTTATTTAATCACTGCATTCATCAACTAAGCAATAATTAGATTTTTTTTTTCTAATTAGAAGCAGCTTGATCAAGGTATGGTCAACGTACGGTCTGTATACACAGATAGTTTTCGTTGGAGGAAAAGTGAGGGTACCAGGCTTCTTGCACAATTAATCATGGGAGATTTCCAAGCTGAAAAGAAGGTAAAAGCTTTATACGTACAATTTTGTTTTAGATTCATTGTTTCTTTTTTTGTTTTTTTTTTGTGAATGTCCTCAGTGATCTCCGATAACTCATGATCATCAGAGTGGGTAACTAAGAGCTGGTAAATTTGAAAAGCCTAAAAGATTGTGATAATACAGTATTTCCTCGGTCAAGCGCCCGGGCACTTTTTTAAAATTTCAGCTAATATAAGAGAGGTACCCCTTGGAAGGAGGGTGCTTATTAGGAACCATCAACTTGCACTGATTTCGCTGTTTTTACTGATTCTGGTTTTCTCCCTATCTCCACTAATAAAGAAAGTGAGGAAGGAGGGGGAGGGGCGCCTGGTTGATATCATGGCCCAGGGGGTGAGCTCTTTTTGGAGAGAGGGCGCTGATTAGAGCGGGGTCGCTTTTTCGCGCAAATACGGTAATTGCATTACAGACCAACCCTTTGATGTGTTCTTTCTAGGTCGACAGACGTAAAATCGAAGAAATGAAACTTGGGGAGAATTTTGTTTTTACCTTGCCCAAGAGTAATGCGTCTTTCATGACAGTGGAGGCAACACTAATGAACGAGAGCCGAGATATCATTTTTCAAGCGAGAGAGTTGGACCTGGAGCTTTCAACTGTAAGTTTATTCTTAATTAGTACATAATTTTCACCTTTGAACAAAATATTATTTAAATTTCCGCAAATGGTTGCCTTGAAAATATAATGAAAAGGCACATCAACTTTGGAATCCTAGTTACGTGGACTGCACGATAGTTATTAGATGCTGAGCAAGATTCTTGATACCCTTTAAATTTGATCTGTTTTAGTTTCAAGGCGAGACACGCCCTGCCGTTGAAAACGAACATGAAGGAAATCAACCACTTGAAATGGAGGCATGATACAGGATTAAACAACTGTTTCTTAGCTCTTATTTTTAATTTTGGAGGAAACTCATTGTTTAATTTGTTTGGCTAGACGCGAATGTGTACAGGTGACCACATGATTTCGAGAGTCAGTTCAAATTGATAAGTAGGACCAATTGTCTCAAAGACCAAAACAATTGCCTACGGACCTCGTTAGTTGTATATCATCTCATATCCAACAAGCCCGAGTAGAAAAATCGTGTAATTAAAAACGCCCCAAACTTTATTTTGTAAGAACAAACAAAATTTTAAAATGTACAAAAACACTTCCGATTTAACTCGTCCTATTGCTTGCGCATGCTATACTGGCTCATAACTCATGACGGCTAAACCAATGAAAACTCTCCTATTGCATTATCCAATGATCAGGATATTCCATACCGACCGTTTATTACTCTCAACAATTGTAAATTGATCAATGTTTCTCTTTTCTCCTTTATTATATATAAGAATTAATATCAGAATACAAGCTCCAGAAAGAAAAAATACTCCATGTTTCGCCTAATTCGTCAAGTAAGTGTCATCCTTGTTTTTGAAAAAAAAAATACATTTAAATATTTCTTGAATCCTGAAAGGAAGCAGGTATGCTTACACGAGTGATCAGTAAAAGAAGTACCGAAAAAAGAAAGTCTAGTGTTCATACGAGACAACGAAGAGGGACAAGCGTACAGTAAAAATTCCAGGTAATTCGCGAGGTTATTGTCAAGAACATAAGAACTAGCCCTAGCGAAGTTATTTTTGAGCAGTACCGCACAAAGAGCGTTCAGCTTATGTGAACAAAATACTCTATTCCAAAGTCTTTTGGGCATAGCCTTTTGCAAGAAGAAAGTCAACTCCGCTAACTTCATTCTTCGTGCGGTAAGGATTTTGAAGATGAAACAGTTTAAGCGGAAAAAAAAGTGGATTTCCAAGTTCTAAAAAATATCTTGATGAAGATACCAATACTTTTGAGGCAGAAAGAAAAGTTGGCAGTAAAATTGTTTGGCATTTTTGAGGATGAATTTAATTGAATGTGGCAAGATTTAAATTATTCCACTCGATGTACAGTTGAAAGTTTAAAGAGGATCATAATGATAAGAACTGCAATTGATGCAAATGTACAGTAAATGTACAGTAAACATAAGTACGACCTTTAGGTCATATTTATAGCTATTTAAGTTGGGGCAGTTGTTTAAGACAAGCCTTGGTCTTAATGTAATTGTAGCACCCCATGTATGTCAATTAAGATGCCAAAGCATCAAATTCTTTAAAGAAAAGACTAGTAAAGGTAATGTGGTCTTCGGCAAATGAAATGTTTATGGTGAGTTCTTGTTACAACAAACAATTACCAAGGTACATGGTAGGCAAGGTGCCTCTACTCCAATATGAGTAGGAAATAGGAAATTATATTTATTTCTTATTACAAGTGAAAGGAATTTGTTCATGGGTGGTCAATTTAATAAATTCAAATTGCAGGATTTCACCACATTAAACACTTGCTATCTTTTACACATCAAATGTGTCTTATGTATTGTGTAGTGGCATACTAAAAAATCCAACAGAAATGAAGCTGGTAGCACATATTATTAACAAAGAGACGCCATGTACACAGAGAATGTATTAACAAAAGGAGCTATTTAGTGGAGTTTTTTAAAATATAGTGAAAATTTATTCATTTCATCTGATGAAGCAAACAGTGCTTTTAAAGAATAACATTGTATATACATTTAGGAGTTACATTTGAGTTCTTTAATCGATTCTTAGACTAGCAACAATGAGCTGTGCGTCCAGTTAGTTGAAATAGATTATTAACTTAATGCTACAGCAAACATTTTACAAAAATTAAGTTCTTCACCAAACTTCTTCCTTCTTCATTCAATATTACATGTATGTTCAACAAAATTTTTTATTAAAAGAGAATCAATCTCATTCCTTTTACCAAAGTTTGAATGTGTTTCTATTAATTTATGTAAGAAAGATTATTTATAGATCACTGAGCACTATTCTATTCACTGGAGTGTGTTGGCTTAACCTGTTAACCTTTTCCAAGATCTGATTGTTAATTCTCTCCTCTAGCTGCTACACATTCCCTTCTAAGTTAGTTGCAAGAATTTAGCGTTAGATCAAGATAAAAATTTCTACCTGATACATTTGAGTACTCTCATTTTGCTGGATAGTGGGTGGATCTTGTGGGGAGAAGTTACATGCAAATCACCTTTGGGAGTTGAAGGGTTAAATGAATGGGGGAAAGAAGGCAGGTGTGTGTGTGGGGGGGGGGGGGGTGGGGTGGGGTCATAAGAGATTGTGGTAAATGGTTTGTTGACAATACAGGTCAGAAAGTGCCTTTATTCAAAGGTAAAATGCTTACAGTTTAGTCACCACTTTTCAACTGCACGAAATCTATAAGGATATGTCTACACTTCTCTTCCAACCTCTGTACATGTATAAACATAATTATATAAAAAAGATACATTTAACTCTACATTTCTCCACACTGTGATATAACCACAGGTAATTTGGGTCGGTTGTTAGGTCCCGTGGGAACGTTCTAAAGGGAGATAAATGACAAAGACAATAGGGTCGTAAACCACTTTACTGAGCAATATAAGTTATATTGGCAAGGCAGAGAAAGGCTACACTTTGCTTCCACATGATATACAGGCAAAATTTATTGTACAGTAAGTTAATTTTATTACACATTATAACATCAATGAGGATTTACCCAGGAGAGCAGCAAGAAGGTATTACACTAAGTAAATTGAGTTTTTTTTTTTTAATTACATTTTTCACATGGACTAAGAATTACACTAGGTACACTGAACATGGTGAGGGGATGGTATTCTAATGACAAAAAGAATGCAATACTGTTTGGGAAAGTTTTAGGCTAGGAAGTGAGATTACTTTGCTCTCTCCTTCCTTCTTTCAGGAAACTCTAAAATATGCACACATTTCAAGCAAACTCACAAAACTGTACAAATGAACATACAATGTACACACAAACTTAACAATACCTCTATTTTTCTCATCACTAACAGTCCATCAACAACTTTACCTAAAATCACAACAGTAAATGTGAATACTGATTTTACAATAATCGCATAAAATAATATGTAAACAGAATATCGCCCCTTTTAGAAGTATAGCATTCCTTCAATAGATAACTTGGAATACAAAGAGGGAGAATATAAAAATGCATAATTACAAGAAATAAATCTCAATAGGTTAAAAAGACAACACTCATTGGCAACAACAACAACATTCTTAACAACATAAATCAAACAAATTAAAATATAATTATTTATTTAATTTTACAAACATTGTTGACTGATTAAAAAAATTATTCACCAGCATCAGGATGGTAACACTACACTGTACATGGTGAAACTGGGAACTAAATTAACAGGAGGTTTTATTGTTAGCTCCACAAAGAAATTAACTTTGTTCATATTGTATTAATTATACTTACCAAATACAACATGCTTCCCATCAAGAAAATCACACTTGGCACAGGTGATAAAGAACTACATGAAAAAATCGAAAGACAACATCTCCATTTAGCATGAAAGGGTGCTCTAAATTTATCTGTATACATTATCTGTTCTAAAAGGAGCACAGTTTTCAGAGAAAAAAGCTAAGTGAAAACTGAAATCTAAATGTATCAAGAATATTTGATCAATTGCTACCATGAACACAGCCTTAATAGTGCTACGAATGTTCAATACCTTTGAATATAACTATACTGTTTACATGTATGCTTACCTGACATCCATTTGTGTTTGGACCACTGTTTGCCTAAAAATACCATTGGATAAATTTATCATTTAAATCAAGGAAGTCAAGAATGGACCAAGCTATAACACAATTGTAACCATCAATGCAATCCAGTCGTGTATATGATCAGATTAAAAATTAACTTGATTGATCTCAGGAACCTCTCATTCCTTGTCATGCACATTTGAACATTTTAAGGATTGTGCCTAAGTAGATGAATTGATCTCATTATCATCACTGCCGCAGCTCTGCTGTTGCATCACAACCATCATCCTCATCCTATTTTTTGTCATCGTTATAAGTAAATATGCATTGTTTTATCATTATCATATCATACAAATGTATAACCAGTATCACTACCAATATAATAGTGGAGAGTATTAGAGGTGCACTGAGACTTGTTGTTACATGTAATTACCATCAAAAGAAATGCAAAGAAGCAAGATACTATTTATATCAATGTACTCCTGCATAATCATATAAACTTGTTGAATCACACTCACCATAGAGAGAAGACCTGGTGCATCATGTTTTAACTTGAAATTTTCATCAGGGAATGCAACTTCTCCATAAATACTAAAAACCCCTGTACCATCACCCTTTGAAAAAAAGAAAAAAAATTATGTGCTGGAAAAAATAGACTGCATATACCACATATGTGAGACATGGATCAATTAAGGACCTTGAATAAATTTATTACAACCCTTACATGCTGACAGAGTAGGGGGTTGCCACACATCCAGCAAAAGTATTCTCTCAGTGAGCACATGAAACTACAGTGGGGACTGGCCACAAACATTTTACTCAAGTTTCTTTCTTCATTAACAGGATTAATAAACATGACATGAGACAAAGAATTATTTTTAAACTAATAATGGTAATAAGACTGAGTGGAGCCCTATTCGGTCTGTAATCATACATTCAAGTGATTAACAAAATGGGACTACTGTGACGTGGGAGTCTAATTTATTAATTACAAGTCAGAATGACCACAGACAGAACTGGACCACACAAAGTCCTGTTACCAATTAGTCAATTAAAATTATGACAAAATTTCAGAAAGAAACTAGACATCAGTTACCTGTACATTTCCATAAAAAAAAAACAACAACAACAATGGCAACAATGAACTCTGCAAAATGCGAGACAAAAGCATGCACACATGGTGTGTTCTGTCCACTTACACAGGCATGACATGTTAACTGACCCTCTAACTGTCCAATTATAAGCATGATGCATACGCTGTCCTGTTAGTGCTCAAATTGGCCTGATGATAACCAATCATGTTTGAGCATTTTATTATAGTTTTTATTAATGTGGAACAAAAAGTCAGATGCACAGTTAAAGTTTGGAGGGAGGAGACAACGTTTGCTTTTGAAAGTCCTGAGTGACATGGATTCTGGATACCAAGCATTAGCCAGCACTTACTTTGACAAAGTCGCCACCTTGGATCATGAAGTCTTTTATAACCCTGCCAGATAAAAGCATAAATCTTAAAGAAGCAATCAAAGATGACAAGTATCATTGCAATGTGCAATAATTATATACCATCACAAAAATTTGCATTCTTAAACACTATGACATCTAAAATTGCCTGTATACACTGTGTACATGTAGTACAGACATGCAATGTTTTGTTCCTAAATTAAAAAAAAAGGCAATCATTTTAGAGGTCTTTACTGTATGTAACTAAAATTACAACAAACCTGTGAAAGAAGGCCCCTTTGAATCCTTGAGGTATTCCATCTTTTCTAAGAGAGAAAAAAAAAAAATGAGAGTGGCTGAAATTAAGAACAAAGGAGATTTCTTGAATTTATTTATATACCAAATGTACTTTTTTAAACAACCAAAAAATCATAGTTTTTCCATCTACAGTTAAATAAATCAATCAGACAGACATTGGACAGAATATGTGTGGTGAACCTTAACTCTTTAGCCCCTAAGAGTGACTGGCATCTAATTTCTCCTTACAATATCACCCCTGAATCACACATTAAGGTCATGAGAATAATGAAAATGATCAACGACTACAGAAGCTCTGGATCGTTAAGCTAATTCTCCTTGTCAGCACCTTAGGAAATGTATAGAGAACAGTATGGAGAATATGCATACTGATGTTAGATGAGATTAAGGTTAAACCTAGGATCAAACCTTTTTTCTGTAATTTCTTAAATTCAGGTAAAGCAGAGGAATAATATCAAAACATATTTTTACCTGAATTCTCCTGTACACAGTTGTCTGGAAATAAAAATGGAAAGTAAAGAAGAAACATGTATATGAAGGTTTGCCAAAAGGTATTATGGAGTTTAAACTTTTGACTAAGTGTCACGTGAAGAATGAACAAAACAACAGTAGAATCAACCATGTCACTATTGAACACTGACACTTTGATTGGGTTAAATGTTTTGTTGTCTTGTTTGCAGACATATCTCCTGCTTCATCCAATTTGGATTTACATTGATGGAGGACTACATGAATTTATTCAGTTAGAAAAAGTTCATACAGACTACAATCCAAATAATTACAAAAAAGGGAGAGCTTGATGCAGATCAAGTATTCAAAGGATTATAAATACATGTAAGGAGAGACATAAAAAGCTTCAAATTCATTTTTCAGACAAGAGTCAAGGCCTTTGTACTGAGCCTATCCCTACATGTACTAAACACAAACACACAAAAAAATTGGGAAAGGACCCCTTTATGATGTTGTTTAGGGTAGAGGGGAGGCTGTACACAAGCTAAATCAAGCATTTTTACATTTTCTCTTGGTTTAAATTTGAAACATTTTGCTTTCCATGAGACTCAATTGAAGTTTTTTCATGAGTTTGTGCTCTTTTCAAACTGTTTCCTCTTTTCAATAGCAAATTAATAAATAAATGGTACATGAAAATAACAAGAGGAAAGGCTGAATTTTAAAAAAATACTCTAGCTGTGCCACAGATTTCTGTAATTAACCCTTTAACTCCCAAGATCTCATTCGTAGTTCTCCTTACTGTCTGCCATATAGTTCTTGTGATGTTAATTTTGAGAATTTAGTACTGGATCAATTAATAATCCCCTAATTAGTATTTTTATTTATTCTCATCACTTGTCTGCTTAATATTGTATTGATATTGTAAGGAGAAATTCTGTCTTGGTCACACATAGGAGTTAAAGGGTTAAAGTTGCAGTTAGTCATTTATTTTCTAGTTACTTTACTGTTCATCATTATGCATGCAAGAAACACATTTCCTTCTTTAGAATAAGAGCTTAGGAGAGGTAGATTGTTTTTCAACAAAGTAATGGGGTACTCTAAATTTACTCCAGGACAATTAAAACCACCTTATATTTTCTGCTGTTTTCGGTACGACATCTGCAAACAGCTCCATTTTCAGTCTTCCAACCTCCTACATTTTGGAACAAAATGCATACTTGATTACAAAATACTACATATTAGATAAATGAAGTAAAAAAAAAAAGATCAATGTCAATAAAATATTAAAATCAATAAATATTAAAATAGATAAATTGATAGATAAATATTGGAATAGTTTAGCTAATCAAGGTCAAGCTCGTATTCACTACAGTAAAAGCTTAGGTGATCTATAAAAATTTAGTGATTCCCATCAATTTTGACATTTTTCACGTAAAATACTGCGTTGGAAACGAAATTCTTAGTTTCAAGCGACATAACTTCGCGATCAGGCCAGATGACTTAAAGTCCATTTGACATAAAAAAAAAGCTTTCGTTGCTCTCAGCTACGCCTTAAGTAACTCTAACGTAACTATCGTGTTCTCCAATCTTCCTGTTTGCTTCATATCTTATCAAGACGTGTGTATCGCACTTCCAAAAGCTAAGTTTCAAGCGACATAACTTCGTGATCAGGCCGGATAACTTAAAGTCGATTTGACATCAAAAAGCTTTCGTTGCTCTCAGCTACGCCTTAAGCAACTCTAACGAAACTATCGTGTTCTCCAATCTTCCTGTTTGCTTCATATCTTATCAAGACGTGCGTATCGCACAACCAAAAGCTTTTCGCGTGCTTGAAACCTGCACATGCATCCCGATGAACCACTTGTTTGCGAGTCCTGCTCTCGGCCATCAGAAAGATGATCATCAGGAAGAAAAAATATAAAAAAAACGAAATCAAAGTCGCATTACCTGTCCCCCTATGGATATATCAAAGAAAACAACGGGATTTGAGGGGTTCGAGGCACCCGTTGAAGACGATGCTGCCGCCATTGTTGAAATGAACTACGAGGAATGGGGAAGAATTACCGCTTCCCTAGACTCCAGTCTTTTGCAAGGGTAAATTTCCCTCACTAGGGCCTGGAAAGATAATCGGAAGCTTCAGAAATCGTCACCCATTATGCATTTTGTTCCTGATTTTATAATTGCTGGTCTGCCATAAGGTCGATTTTATAGTTTAATTGCAACGTAAATTATGGAAAATTTGGTTTAGAAAGTATCGGTCAAGTCATTTTTGCTCAGAGATATTTCTGACCAGGGAGGGGTAGGTTGAGGGCACTGGCCCCAATGTTTATAGCACTTGAGTACAAATAGATACACGTGCTTCGTGCAGAAGCTTATGATCTCGAGTCACAGGAATTTCGGTGGTGTTCATCGTGGTATATTGGAGAAGTTCACGCAAGGAGGAAACAGGTAGGGAACATAGCGTTTCCTTGAAGACTGCTCACTGATCTTGATGTGGCTGATCACGAGTTTAGCTCGCGTTCAATTTGGCTTCCTCTTCCATTTCTCTGTATTAGTTTTATCTTTGTTGATTATCTTTTAAATGTGTCGGCGCAGTTCAGTCAGAAACATATATTTAGACTGAGATCTAGCACAAGGGAAAAATAAAAAGGTGATCGTACCGTTTTCCATCAACCAGCTTCAATATGTTTTGGTCGGTTGTGATTAACTCGAGATCAGGGTTACTAATTTTATGGTGCTGATGAGAAGCAAGATTTATGAAATTATAACACAGGAATATTGCGGCATTTGATATGTGCTCGAATGGATTCGATTTAATTTTAGAAACAATACGCCAGTACTATAAAGTTTTATTCAATGTATTTGTTACTCACAGAATATAATTTTATATGACATATTTATTTCATAAAGACTTAATAAATTCAATGCCAGTTCATTATTTTGCGATAAGATCACTAGAGAATTAGAACCTCTACTATATTTAAGCAATTTCTGAAACAAAAGATAAGAAAAAGATTAAAAAGGAGACTATAATGGTAAAAATGACCTGCTAAATCAGTGTATTGTCATTCCAGACACAGGGATGTTGGCTTTTCGGTATAATGTAAAGTGCTAAAAGTCTGAATGTCTAAAAGAATATGTTATGTGACTGATTTAATCAGTTATTTGCTGTCGGCACAACAGTAGACACTACCAAATTTCCCATTTCCTTGGAGAGATTGTTGAAGTTAAATTCAACCCAGTAAATTTCAAGAACTGTCTACACAAAATAAGATAACTGGTAAGATATGACACACAGAAAGAGCATATATAGAGAATTTTATGTTTATCATTTACTCCTTCATGTGATTGTATTTTTTTTTCAGAAACAGAAAATGAATAGAATACAGAATGGCTGGTTTTCCGAAATAAATGACCAGTGGCCCGGCCAAGCACTTTCTCTTGAAGTAGAGGAGATTTTGTTTGAGGGAAAATCAAAATATCAGGATATTCTTGTGTTTAAAAGGTATGTTTCGGGACTATCAAGAGTTATCAATTGCTCTAGACATTTCTACCAGATACAAGGCAATTCACCAATTTTCACGACTATTTGCAGAGCACATGTCATGCTTGATATAAAGATTTGTCCCTCTGCTACAAAAATATATATTTTCTTCTAAAGTTGATCTAATACTATAATCAAATAGACCCACAAACACACATATTGAATAGAAGTCTTCTCAATTTTCTAGCAAGCATCATGGCAAGGTCCTTGTGTTGGATGGAGTTATACAATGCACTGATAGAGATGAGTTTTCTTATCAAGAGATGATTACTTTTCTTCCACTCAACTCGCATCCTTGTCCTCGAAAGGTAAAATGTTCCAATTTGAACTACTGATTATCCTATCATTAAATGTCTGAGTAACTAACCAGTTTGGCAATTTGTGATGAAATCTCTACTTAGCTAAATACAGTACTTCTAATAATCTACAGGTTCTTGTTGTTGGCGGAGGTGATGGAGGAGTTATTAGAGAAGTTTCTAAACATCCAGCTGTGGAGTCCGTTGTTCAATGTGAAATAGATGAGGTGAGTGAAAAAGTGGTTGTGTGACTTACAGTACTCATAAAGCTTTTGTGGTCTTTTTATCATTCATTACCAGTCTTGCTCAAACTGTGCAATATGACTTTTAGTTGAAGGTCTTCCTCAATAGGCTGTATCTTTTTAATCCTTCCACCCCTGAGGTTGATTAGCATCTAATTTCTCTTTACAATATTACCCATGAATTAAACATTGAGGTTATGAGGATAAAGGAAATGATCACTAGCTAAAAAAAAGTTGTGGATTGTTATAAGCTAATTCTTCTTGTCGGCATCTTAGGAATGGTATAGAACATGGAGAATATGCATACTGATGTTAGAGTGTAAAAGTTCAATAAAAAAAGCCTGGTTTGTCACTGATCACCGTCATTATCCTCCCTAAATGTTCACTTGTCAGTGTTCTTGTTTTCATAATCCTCTCTGCCAATAAGCATAAGTAATGAAATTATTTCAAATGCAATTGGTCTCAATATGTTTGTTAACACAAGTACATTTTTCAAATACAAAAAAAAAATCACATGAGCTGATAAGGTGTGTGCAATTTGTGGTCTTAGGTGCATATTTACACCAAATTACACTAGAAATCATGTTATTGCTTGTTAATAATTTACATGAAAAAAGCATCACAGGAAGTCAAGACAGACGAAATTTTGAAAGTGCTTGTGTGCAATTCGTAATTTCCACTTGACTTCCAACATTGCACTTGTGTTACATGAAGAATGCACTTGAAGCACATAATTTTTTCATGTATATTATAATGATGACTACATGTCAATCATCCTAACAATTGATTTTGTTTTAATAATTATGTTGACATGAACTTCAGACAGTTTATCTGATTTGTTTTCATTTTTCCATGTAGGAAGTAATTGAAGTGTGTAAAAAGCATTTACCAAATATGGCCGAGGGTTTTAGCTCACCTAAATTAACTCAGTATGTAGGAGATGGATTTGATTACATGAAGAAGCATGAAAATGAATTTGATGTTATTATTACAGACTCTTCAGATCCTGTAGGTATGCATACTTATCAATGCAATAGCCATCATTCCAGCTCTTAACTCCCAAGGTCTTGCCATCAGTTCTATGGTCTGTCACATAATTCTTATCATAATATGGCCTTGAGAATCAACTTCCATTTTACACTGAGTTCATCTGTGTGAAATTTCTGCTTGACGGGTGCAAAACTGTTGTTTTGAGGAGAAGCTACATTTTGAGGGAGTTGAGGAGGTTATGATTGCCATCTTGTGCTGGATGACATCCAATACAAGTGTGTGCTTTTTTACCACTTGACATCAGTTATCACTCAGTTGTTGAATAATAAAATTGTGCTTACCTTTTTTTTTTTTTTTGTTCCAATTATTATTTTTTAAAATTTTGTTTGTTTGTTGGTAACTGTAAATGCATGTAACTTACGTATTAAATCAGTATCGTCACTGTCCTTTCAGGTCCTGCAGAATCTTTGTTTCAAGAATCATACTATGAACTCATGAAAAAAGCACTTAAGCCAGATGGATTATTATGCTGCCAAGGTACTTAACACTTACCGATTTTTTTTTAATATATTTTCCGGCCGCCTAACTGTATGTTGGCGCACATGTGCGTTATCATTATCACATCTCTATACAATGTATACCAAAAACATTTACCCGTAGTCCATAGTAAAGAAAGATGTTTCTTCGTCATATTCATCAACACCTATTTACCTTTGACAACGGTTCATTTGCTCTAAGCATAGTAATCTCTTTTGACGCAGATTTCAAAAGTTAGTGTCGAGATTCAATCATGTTTAAAAGCATAACGGTACTTTTTTCTTTGTCTTTAATTTAATTACGATTTAATGGCTACTATCTGTAAAAGATTCCTCAACCTCCAGACTATCAAAAAGGTAATAGTTAAGATTATAACAATATAACATCCTCTCATTCCAACACTTAAATAGGATCATACTAACGTTTGCGTACGTTTTACGCCCAAAGCAGTGAAACTAAGCACCGCTGATAATTTATTCTCACAGGTGAATGTATATGGCTTCATATCCCTTTAATCAAGTCAGTCTTGGATTTCTGTAGAAGATTATTTCCTTCAGTCAGTTATGGTTACACAACAATACCAACATATCCCAGTGGACAGATAGGATTCATACTGTGCAGCAAAAATAAGGTTGGTATATAACACCTCGTGACAGACTTCGACATCAGTTTTTTATTAAGCTGGTGGTTGATGGAATTCGATAAATAGGGAGAAAAAATTGGGTGTGCTAAAACGAAATCTCTGGTAACCGGAACTTAAGGGGAAGGGGGTTGATAATACTGTTCACGTAGTGCGGTGTTATTTTATGCATTGGTTACAGATGGTATGAGCAGAATATTAGTGGGAGTTATTTTAAGGCAGTATATTCAGGTAATGACGAAAAAGTGTGCGATGAATGAGGTTGTAACATATATATCTCATTGCACTTTAGGAAACTAAGTTTGATAATCCAGTTACTGAGTTTACTGAGGACCAACTTGAGAAGTTCCAGCTGAGGTACTACAATGCTGACGTTCACAGAACTGCTTTTGTTTTACCACAGTTTGCAAAAAAGGTTCGTACCCAGGCTTCCTGTTTTTCTCCTTTTCTCTTTCCTGTTTTTCTTCTTGGCCAGCAAGCACCAGTTTGAAAGTTTAGTAAATGGATTTTTCTGTCTCAATTTTTAGGCGCTTTCTATATGACACCCACACGACGATAATGGTATTGTTGTTCCGTCACGTCTCTCTCTGTGGGATACACTAGCGACAGATAACAGTGACCAAGATACTTATATAACCCGGTCAATAAGAAAAAGTACAGTGCAGCTTAAATATAACGAGACCAAGCGATAAGGAGACAACAAGTCACTCAGTCGAGGAAGGGTGGAGACCAGGAGCCCATACTAATACATTTTGCTTGTCACTTTTTTCTCCTTGGTTGCTCTTTCCTTAAAGGAAAAGTAAAGTTTATTATTATAGTATTTGAAATTAAATTGGTAAGTGCTCTTAGCTTCAATTCATCAGTGTCGTCATACTTACGAACTATTTGCAATTGAGTTAAAGTGAATTTAAGATATTTAAATCTATCGTATCTAGTTTGTAATTGAGGGTATTATTAGCTTAGTATTATTAATTAATTATATTATTAGTATTATTAACTCCTGCGCGTCCCTCGTGAAGTCAAAAGAAACTTACTGAAAATCTTTTTCACCATCACTCTAAGTGCGATTCACAGTTAAGGCATTTGTTTCTCCCCGTAAGTTTCAAAAGTATTTGTGAAGGATATTAAAGAAAATAGGCTCCATTTAGCGAAACATGCTTTTCGTTCACTGGTTTACTCGTGTTTGCGGGAAACCTTTGGAAACACACTCGCTACCATTATTCTTACAAATTACCACTTGAAACCTGATAGATTAATCGTCTGCTTGGCGTGTTTTACGGTCTTGAATGTAAAATTACTCTTTGATTTGATTTTTCAGTTTCGCTGCATGCAGCCACTGGCTTGAAAAGTGAGACAAGCCCCTTTGTCTGATCGAAAGTTCTGCTTGGCAATTCGAAATTAAAAGTAAAATTAACCTTTTTTTATCATTTATTTTTAATTTTTTTTTCCTAATAAATACTCAGCTGTGGGTTCGTTTTTTTGCCAGGAATTGAGCAGTGATTTGAACGGGGAAAAACTCGAGCACTTAACGGCTAACTTCTTTAAAACTTCCAATTTATTAATTTTAAATAAAAATTCAAATAGTTCTTCATTAATGAGTGCATCTCTCTGAAATTAAGACAACCATCCGGGATATTTGAATCGATTCGCTGTGATTCTTTGGAGTATCATTCAATTAATGAGGCATTACATACTGGCACTTTAAGCTTCCAACCTGATCCAGCCACACTCTCATTCTTTTAGGAGGTAAAGAATCTACAAAGCTTTAGAGGATCAGAACCTCTTTATCCAGAACAGTTTGTTGAAAACAAGCATGAGTATATGTGCCCAATTTGAAAAGAGGTACTTGATCAACCAGTCCAGACAAAATGCTGAACTCCACACATATTTTGTGCTAGTTGTTGGTCATTTTCTTTTGAAATGTGTGGATCCCTTTGCCCAGTGTGCTGAACTGTCACTGTAAATCCTAACAAGTTCGTTGAGAAAGCCCCTTTTGTTCTTCACACTATACTTTCAGAGTTAGATTTTCAATGTCCTACTTGTAAACATACAGTAAAACTTCACCAACTACCTCAACATCAAGAATATTGCATTCAAAGCCCTACAACAGCACCCACACACGCCTTAACCCTTCCCAAAGATCAGTTTCAGTAAAACCACCCCCCCTTGTCCCAGTGAAACCCATACCTGCAGCAGAGGAAAAGGGACCAGCACAGGTAAATGTACTAAATAATACAACCAGAACTTACAACCACCACTAGCACAACAACAACTTGTGGGGAAAAACTGTCAGTTTATCAAATACTAACCAGCCCAAAGGAAGTTTATTCATCCCTAAAGGAGGAAGCTGGATTGTTCATCATTTGACAGTTCCTTTCACTCAGGATGGGGCAACTATTCTCCTCAAAACAGGTGGCCAGGTAATAACATATTTTTTTTAAGTTGAAAATAAAGACATTCATTTCAAAACAAAAGATAAGATAATCCTTTTTCAGCCCTTAGAAGAGTTCATTTTATTGCTTTGAAGAGGGACATACAGGACACCTAACTAAATGGTTCTCTATTTCAGGTTTGTGTTCGTGGACTTCACATTAGCTTGGGTGTGTTTAAGAAACTGTTTGATGAACTAGAGAACCAGTGCTTTGCACTGGACAAAAAAAATTCAAATGATGCTGGCAGGAGACAGTGAAGAGAATGATGAAAAGATCCAGGCATTCAGAGCTGCCCAACTACATACTAGACAGGCACAAAAATTTCATGAAAAAGCCAATTCTTTAGAGGAGTTGCTGAATTTACAAAGTCTGCATGCTAATGTTCATATCATGCTTGTCTACTTTACACTACTACAGGAGGAGATACACAAACTCCTTGGAAATGCAAAGGAGGAGGTAGCAATAATATATTTGTGTTTTCCAGTATAACAGCTGTATGATCCTCCAATTCCATTGCACATGTTTCAAACCCATCTTAATTTTTCAGTTGAAGAAGGTATGATTTGGTTTTACAGATCATTTATTTATATATTTATTTATATATTTACACTGGCTCAAATGAATTTGACAACCTATCAACAGCAAGATTTAAAAAGTATTATCTCAACATTATAGGAAAAGCTTTTGAGTGAACAAATGGAATCGGCTGCCTTTGAGAAAGTCAATGGACCATTATCAGTTCATTTGGATGAGGTTCTCAAGAAAATGAATGTCAAGAGACAAGCTTACCATGGAAAATCATTAATTGGTAACCATGTACACATTTGCTGCAAGGTAACACAAATCCTACCCTTAGAGAAGGAAATTGTTGAGTCACAAAATTCTATTAAATTGTTGCGGGTTTCTTTTTTGGTAGGAAGACAATATCATTTAACTATGCAGTACTGTGGTGACAAAAACAGTGGAGCTGTGTCCTTCCTTCCTTTCTCAAGCAAGAGAAATTAGTGTTAAATTTAAACAAGTTCTCAAGTTATTTGCTGCTTGCCACTTAGTCTATGAAAGTGCAGACTATCTCAATAATGGCAAGATTGATAAGCTAGGTAAGTGAAAGAAAGAACCTCACTTTTATGAAAAACATGAATTCAATAATAAGATCATGTCTTAAGTCTGTTCCACCTTTTCTTGTTGCAGAGGAAGACATCGCAAATTTTCAGTTCATTAGGGAAAAATTCCCAGACATGATGATCACACCAAGGCTCCATACGCTAGAAGAACATGTTTGCCCTTTTCTTCAACAATAGATTCCATGGTGAACAAAGGATTGAAGGAATAAACTCCTTCAACACCCAGTCCCAGCATTTTGACCATGTGAAGAAAAAGGACACGAGATTACGTCAAATCCTTGTTAACCACCACATTGCCACGAGTCCGGAAAGCTCCCAAACCTAAAGAGAGAAATTTAAAACGAAAAGCGAACGAGTAAATCTCCTGCCTTTTCACTTGCAATGTATCGGTTCATTGACTAAGAACGAGTACTATGTATGTAAATCTAGTGTAATTTATTTGCTCAAGTACTAGTTTATATGAATAAAAGTGTTACCGCACTCTTTGGAACCAAAACTAAAGCTCTCCAGTCGTTTACAGACTGTTTTGCTTAAAATTCAGTACTTCCGAAATTCAAAATAGAGTCGCATAACGGCCGATCTTAACATATTAAAAGCGCCTCGAGAGGAGTCTAAAACAATTCGGATTAAAACACTTACCTCTGTCAGTTGTTCAGTAAGGTTTGAAGTCTTCTCTAATGATTCTTGCTTTGCTGGGAAAAATTCGGGCCTTTTGCAAATTGAAATAAAAGTTTTCAGTCGATTTCATAGGGTGTGCTTGTTGAACTCCACCATAGCAACGTGTTTTCGTCGAATACAGGCAAAATTTGACCGATTTTACTCAAATTTTCGAGAGCAAGGGCCTCTTCATGTGCACACATCCGCCATGCTGAATTTCGCTCACATACATTACATACACAGTAAGATTTCATTGGCTAAACTAGGTCTTAGCCCAAGGGGTTGCCATGGACGCTAGATTTATGCAAATGCATAATTTGGTATTAGCCAGAGAAGTAATAATTAATTCGATGTTTCCTGTAGACCGCATGCGCGAACTAAATTTCCATCGCGAAACAGCCGTGTACCTGAAAGCAAGCTGCTCAACCACAGAAGTAAGTTTTAACGTTCTATTAAGTCAATACATGTCTTTTGATCTTTATTTAACAAATAGAGAAGTCTTGACTGTGCTCTGTATTGTTGTAAAGCACACAGGAAGCGGCTAGAGCACGAAAGAAGTGTAGGGGGAAACACGAGACGTAGTCGAGTGTTTCTCCCCACTTCTTGAGTGCTTTAGCCGCTTCCTAAGTGCTTTACAACAGAACAGAGCACAGTCAAGGCTTTTCTATTTGTTTTATAATAAATAATCCGTTAAATTCCCCAAGAATTACTTTCAATTTTTCAAAACAAATCTTATTTCCAAAGCGAACAACAGTGTCGTCAAAAATGTCAAACCATCAAAGTTAAAAAACCATCAAAGTTCATATTCTGCAATAGTTTACAATAGTTTTTTAACACTTTTGCCTGAAGTTTTTTAGTTTCTAATACAGGATCTGAAAGTGAAATGTTCAGTGAAATTCGGCCCAATCGTGGCTCACAAAAATACGCAAGTTATTTCACATGACAAGTAGAAAACAAACTTTTCAAGGCGAGTGTATTATGAATGAACAACAGCCGAATTCACTAAGAAATGAAGATCGCTCGGAATGACAGCGCCGTAAAACTCGGTTGCAGTTACTGATCTGGCCTTCCACTCAACGCATCGGAAAGGTAATCAAGGCAAGCTCTTATTTTTTCACTCGAAGGGTAGTCGATTTAGTTCCTGAGGCTTGCTCCATTGCGATGACCGAAGATCGCCATGATTAGCTAGCCGCGATAGACCTTAAGTCACTCTGACACCGTCATGATTAGTATGAATTTTAACAGTTATGCCAGGTTATATTTTTCATCATTCCTGTTTTTTTTTGTTTGAAATCGAAACTTTATATTATTATACAAGTGTTAGCTGTGTTTGATTTTTATTACCGTACGTAAACTCGCAATCTAACTGAGCGTGAAAACCGTTAAAAAAACTCGGACTTTCTATCTTGTTTTATCTTTGAGGATTTTTGTCTCTGCTCACGTTATAGTAATGTAAATTACTGCGCCTGGCATTTTTGCAAACCTTTGCTCGCTTGTTCCGAAATTTCACTTTCAATTAACGAAAGAAAAGCTAGAAAGAAGTCCCGGAAAAGGTCGGACATAGTACCATTTGGTGGATGGCGTGACAGCTTTAGCTCAGGTCTATGCTCTATACTCTCATAGAGCACGCTCTTTCAACCAATGACAGTAGGTGTTATATCCGAGCTTTATTATAAAAACGCTATAAACTGCGTTCCAGTCTATACTATCGTGGCCACTTAGTTGCTTTAAATAATGAGGCATTACATTCTGGCGATTACACGAATTGCCCTGAACCGTTGTTTTAGGAAGCTCTCCTTGTTCGATCGCTAGTAATTTATTGATCGGTTTGGTCTAAAAATGTCGAATAGTGTGTACTCAAGGTACACGTATCTGTCGGCCACGTATCGACCAGGAAATCGGTGGACTGTCTATGGTTTCCGTATTGTTAACCGTAGTTTTGCTGAAACAACAGCCGTCTCCTCGCCCCTTCCCACAAGGGATGCAAAAGAAGAGGATCGCAAGGCTAGAGAAATAAGTTCATATTTGATTAAATAAGATAGAACTCAGTAACAGTGTCGGTAAAGTATCGGCCAATTTTCGGCCGAATGTCGGTTAAGTATCGGCCGCGTGTCGACAGAGTATCGTCCGACATGCGTGTCGGTGGAGAGGCGACCGATGCCGGTTTTGCTGTCGGTGGACATGTCGGTCAGTAGCATAGACCGTCACTCGACCGACAGATACTCGACACATGATCGTAAATGTCCTTAAATCAGCCGAGAACTGGATGTGAATCTAGCATGATGATTATGATCAAAATAGGAATAAGAACTGCTCGATGTTTTTTTCGTGATATGGTCGAAATAAGACACAGAACAGGTTATCGATACCGATTAATAAGGTTGAAATACAACCGGTACCAAGGATTATTCCACTACTATTACGCCATTTGACCATGTGACGAAGGTGCATGCACGGGCGCACGTGTCATGACACGGCACGCTAAGCATGTCACAAATTTCCAGATATGCGCATATTTAATAAGCAGAAGAAAAGGCAGGCATGATAACTTTTGTTTGGCATTTCTTTCAAGCAGTGCGTCATATGACATGCTCAGAATGTGTAATTCGACACTCATGCGAAAAGGTACGCGTGCTGAACGAGAAACCATCCATGCAAAGAAAACGTAAAAGTAAACAAGCACCTACCGAGTCCGTAATTATGTTCCATACAATTCTTCATTCTCCATTCTTCAGTCTTCATCTTGTATTGTCCATTCTTCCTTTTCCGCTCTGCATTCTCTTCCCTCCGTTCTTTGTTTACCATTCTCCATTCATGATTCTCTTTTCCCTATTCACAATTCTACATTCCCCTTCCTCCCTTTTCCATTCTTTATTCAAGTCTTTATTTGTTCATCCTTTCTGTAATATTTCACCGTTTTCACGGCGTGTTCCATTCTCCATTAATTTTTTTTTGTAATGTTTATTCTATATAATTGTATTCTTTATTGTCTGTGCGTTAATTTCGAATTCCAAATCTCTCTTTCCCTTTTAAACTTCATAATTTTTTCGTTAAGTTTCATTCTCCTCTCAACATTGTTTATTCTTCTCATTTTTTATTCTCTGGATTCCATTGTTCATTAATCATCCTTCATTTTCCATTCCCCATTCCACATTTCAAGTCTTCATTTTCCAATCTCAGTGCTCCAGTACTCATTCTTTGTGAAGTGTAGCGTAGGCCCCTGGCTTTAAGGTTTGGACCATGATCAAATGATCAACGAAAATGAACAGGGAGCGGAAAACTGAAGTTTGCAAGTTTTGCCATGTGTTGTGTACACATCGTTTTGTATAGAAGAATGGCCTTGTTGACAAGACCAGCTCTAATTGGCTTACTTCCCTGTTATATTTTGATAGATTCGTGATACTTGGAGAGGTGCAAGTTACATCTTATTCAACCATGGGCGCAGGAGAGAGTAAGCCAGGTATTTGTTTGTTACTTTTCACTTTGACAACATGTATATTCATCATGCTGAGCCAAATGCCAAATTTAGTAAAGGTTACTGTCAACGAAATCTGGTCAAACTTTTTTTAACATTTTTGTTTTTCGCTCTTTGGTCAGAGAAAGCAGTTAAGTTTAATTTGCTCCCCTCCCCTTCCAAAAAGAAAAAGTCTTTAAAAGACCGCCAGATAAGGAGAAGAGCGATAGGTGTCTTGGAAAGGCCCCTAGCACAGGCAAAATCAGCGAGACTTATCGTAATTTTAATAAAATTTATTATAATATACTATAATTTCTCTCCGCAGCGCTTAAACCCAGGGCACCGCACATATATGCGACCAACCGAGTCAAAGGTGTCAAAGAGATATTTCTACGGGTCCGAGGCGACAAACTAGGGGAAACTAAGGAATTTACTCGTATTATGGATGAGGCTAAAGAAATGGTTGCCGCTGCTCAGGCTACAGGGGAGTTAAACAACCATCATGAAGACGAGAAAGAGAAGGAGCGGCGAATTCACAACAGTTTGATCCATGGAGGTTTCAACCATTTTCCGTTTGGTGAGACCATGCCATTTCCAGCTGAAAATGATGGTCATTTAATGTATGTCTCAGTACACGACGGGGACAAAATGTGGCTCATAGATGTGGCCGTGGATCCTGAACGTTATGGCTGTGTTACGATCAAAGGCGACCGAGGGGGAATTAGCGTGCACCCATCTAATCCCAAGCCCTGCTGGGTCCAATTGCAAGACGATTGTAGTTCACTTTCCAGTAAAAATTTGTTAGAGGTTGAGCGAAGAAGCAACAACATCCCTGTTTATCTCGGAAGAGCAATCTGGCAAGCTGATTTGTTGGACCCAGAGCGACATCATGTTCTGGTTTGTAAAGTGTGGCAAGAAAAGGGGAAATTATGTGTTTACCCCGATATGGTGAGTTTTATACAACTTGGACATCCCAGGATAAGTGCTCTTTCGGCCACAAGGTATGAGTGGGTTAGGGCAGAGACCGGATACCCTGTTCCAGTTAATGCAGTTAGAGTGAGCGACAAGGATGGGTCTCAGCCGGTGTATCTCGGGCGTATTCATGGCGACAGAGCTTGTGGAATAACGGAAGTGGATGGCATGTTTAACAAATTTATTGCCTCGATGAATGTTCATTTACTTAGTGGTGATCAACTCACCGCGTCGACAGGGGAAGTTCTCCTGTTGACTGCAGAACCCATGTAGCCTCGAGATGGAAAACGACCAAAGAAATAAGCACTTTCATTACATGTACTCACGCTAATTTTTCGCTTGAACCTGTGATATTAAAACTTGTTTTATCCGTTTCTGCTTTTGTTTCGTTTGTTTTTTCGTCTTATTTCCTGCCTATTTTTCCCCTATGATATTTTAGTTAATTATTTTGTCGTTTTATTTTTGCCATTTTTGAATTAGTAATTGTCATTTTTTCTACTGGTAGTCATGACGCATATAGAGGAACACTTGGATGCAATTTACATTTGCAATCTCTAGAGCGCATACTAATGTCGCATACTGTAGGTCCATATTCTTTCAAACAAAAGCTGCGGTAGAATGCTTGTCGAAATAGATGGGCTAAGTACCCTCATGCTTTAGGGGTTCTATAATAATCTCCCTGATATCCTCCATGAGCAAGGATTCTGGAGTGTTTGTTGCTATTTGGATAAGTACCTTAGCTATTATATAATCTTTATTCTATTGGTTAGCACACATTTGACCGTAGTCACGTGATTATGCTCATCTATCATTGTGTGTAATTAACTTCAGGGCATTCTAATAGAGTAGTTGTGTAGAGCACTTGGTCTGTGCATGCTTTATTCTATAGTAGTATATAACGAACCCTAATGCACAACAACTGGCGACGAGGATGGCCACTTTTGGAACAATTGAGTTCTTTAACTCCAAATCAGAAGACTGGAACGCAAACTGCGAACGTTTCGATCAACACGTGATCGCGAACGAAATCAAAGAAGAAAAGAAGATCGTGGCCTCGTTCCAGACCTCAATAGGCAGCAAGACCTACAACGTCTTGAGAGATTTACTAGCTCCGGTGAAGCCATCTATCGTAAAGCTTACAGATTTGGTCACAACTTTACGAGATCACTATGAGCCCAAGCCGATCGTCATCGCTGAACGTTTTCACTTCCACAAGCGCGAACAGCTCGAGGGGAAAGGTGTGGCGGCGTACATTGCAGCCCTAAAGAGGTGTTCAGAACATTGTGCCTGCGGCGCATTTTTAGAGGAAGCCCTTAGAGACCGATTCGTCTGTGGCCTGAGAAGCAGACAAGTTCAGAAAAGACTCTTGGTAGAAAAAAGTCTCACATGGAAAACTGCAGTAGAAATGGCGTTGGCAATGGAAGTTGCTAATAAGCAAGCCAACAACTTCAGGAATTTGCCCGCAGATAGTGGCATACATCATGTGAGATCACCGCATCCGCTAAAAGCGATAAAACCAAAGACACCGTGTTTCTGTTGCGGCGAGGACCACATCCCGCAAAAGTGCCGATTTAAAGAAGAATTATGTCGGAATTGTAAGTCAAAAGGGCATATCGCCAAAGTTTGTAAGAAGATAGCACCTTCATCCTCTGGTGGTTACGCCCATGGATCACGTTCGAATCAAGGTGGGAGAAGACAACCAGTTCGGTACGTGGAGGACGACATCCTTCAAAAAGAGCCAAACGACGACTTCAAACTATTTCACATTCATCAGGAAAAGCCTGAACCATCCATCATGGTTCCTGTAAAGGTGAGTGGTGTAAGCTTTTCGATGGAGCCGGACACTGGTGCGTCAGTTTCAATCATGTCCGCCGGGAGGCATGGAAAAGACGGTTCCCGAAAGTTCCATTAGAGGAGTCCCAAATCAAGTTGAAGACTTACACGGGAGAAGCCCTCGAAATTATTGGACAAGCACTGGTGGAAGTAACCTATCAAGATCAAACCACCAAGTTATCGCTCCAAATTTTAAAAGGGAACGGACCAAACCTATTTGGAAGGAACTGGCTAAAGAACATTAAGTTAAATTGGGGATCCATCAAGAAGATAAGTTGTGATTTAGATAGCATGTTATCTAGACATCAATCTGTATTCAAGGATGAGTTAGGTACTATGCAAGGCGTTAAGGCTAAACTATTCGTCGAGCCCGAGTCAAAACTGAAGTTTTTCAAACCGCGCCAAGTTCCATATGCTTTAAAAGGAGCCATCGAACAAGAATTAAATCGCCTAGAAAATATGGGAGTAATCGAAAAGGTGCGTTACTCAGAGTGGGTGGCACCGATAGTTCCTGTCGTTAAACCGGCCGAATTCAATCAAAGTTTGTGGGGATTGTAAAGTCACCGTCAATTCCGTTTTGGAGGTTGACCAACACCCGTTGCCAAACCCCGAAGAGTTATTTGTTGAAGTAAGTGGGGGAGAAAAATTCATTAAGCTAGATTTATCCAGGGCTTACTAACAAATTATTTTGGACGAGGATTCTAGGGAGTATGTAGCCATAAATACTCACAAGGGTTTATATAGATCCACTCGTTAACCTTTTGGAGTATCCTCCGCGTCAGCTATCTTTCAATCAAAAATTGAGCAACTGCTCCCGGGTATACCAATGGTCGTTTGTAGGGTGGACGATATTTTAATATCGGGGAAAAATGATCGAGAGCATTTAATTCATCTGAATAAAGTTTTAGCGAGGTTGAAACGCGCTGACTTGAGGTTAAAACTTAGCAAATGCAAATTCATGCAGCCAACCGTTGAATTTCTAGGTTATCGAATAGATGCGCAAGGAATACATGCGATCGAGAAAAAAGTCGAAGCCATAAGAAAGGCGCCCGCACCCGTAAATCAGCATCAGTTGAGGTCATTCCTCGGAATGATCAATTATTATTCAAAATTCATCAGTAACTATTCAACTATCACCTATCCGTTAAATGAGTTACTGAAAGACGGAGTCCAATGAAAATGGTCTACAGAACAGCAAAAGTCGTTCAATCAACACAAAGACAAATTGTCCAGCGCGCCCGTTTTAACACATTATAACGAGAAATTAGCGTTAAAACTCGACACAGACGCCTCACAGTATGGCATCGGCGCAGTAATCTCGCACATATTACCGTCCGGAGAAGAGCGACCGATCGTCTATGCTTCGCGTACGTTATCCAAAAGCGAGCGTAATTACGCGCAGATCGAAAAGGAAGCACTCCGCATTATTTTCGGATTGAAGAAATTTCACCAATACTTGTACGGAAGAAAATTTCTTTTAGTTACAGACCACAAACCGTTAACCACATTGCAGGACCGAAGAGCGGTATTCCAACTCTGGCAGTCGCACGCTTACAAAGATGGGCATTACTGCTCGCCGCGTACGAGTATGATAATAGGGACCTTACGATCCGACAACGGCGACGGCGACGTGGGACTATTTTACTTCAGGTTACGTACTGCGCATGAGTAGATTTCTGAGACGGCGGTGTCCCTTCACGCGCGGACGTCTAGAAGCCTTGTTTGACGTTGTGCGAAAACGTGGAAATTAAAACCCAACTATGGCAAATGAATCAAGGTAAAAACGAGACTTTGCGGCTAAATTTAAAGAATACTAGTTTGTTTGAAATATCCGAAACGAACAGGGCGTGGAGTCTTTTGTATACGACCACAAACTGAATGGAGAGAGATTTAACTTATGTTGCTTTGTATTTGTTTGTGATTGTACTTCACTCGCTATCACTGGGATTTCTTATCACTTACTTTCCAACTTTTTTCTCGATCAAAAAAAGAGAACAATTAAGCTTAATTTTATTTTGGGTTTACTAGGAAATAGTAGAGAGATTTTGTCGGCAGCGGTACTAGATTCGACCGATGCAAAGTGTATAAATACTTTCATTGAGCTAATTTTCATTTATAATCGTAGATTAACCTTATTTTACAAGGAACTCACTTCAGCGTTAATCAAGCGGGAAGCATGAGCCAGGAGAATAGTGTCACGGAACTTTGGCATGGCTTTCTAAAAAACTTTCGTTGACTTAAACACGATAAACATCAATGACCGTCGTCAACGTTCTCGCTCGTAAAATTCGTAATCTCAATTTTGGCGGGAACGCCAACACGACGTGGCCCCGCTCGACCCAGACTTCTCACGTTGCCGTCGCCGTCGCCGTTGTCGGATCGTAAGGTCCCTATTGAGTACCGTTCGACAACAAAACACGCGAACGCCGATGGTTTATCCCGCTTGCCGATACACAGCGACAAAGCGAACGAAGAAGTCGATGAGGTCAGACTCATCAACTTATTGCAAATCGAGTCTTTACCAATGAATGTCGGTCAAATTCGCAAAGCGACACGAACCGATCCGGTTTTTTCAAGAGTACTATAATACGTGATGACAGGTTGGCCAGATAAGCAAACTACACCGGAAATCACACTGTATTTTGCTAGCGTCACGAAATTACAGTCAAAGATGGCTGTTTATTGTGAATAATAATTCCCAGTCAGCTTCGCGAGCGTGTGCTATATGAATTACACACTGGACACCCAGGTATTGTCCGTACGAAGTCACTTGCGCGACGTCACGTTTGAGGAGAGCGATTCGATTATGCAAAATTCAGCCCGATTTCCTATCAGATACCGAACGACACCAAATAGTACTACAGGCCAAACACCAACCGAGTTGTTCCTAAATCGTCGATTAAGAACGAGGTTAGGTTTAATGCGTCCTGGCCTCGGTCGGAAAGTATTTGACCGGCAGACGGATCAGAAAGCCAGATAGATAAGACTAGTAAAGGAAGAGAATTTACCCTTGGTGGAGAAGTTCTGGTGCAAAATTTCCGTGGTGAGCCTAAGCGGCTTGATGGCACCGTTACGGAGCAGATCGGTCCCGTCTCTTACAAAGTTTTATTCGGAGAACAACTATGGAAGCGTCATGTTGACCAAATGGACCAAAAGCATTTAAGTAACAAAGATAGTAAACCAGAAATTAGTGCAACACATTCAAACGATACCACTGACATCCAACCGGTAACGCCTCCGCAAGCAGAAACCGCGGAAAAAGCCACGCTAAAACCAAATGAAACCAAAAGTAGCGAAAATGACAACGATGAAGGTACGCACGCAGCCGCGACAGCCCAACCTCAACCTCAAACACGCTATCCAATTCGACAGCGTAGAGCACCAAAGCATTTAGGATTTAATACGTAATGATTAGAGTAACTGATTGCCAAGCCTTTGAAATAAGTGTGGTGGAATGCAGTGTTTGTTCCTATTTGGATAAGTACCTTTGCTATTATATAATCTTTATTCTATTGGTTAGCACACATTTGACCGCAGTCACGTGATTATGCTCATATGTCATTGTGCGTAGTTTACTTCAGGGCATTCTAATAAGGCAGTTGCGTAGAGCACTTGGTCTATGCACGCTTTATTCTATTTAACAAATAGAGAAGCCTTGACTGTGCTCTGTTCTGTTATAAAGCACGCAGGAAGCGGCTAGAGCACGAGAGAAGTGTAGGGAGAAACACGAGACGTAGTCGAGTGTTTCTCCCCACTTCTTGAGTGCTCTAGCCGCTTCCTGCGTGCTTTATAACAGAACAGAGCACAGTCAAGGCTTCTCTATTTGTTTTATAGTAAAGAAACCATTAAATTCCCCGAGCATTACTTTCAATTTTCAAAACAAATTTTATTCCCAAAGCGAACAACAGTGTCGTCAGCATGCTCTATACTCTCATAAAGCACGCTTCAATAAGCCAATCAGAATCCCTGTTAGAATGGTTCAAATAATCTGATTGGCTGTACAAGACTAAAGCTGTCAAAAGTGTCAAACCATCAAAGTTCAAAAACCATCAAAGTTCACATTCTGCGATAGTTTTCAAACTACAATAGTTCGGCAGGTCGAATTTAACACTTTTGCCTGAAGTTTTTAAGTCTCTAATACAGAATCTTGAAGTGAAATGTTCAGTGAACTTCAGCCGAATTATGGCTCATAAAAACACGCGAGTTTTTTCACATGATAAGGTAGAAAACAAACTGTTCAAGGCGAGTGTATTTTGAATGAACGACAGCCGAATTCACCGGAACATGAAGATCGCTCGGGATGACAGCACGGCAAAACTCGGCTGCAGTGACTGATGTGACTTTCCATTCAACGCATCGGAAAGGATATCAGAGCAAGCTCTTATTTTTTTACTTGAAGGGCGGCCGATGTAGTTTCTGAGGCTTGCTTGACTGTGATGACCGGAGATCGCCATGATAAGCGAGCCGCGATAGACTTCAGCATGATCATATTCGCGCAGACACCGTCATGATTAGAATGAATTTTAGCAGTTATGCCAGTTCGGTTATATTTTTCATCATTTCTGTTTTGTTCAGTTTTGTATTTGAACACTGAACTTTATATACTAAACGAGTGTTAGCTGTGTTTGATTTTTATTTCCGTACGTAAGCTTGCAATCTAACTGAGCGTGAAAATCTTAATACTCGGAATGTCTATTTTGTTTTTCCTTTGAGGATTTTCGTATCTGCTCACGTTTCAATAACGTAAATAACGGCGCCTGGTAAGTTGACAAACCTTTGTTTGGTTCTTCTGTTGCTATTTGCCGGCTCGCTTGTTTCGAAATTTCACTTTCAATTATCGGAAAAAAGCTGAAAAGAAGTCCCGGTAAAGGTCGAACATAGTACAATTTGGCAGATGGCGTGACAGCTTTAGCTCAGCTCTATGCTCTATACTCTCATAGAGCACGCTCTTTCAACCAATGACAGCGCGCGTTATATCCGAACTTTATTATAAAGTAGTATATAACGAACCCTAATACACAACAGATTCCAAGGCAAATATATCGTGTAAAAATAATCCAAAATAAACTTATTTGCCTCCAAATAAAAAAAGTTTATGTATCCCATATTTGGTTCCTTGTTAATTTTTTACTGAGCTGCTAAGTCAATGAAGAAAAGCATGTAGTACTGAAGGGTCAAACTAAAGGAAGACTGGGCCATATGGAATTGAATGAGCGACTTGAATGAGCATAATCACAATACTGTCTGGTGAATTTCATAGCAATAGACGGTTATTTGCGCAAGAGTCGTGAGTTTTGTTGGAAAGTTACCAAGTTACTTCAGCGATCAGGTTAAGACGAGACATTACCTCGAGTTTGTCCTATTTGTGTTCAGACCTGAGACGCGTAGCAAATTCAAACCACTTCCTCCCTCCAGCTCCTCTTTCGTTTATGTGTTTTGTATTATGCGCACTTCATGCCTTTATCATCGTGCCCTTACCATTACCAGATCATAAAAATGAAATTTTTTTAGTATTTAATCACACGAGACTTAGTTTCTCGACCACTAATAAATGGGGGACCAATTTTCATAACGACACATGCAAACTTTTTGGTTTCAATCATGAGCATTGTACTCTTGCAAACAAATTCCGACTATTGACTTAAAAACCGACCAAATTTTCGACAAAGGTATAATTTCAAATATATAAAATACAATATTGAGTAAATGGCTTTTACAGGTTAGCAAGCTGCATATATTTGTGCGGAGTAGATCCATAAAAGCTCGAATTATAAACACTGTACCGATAAAGATAGTTCTGTGTTCCATTTTTTTTTGATCCCATGTTGCCAGGCCAATATGGCCTACAAGTGAGCTTAAAACTGGCAAAAACGCAAATTTCTCAATTGAAGGATCGCGTGGACAACAACAGATAAGCGAGAAAATGGCTTCATACTCAAGTCACGGAAGTGTAGAAAAGGAGGGGAGGAACAGAAATCGCTAAATTTTCGCGCAAGCCTTTGTGAGAGCTCATTAGCTTGGAGAAGAAAAAAACATCTTCTGTTCTGTAACCGAAAAAAAATTACATTAAAAACACTCACACTCCATATGGGTCTATGCGAATGTCCAATAGAAGACGTCAAGGTCGTCAAGGTAAACTAACAAAAAATGCGAGGCGCCGATACACAAGAACTTTTGCGACATGCTGAGCCTCTGATATTCCTATCACATTGGATCAGTATTGTTGAGCAGATGAGAAGCAGTCCCATTCCCTCTCTCAACAGTGAAGGTTTTCAACCTTTTGGGCGTATTCAAACTGTTATACTTTACTTCATTAAACTCTGCCTGGTTAGCAAATGTTGATACCACTGTGTTCCATCGACTGGCCACCATAAACCATCAACCGGAATTTATTGTGACAGTTGCTTTCGGCGGAAAGTTTCGATCGTCATAAAATTCTGTTGCTATGACTGAGTGATGAGATATGGAGCTCTACGTATGTCGTGAGAAACTGTGGTTCCACAAGGATCTTCACACAGATTTGATTATAAATAAGTTAACGCCTAAAATGAAGCTTTCGTTATTTTTGATCTCATGAGCATTGTGGAACTTTATGACTACTTATGACGTAAAAAGTCCTTGAAATAACTTGAGCTGTTCACCAGCATATTTCAGGATGAGAAATAAAAAGGCACGGCTTAAAAGATTTGGAGGAATTTAAACCGAAATACTGCCTTACAATACAAAATGCCACAGAACATCGTTCTTTTACAAGGCTTTAATGCCGAAAAAAATTGATTTTCAACTTAGCTGCAAAAATGACGAAAGAACCAATAGCATTTCATTTTTTGTGAGTCTCGACTTAAACGTTATTAAAAGAAAAAATACAGCAATGCTTTGGCTACGTGTTCATTTGGAGGGTCATGTTATTTTTGATGTTATAATTACCCAGCTGATTCAAAAGAGCCACCCAGCCCTTGAAATCAATCGAATGCAGGGCCCGCAATATATATTAGTTGTCAAAGCAATATGCAAAAGCGATATTTGCTTCCAAAAGTCGCTTCACGTTCGATTGTTAGGATGAGGAAGAACTTTCTTGTTCTTCTGCTCTGTCTGTCTTTTGTTCGCTGTGAATCGCGCAGAGTAACGGATTATGGGGATTACTTAGTACAAGATTACGGTAAGTAAAGCAGTTTTGAAAGTTCTGCGGCTCTTATTCTTTCATTTTTGGTTCGAATGTAAAAATTCTTGTACATATACTTAGCTTTTGTAGAATATTAGATCAGACAGCGATTTCTTAACAATTCTTAGATCTCTCGACGTAAATATGAATGTTTTGATTTCTAATAAAAACAAATCAAGATACGCTGTCGGGGTAGGAAGGCTTCGATCAGTAATTTTCAAATAATTATGCCTTATCTTTTGACCAAAGTAAAGAAGCAATATTGCGAAGGAACCCAGTTTAACATGATTTTAATTACTTACTAACGCCATAATGTACTCGCTGTTACCAACCCTTTCCCGTGCAAAAAACCTTCATTCTCGTTTTTATTTTCATTGCCAGTATCTTCTCAACAATTATTATCATTTTCTCTACATTAATTGGTCTCACGATGGTATCGTTTTATCGATGATTAAATAATTGATTTTCCCTCTTGGTATTTGAAATTCGGAAATTTGAAAACAAATGACGTAGATCGGCTATTGTTTAATAACACTAGCGTCAGCTGTGTAAAAATTTCCGGTTGTAAGCACGATTCATATCTCTTCCCAGCTTTTGGCGTCAAAGGAAATTTTATATATTCAAATTGATCCCAGCATAAACCTTAAAAAGGATAATTCAGCTCAAATTGAAAATATATTTCTTTTGTGACATACTGAAGAAATGTAAAATGGTTTCCGTGTTCACATAGCCTGATGTAAACACGCGGGAGGTTGGGAGAACACGAGATAACCGTAGGAAACCACGACGCGAAGCAGAGTGGCTTCCAGCTTATCGGGTGTTTTCCCAACTTCCCAAGTGTTTACATCAAGCTATGTAAACACGGAAACCATTTTACATTTCTTTTATAAAATAACTAATGAAAGAGCCTCTTCTTGCAACGAAGGAAAGCGACGTGCTTGTTGTTGTTGTTCGTTTGGCTTTTCGGCCGTTTCTTGAATACTGGGAAAATTAAACTCCAAAGGAAAATTAGGAAAATCTTCTTCTTCCATTACTGTACTCAAAACAAACTTAAAGAAACCGAGTTACTGCTAAATAAATAGCTGGGAGAACTCCGCGAGAAGATTCAGTATGAAAACCGTGTTTACATACGCGCATGTAAAATGGTTTTATGGCCAAACAGAGCGCGAGTACTATTTGAATTATTTTATAAAGAAAAATATTTATAGTTAGCGTTTAAATGTCAAATGGTGTCCGTGTTTTCATAGCCTGATGTAAACACGCGGGAGGTTGGGAGAACACGAGATAACCGTAGGAAACCACGACGCGAAGCAGAGTGGCTTCCAGCTTATCGAGTGTTTTCCCAACCTCTCAAGTGTTTACATCAAGCTATGTAAACACAGAAACCATTTTACATTTCTTTTATAAAATAACTAATGAAAGAGCCTCTTCTTGCAACGAAGGAAAGCGACGTGCTTGTTTTTGTTGTTCATTTGGCTTTTCGGCCGTTTCTTGAATACTGGGAAAATTAAACTCCAAAGAAAAATTAGGAAAATCTTCTTCTTCTATTACTGTACTCAAAACAAACTTAAAGAAACCGAGTTACTGCTAAATAAATAGCTGGGAGAACTCCGCGAGAAGATTCAGTATGAAAACCGTGTTTACATACGCGCATGTTAAATGGTTTTATGGCCAAACAGAGCGCGAGTACTATTTGAATTATTTTATAAAGAAAAATATTTATAGTTAGCGTTTAAATGTCACTATAGCTATGTATATAACACCAATCGTAACGCTGTTTTGACTTCGTAAAAATTGTTTCATAACATAACGATTGCACGAAGAAAATGTCAATTCTGAGGGGTGACGTGATGAGGAGGGCTGTGAACGTGTGTTTAATTAAGGGCTTTTGTCTCTGAATATTATTAATAAAGTGCCATTCGACACCAAAGCTTACACCAAGCAGAAATTCGATATGTTGAAGTCAGAGATCGAACTGCACACCGTCCACAACCCATACTAACAGGCTACAGCTCCTAAAGGTCATTGGTGATTTCATCGCTGATAAAGATGGTAGCTCTTTGAACACAAAGCACTCCCTACATTTCAGATATTTCCGAGTCATCCAAAAAATTCGAGGGAGATGAATCCACTTGTAACTAATAATTGTCTTTTGAGGCCAACACGAATTCCTTTACAACTCGACTCAGAGATTAATCCATCGATATTCTTATGTCAACCTGAGTCCCCTCTCCTTCAATATACACTACAGCTGGGGAATAAAGTATGGTAACAGTGAAACACTGTAAACTTAAGAAGCCTCTGCAATCTTAATCTATAATCATCTAACTTTGTTCATATTTAGATTTTTATCTTTCACTCGTTTTGCAACACCAGCTATCACGCTAATGCATAGAAAGCTCTTTCGGAGCCATTTTCCTCAATATTTAGTTTAGACCAGGTTTTGCGCATTTTTCAACTGTTGCTAAAAGTATTATTCGACACTTCTCAGTCACGAAAACGACCCGAGTCTCTACGACATTGACTTTTCGGGAAGTTTTCATTCTATATATAGGAAATGTCATTTATGTCGCTGTTAAGAGGCTCAAACTCAGAAGACTAAAGGTAACCAGACCACTTCACGATAAAAGTCCATCTATGAAACTGTAACATTTGACTGTTAAAATAATTTTCCTTTGGGAGCTAGCGCTCTTGTACGCTTAATTCTTGTTAGAATATTCGAGTTAACAGTCGAAGATCCATGCCGACTTTTTTTCTGTTTAACAGTCGCTTTATTAACATTTATTGCCCGTTCTTTGTTCACAGTTGATATTGATGCTAGCATCCCGAGGGCAGAGGAGAATCCAGGTGAGACGGAGTGATATTGGTTAAGAGTAGATCTTCCCCAGCCATTTTAAATTGTCTTCATTAATTTCTTTTGAATGGACCATCCGTATTCGATCATTTAATCAAGGAAAAAAGTTCTTCTTGAAGAAATTAGAGCTAAAGGAGGAAAATGAATCGTGTGTATATACAGTGAAGGAAAATGAGCAGTTGGAGTGTAACTGCATCACACGGCTCTCTGATAATGGTTTGTGCTAAAAAAAAGTGGCGGCCGCACTTAAATACACGAATCTGGAAAAGAAGGACAAAGAAAATGAACGCCAAGCTCCAAATTTTTCCTGACTTCCTACCTTGATGTGTAGGGAAAACACCAATTAGAGGCCTTTTTATCCCTGTGCATTGGTTGAACCTCGTTTCAGCCATTTTTTTGTAAATTCTAGGTGAAAAGTCTGAAATGGGGTTATTGGGGACTGAAGTCCATTAGAAAAGTATAGCAAAAATAATCTAAATTAGTACAAATTAGATTAAGTGTTTTAGAGGCAGAGATCCAAGAGCACACACATTCCAGTTAGAAATATGAAAAAAATCTTATTTCATCTTCAGCTGGGAAAAATAAACTTATGATTTTTCTTTCGTATGCGTGGTAAAAACGATAAAATTATTGAAATAGTGAAGAAGGAAAAAACTTCATAGATTTTAAGCAATCAATAACCGCTGACGACGCAGGGCATCCAATTATATTTCTGTGTGTATGTAAATTCATGTACATTGTAATATCACTGTAGCTGGAAGATTCAAGCTATTGTTAAGATGTTTTTGTCTAATGTAACCCACCCAGAGAAATTCCGCACCATATTTCACAAACGCATAGCTTGCGAAAAAAAATTTATATTCACGTTAACTAAGGGCAAACATAATCATCTTGCGTGATCGTTACTGGTTAAAATGAAATGCCGCCATAGCTTACAGCTATTCGAGGAAAGCTCCAATTTCTTATGGGAAATGCCAGCCCGAAACCTACAAGGACGTAGACTATAGCTGGGTTTCCGATGATGGGGCTGGCGTTTATTTTGAAAGTCATAAACCCCCTAATTCACGGGCCCTGGTTTTTCTAAACCTGCTTATTTCCGACAAACGGATAACTGAAATCATTGTATTGATATTGATAAAACAGCTGAAGTTCCTCTGTTTTTTAGACATGCCATCTTTACCGCGCGCATTGAACGTAATTTTGTATCATTACATGTGTGGAGATTAGAATATCGTTGTTTTAGCCGAGTTTAGCAACATGACAGTTTTACTGAGTTGAAATTCTTTCTTTTCCCTCTCCTTCTTTTGAGAGAAAATTGAGAAACAGATTCCATGCCACCGTACATCTCTTCAGTAATAGGTCAAAGAGGATGACAAATATGGTGAAACAAAAATGTGTCGAGTGAGGCGCAGCCGAGTGTGTCACTGATGTTCTCGCCAGATTTGACGTCTTTTGCGATGTTACTAAACAAACCAATGGTAGCTCAAAGGATGGAATCTCTTTGTTTCATATAATAAAGAAGCAAATAAAATATGTTGATTGTGACGTCATCTATGCGTCAGTCCTCCAATAGCTCATAAAAAAGAACCAATCAAAATACGTGCGTAATTCAGCTTATTACATTAACATTTTTATTTTGGGATCACATTTAATCTTTCTGTCGCAAGTTAAAGTAGCTATTCTAAGATTTTATCGTATATTTTACACGACTACATACGGGGATCTTTAAATCTTAATTATGTGATTGAGCTAAACACACTACAAAATCATCTGAAAGACATTAAGCATAGCTTGGAGGACTATTCTTTAGAAAATAATATGTGGAGTAAATACAACGTTTTCAAAATTTCTAGGTCTGTTTGAAGGCGATATCGTCATCGATGAGGATACCGAAAGATATCTGACAGGTGGAGAGATCATGTCACGTGATGCTGTGGTCTCTCCTATATTATACTGGCCAAAAGGGGTGATCTACTACATGTTTGACGAAAAATTAGGTTAGTTAATATGTTCTCTCTTTTTTTAATAGAGATCCAATGATCATAGCTGGTTTCTAACATTGAGATTTCCCCTTACTTTGTTGTTGTTATTGTTGTTCCTGTAGCTGCTACTGCTGCTGTTGTTGTTTTATCATAATCCAATTTTCAAGATTATCTAAAACCAGATATTGCCGCATACCATTAAACTGCTCAGAGACTTTTTGTTGCAGTTCGTACTACCGTTTTTTTTGTTGTTGTTGCTTTTGTTGTTGGTCATAATGCTGTTGTTGATGAAGACGATGTATGTTACTGCTTTTGCTTGTTGTTATTGTCGTTCAAGTCAGGAGAAAGATTCTTGAATAAATAAATAAACAGAGGATTTTAACAAAAAGTTAATGTATTGTTCAACTTTTTCCTCGGCCTCAGAGCCTCTCAAGATCGATATCATCAAGCGAGGTATCCATCATCTAAAGGAAAGGACATGCATAAAATTTGTTCATATTCCAAAAAATAACACGCGTCATAAAAGCTATGTCAGATTCTTCAGTGGAAACGGGTAAGTCATCTGTCAATTGAAAATAGCATGAACAATATATGATGAGTAATGACAGCTCCTGGGCAGTATGCGTACATCTTCATATTCTCTCTTCTCTTCTGTCGGATCTTCGATACCATCAATCTTTTCCTTCAGGAAACGTGACTGGATAGCTTCCTTTATTCACTACTTACAATTGAAGTTATCATGTGCATGTATACCTAGAAGGCCTTTTTGTTTCATCGTTCATGGCATTTCCAGTTGTCAACGTTTTACAATCGAGTATATCGTGCTTTAATTCAACCATAGCGTGCTGTTGATGGTAACAGATTACGGACATAATTGAAATATTCCTTTTTCTTTTTTGAGTAATATTTTTCTCTCTTTGTAAGATGTTATTCCCGAGTCGGCAGAGATCCCACTGACGTCGAACAAACGATTTCTATCGGTGATGGATGCGAGAGGATTGGAACAGTGGTGCACGAGATCATGCATGCTTTGGGTTTCTTCCATGAGCACACTAGGCCTGACAGGGACAAGTACATCAAAATTGATTGGACTAATATCGAGGAAGGTAGTGATATGGGGGATGCATTTTATATTTGAAACGGGGAGGGTTACATGTATAAAGAGTCATATCAACCATCATTAAGGGACTGGAAGGCTGTTGTAGTTTGCTCTAAATTCATTCAAAGCATCAAATTATCGACTACCAAAATTTAAAATGTTGTGAGAGAAGATACTAATCAATGTCAACTCTGAGTCTGGTTGGTCCGTTGTGAAGTTGAAGTCAAGTGCCGGCTGTGGCACACTCAATAACTGCTTAGAATTTGTTTTAAATTGTTGGATATCAAAGCGTGTCTTTTATATTCCATTTACAGAGCATTCTCGAAACTTCCAAAAATACCCACGAGATCTGGGATCTAGCTTTGGCAAACCATATGACTACGACAGTGTGATGCATTACAGTAGGTTTGCGTTCTCCAAGGACTTGGATGTCCCAACCATTATACCTGCAGATGGAGAGGCTTCAATTGGTCAGCGACTGGGCCTGAGTTATTATGACAGAGAAGAAATCAATACGTTGTATAGATGCCATGGTGAGTGAGTCTATTCATAGTGGCGTGTCACGCATTTTTTTCTTGGCTAGACTACAGAAATGAGGAAAAAGGTATGTTCCTGAACAAAACAAAACAAAAAATAAAAAAGGGGCGAGTTTACGTACTCGACGTTGGATTCATCTCATTTCTTGCATTTAGATCCCTTAATTTTCTATTTAAGAGTGACGATCATCGTAGATATTACTTCTGTTATCGTTATAATAACGTTACTGTCACCATGATCATTTTCATTGTCACTGTATTAATATCAATATCATCATCATTAACAATGTCTTCATAATTGTTGTCATTATCAGCATCATTATCATTAAACAAATATGTTTCTGTTTCTCTTCAGAGGACTGTGTTGACAAGATGAGCCCTTACAGGTGCATAGGTCGTAGCATACTGGGTAGCTGTGAGAGTCCTAGATTCCAAGAAATGATGATTGAATCTTGTCCCAAAACCTGCAAATTTTGCGGTGAGAATCTTCATTATAAAGGTTTAAATAACTGCATCTTTCTGAATGCAGTTTCATTAATTTGAAGGCTTAAATTGACCATCGCGCTTAGAAAATTGGAGGCTTGCACCGAGCCTGAGGAAAAAACTTTAATTAGCCTTGGAGGTCTACATATTAATCAAAAGACATGAGTCGTAATATAGTTTTCTCTAAGTCACTGGGGATGTACAGATTTTGTGGAGGTCAGGCTATCATATTTCTGTTATTCAAGTAATTGACCATTAAAACAGCAGCGAAAATAACACTAAATGCATACGATACATTGGAACGAAGAAAAGATTTTTTGGAGCTCGAAACGTGTGAAAAATTACTACATTCAATTTCGTTTCAGCCTCAGTCGGAAATTCAGCGCTTGTAAACAATCCCTCATTACATATAATGATTTTTAACCAAGATATTTATCTACATTCAATTTCCTATTCTTTGGTTTGTTTTCTTTTTATGCGTTAGTGTAGTTGGTTTTTTTTTCTGCCTGTTGTTGTTCGTTTGCTTGGTTTTTTTTTTTAAATTTATTTTGCTTCTCCTCATTTGATCCTTGTAGCTGTTGTCTTGGCTTGAAACAAAATCAATATACTGCCATTACCATAGCCTATTTTTGGTCTTTATTTATCATTCGCGGACGACAGATAAAATCGCACATACGTTTTCCAAATACAGTAACAGAACTCTGTGTTTCGATTATCTTTTCAGGAAAGAGAGATTCGACGATCAAAGTTTCAAAAAAGGCGCACCAGAAATAAAGAAGACGTCTTGAAAAGGACTCCAAATTATATTTTTTCACCAGGTTAAATTAATAATCGAGGAAGGTCTCTATTTTTCTGTTAATTTTCATAATAAAAGATCTGCAACATTGTTACAAGTGTGCCTTCCTTGTTTGGGAGAGTTGTCTCTGCTTTTCTAGAATGATCAGAAGAGAGAGAAGTGATTCTACACAGGTGGGTTGCTGTGACGAATCGTATCAATATAGACCATAAATTCTTTTTAAGCTAATTCATTGATTATTTCGCTGAGGTTAGTCACCCCATAGATAATTAACTAAGAAGAAATGCACCCTGTGCAAAAGGGGCTTGAAACATCTATTTATAAGAGAACAAATTAAAAAAAAAGTAAGGAAAGACATGACATATGTACACACTTTTTAATCAAACTTTTATGACAATGATAATGAAATAAGCAAGAAATTGGCATAAGCTTCCTCCTTCTAGCCCCTCGGCGAAGCATTCATAAATTCCTTTGCACTTCTTGCTGCAAGTTAATAAAAAAAATTAAGGTAAGTTTCCTGGAAAGGGTCAGAAATCAAACTAGGTGCCACAGTGCTCAGATGCTAACACATCAGTGAAATATGTTGATCAATTTCAGAAATTGAACAATACATTCAAAAAAAGTAAAGTGGATCCTTCTCTTCAAACAGGAGATGCAAGCTTTCCTGCTTGTATCATTTTTAAATTTTTTTTAAATAACTATATATCAATCGGAATAAAATAATTACCTTGAAACACAGACCACGCTAGTAAAGAGTTGTTTTCTCTGCATTAATGGTGGCGACCTGCGAGACATTAAGCAGTTTCTGCTATAAAGACATGTATGTGAATCGAATGAATGGAGATGGATTGGTTCCCTGCAAAGTTATGAGCAGATCTCTTTGTGAAGGCAAAATTTGTGTATGATACCATGGTGTAGTTTAGCTAAAGGACAAAAAAAAAAGGAGAACGATTTTCTTTTATGACTATTCATCGACCACATCCTCGAATTATCCTTTAAAAAGGCCACGAGAATAATAATGTTGTACCCTTCATATTGCTTTTTTTTACGTTATGTTTGGTACTTCATGTCAAAAATGTTTTAGAAATTAAAAATGACCGATCACCATCTGAGACGTAGGAGTTTGCCATATAAAACGATTTCAAAGACATTGATTTTGGTAATAATGCTTTTCATAAAGTTAATACTTACATGAACCACAGGATTTTCTACAATATTTGTAGTACCGACCACATCTGTAGCTCATCACGACCCATCTACAATAGCCGTGACTTTGTGTATTTCTGCAAACTGTTCAGTGAGAAAAACGAATCACTTAAGTGAGAAACAATTACATATACGGCTTGAAATAGAATAACAGAGCAACTCCAGCAACTATAGAAACTACAATAACCTAAATCCTTAAACAATTTATCTGTTAAATGTTTAGGCGAACACGATAGTTTAAAGGCCGAGAAGACAGACTTATAAACATCTTTCTCAAACATGTTTTACAGGTAGCTTCCATAGACAGCTGTCCCTTGTAGTAAGGGAAAATTTTTAGTCGTCTTCCCTTTTGATACAAAAAATAAAGACATAAGCATGCAAGGCCCCAAAACGTTTGGGAAAACTCTTGGTCGTTCTCTAAGCCATTGGTAATTACTTCTCCCTTGAATCATTCATCGATTAATGAGCAGTGACAAAACTAGTATCACCTTTTCGGCAAGGAATGTTACTCCCACATTTCCTAGTTTGTTTGGAGTATCCTCGACATGAAGAGCCACCGTATGCATAATAAGCATGCGGGCTGGAGCACGTGCGATATCTTGTTTGCGTGCCTCCCGACCCACACGTGCGACTACATTTGCTGTATGGACCCCAGTTAGACCAACCGCCCTCAACTGCAAATACAGGAGATAGAATGAAAAGAATGCGAGATATGCTTTTTACATGCGAGATCAGTGGAGCCTAAGAGGTTGTGCCTCATGAATAATAAAAAAAAAAACAAACAAACAATCATTCAATTGAAACTTAAACTTCTTTCTTTCAGGAAGAAAAATTAAGTCTTTTAAATACAAGAGACATTGTGTACGATGTTAAGATAGGTTAGCATTCTTTACTAAGTAGTGTTACGAAACGGACATTCTATCACTGCCTGTTAATGAAAATAATCAGAAACAAAATACATGGGCGTACTTTGCGTCTTTCGTATTCTTTTTGCCGTCATTCTTATATCGCATCATATCAGCCAATCTCACCTTTACAAGGATGTGAATTACAGCTCCTTTTTCGTCTGCTCGATCCTCTACACCTTTTACCACCGTTTGCTGGTGGCGGATTGTTGCACTTGCGAGTTCTGTATTGATATCCTCTTCCACATGACTTGCTGCATCTGCCGTATCCACTCCATGGAGACCAATGACCGTCCACTACACAAATTAAGGATAGAATTGACAAATTTTGAAATATTTTACTGGAGGAATTTATTTACTTATCTAGAACTGGACAAAAACTCCTACCAAACAATTTTCCAAATTAAATCAGTGGCTTACTTCGGGCAGCTTCCTCTAAACTACCGTTGGAAACCTACAAGTCGTCCCAAATTATGCAGCAGCAGAAGCATATCATACAATGAAGAGTAAGTAATTATTTCCTACCAGTAAGTGAAAGAGGAGATATGGATGATGTAAATAATTTTGGATGAAAGCTTTAAGACTAGCTTTAAACGTAGTATTTCCCCTGCCATCATTGTTTCATTTATTCATTTATTTTATAGGTGTCTATTGATAATAGTTTTTATGGCACATATATGATATGCATGGCGGGTTTTTAGGTTTTCTTTACCTTTACAAGAACGTGAGTTACAGCGTCGTGACCTTCGGCTCGGTCCTCGACATCCTGCTCCACCGTTTGCTGGAGGCGGATTGTTGCAATTGCGAGTTCTGTATTGATAGCCTCCCCCACAAGACTTGCTGCATGTACCATATTTACTCCAAGGGGACCAGTGGCCATCAACTAAACAGATTGAAGACAAGTAAATAATGCTCACGTTAATACTACAAAAATGAAACAATTAGAGTTACGGTGTCCGATTGTCACGGAAATACCTTTCCTGAATGATTTTAAGCGAATTCTCTATTTACGCCGTTTTAAAACTACAACTCTTCCTACTTACTCACTAGAAATCGCTTACTCAATGTAGGGAGCACAATTGGACAACAATTATGGAACCACCGTTCACTAATTTTACGTTTTGATTTTGTTTATTTTGTGTGTGTGTGTGTTTGTTCCCACGTCAGGGCCTCGTTACACCATATTACTTACCTTTGCAAGGACGCGAATTGCACCTTCTTGTTTGTTTTCCCGGCCCTCCACAGCCTGCTCCACCGTTTGCCGGTGCCGGATTGTTGCACGTCCGGGTTCTGTGTTGAGAGCCTCCCCCACATGACCTGCTACATTTACTGTACCTACCCCAAGGAGACCAGTGACCATCAACTAAGTAGATCGAAGAAAAAGTTAATGATACTCGCTTTAATAGAACGAAAATGACGCACCTATAAGTAAAGTCGGTGTGTCACGGCGGCTTTCACGGAATCAACTTTTCGTCTATAGATTTTGACGCACATTCTCTGTTTCTGCCGTTTGAAGTCTACAGCTCTCCAAGCTTACTCACTAACAATTGCTACTTCGATGTAAAGAACACGACTAGGCATTAATAATGAGAAAATTGTGGTAAAAATAAAACCAATAACTAGCGTGAAAGCTTTTAAAGTGGGCTTTAGGGGTTTCATGGCATATATCCCGTTGATTGATTCCTCCTTTTGACTTTTCTTTTTGCCTCCGAGGCTTGTGCTTCGTCGCTCCGTTTTCCAGCTGCTACTAACCTTTGCAAGGATGTGAATTACACCTTCTTGTTTGTTTGCTCGGTCCTCTACAGCGAGCTCCGCCGTTTGCTGGTGGCGGATCGTTGCACGTCCGGGTTCTGTGTTGAGAACCTCCTCCACATGACTTGCTGCACCTTCCGTATCTGCTCCACGGAGACCAGTGGCCGTCAACTATAAACATCGAGAAGACAAAGTGTTTTCCTCTATTCCACTCTTTATATAAGGTGTTGTTATATCGATTACTTCGAATTTGTTTAAACAAATAATCAATTACATTCAAAAATTGAGTTACTATTTCATAATAAGGTTCCAAGGTTCAATATTTAGTCTTAGCTAAAGATCCCCCTTCCTTGATACTTGTCAACCGGTTCGAAAGTGAGTCAAATCATCAGAGGAATGAAGATCTGAAACTGGCCATAATTACAGACGTCTGTAGGATTTTCTCTGCTGAAACAATGTCGAGGTGGGTAAAACGTTGTTTAACAAATAGTTTTGCAATAAATTTTTAAATACATTCCTTTTTCCTTGTGTGGACAGTGTCTCATACACTGTTCAAAGCTGTACGTTTATAGCAAACCGTACAAACTTCAATATGTCTGGTGATTCATGGTAACTGGTGAAGTCTTGAAAGTTAAAAAAAATTTTGCTAATTTTTTATTACTGTAATCAATATCAACACTGTTAATAACTTTATGATCATCATTATCATCACCAATAATGCTACTACCTGTTTTTTTAATTTTAATTCTAAAACTTTTAAAAAATTAACCTGGACAAGCTTGTACATTGCAGCCAATTGATTGGAAAGATGCTCCTGGACACTTTTTGCCTCCATTAGCCGGTGCAGGATGGTCACATTTCCGACGTCTGTACCTGAAACCTCCTCCGCAAGTTGCTGTACAACCTCCAAAGCTACTCCAGTGAGACCATTTACCGTCCACTGGCACAGGAAAAAGGAGAAAGAGAAAACCATATAGATATGAAAATTCAAGTAAAAGAAAAGATTAGAGCATGGTGGAAACGGTGTAACTGTTGTTGCTTTCAGTATGCTAGACAAATATACCACAGAAGGCCACCGCAACAGCGAGCACATAGGTAACGACAAGTTAAAAAAAATGCATTCAAATGTTTATGATAAAAATCAGTTCGCTCGGCAGTTACCAGGGCAGGCATGTGTGTTGCAATCCATCGCCTCCCGAGATGGTCCTGGACAGTTCTTTCCTCTATTGCTGGGTGGTGGACTGTCGCAGCTGCGGGTTCTGTACTTCAGCCCTCCTCCACACGTCTTTGAACATCGTCCGAAAACACTCCATGGAGACCAATTACCATCAACTAAATATGAAAGCATCATTGCATGCAATTATATGTTCTCATAAAATATATCACCGTGATCGCTATTTTATGCGGATTTATACTTCCAATTCCAAGGTTATACCATAATTTAAATTGATGAAGTCTAAATTGTATCTGAATTTATAAGGAAAGGTATTTTTTTGTAAGTGATGAGTTCACACTTTACCTGAGCATGGATGTGTGTTGCAATCTACCGTTTCTCGCGAAGGCCCTTGACAGCTTTTTCCTCCATTGCTAGGAGGTGGGCTATTGCAAAGGCGGGTCCTGTGTTTTAGGCCTCCTCCACAAGTCTTGGAGCACATTCCAAAACTACTCCATGGAGACCAGTTACCATCAACTGGTGTAAAGAAAAAAAATTTTAATCATTCGTGGTCTTACATTTTTGTCACAGAAAAGCAATGTTAACCATTTAAGGAACGCTTTTATTCATCTTGTCTCTAGCCTCGATAAATAAAAACAATCTTATCCTCCTAGAAGCTATATCGAGCCAAATTCTTTAGGATTTTGGGGATTTTTTTAGCGGGATTTTGCGGACCGATGCTCTCTACCGAGTGCAGCTACACAACTATTCGAAGGGCTAGGGTTTTTTTCTAGGTTATTTCTTACATGATTCTTCGCACACTGATTACATTCTCCCCAGGAAAACTACATGGCATCAACTAGTCGCAAAAATGAGGGTATTTGATAAAAGTCTGACAGATTCCCCCCACTCTGCCAATGGGATGAAATACCATGGCCAACTGGTAACATTTTTTCTCTCTGCTCACCAACATGTGCGCACTTCTCATAATGAAATTAAACCAGAATTAAGAGTGCGATGAAACGGTAAGGTAATTACTTGCTCACTAATTATCATTATAATAAAGTTCGGATATAACGCGCGCTGTCATTGGTTAAAAGAGCGTGCTCTATGAGAGTATAGAGCATAGAACTGAGCTAAAGTTGTCACGCCATCTGCCAAATTGTACTATGTTCGACCTTTTCCGGGACTTCTTTTCAGCTTTTTTCCGATAATTGAAAGTGAAATTTCGGAACAAGCGAGCCGGCAAGTAGTAACAGAAGAACCAAAGAAAGGTTTGTAAACATACCAGGCGCCTTTATTTACGTTATTAAAACGTGGGCAGATACGAAAATCCTCAAAGGAAAAACAAAATAGACATTCCGAGTTTTAAAGATTTTCACGCTCAGTTAGATTGCAAGCTTACGTACGGTGATGAAAATCAAACAAAGCCAACACTCGTATAGTATATAAAGTTCAGAGTTCAAAAACAAAACAGAAACTCAAGAAGTGGGAAGAAACACTCGACTACGTCTCGTGTTTCTTCCTACACTTCTCTCATGCTCTAGCCGCTTCCTGCGTGCTTTATAACAGAACAGAGCACAGTCCAGGCTTCTCTATTTGTTAAATAGAGAGAACCGACCACAAACATAAATAATTACAGGAGCAGTTATTCACCTGCACATACTCCTGCGTTGCAGTGACGAGACATCTTATAATGTCCTGCGCATCGTTTTCCACCATGTTGTGGTGCTGGGTTCTTGCATTTCCGATATTTATATTGCACTCCTGCACCACAGCTTTTGCTGCATGGTCCATAGGGTCCCCATGACGCCCAACCACCATCAACTGACACAAATTAACACACATAAATAAACAAATGTTAATGAAAGGATAATCCGTCTGCATCTTGCACTAGAAAGGCATTGATAGTAGGGAAAATGATGATTCAACCCAAACGGACATCAGCTAAACGATTTTTCCTGTTATCGATTTCTTTGTCCACTCAATAATAAACATACACTGAGATATTAAACGTCTTAAATCGTTCGTGATGCGTTGATGCATAGTGGCTGACTTTTTTCCGTATTGTTTTTGGTTTTTTTTTTTTTTTTTTTACCTGAACAGGGATTAAGGTTGCACTGGCGACGTTGTCTAAATGCCCCTTTGCATGTCTTTAAACTATGTGAACGAGATGGGTCGACGCATTTGCGTATTCTTGATTGCGTGCCTCCTCCACAGGACTTGCTGCATGTGGTGTATGGACCCCAAGCTGCCCATCTGCCTTCTGCCGATTCCATTGCAGCTAACGGGGCACCAACTGCAACAAACATGGGGAAAATTCGGCTTTGATTAACACTGTTACTTATTGGGATATGTTTTCTTTTGATTAGGCAATGCCTTAAAAAGTAATAGATTAGCCTGTTTCTGCCCATATTCTCCCAGCCGTAAGACATCAGACCTCACACATTTCGTCGGAAAGTTATAAGGATATAGCAAAAGATAGCGGGGAAAGAGGAAATCGATTTTCCGAATGAAGAGTTACGGTTTGGTGATACGTATAAGCAAGCATGCGAAAACGGCGTCTACTTCCACCGCTGATATGTTTGTCTCCTCAGACTTAACGGCCATGCATTCATCGAAAATTAATCCTCTAAGATGAGGAATTCAGAGCTGAAGTTAAAAAAATAATAATTAAAAAAAGCATATCTCGAGCGATCTCGATCTGTAATTATACCTCGGAACGCTTTTGCCTAGTTTCTGTTTAAGTTATTCAATCATAAATATTGATTTCAAAGTTATCCATTTTATTAGTGGCTTTATTTTTCTTTTTTCCATGGATACCTGAACACGGTACAAATTGGTTGCAAATCTGCGTTTCCATTGAAGGTCCTGAACAAGCACTTCTACCCTGAACTGAAGAGGCATTGTTACATTTCCTAGATCTGAACTGATAACCGCCATTGCATGATTTAGAGCATGGACTATAAGGACTCCATGAGCTCCAGGTACCTCCATCTGTAAAACAAAGAATATCGCTTTCAATATCCACAGTTGATTGCTTTAGTTTAAACGTGTAAAGCTGAAGGCATTGCGATCCAACGACATGTATACTACTGAAATAATTTTTCCGATTGATCCTTTAAAAATAAGCAACGTCTCAGTGAACAAGAAAGACCAACGAGACGTAATGGGGATTTCATGTAATAATCCTGCGAGATGCGGAATTACAAAGAAGCCAAAACCAATAATCTATCTCTCTCTTATTCCCTGTGTACCCAAGCACATCGTCTCGTCATGCTTTTCCTACTTGATTGGACTTATCCTTATGGGCTTTTTTCTTTTTCCTTTTTTTTTTTCCTTTTTCGTTCAACAATAAGAAAACTGATGGAGACTTTCTGCCCTTATTAAAACCTGTTTCATTCTGCATTTTTCGTTTAAAGGAGATATAAGCATACCTGAACATCGGCCGCAGGTTTTTGGACAAGAGGTTGACACAAAAATATGAGAGCAGTAATTTGAAAATTTTAAGCACCAATATTTCGACTTGTCGTAGCATCCTACATGAATAAAAAATTGAAAGCAACGCTTTAAAGGGATTATAAAACATAAAGAAGAAATGGGATAATAAAAAAGGGGGTTCGAATACTCGTTTTACCTACGTTTCGACAACTCTATCGGTGTATTCGTCTTGCAGAAAGGATTCCAGAAAATATATGTGATCGCACGTAATTATGAAGGGATAGATTACTTTTCGTTAATTTTCAATAATTTTCATTTTAAATGTATTCCTTATTCTTTCATTCTGAACACACGTAAAGGTACTCTTAAAAGAACAGTGATACCTTTCAATGCGTTGCTCTCATCTTGCACGCTATCTGAAATGTATAGAGTCAAAAGAAATATGTTCCAAAACGTTTTAGAAAAAAAAGAATTGTACGTTCATGAGTCGATATCACCTATTATAACCGAGATAATTAGATATCAGACTATGAGCAGTTAGTGACTATTTAATCATTGCAAAATACATCTGCTCTCAATTTTTTAGCAGTTTAAGTAATAACCTATCTAGAAACCTTCCCCAGGTAATATCTTTTATTTACTTTTTTGGATTTACGGGTGAGTCTGTCACCAAACCACTACTATATATGCTCGTTGGAAATAAAAGAAAAATTACCTAGTAAATCTTCAATTTCCTCAGCAAGATCTAATTAAAAAGAAAGCATTTTTATCATGGATAGTTCAACTATTTATTAAAATATGGAGTTAACAATATAGGGCCTCCTACTACGCCATTGTATCACGATAAAGAAATGGCATGAATAGATTACAGTTCCAACAGTTTTCTTCTAAAGCGGTAGCATTCTAGGGAATTAAGGATAAATTTATAATCCGATGCTTTGATGAATGTGCATGAGCCCCTTTAAAGGACTTAAAGGCACTTCTCGCTAAAAGGGCTTGTACTTGAGTAACTTTCCCTACGATCCATCTCTACAGTATTTTCTCTTTAAATCTTTTAGTACATCCTTTAGAGCAACTGCATCGAGTGTATATCAATAGATAATGGCTTACCTGCTTTAAGTTCTCCCGTAGACAAAGAATAAGAGAAGGTTAGAACAAAGAGTAAAATCAAAATCACTTGTCTCTCCATCGCAATTACAAGACAATGGAGTTATTCCAAAGCGCAATCTCCTATAATACCCTCCACAACAAAAGACCCTTTTAAACCAAATATCAGTATTTGACACGAAACCAGTATAGCTTATGAATACCGTTCTCGCGTTTTACTTATAATTTACCTCTTTTACCTTTTTTAAATTTTTTTGTATTTTCCAGATCATTTAAGCTCTCGACTTAGTTGATTTCAATTTTCCTCTCAAAAAGACTTGCAGAAAGTTTCAATCAGGAAACTGTTGGGTCTCAATCTAACATTCCCAGTCCAATAAATCTTTCATGCCAGATTGTGGTCACTGAAAATTAAACGTTAATTTAGTTGTTTATTCTCAATAACCGCAATTGATTCGTTTATGGCGTCTTAATCACACGAACTTTTGGATTTCAAAACCGCTTCCATTTCGCTGAGGAGGCCGTATTATATTTCGGTTACGGAGCCAAGTCCCCTACATAAATGACATCTTTGGAAAGTGCGTGTTCGTCTCTTTTTTTAATGCATTATTGATGATGATTCCTTATTTATCATCATCTTTATTCTCCAGTGAAAGCGGAAACACCGGCAACACGGGCTGAAAACATCAGTAAATCGACTGCGATACTGGGGACTTATATTAGCTGCTAATTATGGCTAACTAAAATAGAATGGACGAGAAATAGAATGAGCGCAGGCACAACTCGATGAGAGCATCAAATTAGGTTTATGAAAAGGAAAAAAATACATTTAGTGACTTTTTGAAGGATAGCTTTAAGAGCTTCATTGAAAACATTGGAGACAAATGTGCTCTCAATCGTTAAAGAAAGCCTTAATGAATGCTTTTTGTGTAAAGAGTACCATATCGTGTTACCACCCATGAGTGACTCTGCTGATATTGCTCCACAAATAATTCGATTACCGAGTGTGCACTTAAAGCTAGGCGAAATAAGAAACACAAAACTGAATCACTCCGCGATATTACAACATGCCCACTGCCTCACACGAAACGGTACATGATTGCTTTTTAACCATGAATCTTCTTTGCTTGTAAAGTGAAATTCGTGAATTCTGCAAATTCCAATGCTAATTTTGAAAAATGCAGAAATAGGAAGACTATCCAAACCTTTATTCAGTTGTGTTGAATAAAATATATATATATTGTTTTAGGATATCAAACTCGGTGTTCTGTTGGAAATAAAAGAAAAAATTCCCATCCAGAGAAAGGAGAATCAAATCTAAAATAAGGAGGCAACATAATTTATTTCGAGGTTAAGACTTTTACATATTTTTTTCAAAAAAAAAAAAAAACCTTTAGGATCTGAAGAAAGGGCACCACCTACTTTAAAAAAATGCATGCATTGCATGTTGCAGTTAAAAAATGGAAATAGTAGCAATTCTAAATTCGTTTTTCGAAAGTTCTCTACTTCTTTGAAATTAGCTTGATCGAAATTGAAAGCGAACATAGGTAGCGATCTATGTATTGTCTACTTTGTCCCCCATAGTTTCTTTTGTGGAAAAGTTTATTTCAATTGGCGTACGAATAAAAAAAATGCGTACTCATGATTCTTCAATGGTATATAAGTGCGAACTGAGCTTTTTTGTATCACAGGCAGGCAAGAAGGTAACGCGAAGAACGTGCAAAATCAAAATGTTGTTTCGTAATTTGCTAGTATTTTCCATTTCTCTTCAGTGTTCTTCCGCGTTTTGGCCATTTTCCGAGAGCTCTGATGCCGTAGAAGGTAAAACGTTTATTTGTGAAATCACACAGTATTTAAAATTGGACCAAAAAGAAGGGAAAAAAGCGCTAGGGGAAACTTGGTCAGAAAAGTCCTACGAAGTGATGATAGATAGCATGTGCGACCACGTGACCTGTTAGATCTCATTTCCTAATGCATGATTGTCTTCCTCTTAAAATGCAGGTGTTATCGTCCTTTACCCATTTGATGTAATTTCAGTTAAGGGATTGAGGAACACACTTGCCTAACTTAAATGCTTCACTTGGTAATGGAAAATCTGGTTTAGATTCATATGTACGATCAGGCGCGCTTTCATTTATCAGCTTGACAGATATACACCATCAGACTTAAAATACCATATGCATGTGGTTATAATACTATTGACTAATACGACTAGAGCCTATATTTACAGATCTTGATAGCTTTACCGCGGATGATTCTGACTACTTTAACAGTAAGTTCACAATGAATGCGCTTAAGATTAAACAACTATCATTTAAACTTATTTACAGATCAGTTGGTGTTTGAATCTAATTTTTCATCAAATCTTGTTCCGAAAGGTCACCTTTAGTACTCCTTGCGTGTTTGAGATATTTTATACCTTGGTACCTGAATTGACATTATCAGTAGTTCTGACAAAATAAAACATTGCATGATAAGGGAGGAAAAAAGGTGGTGGAGGAACTTATTTTCTACACTAAAGTAGTTTACAGAGCGTAATTTACTTGTCGTTTTTCATTATACCGACAATTATTGTTGTTTTAATTTTCTTTTTTAAAATTAATTTTCCAGATTGTTTGGACACCTATTCATGCGAAAAATGTTTCAAGATAAAGTCAGATGGAAAGTGTTACCATCACATGAAGGATTGCAGGAAAACATGCTCAGGATGTAAAGGTGCTGTTAGAATTTTTCATTGGTATGTTTGACGCATCTTATAAATCTTGGCGGTAAGAAAAATGGAGATCTACAGTAAGGAAATTATGTTTGATTAAATCTTGTAGTTCTTTAACATCGTGGGCGCGTCAACGTCTGCTTGCAGTTTGGTTAAGTATTGTCTAAATCGATGTATCGTTAAAAATTGGTTCTCACGAAATCGTGGATTCATTCCATTTTTTTTTCAGGACTAGACAGCGATCGATTCGGCACAGAGAAATGCGAACACTACAAGAAAAAGGGTTACTGCAATTATCCCTCTTTCAAGTATTTCAAGTGCCAGAGAACTTGTAGTATTTGTGAAGGTGAGAAATTTCGGTTGAATGAGTCAAAGCAGAGTTAAAGGAAGTGCAATGTAGCAGAAATACGCGTCAAATATTCAGTGCTTGTCCAGTAAGAATTGTTGGAAGATGAAACTGGTCTTGATGATGTCTCTACCGTCCATTTTTTTTTGTAGTTGATGGAAACTGGGGCAATTGGGGCTCGTGGAGTGAATGTTCGAAGAGTTGTGGTGGCGGTCGGCAGGGAAGGAAACGAGAATGCAATAATCCCAAACCTGCATATGGTGGCAAAGCATGTCCCGGTACATCTGCGAGTTCACGCGATTGCAACACTGACGAGTGTCCAGGTGGGTTGAACTCACTTTGGTTTCAAATCAAGCGTAATATTCCAAAAGGAAAAAAATTTGTATTTTTCTCACCTATTTTTTTCTTCATATATCTGAAATGTAAGAAGAGAATATAAAATGCTGTTTAGGTAATTTTTGTCAGCAATTTTCTGTTTAGCGTCGAAAGTGATCCCAGATTTCTTTGGTTGCCCTTTATTTCTCTCTGTGATTGGTCCTAAAGAAATCGCACCCACCGGCCAGTCAGACGCAAAACTAGCACAAAACAAGACTTTCTTGTATTTTAGGCAGTTTATTTGTTTTTATTTTGATTTGTCATTGGCTCTCAAAGATATTTTCCTTTCTTCTGAGTAGCCAACGCGATTACTTTGGTTTTGATTTTACAACACTCAATCCAAAGGTGCTCTTTACGATTTGTGATTAGAATAAATCTATTACGCAGTTGATGGGAACTGGGGAGAGTGGAGCCAATGGAGCACATGTTCAAAGTCTTGCAAGCAGGGAAAACAGTCGCGAACACGCAAATGTAACTCACCGGCGGCAAAGTATGGTGGGAAGGCTTGCAAAGGAGATGGAGAAGAGACCAGAGTATGCAATAATGATGTGCCATGTCCAGGTAGGCTAGACCTTTCTAGATATACAGTAAATACTATTGAATCTCACTTGAAAAGTGATCATTCATTTTTTGTTTTTTTGTTTTGGTTTTTGTTTTGATAAAATTGCTTGCCTACTGTAAATGCTTTTTAGTCTGAATTTTTACCCCATCTGTCATGTCATAACTTTTTTAGAAAGTAAATGAATAAAACGCATTGGTAAATCGAGAAGTGGCACCTATGGTTATTATTTTGTTTGACTGACATAGACTTTTATTGAATACAATTGCCTCACCAGCATTCAAATGCTTTCTGACAATTTGGTGTCGTTGTGAGTTTGTGAAAGACCTTACATGTAGTTAATGATTTAAAAGATGTGCTTGATTTTTAAATTAGTAAACGGAAATTGGGGGCAATGGGGACAGTGGAGTGCATGTACGAAGACGTGCAAGGAGGGAAAACAATCCAGAAAGCGTGAGTGCAACTCGCCTACTCCTCAGTACGGTGGAAAAGCATGTGAAGGAAAGGCAGTTGGAATCCGTATTTGCAACGCAAATGTTCCATGTCCAGGTCAGTTATATATCTTGCATTGAATCCTATGTTTACCATTTTCTCGCCTGTGTTGGTGGGTAAAGGGAAATCGTCTTTCCACTTTAATCAGTATGAACAGCTTTCGATATTAAACTTTAAGGACCTATTGATAGACTAAAAAAAGGGACATTAATATTTCCAGCACGAGAGAAGATATAACCTAGTACGAAATAATGAATGATTATGTCTTTAGTTGACGGTAATTGGGGGCAGTGGAGTGCATGGAACACATGTACAAAGACGTGCAGACAGGGAAGACAATCAAGAACACGGAAATGCAACTCACCAGCTTCTCAATATGGTGGTAGAAAATGCGACGGGCATTCCGGCCAGACTCAAATTTGCAATCAAAAGGTCCCCTGTCCAGGTTATAATCTTCTACGTTTAGACTCAACGATATCTCTCTTTAGACCTCTCTAGAAATCAACGAGAAATTACGATGATGCGAGTGACATCTTATTAAAAATGACTTAGTATATCATCACCTTAACGAACTTATTCTCTAGCACCTCTCAACATTTCCCCTTTCACTGAAAGGAGCATTAAATGAACAATTTTGGGATGGTAATCAAAATAAACGGCCAGAAATAAAAGTTCATAAAAGAATATTCCGACCTAATGGGAATGAGACTAATCACTCTAAAACTTGTCCATACAACAAATTTTGAATTTCAGTTGACGGAAACTGGGGAGGATGGAGTGAATGGAGTACATGCACAAAGACCTGTAAACAGGGAAAACAGTCAAGAACACGCAAATGTAACTCACCAATTCCTCAGTACGGTGGAAGGAAATGCGATGGACAGTCTAGCCAGACTCAGATTTGCAACCAGAAAGTCCCCTGCCCTGGTAGGCGTGGATTTTAGTATTGAAGTCTATCTAGCTTTGTAAGGAAATTTGAGGTATTCAAATTGCAGTTCGGCAATCACATGATGCATTTTGCTTTAAGCTTTCGCCCACTGAATAACTACAAATGATCGCATTGCAGGATTGAGCTAACGATTCTTTTAAATGTCTGGTCTTCAGTTGATGGAAACTGGGGAAAATGGAGTGAATGGAGCAGTTGTACTAAAACATGCAAGCAGGGGAAGCAGTCTAGGACACGTGTTTGCAACTCGCCAGCTCCTCAGTATGGTGGAAAGAAATGCGATGGAGAAGGAAAGGAAACACAAGTGTGTAACGACAAAGTCCCATGTCCAGGTAAATATTAACCTTTCAGAGACGATTTACCCTGGTGATCGGATATTGACTGAAAGATGTAGAGTTCACACTTTTATTTCTGGTGAAACTCTTAATATTGTGAAGATAGAGATAACGATAATGAATTTTTCGTCATCGTAGTAATTGCGACAACATGAAATTTTTCATTATCAAAGCCGCTGTTTCCCAGAAGAGAAACAATCGATAGCAATGGTAGCTTAAAATTACAAAATTTGAAAGCAAATTATGTTTACTTTTTCGGCGACAAAGGCTTAAGCACATTTATCGTTGATTTCCCCTTGCTTTTTTTCATTTCTTTTCATATTACATTACGTTCAACTTTAAAATTGCTAAATTACCCCAAAAGCATATCACTTACATGCTAAGACTTCTTAAAATACAAACATTTGGCTTTCTTTGTTACAATGCTACTTTAGTGGAGAAGCAGACGTTATTAACAGCTCTACATAACCTTGCTTGCTCGTAGTTGCTTAAAAATTTGATTAACAACACATTTTTCATTTTATATTGGGAAAAACGGAATGTATAGACGTCATCAGAAGCTTGAAAAATCGATATGTAAACGTCATTGATAGTTTCTGCATGTTTTACGATTTCAGTTGATGGAAATTGGGGTGAATGGGGCGAGTGGAGCACTTGTACTAAAACTTGCAGACAGGGAAAGCAGTCCAGATCTCGTGAGTGTAATTCACCAGCTCCTAAATATGGTGGAAAGAAATGCGCTGGAGAAGGAATGGAGACCCAAGTGTGTAACGACAAAGTCCCCTGCCCAGGTAATCAATGCATTCCTTCAGGGATTTGTGTTTTACCATAGTCCTTTAATGTGCATATACGTATTACGCGGATCGTGATTTCGTGGCAAACATCTGACTTGTCGGTAAGGCTGATGCATCATCTCTACTACAACACTCTTTCGGGATAGTTATGAAATGTCTCCGTTGACATTGCTTGTAGTTCCATAGTTGCAGTGGCATTTTCTTAAAAGTTGTCGCTTTTGGTTGAAGCACAAACAAAGATACCTAGATATATATACTTACATGTAAATAAATATAAATAGATAGATAGGCAGATAGATGGATGGATACCGAGGCACATTTTATAGCTTGGCAGGAGATATAACTGTGATAAAAAACCTTCTCTATATTTTCAACTTTAGTCGACGGAAACTGGGGAAAATGGAGTGAATGGAGCACTTGTACTAAGACATGCAAGCAGGGGAAGCAGTCGAGAACACGTGAATGTAATTCACCTTCTCCTCAGTATGGTGGAAAGAAATGTGATGGAAGTGGAAAAGAAACACAAGTTTGTAACGACAAAGTCCCATGTCCAGGTATGTAAGTCTTCTTTCAGGATTGATCATGGCAAACTGTATTCAATAGCTATGATTAAGGAGTTGGATGCATTGTTTATAACATGACATGTAATTAGATTTTCGCCCATTTTGTTACTACTAAGCTTTAACTTTTACCGAAATAAGACGTGGGAACGGTGGCAGTTTTTAGTTTTTAGACGGTCGCTGGGTATCCAGCTCGCTTCCTTTCAAAAAACTCTTTTCAATATTCTGAGGTGCAGACAGTTGCCTCGGCATGCACTGAAAGGTTTCATAAAAATCGTTTGGTATTAAGTGATAAAACTTAATTTTTTTGCTTTCGTCTGGTGCTAAGTTGACGGAAACTGGGGAGGGTGGAGTGAATGGAGCACATGTACCAAAACATGTAAGCAAGGAAAACAATCCAGAACTCGTAAATGTGATAGCCCTGCTCCAAAGTATGGAGGGAGAGAATGTGAAGGAGAAGCTGATGAAAATCAAATCTGCAACGACAAAGTCCCTTGCCCAGGTATGCATTAAAGCTTTAATAAGATCTGGTCAGAAGTCCGAGTTACCCCAACGGTTTTATTTGTAAAGGTATTCTTTAGAGTTTATATTTGGAGTCTTTATATCTCTTTTCTCAAAAATGACATTACTTGTACCTGGTGTGTTGCTCGAAACATCTTGGTTGAGAAGGAATAGACAACGCAAAACCTGTTATATACGATTGGCTATTCTAGTTCCTCTTGGGATATAGTATCCTAAGAGACATCACTTAAGGAGCAATGTTGAATGTGTAATATTCATTCACTTATCTTTACCCTCTGCTTAGTGTCGGTATTTAATGCGTTTTATGCAATTCGTATGTGTCGCGGACATATGTTATCTCAGAGTACTCATAAAAAAAAAATGGTATGATTATGAGCTTTCAAGTTAAGGAGATTAACTACTAAGACTACTTAGTACTACTACTAAACTACTACTACTACCATTTTTTGCGGAATTTTTCATCTAGTTGATGGAAACTGGGGACAATGGGGCGCATGGAACACGTGCAGCAAAACATGCAAAGAAGGAAAACAGTCAAGAACCCGTGCTTGCGATTCACCAAAACCTCAGTATGGTGGAAAGAAATGTGACGGCGAATCTGGTCAAACTCAAGTTTGCAATAAGAATATTCCTTGCCCAGGCAAGTTTAAGCCACAACTAACTAGAAGTTCATCATACAAGCACATTTATTTAATACTTTTCAGGGAAGGGAGTGTGTTTCTCCTTCAAGAAGTTTCTACTTTGCCGTTTCCTTGCTTTAACAGTACAGTTTTACTCTAATTATCACCAAGAGAGTGAAAATACCCTGAGGACAGGGGGATACAGCTTTAGTCGCTTACTCACCGAAGGCTCAAGTTTTGCACTCTCGTCCTTTTTGAGAAAGCTGTGTTTACTTGTTAAATGCTGTGTTCTCTTTTCTATAATTTTCTCGATGGCAATTTATTGCTATTCAAAAGTTTTTTAAATGCTTGTACTGAGGGTGATAATGAGAGCTTAACTTTAATATTCCGAAAGAATTAAATATTTCGGTTAAAATAAACTCAGAATCATAGAATCAGATATAACTAGCTATTGATTGGTATTTGCCGTGGTCGTACAATGAATTATTGTACACTCTCTTAGTGGATGGAAACTGGGGCGAGTGGGGAGCCTGGACTACATGTAGCAAGTCGTGTGGAGGAGGAGAACATTCGAGGAAGCGTTTTTGCAACAGTCCTGCAGCTGCGCACGGTGGCGAGAAATGTGAAGGGGCATTTCGACAAATACGGCCTTGCAATCAGAACAACTGTCCAGGTATGAAGAAGGCCTACAAATTCATATGGGATGGCATGAATAAACCTTTTAGCTTTTGAAGAATATTCAATAATTTTTCTTTGATTGGTCCGGGACACCTGCCACTACGGTTGGCCTATTTTCTTCATTCTGGTTTGTAGCACCTTAAGGTTGTATAACTGTTCACAAACATTTCAGCAGTTTTTTTTTTGTTTTCTTAATCCTAACAAATTACCCACTATTTAGGGAATACATGTGATCCTAAGAACAGTTTTTCCTTAGTTTGTCTTCCAACCTCACCACCATGAAGAAGTTGATAAGTAAGCGGGACAGAATTGGTGGAGCTGTTATGACTTAGTTGAGAAAACCTCCAATACTTACACTAAATAGCAGTAATTAGCGCATTTTCCCCATTTTGGTTTTCTTATCATTAATAGTGGATGGAAATTGGAGTGCGTGGAGTGCATGGAGCACGTGTAGTAAGAGTTGCAAACAAGGGGAGCAATCGAGAACTCGTGAATGCAATTCACCCAAACCTCAGTATGGTGGTAAAAAATGCGAAGGCAGCGCTAGGGAGAAAACTGTTTGTAACAAGGACGTCCCTTGTCCAGGTAATGAGGTTAAGAGTAGTATGCCAAGTGCTATACATATATTGTATTTTTTCCTACTACTATTGTATTTTGTAAAGGGAAGCATCAGATTTGCCAGTGGTCAATAGGAGATCAATACCGGTTTTCGTTAACTTTCGTTGTTAAAACACTTGTTCTGTGGATTATGATGTGATTGATAAATGGGAAAAGAAACAAGTTGTTGAAACAAATTTCGTATATCGATCTGGCATTGCTATCTGATGTATAATAATATCTCAGTAATGTAATCAATGAATCATGTAATGTTTTACCCGCTGGTCTCTGCGCTGTTTATGCATATTAAAAATAGCCTTGTTTGGCTGATTTACAAATTTTGCGGATGTGTTCCATATGCATAATCTGTATTAGAATTCAATTCCAGTGCAAATATGTGAATTTTTATATATCTAAATTCTTCATTCACTTGGATGTGTATTTATACCCAATTCATTGACCAGCTCCCAGTTGGCTTGTTAGCTCAATTGGTAGAGCGCTACACCGGTATCGCAGAGGTCATGGGTTCAAATCCCGTACGGGCCTGAATTTTTTTCAGGTCCTATTTACAACTACTAGTTTCAGTAGTGTTCTTAGCTGCGAGGATCTTCTAATTTCATCTCTCCACCGCAGTGCAAATATGTGAATTTTTTTTCAGGTCTTATTTACAACTACTAGTTTCAGTAGTGTTCTTAGCTGCGAGGATCTTCTAATTTCATCTCTCCACCGCAGTGCAAATATGTGAATTTTTTTTCAGGTCCTATTTACAACTACTAGTTTCAGTAGTGTTCTTAGCTGCGAGGATCTTCTAATTTCATCTCTCCACCGCAGTGCAAATATGTGAATTTTCATATATCTAAATTCTTCAGTCACACTTTTGTTCCTATATTCACCACAGTCGATGGAAGCTGGGGCTCGTGGGCTCCTTGGAGTGCCTGCAGTGCCACGTGTGGGTATGGAAGTCGAGAGAGAAAACGTGTTTGCGATAATCCAAAACCAGCCTACAATGGAAAGTCATGCGTAGGTATTGGGCACCAAAAGTCGAGATGCCACGCCTATTATCCTTGCCCTGGTACGTTCCTTTTTCCAATTTTCAATACAATGTTTTACTTTTTAAATACCACTTGCACTGCAAGCTTTAATTTAGCAATTTTTGCTCGACATCTTATGTTGAGGGAGGTCTTACATTAGCATGTTCACATCGTTAAGGGGGCAAGTCTTGCTTTTTATAATCGAACCATAGATTTATTATTAGTGTACCTCTCTAGTTAGTTCGCTTTTGACCATAGAGTTCAAAATTTAGCCTTTGTAATATCTTTTAAACGTGTGGGATCATTTGCTGGATGATTTACACCTTTTTATCCAATGGCAGTCGATGGTAATTGGACAAGTTGGGGAGCCTGGACGTCATGCACCAAGACTTGTGGTCTGGGTTACAGAAAGAGATCACGTTCATGTGCAAATCCTCCTCCACAGTATGGAGGCTCTGGTTGTGTTGGGCTTAACGACCAGGTGGAACATTGCAAGGACAAATCTTGTAAGGGATTTAATGCGCTTTCGTACATCACATTTACACCTTTAAATTAACATTGAAGGTTTTAACCTTTTTTTATTGCAAAGAGAAGTTAGTACTGTTTTTGTTTCTCATTCTGGAGGTTTCTGAGGAGTACTGCATCAAGCAATTTTTGATCATTTTTTTAAAATTATTCTTAATTTTTCTTGATGTTTCTTTTTTTTACTGTTGGTGTTGTACTACGTGTTGTAGTATATAATTCCAAGAGAAGCAAAAAGACATAGCCAGAATCCTTAGAGTCCTTTGTTTATTTCAATTTGGCTATGTATCAATAAACAGTTGCAAGGCAAAATAAGTCATCCGTGAGGTAGTTACAATTTTAAAAACGATATTATTGTTAACATTTCAGGCCCAGACAACTGATTCCAAGCAAAGGGCAGTACTTGAATGAAGGTTTTAAAAACAGGTACGGCTCTCATTTGCCTCCATTTTTCATTCCATACTGTGATGTCTCTTAATTTGTATTAAACATTAGTTGAAATGAAAGAGACCCGCAAACAATTCGTTAGCGAAATTTATGCCCTTGATCAAGCATGATAATATGCTTGTAAGTTGTGCATTCACCTGTAATCACCCTTTTTTTTTCTCTTTCAATTTGCAGTGTACGTCTGAAGAAGTCATGGAAATCCAGTGCATATGATAAAATTGAAATAAAAACTGTTCATTCGTTAATGACAGAACAAACAAATGATCATGTTACAGTGAAGTAGAAAGTAGAATAAAAGTCACGCGTAAAACTATGCAGTTATCTTTTTCTGTACTTTCGTTTCTGTTGACCCTGGATGAATACAATATGATAATAATAAAAATAAAAAGAACAAACTTTGCTGAGAAAAAGACATGATACTTATGCACGCATTAGCCAAAAGGAAGCACATGTGTCCAGGAAAATAGGTCGGAATAACTTAGACTTATGAAAATTATCGTGTTTTTGTTAGTGACTTATTTAAATAATGTTCTAAAATATACTTGTTTAACTAAGATTATCTCACACGATGGAAATCCAAATCTAAAATTAAAAAATTTCTTTTTTGGAAATATTTAATTTTATTTAAAGATTGTTTCCCACAATAGATTTTCCTCGGGATTTTACACGTTTCTGGTTATATTTAATATGTTCGCCCCCAATAGGCTCTTAAGGAAAGGCTACTTATGAATTCTCATGCATAATAAATTTCTATAGTATCTAGGCATAAGTAATTTGGTTATGTGTTTTTTTAAAAGATATATATAAAGAGAAGTCCTGATAACTTTCTCCCCGCTCTCTTTCCCTAAAATCTGTAATACTCTGAGAACTTCACGATGTTTCATTGGGAATGATGGATAACGAGTTGATTGTACTTTCTAAAATTTTACTAGATTTGAGATTTCCTATGGAGTATAGACGTGCCGCTGTGGGTACAGAATGGACTCTTCTTTATTTGCCTTTTTTCGCGTGGCCTTAAAAAGTAGGTCAGGTGATCCAGGCTGGTCCTTGAGCAAGTTTCAGATGGTTGTTAACGTTGTAACCTTTCTTCTCGCAGCATGAACCAGAAATGTTTTTAATGAAAATTTTTTTCAATGTCTTGATGTAATACAAATTCAATACAAAAAATTATCTACAAATCACGTAATTTCACTCTTTCTTGACCGAAATTTTATTGCAATCCTTACGTCAAGCTGGTAGTGGTAAAGTATGAAAAATTTTACTTTTTCAACATAAATGATGCAAACATTCCTATTTAAGCTTACGAACAGCAGAAAGCATATTGGAATTAATTTAAAATTTTTCAATTTCTTATGTGCGATTACCTCTCTGTTGATCTGTATTCCCGCTTCGTTTCGCCATCCAATCGCACCGTGCCATGCTTAATATCAATCTCGCTCTTTTGAACTCTTCTGAGATATGTCTTTTCAAATAGTTTGAAGTTTCGAATAGTTAGGTTAATGAATCCCCCCACACCCTTCCTCTCACCAATGAAACCAAGCGATAGTTAGATATTCGACTGTGATGATGAGGTAATACAGCCAATTTTAATGGGTGTGATAATCATGGCATGGATATTGGTGTACACTTCAATTTCTGATGACTAACTCTAACCCGAAAGTGGGACCAAGTTACGATAATTAATACAACGGCCCCAAATCTGAACTCGTTATGAGTCGTGACGAGTTATGCAGCGTGCGCGAAAGCATTTTAGGAAAGTACTAAAAAGACTTTAGGGCGTGGACTTGGTGACTAAAGGACCTAATTAAACCTTTTAATACGAGTGAGCTAGAGGTCATATAAAAAATTTCGCAAGCATCAAGCAAATCAGAGAGGAACCAGGAGGTTCATTCTAAATTTTGTATCATTTCCTTTTTCTTTCACCAACAGATCAACGTGACCGACGGACAAGGGATTCGGTCGTTTTCTTTGATATCATGAAAATGCTTGCGCATGACTTTATCAAACCAAACCTTGAATCCATCTTTGACCTCGTCAGGGCTGCTTTGCAAAACACCTTTAGAAGCCAGGGTATTGTAACATTCATCGTAAGTAAGCTGCCACTGTTTCCTCATTGTCGAATCCTTTTGGACAGTGAACAGTTTTCCGACCACTTGAAATATCTTCTTCATGGTTTCTTCTGAGGTTGTATGCTCGAAACCATTTTCCAACGGGCGAAAAAATGTCAACAACTCTTTAACCCAAGGCACTGACTCATCAGGAAGGATCGAAATCATTCCCAGAGAACCACCAGGCACTAGAACTCTGCAAATGTCTCTCACAGCCTCTTCGTTTGCGAACCAGTGAAAACAAGGTGCTGCTACAACTGCATCAACACTCGAGTCTGGGAGAGCTAAATCGACAAAAGAGATATAATGGAATTTTTAAATGCGAAAAATTCAAGCACAAAATAGCAGCTTGAAAGACCATTCCAAAGTTATCCCGAAGCTGGCGAATGAGAAAGGAAACTTAATCTTAGTGCCAGACTAACTCGTCGCGATCGGAGCTGCATTTTATTTAGTTTTCCCTTAAGCTTCTCTTGAAAACATATTTTTATGACGGCGTTTCAGTTAAAAATAACGGATTTTATCAATAATAATAATAATAATAATGATGATAATGAAATAGCCTCTTTAGTCGCGCCCAATCTATGGCCATTTGTCATTCATTAACTTCTAACTGTTCTATTTTCTTTCATTTTTTTTCCACTTTGCAAACTTTGTCGTAATATTATTAAAGATTACTTCTTCTGCATTATTACAAGGCAATCAATTAAGATAGTTTGAACTATTTCACAGGGTGATGCAAAAGTGAATTAAACATGACTTACCAATATTCTCTGCACGACACTGAAGAATTTCAATGCAGGGTAAAACTGCTGTATCATTGTACCTGTGGGATCACTCGCGATTATTTGAGTCCCGATGCCTCCTAGGATTTCAAACATAACTAGAGTGAACTTGCCTGTGCGGGATCCTAATTCAAGAACAGTAACCTGAAGATTTCTGGTAAAGATATAATTTTCAATCTTGTTATGTTCTAGAATTCCGAGTATTTCTCAACAGGAACCGTACAGTTTCCAATGGGTAGGTGGGTCTAATTTGTTCATAGCTCGCCGAACCTTCAAACGCCACAGCCGCCAAGTTTGTTCCACTTATTCCCTGTCCCTCCATGTCGAGGACTGGGTCACTGTCCTGAACAGTTGATAGAAATATAAGTATATATCTATATATCATCGTACTTTACCGCCACGCCTATTATGCAAATTTGTAAAATATAGAAACGATAGTACGAATATTCTTAACAATAAAATCCCCTGATGAGTGAGTAATCACGAAACAGGCTTGTAGGGATAAAAATATAGTCTCTCTGTTTTTTTGCCCTATCACAACATATATCGCGCTCTACTCCTACTCCTACGTATCGAGCACTGTAAAACGGAAAAATCAATACACAGACTCCCTATATATATATATAATTTAAAAAAAATAAGATGGATAAAAATCGGCGTTACTGAATCGTAAATTTATAGTGGACATCTATGATGAGATGTCAAAGTTTTGAAAGCCATGGCGCAATTTAAACCTCTCGCAGCTCCCATCAGACGATGTTTGAAAAATTGACTATATAGCACACGTTTGCCGATGTATGAGGGATACCCAAAAAACATGTTTTACCTGTTTTGGTATCATTTCATTTCCCTTTATCTTATACGTGTATGAACGGTAGCACATAAACATCTACCAGGCCGATCACAATTTTGTCAAGACTCACGCTTTTTGTTCGATTTCATTAACAATTTCCTCACATTTGAACGCATTAACCCCTTGACACTTAGAACATCTCTTTAGTTACTCTTAATCACGCGAAGTTCGCGTGCAAGACATTTAACATCCTTGTTCATAAAACAAAAAAGGATAGAGACACAAACACATAATCGTGTTTCGAGTAATGTTGACTGATTCTAATGGTCACAATTTACTTACCAATATTATCGGTGAGATGCAGTAGCTTCCGGAGCTAAGGAAAATTTTGTGGATCTATCCTGTATCCATGGCATTTCTCGCTTTAAAAGAACATTGCAATTCAATTTCAATTTGCGTTTTGTGTTTAAAAGGATATAATTGCTTTATTGTGCGGGTTAATTGCTTTAAGCCTGTGTTTAGTTTTAATAACGACCTTCTCGCTATGATTTTCAATCAATGGGATTTTCATATCACTCAAAGATAACTCGTAGGCCTCTGTAACGTCATGACAAGCCATGAAAGGTCGTTTCTGGTCAGGGTACAGCTTCGTGTTTCACCTTGCTTTTTTTCTCTTCCTTTCATGTCATGTTCATTGCCCTCCTTTTCCTTAAAACAAAGTTAAAATATTTTATGATCAAACATACGAAAACACTTACAAGAAAACATAATATTGTTCTTCAAAAGTTTTTTTACTATCCCACTTTTTTCCTAACACACCATGAGGCATCTTCGTTTTTTGTTAAGGATACCAACTGATTTCGTTGAATTTATGCTAATCAAGGGGTGCTAGTACTTTCTTTTGATGCAAAATCGATTTTATAACCTCTATAGAAACTGATAATAAAAATAGACATTTAGCAGCCTGACAAAGCTTGCGCAAAAAGTAAATAATTATAAAATTTTGCCCCGTAAGCTATGTAAAACGAGTATCAGTCATTTAACAGTTGGTTCATACGTCAGCGTGCGTTCATCAAGATATGAAGCACGCGAGAAGTCTCGAGAGCACGAAAGATGCGTATGAGTTGCTCTCGGCTACGCCTCGAGCAACTCTAGTTTCTTGAGTGCTCTCCAAACTTCCCAAGTGCTTTATATTTCGATGAACGCATAGATGACGTATGAACCAATTGTTTTATAACATTTTCAACCTGATGGAAATTTTTTTTCTCGAGGGATTTGTTTGCTGAGCGTGCACAATAGGAATATGAAGCACGCTCGCGCAACTGAATTTGAGTAGACAAATTTACAAGCTATGTTACAAATTGCATTATAACATAGCTAGTAAATTTGTCTAATCAAATTAAATTGCGTGAGCGTGCTGCGTATTCCTATTGTGCACGCTCATGACATCAGCAAAAAAATCCCTTGAGCAAAAAAAAAGTTTCTCTGCGATTTTTTATTTTGGGATTTTACTATTAAAAAAACTGGTTAAGACTTCGGCGGCAATTTAAGCTAAACATGGAAAGTTGCGAGAGAGCTTTTATACCATAAAAGTATGTTTGAAATATTCATTGGTGTCGATAACGAAAAAATGTTTGGTAACCTTGCGATGCTTTCCTAGATTTGTCCAACTTTCTGTCACACGAAGCAAGGATGTGGCCTGTTGTAAATTAGCCAATGAAACAGCATCTTTGTGTTTCTTTTGGATAAGAGAATTTTTTATTCAATCAGAAAATAAAGTTCATTTACACGTATGAATTCATGTGTCAGTTTTTTGACCAATCTAAGACAAGGTCGTTTACAACGTACGTAGCGAAATGTCTTCCTGAAACAAAATTATCAACGCGCTGAAGTGTAGCAGAGAGAATATTAACCCTTTTATAAAATTTAAACCATCGGGTTGTAAACGTTATAAAACAATTAGTTCATACGTCAGCTGTGCGTTCATTGAGATATGAAGCACTTGGGAAGTTTGGAGAGCACTCAAGAAGCTCTTACGCATCTTTTGTGCTCAACTCTTACGCATCTTTTGTGCTCTCCAAACTTCCCAAGTGCTTCATATCTCGATGAACGCGCGCCGCCGTATGAACCAACTGTTTAGTAGCCAGGTAATATTCCCAAGTTAGAGCACAGTACCCGTCTCATCTTTTCACCAGGTAGATATTGCTAAAAGTTTTATCGGTGTAGTATTATGATTGAGTTCTAGCTTGTAAATTTTTTCTTTCTTTAACTTTAGAAATCAGTGGGTACCCTGAAGATTAAAGGTAATCTTATGAGTCATTAAGGTAAAAGCAGAGCTATAAACCAGAAACAAATGGCAACTAAACTCCACATCACCAAATAGCTTTTCTTATTTCGACTGCTCTTCTTGTCGCTGATATGATTAGTTTCTTACATTTTAACACATTTTAGCTAATAACTTATATAGTGGGAATTCGGGAACACTTGTTTGTTCACGCTTGACCCTAGACGTTTCAAAAATATGTTATTAACATCATGGCTGAGTTGTGGAGCCTAAAAGTGCAAATCAGGAAGAACATAACTCAAAGAAAACAGTTGTATATTGCAAATTTGAGGAGATTAAAGCTAAGGTTGGTAAATATTATTTTTACTTCTAACAATTTTAACGTTATTAGCTTTGAGATCAATCAAAGAAAGACATTTTCTTTGTCGGATAAAATACACTTTTTCAGTCTCCTTTACAGGGAAAAACTTGTGATATTTATACATCTACGTTACCAACGAAATCTTCTTAATGGAAAACCTGTCGAGAACCATTTTTTTTCTCTTTATGCCGGTATACGTACCATAAACGTTGTTAAAAATGAGAAAAACAGCTTTGAAGTGTAGAGCAAATACGAGTAGTTATAAAGCATCTGGTTGTAGTTTAAAGAAATCCAACTTTATTCTAAATAAATGACACAAAGCGATCAATTTCAATTCACATTCTGGATTTCAAAAGATATTTATCTCCACACATTTAATGCCATCACCATTATGACTTTTTTGATGTCTCATCTTTATTCATAAAATCATAATTAATTTCTGCTTGTGGGTAAATAGACGTGTTTGAATATGAAATGAGTAAGTTAGCAGAGTCTATGAAAAGCAAATCCGATTTAACTTATTAAAATTTTCTGTGAAGCATTGTGTCACCCAATACTGAAACATTGAATAAGAATAATAGAATAAGAATAATATAGATTTAATCCTTATTTGCTTTAAACCTAATTGCTTTGTTATGCATGTCATTTGTTTTCTATGTGTTTGGTGTTATTAACGATTGCATCATAGAAATTTACTATCGATGGCACAATATCGATTTATTTTCGATGGATGACCCACAGACTTCTGTGGAGGCATGGCAGACCTCATGGCAGAGAGGTCTTTCACGACCATGATATTATTGTTCCCCTAACCTCAGCGCTGAGTTCAAACTCTTCTTTTTAATTAAGTCTCACGGTTATGAGGAGAGAATTTAACTGCTAGAAGGGTAATCTTTTTTTTTTTTTTTTTTTTTTTTTTTTTTTCCGAGAATGATTCCATCCGATCTGTTCGAATAGCTGTTTACCAATTTCATGACCTTCACTAAAGCTGTTGCTTGGAAGCGAAATTTAACCTGGACAGTTTTTTCAACAGTTAAATATTAATTGCTTGAAGTGTCAGTTGAAGCTATGTGATACAATTATCCCAAAGCGCAACAATCTTAAAGTTTCGTAAAGAAATAATACAAAACTCGCTTAGCTTGACATTTTAAGGGTGACATCTCGGAGATCTACCAAAGTTTAAAGCCGGAAATTTCTAAGGCCATCGGGAGGAAGCTAAGTAATAGAACATATCCGCAAAAAAGTTCTATTCTGCAAAGTATTTATGTTACAGAGGTTCACTTTCGTGCAGCAACAATTGTCAAACTTAGAAGAAAAACAATTAAGGAGAGGCGAATCTATTATTAAAATGTTCGCAAGAGTATCAGCCAGGATAGGCAACTTTATCACGCACATCTATCGATACTTTCCGTTTTGTTTTCGTTTTCAGATCCATTCGAAGTAAAAAGGAAATCAGTAGCGATACCTCATAATTCAATTAAGTAGCAAACTTGTTAGTAAACTAGTAATCGATGTATCAGGCTGTGTCTTCGTGCTACTCTATACCTCATGTATGTAATGCTTCTCGTTATCTTTTAAGCTATTGAAATTCAGGATGTTGGAAAAAGCAAGCTACAGAAGACTGTCAAGTGATGTGGATACTACAAGCTCTGTCCATCCTGCAACATCTGCAAGTTGGTTATCATTATTATCCTTTTGGTGGATGGACGGCATATTCAGAATGGGGAACAGGAGACCCTTGGCACACTCTGACATACTGCCTCTTCACGAGGAAGACAAGACCAGAGATCTGACAGAGAGCCTTCAGAAGGAATGGAACAAACACGTAAACGAACTCAACAAGGACAACGAGTGTAAAAACCAACAACCCAGCCTCTGGAAGTGCATCGTCAGGACCACGTCTTTAAGGAAGATTTCCTTCCTGACATGTTTTGTGCTCTTGGAGTCAGTATGTCGTGTTTTACAGCCATTCTTCCTCGGTTTGCTCCTTCATTTGCTCCGTTCCTCTGAGAGAGACTACTCTTTAGCCTATGGATGCTGTTTCCTGCTAATATTAAGCGGCTTATCTACCGCCTGTATTCACTATACTGGGTACCAGTTAGAACTTCTAGGAATGCGACTCAGCAGTGCTATTAAGGGTCTTATATACCTCAAGGTTAGTCATTTAGACAGCAAACGAAGCTTGTAATTAGTCGGTGAGACATTAACCCATCTATTTATGCATTTCTTTGGTTATTGAATCAGTCAATCAGTCGGTTAGTCGATTAGTCAATCGGTCAATCAGTTAAGCGGCAGAAGTTTGTCCGTTTGTCTTTCTCTCGATCCATCTCAACTTCTAACAGGAAGTGATCATCCTTTTCAGATACCGTTGGTCAGTAAACAGACGCTTCGAAAAGTGACAAGTGGAAATGTTATCGACTTAATTTCAACTGACGTTGAAAGAATTGAATTGGCACCCAGACGAATATTCATGTCGACATTCACAATACTCGAAATCGCAGCTGTGACTTCCTTATTGTTTTATCTCATCAGTTGGGAAGCAATAATGGGAGTTTTCTACCTTGTGGCGGTGATTCCATTTGTCATGATTATCTCATCCCTGTGTGCCCAGCTGCTGCAGGAAACAGCCACCGTGTCCGATCATCGCATATCAATGATGATTGAACTCATATCAGGCATTCGCGCACTTAAGGCTAACGCCTTGGAGAACATCCATAAGGATAGGATTCAAGAAGTAAGAAGGTAGGAGAGGACATTCCGCGAAATTGCACTAAGACGCAAAATAATATAATGTAAAATAATAGCACTGTGAAAACTACAGATAGGTAATAATTGGTTAGGTATATTCCTCAAAGAAGGGAAGATTTCCTTTCTTATAAAAGAACAAGAATAAAGTTCGCTTATCATTAAAATACATGTACATCTGATCGACCTTCTGCCTTAGTAATCGTCAGACGATTCAGTCATTCAACTGAGTAATGGAATTACTAACCAAAAAACCACCAGATTTCATTCTCATGGCTTTGAATTTATTGTTATGAAAAATATGATTGATGCTTTAGTTTAGCTGCCATGGTTTAGTAATGCATTCACTTTCGATAACTGACTTACACTATGAGGTGCCAGTAGAAGAGAATTCCTGTTTATGTCCTTTAGGAAGGAGATCTGGATCATCCTAAAGAGGGGAGCTCTGTTATCAATTGTGGAATCTCTGCCGTTTACTTTAGGGGCTGTAGCTACGTTTCTATCTGTCTTAGCTCTCAGCCTCGATGGCCATCTAATTTCACCTACCACGGCGTTTATGCTTCTGGCTTTCATTAACACACTTCGAATTACCATCACACGATTCTTTTATGCTATTACCTCAGTGTTTGAGTTGTGGATATCTTTAAAAAGAATCAGAAACTTTCTTTTGCTGAAAAATATATCTTCAATGGGCTTGGAATCCACTGAGAAGCCTCCTGGCCACCAAGATCGTGTTCAAGAACCTAAAAACAACTTCCCAGAGCTTTATGTTCGAGGCCCCTTAAAAACAGAAGATAAGAGTGAAGAAATAATATCTGAAAATCAAGACTTTGATGGTTACTTTTCTGTT